GACTTTCTTAAAACAGCCTAAATCAAAATGTTTAGATTTGTAAAAATTGAAATAGATTTTTACACATAGTCTGTCTGGTGAAAAAGTTCTGATAAGTTCAGGTGAGTTATGAGAAGGGTGCACAGCTCCTCTTTCAATTTAACTCGATGTTCCTAGGGTGAAGGTTGTAAGGCCCCGCTTATGTCGCGATAAACAAAGTTGTAATTAGTAAGGGAAGAGTGCTGCAATAATGCCCACTCGGGTTGTGCTTTATCTAAGATAAGCTAAAAGGGATCGTTTTCATGGTAGTATTGGAAGAAAATGATGTGAACGATGTTTAGGGGGAAGAGAAGTTGAAGGGATTGAGATGACCACGAAGAAAAAACGACATAGATGAAATGACTGTAATCCAAAAATATTCAAATAGGACTGCAAATGCATTTGAAATTGCTTTATTAATAATTTGTACGTGGGATACTTCAAAGGATTTTTCTAAAGGTGATATAAAAAATACATATATACGAGAAAGCAAAAAGGAACTCATGGGCGAAAATGGATTGTTGCCAAATAGCAAATATGACTTAAAGAGCCACTTAGCAAAAAATAATGCCATTAAGGAAAGAGTTGGATGTCTGTACTACACCCATGTGAATTGTAGAATTTATTGTCATGTAATTGGTCCTTCATTTCAATCTATCATCGCACATTATTTTTGATTATATGTTAAGAAGGTTGAGAAAAATATCCTTCTTTTGCTCGGCAAAAATCATTTACGTGCCGAGGGACAAAGTGTTAGGGATACAGCGTCCCCTCCGTTGGTGACGCCCCTGAATCAGATCAAAATCTGAATGCAGCAATTCATACACATTTACATAATGAATAAAGATCAAGGTGACATTCTGTACTTAGACTTTTGTCTATCTTATAAGTAGTTTAACCAATTAGCTAATTTCATACATTTTGTTGCTGACGATTGCTAAACTGTTAGGCCCATATTTGCTTCCATTCTCACTCGACAGACGATTACGTTTCATGCATCGCCTTGACATTAGGTACAAGCTTTTGCTTCACAAATGTATTTATGGTCTCTTCCTGAATACATGGACATCTAGGATCAATAATTCTCGAATGACTTTTTGAAGCTTTGGGAGTTCCTCCCATGTTGTCAGTTAAACTGAAAGAGATGTTTTTCGAATTTCTTTAATTAACGTCTTTGAGATAATAGAACAAGGGACTTATCGTTGTGTCCTAAAGTCTCTCCTTCATTTCTCGCCCTTTTCCGTCAAAGTATGATCTGATCTTTCAACAAAGTGTACTTGCTGAAGTTTTATTTTAAAAAAGAGAATTGAATTTAAAGAAATAATTTCACCGTTGTGACGTTCTATAAGAAGTTGCTTTTCAAATCGAGCATAATGTTTCAAGACATCATTACATGAATATGAAAATATATAATAAATAAAAAATAGTAATATACATATGCATCGAATGAGACGATTTGGAACTGGAAATATGTAATCACATTTTGAAACCAATTCAAACACACATTCATGCTTAACAAAAGCGAAATCCGAACAGAAGGGGCGAACGGATTAATAATTTGTCCAATTTAAAGTAACTTTTATCCAATTCCCATGGCAGCTTTTCCCATGATATGTGTCAACTGCCGTGTTTCTTTTTCACTCTATACTAGAAAAAAAGACACTTACAATATATATATTAAAATAAATGGTTTTCAACAAACGAAAAAAGTGAAGAATAATAAGCATTAGGATTCCTTCCCAAAACAAGCATTAATCATTTGAATAAAGTTTAGAAAAATGAGCACACTAGAGTCATTCTGGAGGATTTAAGTATATATCAATCAGCACAAGTTACAAGTTTTAGTACGCACTTAAACCGATACCACTTGCTTCCCCTGTTCGTTTACAGTTTTAAAATATCCAAAGATATTTAAAGTGGATTAAAAACATGGTTTTACAATCTGGTCTTGATATCGGACATCATAAAACTCCTTTAGATGTTTCAATTATTCTGAAATAGATGGCAGAAGATTGCAGGTAGTGCAGTAAAAACAGACGTGATAGACTCAGCCGCAAGGGTGCACGTGTCGAGCCTGAAGTGACAAATCCTTGAATCTTGTTGTAGCTTACTGTTCATTAGAATGATGGGAGTTGACAACTACTCTAACTACAGAATCCACAACAATAAGGTGTAGTTACTGTGTAAATGTTGGAAAACTATAATGGAAAGCTAGTTGAGTGGAAAGCTTTTGAATTTCTTTATACCTCACTCATGAAATGTGGAGGCTTCTCCTCAAGGTGATACATATTCTTTATTTGTGAAACACGATCAAAGTTGCACGGTGGCTTCTTAACTAACAATTAGCCTCATAGGGTATCTTCAACTTTGTTATACAGTAAGTACCCGCATGTAAGAAACCGGTTTTTTTAAACTGAGGTTTCTCATCAACAGAGATTTTTCATCATCAGGGTCCAAGTTTCTTATCAACAGGGACTGCCAAGTCAAAACAACTCAAGCTTTATGACAGTACCGTTCATGGACATGCATTCAATGTTACTGGTTGTAATGTATAATACGTAATATACAGTACAATTTTTCACATCAATAGAATACACATACAACCATTCTAGAGCATAAACAGAAAATATAACACGCGACTATTTAGACTTAAAAATAAGAAACATTTTTATTCAGGCTTAGGTGAAACTGTTTTTAATAAAAGACCCCTTTTGAAGAAAATTAGGCTTGTTCCTCATAAAAATGGTTTCTTATATGCGGGTACTTACTTATGGTAACAAAAATCAAGGCGCTTGTAACAAAATAAGCAGAGATTTTAGATTGATTTGCTTGGTCCAGAAGCGCCAAAAAGCTTAAAGGACAAGAAAGGCATACCTTGGCTGTATACTATGTACTTTTGTTAGAAACAATTCGTCTCCTTCTTAGCGACAATCCAAAGAAATATTCTACAGGAAAAATACAAGAGAAAACTCATCATTAGCAACATATATGACACCATAAAATCAATTTCAAAAAAATCAAACATTGCAGAAGATTCAAATATAATTTCAAGCCGAATTACCAACTCAATTGGACATAAAACCAATCTATTTCAAAGCTTCGTTTTAAATATCAGCTTATCCTATTTAGCTCTAGAGGTAGTTTTCTGCTTTAAAAACAAGCCTAGAAACTCTATATTAAGAACAAACGACTCGCCAATCCACCATATGAGATGAAAAACAAATTAAAGAACAAAAGGAAAGCAGCTTGCTGAAATGAATCATTCCTCAACGACTGAGAATGAAATTAAGACCCCGTGCGCACGAGAGCGGATCCGTTTGGGTCCGTTCCGAAACTGGATCCGATCCAGAACATTGTTTGCATAGACACGGAAACAGGCCCAAAATATTTTGCGTGCATATGGGATCGGATCCAAGCGGATCCACGGTCAAGGGCATGCGTTCAAAACAGAATTTACACAAAGAACGCAAATTTTTTGCGCTATTTGTTTATTCATTGCAAAAAAAGTTTTCAAAAGGCAATGGCTTCGCAACAAACTGAAACCACAGGCAGCAAAAGAGAAATTTTATTTGGACAGACGATGAAACAGCGTTGTTGTTGAGAATTGTTCTCGATTATAAGAGCAAAAAGCTCGCTGACGCGCTGGACTGGGAAAACGACTTATTGAGGAGAATTTCCCAGAAAAATAGCCTCGTTTTCTATCCGTACCAGTTTGGGCCCGATCCAGGTGTTCAAACGTGAGCTAAGTGGATCGGACCCAAACGAGCACGCTCTTTTTATCCGTACCAGTCTGGTACGGATAGCAGACCCAGACTAAATCGGATAGAAGTGTTCTCGTGTGCACGGAAGGCTTATCCGTGTCAGTTTGGGAATGGACCCAAATGGATCCGCTCTAGTGTGCACGGGGTGTAAAAATGACGTTTTGGATCTAGTATAATCCGCGGCCTAAACAAGGGCAGAGGGCCATCATCCCCAAAAGTTGAACGAAGTAGACTTTTTAAGATAGGGCTTTAATAAGGATGAAAGAAACTAGCAAAACCTTAAAACCGAATTGTCGTATCGTTACTGTTTTTTTCAATTTTGTAACAAAACAAAAAGTAACAAAGGCTCATCTAAACAATATGGTATCGAAGCCATAAGCTACGCAAAAGCCAAAGAGAATGGCAAGAATGAAAACTTACTCCGTGGTTATTAGATGACAATATCTAAACGAGTATTCATCGAAGCAAAAACCAAATTGCATACAGAAATGAAAGGGTTCGCAATGATTTTGAATATAGCGACAACGTAAAAAAGCAAAATCGAAAATAGATCAGCATAATCATAATTGAAAATGTCTTTTGAAACGGCGAAAACTACCACCAAAAGTTTACCTTTTCAATTGAAATTGGAACTTATTATATCTTGCTTACACTTATCTTGGAAAGATCTTAATCGAATAAAAAATAACGATAACCAAGAGATGTTTGACAACACTGGGATATAGAAAATATGTTTCCCTTTCTGTTGTAAAATTCTAATGCAAAAGACAAACCTCTCGATAGGGGCTTTATTGTGGAGTTTTACAGAATATTTTAGGGGCAGTGAAATAATGTGTCAAAAACAAATTACAAAGGAGGGGAGGGGGAAGGGGAGGAATTGTGGAAAGCTTGTGCTGCACGAATAAGAAAACGATTACGTTGCAAGGGGGAGGGAGGGTGTTAAAAATTGATGTTCCCCGACAAGTTTAAACGCATATCGGGGTTATTGCATAAAAAACAACGGAGACACAGCCATAAATCAGAATGGAACAATTCATACTTGTTAACAGAGACGTTTTTCGTACATGAAAGGAGCTGCGTTATAGCTGTGAAATGAATCGAAGCTCCGAAAACATGCAAAACAGAAGCATAGCACGTGATTTGTTAACCTTTTGTTTGACGACGATTATCGAAGTTAGATTACATGATCTTTACTAGAACTCGAAGTAAAAGATAAAATGAAGCGAATTGAAGAAAAAAACAACCACTTACCTAATACGGGGCACAGAGCAGTAGGAAATGATACACGATTGCGAAAGCGATGTAGCGGCCTTCACTGCGAGGGTTACGGCGGCGAGTACGTTGCCGGTGTCACAACCACGATTAGCGTTTGCGTTGCAGAGAATGTTGTGAAGGACAATATCACGTTAGCGTTGCAGACGCCATGAAGTGGTTACATATTAAAATCGTTGCAACACCACAAATTCACGAAATGGTGATCTAATCGCCAATGAATCAATCATTCAATCAACATATTGAGTAATACGGAAGTGTCTTGAGAACAATGTATCAAAAAGATTGCGTTAATAAAGTAAGGCTTAAATAACTTGTTACAAAGAATGGCGAAGCAAGGATCAACGTAGGAAGAACTGTGAAAACGTGGAAACATATTTTTCTACATTTCTTATTTTAGAACGAGGGTTTTCAGAATATTTTGTACATGGGTTTTGCATCTTGGGGAAGGGGTCACATCCATTCTCATCAAGTGTCCTTCTAATATTGAAATTCTTAACAGCTCGATAAAAGCAAAAATACAAAAACGTAGGCTGCTGCAGATGTGTTGAGGCTACTGGATGAGGCGTAAGCATAAACAGTTTTTACATACATAACAATTTAACGCTGTCCAGACCACAATTTGTCTTGAACCTTTGAAATGGTACACGAGAAACCGTATAAAAAGGGGTACATGGGAAGTTTAATAGGCAGAGCACGAGACTATCTGAGACAGTGTCCGCAAATAAGCGGCAGTGTAACAGTTAATTTTGACAAACGGTACATGTTGACAGACAGTAAATTTTAACCAACGGAAAATATAGACAAACGGTTGCTTTGAAGAAAGGTATCTTTAGACCAAAGAAATATTTTGATCAACAGAAAATAATGACTAACGGTAGACTTGATCAGCGGTAACTTTAGACCAACGGACATATTTTGACCAAAAGAATTACCAATAGAAAATTATGACCAACGGTAGAATTTGATCAATGGTAACTTTAGACCAACGGTAAATTTTAACCAACGGAATATTTCAACCAACGGAAATTTATGACCAACGGTAGATTTTTATCAGCGGTAACTTTAGACCAACGGAATATTTTGACCAACGGAAAACTATGACTAACGGTAGATTTTGGTCAACGGTAACTTTAAACCAACGGTAGATTTTGATCAACGGTAACTTTAGACCAACGGATATATTTTGACCAACGGTAGATTTTGATCAACGGTAACTTTAAACCAACGGTAGATTTTGACCAACGGTAGATTTTGACCAACGGTAGATTTTGATCAACGGTAACTTTAGACCAACGGATATATTTTGACCAACGGTAGATTTTGATCAACGGTAACTTTAAACCAACGGTAGATTTTGACCAACGGTAGATTTTGACCAACGGTAGATTTTGATCAACGGTAACTTTAGACCAACGGATATATTTTGACCAACGGTAGATTTTGATCAACGGTAACTTTAAACCAACGGTAGATTTTGACCAACGGTAGATTTTGACCAACGGTAGATTTTGATCAACGGTAACTTTAGACCAACGGATATATTTTGACCAACGGTAGATTTTGATCAACGGTAACTTTAAACCAACGGTAGATTTTGACCAACGGTAGATTTTGACCAACGGTAGATTTTGATCAACGGTAACTTTAGACCAACGGATATATTTTGACCAACGGTAGATTTTGATCAACGGTAACTTTAAACCAACGGTAGATTTTGACCAACGGTAGATTTTGACCAACGGTAGATTTTGATCAACGGTAACTTTAGACCAACGGATATATTTTGACCAACGGTAGATTTTGATCAACGGTAACTTTAAACCAACGGTAGATTTTGACCAACGGTAGATTTTGACCAACGGTAGATTTTGATCAACGGTAACTTTAGACCAACGGATATATTTTGACCAACGGTAGATTTTGATCAACGGTAACTTTAAACCAACAGAATATTGTGAGCAACGGAAAATTATGATCAACGGTAGATTTTGATCAAAGGTAACTTTAGACCAACGGATATATTTTGACCAGCGGAAAAATATGACCAACGGTAGATTTTTATCAACGGTAACTTTAGACCAACGAATATACTTTGACCGACGGAAAATTATGACCAACGGTAGATTTTGATAAACGGTAACTTTAAACCAACGGAATATTTTGACAAACGTTAGATTATGATAAAGGGTAACTTTAGAGCAAAAAAAAATTTGACAAACAGTGGATTTCGACCAGCGGTAGATTTCGACCAACGGTAGATTTCGACCAGCGGTAACTTCAGACCAATAGAATAATTTAAAAACGGTAGATTTGACTAACGGTACTGAAATGTCTTAACTGAAATCTTCTTAATTGTATTTATCATATAGTTACGAGTACAAGAAGTGAGTCGGTGATCAAATAAAAATAAAATTAATCGTCGCCTTTTGAATAACGAGACACAATTTAAGATAAATGTAAATCATACTATCGCATGAATTGCAGTTAATACCAATCCTTACTTACTCTAAAATACAACAAGAAAAACAAATATTTAGATTAACTTGAAAATGTAACGAGCATACATGTCACGATTTCGAAGTTGGATGCTGATGAGCCCAGAGAGAGCTGGTCCAACAAGTCTGGTCCAACGAAAGCTGGTCAAACAAATCTGGTCACCTTTTCTGAGTAAAGGCTGTATAGTTTGTAAAATCAAACCTATTGACGTTGTTGCACAGCATTCAACATGACAACATGGCATCANCAATCAGGGGCGGACACTTGGTCAAATCTGGGGGGCAAACCAACGCAGGTTGCCGAAAATCGCGATTTTTTCTGATAGTAAATTCAGATGAAATCGAAGTACTGTTACTTTTGCAAATTTTTTATAATGCTTTCAAAAATGCAGACGATTTATTGCCAATTAAGTTTTGCACATTTCTCGCTGAGGGAAAACATCATGCAAAAAGTGTTTTCTGCTTATCGGGGGGAAACTGGTGAAGAATTTTTGTGGGAGGTATCCTTACGAAGAGATGAGATGCAAAAACGATTCCTTCTTGACACATTTTTGCCAATCAAATACTTACTTAATTTCTGATCTCCAAACAAAGACGATCAATAGCTATGAAGAAGTAGAGGGTTCATTAATTTAATCATACACAAAAACGATACTGGTAACTAACTTGTCCAATCCACTGGTGCAATCATATGAAGAGGGTGGGCTACATAACAGAGGCATTAGGCTAGTAACGCCGATTTACTATCCCCCCTTTCCAAAAATCTTCTCACAAAGTACAAATTACAAAAGTGATGCAATGCTATCTCATTAAGTTTCAACTTTGGGTGTATCTCAAGGTTTTCAAAATTAGTTGTTTGCTGTGCACAATAACAGCCTTTTCAATTTCGCTTCATTTTCGAATATTCAAGAATGATAGCCCTTCAGCAATGTTGATTCTCAGGGGGTCCTCCATGGGAATAAATTCAAAATTGGCAAACTGGTAAGAAGAAGTAAGAAATAGTAATTGCAATTGGAAGCTTAAAAATTGATTGGCTAATTACAGCCTAAAGTCAGTTCGTGCCAATTTTGTTGCAATTTTTTATGTTGGTGCATATTGCTGCAAAATTTTTGGCCAAGGCATTTATTGTGGTTGCCTGTTTTGTTTCTGCTGGTAGGGCATTCCATGCTTTTCAACTTCTAAACGAATACGTGTTCTGCGAGCACATGTACGTGAAATAGTTTATTTTTAGTTAAAGTGGAGTGGATATGCGAAACTCGCCTTTCTGTAAGTTGGTGTCTGGGATCCCTGTCAGCACAACATACGCATGCGTACTTTGTAAATATTAACTTGCATGTGGATAAGTGGATTGCATTCGATTCATCTTCAAAATGGCCACGAAACTGTATGTAGCTAATTTGCCGCCGAATTGCACCGAATCTACCTTACATGGTCTGTTTTCAGCATTTGGATTAGTTACAGAACTTGACATCATAAAAAATTATGCCTTTGTGCACATGGCAGCAAGCGAAGGAGCGCAGAAGGCGGTGGCAGAGTATAACAACATGAACTTGAATGGGAACGTCATCACTGTGCAGTTTTCGAAAATTCAAAATGTGAACCGAGGAAATAAATTTACTGTGAAGTATGATCGACCAGATCGCCTTGGCAGGGGTGTAGGTGGTAACTTTAATCGAGGGGGATTTCGCGGGGGAGGTAGAGGTGGGATGCCTGGAGACATTGGACATGGACCAGATTTTAGGGGTCGTGGGGGATTTCGTGGAGGCAGAGGTGGTGGTGATCATCTTCATAGAGGGAAGCCATATGACAGGAATCCAGGCCTTAGTCATGGTCAGATGGGTATGGGTAGTAACAGTAACAATTTGCAGCCCATTCGCCCTGTAGGATCAGATGTAGGAGTGGCACAAAATTCAAATCCTCCAGCAAAATTTATTCCACCACAGCAGCAAATACCAACACAACAAATACAGCGAGTGCCAGTGCTGCCAACTGTGCAGCAGACAATGCATGTTCAGCACATGCATCATGTGCCAGTGGCAGCAGTTTCCCCACAAGTGCCACAGAATCATGTTGCAAATACCAACCAGCAAATGCTGCACCATGCCGGGTTCCAGCCAGTACAGACCTTTGGTGAAATGCAGCCTCATGCACAAGCAATGGCTCCTCAAATGCATGGAGCAATGCAACAGCAACTTGTGACAGCAGTTGGCCAGCCAGTTTCAAATGTCCAGCCAGTTATGCATAGCAATGTGCAGCCTGCTGGAATTGCTCCCCAACAGGGTTATACTGTTTATGAGAGGTATGTTGACTACAGGAATCCCCAGACTGGTGAAATCACTGGTGTAGTATCAAGTCATCAATTGCCACACGCAGGCCAGGCAGTGGGACAAATTTACCAAACTGCTGCACAATCAGTTAACAAAGACCCTTACGCCAATGCACAAATGATGTATGAAAGGTGAGAGCAAATTTATCGTGTTTATCTAGAAAGGCTCATTATACCCTGCGTGATGCCATATGTAACAGCAATATTCATTGATGTCAAACATCATGAAATTCCAAAATGAAATTTGACCATTTTGTCTTTTCAAAATCTTTCAATCTTGCAGTTAACCAATCTTGGTAATTTTTCCTCAAAAATCTTGAAAATTCATATATGGATATCTCAAAAAGTGCTCAAGATAATGGTCTGAAATGATCTATTCTAATAAGTTGGCACATAATGTACAAAATTTGGCAAAATCTGAGATGGTGAAATGGCTTTTGTGAATTGACATGGAATTACTCAAGGATTGTTTAAGGTGGTTAACTGCTAAAGATGGGCCATTCCATTTCCACCTTGAATTTGTTTCAAGATGGTTGAGATTTGATCACTCTAGAAAGGGCCTTTGACTATCAAATCACTTTAACTTGGCTTTGGTTCATGACTTTATAATGAACCAAGTCAAAATAGCAGTTATTCATTAGCACCCATATTACACCTAGTTTTGAACATATTCAACTAATTTTTCACATTAATGTAATTAGTATTAGTATTTGACTAATTAGTATTTGATGGTTTCCCAAATCTTTTATTTTTCAAATCTATCTTGTTTTTTTGTGCCTAACAAATGTAAAATCCATCATCCATTGCTGGATAAACAAGTTTGTTTTACAGACAAGCTGGTGCCACTTCAAGAGCTGCTGTGTATGCAAATGCCTATTACGGTAGCAGTCCGGCTACAACAATGGTTTCTGGTGCAAATGCAGTACATCAGATGCAGGTTGTAGCCCCTGGCAACATTATGCAACCAGTTCAGCTACATTATCAGTGATGCTATTATTGCTTGGAGATTTTCTCCTATCTAAAATCTTGCATCAAAAAGGACAAAGGTAATTTTTTCACTTTTTACTCTGAAAAATATGCTTTGGATACCATGACATCTTTTCTTCTAAGCTTTAATAGTCACCCTTGATTATATATAGAATTATCAGTAGTTCAAAAAAATGAAACTATTCAGACATTTTGTAACTACTTAGTCAACAACCTGTAGTTGCATTTCTTTTTGTAAAAATATCTTCTTATTTACTAGCCTTTAACTATTTATCCATTGCTAGAACATTTCAAGTACAAATTCAGGACCTTATCAGTATGCCCCTAGCCAAAATCAGTGCAACAAGGCATACACATACTGTAACTAATTAATGTAGCAGCATTGAACTGACAGGTGAAATATTATGTTATACTCAAGGTTTTGCACTACATGTTGTGTTCATTTTCCAAAAGAAATTTCACATTGTAAAATTACTAATTCCTTGGTAGTAGTTTGCTTGCTATTGTGATTGATGGCTCCAGAGCTTTCTGTTCCTTCAAGTAATAAGTTGGGCCCCTCCCTTTGGTTTGAGGGACTCTTTAGTTTCATTTGCCTGCATAGAAATACTAAGCTTTTCTGTAGGATTGCCATTTTTGTGGAGGTCTTCTCGTAGAAGCTTCATAAAAGTTGCAATCGGTACTCGTTTAACACGCCTGATGCTGGACTGGACAGATTGTAGAAACAAAATGCTGCAGACTTTAAGCATGCTATATAATTGTTTATGTAGATAAATATCATAGAGATGCTCGTTATGAATTTTGTTTATCTCTTACTATATCTCATTAGAATGATTACTTAGTATTTACGTATTTATCGTCTAATTTTTATTTGTGATATCAGGAATTTTAAATACTTTTTTCTCTGCATACCGTTCGTCTAGTTAATTGAACTTGATGCCATGGGTCATTGTTGAATCTGTCACAAACGTAATATAGGTTTGGATTTTACAAACCTTATCAGCCTTTACTCGGAAAGGTGCATTTGTTACATACATTTTGCGCCGAATTTACCATTTATAGGAATCTTGACCAATAATAACATTATCTTGCATGTACTCTGTTTGACCCTCTAAGACTGAATTATCACGTCACATTGAATAGAAATACATATATATACTGTCTGTCCATGCGTTATGCTTCCTTAGAGAGCTATCATCAGGCTGAAGAATATAAAATATAGGTAGGCATAAATCACTATCGTTTTAAGATATTTCCAATGGTATCCCTATTTGAATCAACTATCATTGGAGCAGCTCTTGCTGGAGCAGCTCTTGCTGGACCAGCTTTTTGTTAGTTAAGTCTGCACTTAGGCTAGCTTTTTGTTGGAGCAGCCCTTTCTGGACCAGCTTTTTATTGAACCAGCTCTTGCTGGACCAGATTTTTTGGACCACCTCTTGCTGGACCACCTCTTGTTGGACCAGATTTGTTTGACCAGCTTTCGTTGGACCAGACTTGTTGGACCAGCTCTCTCTGGGCTCATCAGCATCCAACTTCGAAATCGTAACATGTATGCTCGTTACATTTTCAAGTTAATCTAAATATTTGTTTTTCTTGTTGTATTTTAGAGTAAGTAAGGATTGGTATTAACTGCAATTCATGCGATAGTATGATTTACATTTATCTTAAATTGTGTCTCGTTATTCAAAAGGCGACGATTAATTTAATTTTTATTTGATCACCGACTCACTTCTTGTACTCGTAACTATATTATAAATACAATTAAGAAGATTTCAGTTAAGACATTTCAGTACCGTTAGTCAAATTTACCGTTTTTCAATTATTCTATTGGTCTGAAGTTACCGTTGGTCGAAATCTACCGTTGGTCGAAATCTACCGTTGGTCGAAATCCACTGTTTGTCAAATTTTTTTTTGGTCTAAAGTTACCCTTTATCATAGTCTAACGTTTGTCAAAATATTCCGTTGGTTTAAAGTTACCGTTGATCAAAATCTACCGTTGGTCATAATTTTCCGTTGTTCAAAATATATCCGTTGGTCTAAAGTTACCGTTGATCAAAATCTACCGTTGGTCATAATTTTCCGTTGGTCAAAATATATCCGTTGGTCTAAAGTTACCGTTGATCAAAATCTACCGTTGGTCATAAATTTCCGTTCGCAAAATATTCCGTTGGTTTAAAGTTACCGTTGATCAAAATCTACCGTTGGTCATGATTTTCCGTTGGTCAAAATATATCCGTTGGTCTAAAGTTACCGTTGATCAAAATTTACCGTTGGTCATAAATTTCCGTTCGGAAAATATTCCGTTGGTTTAAAGTTACCGTTGATCAAAACCTACCGTTGGTCAAAATATGTCCGTTGGTCTAAAGTTACCGTTGATCAAAATCTACCGTTGGTCAAAATCTACCGTTGGTTTAAAGTTACCGTTGATCAAAATATACCGTTAGTCATAATTTTCCGTTGGTCAAAATATTCCGTTGGTCTAAAGTTACCGCTGATAAAAATCTACCGTTGGTCATAAATTTCCGTTGGTTGAAATATTCCGTTGGTTAAAATTTACCGTTGGTCTAAAGTTACCATTGATCAAATTCTACCGTTGGTCATAATTTTCTATTGGTCATTCTATTGGTCAAAATATGTCCGTTGGTCTAAAGTTACCGCTGATCAAGTCTACCGTTAGTCATTATTTTCTGTTGATCAAAATATTTCTTTGGTCTAAAGATACCTTTCTTCAAATCAACCGTTTGTCTATATTTTCCGTTGGTTAAAATTTACTGTCTGTCAACATGTACCGTTTGTCAAAATTAACCGTTACACTGCCGCTTATTTGCGGACACTGCCTCAGATAGTCTCGTGTACTGCCTATTAAACTTCCCATGTACTCCTTTTTATTCGGTTTCCCGTGTACCATTTCAAAGGTTCAAGACAAATTGTGGTCTGGACAGCGTTAAATTGTTATGTATGTAAAAAATGTTTATGCTTACGCCTCATCCAGTAGCCTCAACACATCTGCAGCAGCCTACGTTTTTGTATTTTTGCTTTTATCGAGCTGTTAAGAATTTCAATATGAGAAGGACACTTGATGAAAATGGATGTGACCCCTCCCCCAAGATGTAAAACCCATGTACAAAATATTCTGAAAACCCTCGTTCTAAAGTAAGAAATGTAGAAAAATATGTTTTCCGCGTTTTCACAGTTCTTCCTACGTTGATCCTTGCTTCGCCATTCTTTGTAACAAGTTATTTAAGCCTCACTTTATTAACGCAATCTTTTTGATGCATTGTTTTCAAGACGCTTCCGTATTACTCAATATGTTGATTGAATGATTGATTCATCGGCGATTAGATCACCATTTCGTGAATTTGTGGTGTTGCAACGATTTTAAAATGTAACCACTTTATGGCGTCTGCAACGCTAACGTGATATTGTCCTTCGCAACATTCTCTGCAACGCAAACTTAATCGCGGTTGTGACACCGGCAACGTACTCGCCGCCGTAACCCTCGCAGTGAAGGCCGCTGGATCGCTTTCGCAATCTTGTACGATTTCCTACTGCTCTGTGCCCCGTATTAGGTAAGTGGTTGTTTTTTTCTTCAATTCGCTTAATTTTATCTTTTACTTCGAGTTCTAGAAAATACCATGTAATCTAACTACGATAATCGTCGTCAAATAAAAGATTAACAAATCACGTGCTATGCTTCTGTTTTGCATGTTTTTGGAGCTTCGATTTTACAGCTATAACGCAGTTCCTTTTATGCTCGAAAAACGTCTCTGTAAACAAGTAAGAATTGTTCCATCCTGATTTATGGCTGTGTCCCCGTTGTTTTTTATGCAATAACCCCGATATGCGTTTAAACTTGTTGGGGAACATCAATTTTTAACACCCTCCCTCCCCCTTGCAACGTAATCGTTTTCTTATTCGTGCAGCACAAGCTTTCCACAATTCCTCCCCTTCCCCCTCCCCTTTCACTGCCCCTAAAAATATGCTGTAAAGCTCTGTGTGTAAAACTCTAAAAATATGTGTTGTCAAACGTCTCTTGGTTGTCGTTATTTTTATTCGATTCAGATCTTTCCACGATAAGAGTAAGCAAGATATAATAAGTTCCAATTTCAATTGGAAAGGTTAAACCTTTGGTGGTAGTTTTCGCCGTTTCAAAAGACATTTTCAATATCAAACCTCAGTCAAATTTGGATATATGCCTTATTTCTGATCTATTTTCGATTATGCTTATTTACGTTGTTGCGATGTGCAAAATCATTGCGAACCCTTTCATCTCTGTATGCAATTTGGTTTTTGCTTCGATGAACACTCGTTTAGATATGGCCATCTAATAACCACGGAGTAAGTTTTCATTCTTGCCATTCTCTTTGGCTTTTGCGTAGCTATTGGCTTCGATACCATATTGTTTAGATGAACCTTTGTTACTTTTTGTTTTGTTACAAAATTGAAATAAAGAGTAACGATACGGCAATTCGGTTTTAAGATTTTGCTAATATCTTTCATCCTTATTAAAGCCCTATCTTAAAAAGTCGTGATGGCCCTCTGCTCAAAATGATGGCCCTCTGCCCTTGTTTACGCCGCGGATTATACTAGATCCAAAACGTCATTTTTACACCCCGTGCACACTAGAGCGGATCCCTTTGGGTCCGTTCCCAAACTGACACGGATAAGCCTTCCGTGCACACGAGAACACTTCTATCCGATCTATTCTGGGTCTGCTATCCGTACCAGACTGGTACGGATAAAAAGAGCGTGCTCGTTTGGGTCCGATCCACTTAGCTCACGTTTGAGCACTTGGATCGGGCCCAAACTGGTACGGATGGAAAACGAGGCTATTTTTCTGGGAAATTCTTCCGAATTTTCTTCATGTGGATAGGCCTTAATAAATCGTTCTGTAATGTTCTCATATTTTAATCGAACTGTCTCCCAGTCCAGCGCATCAGCGAGCTTTTTGCTTTTATAATCGAGAACAATTCTCAACAACAACGCTGTTTCGTCGTCTGTCCAAATAGAATTCTCGTTTTGCTGCCTGTTGTTTCAGTTTGTTGCGAAGCCATGACCTTGTGAAAACTTTCTCTTGCAGTGAATAAATAAATGGCGCCAAAAATTTGCGTTCTTTGTGTAAATTCTGTTTTGTGCGCATGCCCTTGACCGTGGATCCGCTTGGATCCGGTCCCGTGTGCACGCAAAATATTTTGGGCACGTTTCCGTGTCTACGCAAACAATGTTCTGGATCGGATCCAGTTTCGGAACGGACCCAAACGGAACGGCTCTCGTGCGCACGGGGTCTTAATTTCATTCTCAGTCGTTGAGGAATGATTCATTTCAGCAAGCTGCTTTCCTTTTGTTCTTTAAATTTTTTTTCATCTCATTTGGTGGATTGGCGAGTCGTTTGTTCTTAATATAGACTTTCTAGGCTTGTTTTTAAAGCAAAAAACTACCTCTAGAGCAAAATAGGATAAGCTGATATTTAAAATGAAGCTTTGAAATAGATTGGTTTTATGTCCAATTGAGTTGGTAATTCGGCTTGAAATTATATTTGAATCTTCTGCAATGTTTGATTTTTTTGAAATTGGTTTTATGGTGTCATATATGTTGCTAATGATGAGTTTTCTCTTGTATTTTTCCTGTAGAATATTTCTTTGGATTGTCGCTAAGAAGAAGACGAATTGTTTCTAACAAAAGTACATAGTATGCAGCCAAGGTATGTCCTTTCCTGTCCTTTAAGCTTTTTGGCGCTTCTGGACCAAGCAAATCAATCTAAAATCTCTGCTTATTTTGTTACAAGCGCCTTGATTTTTGTTACCATAAGTAAGTACCCGCATATAAGAAACCATTTTTATGAGGAACAAGCCTAATTTTCTTTAAAAGGGGGTTTTTTATTAAAAACAGTTTCACCTAAGCCTGAATTAAAATGTTTCTTATTTTTAAGTCTAGACAGTCGCGTGTTTTATTTTCTGTTTATGCTCTAGAATGGTTGTATGTGTATTCTATTGATGTGAAAAATTGTACTGTATATTGCGTATTATACATTACAACAAGTAACATTGAATGCATGTCTCTGAACGGTACTGTCATAAAGCTTGAGTTGATTTGACTTGGCAGCAGTACCTATTGATTATCAGCAGTACCTATTGATAAGAAACTTGGACCCTGATGATGAAAAATCTCTGTTGATGAGAAACCTCAGTTTAAAAAAACCGGCTTCTTACATGCGGGTACTTACTGTATAACATAGTTGAAGATACCCTATGAGGCTAATTGTTAGTTAAGAAGCCACCGTGCAACTTTGATCGTGTTTCACAAATAAAGAATATGTATCACCTTGAGGAGAAGCCTCCACATTTCATGAGTAAGTTATAAAGAAATTCAATAGCTTTCCACTTAACTAGCTTTCCATTATAGTTTTCCAAAATTTACACAGTAACTACACCTTATTGTTGTGGAATCTGTAGTTAGAGTAGCTGTCAACTCCCATCATTTTAAGGAACAGTAAGCTACAACAAGATTCAAGGATTTGTCACTTCAGGCTCGACACGTGCACCCTTGCGGCTGAGTCTATCACGTCCGTTTTTACTGCACTGCCTACAATTTTCTGCCATCTATTTCAGAATAATTGAAACATCTAAAGGAGTTTTATGATGTCCGATATCAAGACCAGATTGTAAAACCATGTTTTTAATCCACTTTAAATATCTTTGGATATTTTAAAACTGTAAACGAACAGGGGAAGCAAGTGGTATCGGTTTAAGTGCGTACTAAAACTTGTAACTTGTGCTAATTGATATATACTTAAATCCTCCAGAATGACTCTAGTGTGCTCATTTTTCTAAACTTTCTTCAAATGATTAATGCTTGTTTTGGGAAGGAATCCTAATGCTTATTATTCTTCACTTTTTTCGTTTGTTGAAAACCATTCATTTTTATATATATTGTAGGTGTCTTTATTTTCTAGTATAGAATGAAAAAGAAACACGGCAGTTGACACATATCACGGGAAAAGCTGCCATGGGAATTGGATAAAAGTTGCTTTAATTCGGACACATTATTAATTCGTTCGTCCTTCCGTTCGGGTTTCGCTTTTGTTAAGCAAGAATGTGTGTTTGAATTGGTTTTAAAATGTGATTACATCTTTCCAGTTCCAAATCGTCTCATTCGATGCATATATATATTATCATTCTATATTTATTATTATTTATTTTCATATTCATTCAATGATGTCTTGAAACATTATGCTCGATTTGATAAGTAATTTCTTATAGAACGTCACAACGGTGAAATTATTTCTTTAAATTCAATTCTCTTTTTTTAAATAAAACTTCAGCAAATACACTTTGTTGAAAGATCAGATCATACTTTGATGGAAAAGGGCAAGAAATGAAGGAGAGACTTTAGGACACAACGATAAGTCCTATGTTCTATTATCTCAAAGACGTTAATTAAAGAAATTCGAAAAACATCTTTCAGTTTGACTGACAACATGCGAGGAACTCCCAAAGCTTCAAAAAGTCATTCGAGAATTATTGATCCTAGATGTCCATGTATTCAGGAAGAGACTATAAATACATTTGTGAAGCAAAAGCTTGTACCTAATGCCAAGGCGATGCAGGAAACGTAATCGTCTGTCGAGTGAGAATGGAAGCAAATATAGGCCTAACAGTTTAGCAATCGTCAGCAACAAGATGTATGAAATTAGCTAATTGGTTAAACTATCTATAAGATAGACAAAGTTAAAGTACAGAATGTCACCTTGATCTTTATTTATTATGTAAATGTGTATGAATTGTTGCAATTAGATTTTGATCTGATTCAGGGGCGTCACCAACGGAGGGGACGCTTTATCCCTAACACTTTGTCCTTCGTCACGTAAAGAATTTTTGCCGGGCAAAAGAAGGATATTTTTCTCAACCTTCTTAACATTTAATCAAAAATAATGTGCGATGATAGATTGAAATGAAGGACCAATTACATGACAATAAATTTTACAATTCACATGGGTGTAGTACAGACATCCAACTCTTTCCTTAATGGCATTATTTTTTGCTAAGTGGTTCTTTAAGTCATATTTGCTATTGGCAACAATCCATTTTCGCCCATGAGTTCCTTTTTGCTTTCTCGTATATATGTATTTTTTATATCACCTTTAGAAAAATCCTTTGAAGTATCCCACGTACAAATTATTAATAAAGCAATTTCAAATGCATTTGCAGTCCTATTTGAATATTTTTGGATTACAGTCATTTCATCTATGTCGTTTTTTCTTCGTGGTCATCTCAATCCCTTCAACTTCTCTTCCCCCTAAACATCATTCTTGTCATTTTATTCCAATACTACCATGAAAACGATCCCTTTTAGCTTATCTTAGATAAAGCACAACCCGAGTGGGCATTATTGCAGCACTCTTCCCTTACTAATTACAACTTTGTTTATCGCGACATAAGCGGGGCCTTACAACCTTCACCCTAGGAACATCGAGTTAAATTGAAAGAGGAGCTGTGCACCCTTCTCATAACTCACCTGAACTTATCAGAACTTTTTCACCAGACAGACTATGTGTAAAAATCTATTTCAATTTTTACAAATCTAAACATTTTGATTTAGGCTGTTTTAAGAAAGTCCATCCATTTGTAACATAGAAAACTTGCTATCACAAAGGTGTACAAAACATTCAGAATAAACCGTCTGTAAACCTCTTCTTCCATTTTACAAATTTATCATATCTTTATTTTGATACTTGAAAAATGCATTCCAGTTTTCAGAAATTTATTTATTGCAGTGGCTGTAATGGTAAAAAACACAGAGGCCTTGATTATGATCCGTATTTAATTGCTCGGGTATTTGAAAGGGTGGAGAAACGTTTCCCAGATGTTGTTGGTCATATACCTCAGGATGATTTCACTTTTTGGTGGGTTTTTTATTGAGCACGGCGGAACAGTCAACGGTGAAGTTGAAGATGGAAAATTTCACAGGCCTCTGATTGCTAATGGTGATTTGGAAATCGTTTTGACGGAATAGCTGATTCTTGCTGATATGAAACGAAGATATTTATTAACCGCTTTTTTTCATCAATAAAAACTATAAAATAGGGAATGAAGCTTTCGCCAGACAATGAATCTTAGGAATTCTCAGCTGCACCATTTCCAAAAACAGAAAAAATGAATAGAGAATTTGAAGAAAACTGGGCCGCTAATCATGCTTAAAAACAACAATGATGAATCAAGCCAGTATTTTTGAATGACAGCGTGTCTACCTACCGTAAAAGCTACAGTCCAGGGGATTGTTAATTTTTTCAGTGCCAGAAGGGGGCTTTTTAGAGAGGGGAGCTTATTGATTATTAAAAGTGAACCATATTATAAAAATGCCACAATGCTCTGAAATTTCTTCGAAATATATTTAATGCGTAATTGTAAATTGTATATTGGAAATTACCATTTCACCTTTCGTTATAGATATTTGTAGTAAAATTAAATTCAAGTGAAAATAGGATTTATTTTAGATTGTAAATATTGAATTGTAATTAGGATTATTTTTTTTTATAATAATTTCTGTAAGTATTTTAAGTGGAGGGCCCCTTGAAAATCAGCATTGCTGAAGGGCTACCCTCCTTAAACATTTGAAATGAATGAAATGAAATGCATAAGATCGTATCATCCCGTCAAGAGGCCCACTCAATGAGCATGTTTTTTGGTTGATATCAGGAGCTTAATAGAGAGAGGGAGCTTATTTTTAAATTTGGTTAAGGGTGACTCAAAAAGTGAGAGGTGCTTGATAGAAAGAAGGCTTAATAGATCTGTAACGGTATGTTGGTAAAGAGTACCGAAGTGATGACGTCATAAAAATCTATTTTTAGAATTTCTGAATTTTGATCCCAGAACCTGAAAGAGCATCATGAAATTCCTGTAAATATGCAAAATCAGTTAAAGGTATTACGAATTGGCTGAGATGTGGCCACTTGAGCACAGGCTCTTGTCCCATCAAACCTCTGTAATTTGATCTTGGTTCATAACTTTATGAACCAGGCCAAAATAACAGTAATCCGTTAGCAAACTTGAAATCTTTCATCGGTCATATCTCGCCCGATTTGGAACATATCTAACTAATTTTGCATATTGAGGAGTATTTTATGATGTTCTTTCAGATTGTGTGGCCAAATTTAAGAAATTTGCAAACAATCTTTTGGTGGTACAAAACTTGTAAATGGCTTTGAAAAAAGCAAACATTTAGTAAACTAAAGCTTTTCGTCTGACACTCTTCAGAGTTTAAAACGTCAGAACATAGATCGAAAACTCTACGCTAAGAAATATATATACCCAGTTGTGGATCGAAAAAGGCCAATCAGAAACACGAGCACATGACCTGTAGAAGGTTGGCAAGCGGCACTGATTGGTCAACCTTTACAGTCATGTGCTCGTGTTTCTGATTGGCCTATTTCGATCCACAACTGGGTATATATATTTCTTAGCGTAGAGTTTTCGATCTATGTTCTGACGTTTTAAACTCTGAAGAGTGTCAGACGAAAAGCTTTAGTTTACTAAATGTTTGCCTTTTTTCAAAGCCATTTAAGAAATTCTAAAGATAGACTTTTGATGACGTCACACTTCGGTACTCTATTGCAATCTCGCAACCTCTTTTTAAATTATCAACATTGCCTGGACACTAAATCATATCGGAATCTTAGGGAAAATACTATGGCGCGCATATACCGCCAAAAATAGCTCTTTCTAAAATTTCAGCAACTTTCTAAAAGTTTAGTGATCTTCTAAAAGTTCAGTTGCTCTGTCTAGTCTTAATATTTAAGCCATTTCCAAAGTTTCAACCACCGTTCATCATTTTCTAAAATTTCAATTACTTAAGCAATGTTTCTAAAATTCCAATCGCTTGCTCTGCGAGATTTCTAAAATTTCAGTCATGCTAGGTTAGTTCTAATATTGCAACCATTTCTAAAGTTTGAACCCCCGCTCAACATTTTCTAAAATTTCAATCACTCTAAAGTTTCAGTGGCTTTTCCAAAATTTCAATGGTGTATGTTGATAACCTCTTCCTGAACTTTGCCAAGCAGCCTCCTTTTCCACCATTTCCCCGAGAAGGTAATTGCAGGTGGCAGCATGGCTGGCATTATTGCTTCAAAAAATCCATGAATATGCAAAAAAACTCAAAAAAACTCAAAAAATGAAAAATTTCTAGAAAATTTTTTTTTGGGTCGAAACAACCTAAAAAGCTTTAAAATACGTCCGCAATACCATTTGTGGAGTTTCCAATGAATTTCAGGCCCATACCTCTCAAAAAGTTGATCTTTCGCAATAAATTCTTATTCTTCTGATCATGTCACAAAGCAAATCAGCAGCGGACCATCGTTGTGGCAAAGAAGCTTCCGCCATGACTTTCCTATATGCTGGAGCACAAAAGGAGGCTGCTTGGCAAAGTTCAGGAAGAGGCTATCAACATTCACCATTGAAATTTTGGAAAAGCCACTGAAACTTTAGAGTGATTGAAATTTTAGAAAATGTTGAGCGGGGGTTCAAACTTTAGAAATGGTTGCAATATTAGAACTAACCTAGCATGACTGAAATTTTAGAAATCTCGCAGAGCAAGCGATTGGAATTTTAGAAACGTTGCTTAAGTAATTGAAATTTTAGAAAATGATGAACGGTGGTTGAAACTTTGGAAATGGCTTAAATATTAAGACTAGACAGAGCAACTGAACTTTTAGAAGATCACTAAACTTTTAAAAAGTTGCTGAAATTTTAAAAAGAGCTATTTTTGGCGGTATATGCGCGCTATAAAATACTTCTAAAAGGCTCAATATTGTTTATTTGCAGCAAAATTTTCAGAAGATTAAATTTTCGGGCAGTAATTTTTTCGAGCGTCCGAAATTTTTAGCGATTAAAGGCTGATTTCCATTTGATATTTTTTGTGGGCGCGGGCGTAGCGCCCAAATCTGAGCTTGCGTAGCTAAGTGCTGCTGTCAAATGGCCGAGCGCACAAAAAAGTTGAGCCCTATCAACTTTTTGGCGCTCACAGCGGACGCAAAATCGAGACCACTGGATTTTAACTACGCATGCTCAGATTTGGGCGCTAAGTCCGCGCGCACAAAAAATGTCAAATGGAAATCAGCCTTAAAGTAATTCAAAAAGGCGAATGCCTTGCTTCAGTCCCTGAAAAGTTTACCAGCATCATATTTGAAAGTCCCCCACATTGAACAATCTTTTTGGTACAAGGGAATAATATCATGGAACGTCTTAACCGTTCATTCCATCCCACTAACATATCTTCGTAAAAGACAAAAACAATATTTCGATGTATAGACCAACAAACACATTAACAACTTGATGAAACGTGAACCATTTCCATTCTGTGGCCCAATCTGTGACAACCAACACGAAAGATCAAGCAAATTTGATTGGTTCATTTTTTCGTACTTGCTGTTTTGGGACAGGACCACAGAGCTTTTCTAGGTGTATATCCAATGAAAACATTTCTTTGCTTGATCACGTGTCCGGCATGCATTCTGATCACATGAACAACATGCATCATGCTGTTGTTGTTGTGTATCTATCCCGCTTTCATTTGGACAACTTCGGGCAAGAAGAATGGCCATGAGACGTGTATTCCGTCTTGCAGCCCCAAGAACATTAACTCCTGCAATAAGTGCAAAATTGAGGTTTGTACGAATGTGATGAAAAGTTATCGTTGATATTTTAGTAATTTTACAGAAATAAAATGCATCTGAAGGCACGTTTTCCAACTGCAAACTCTTAATCACGTATAAGCTGGTATAATTTATTCCAGGCAGGGCTAAAGATAGTATTGATTTTTAAAGAAAGTAGAGATGCTTGTCAACCATTAAGGTGTTACAGAGTTGACGAATCTTTGCTCCTGTTATAAATTTTATTAAGTTAAAAATTGAGAAATGCAGTCTGGACAGTTCATTGGAAAGTTCTCAACAACATGTTTTTATTTTGGCAGCTCTGTCTTGCTAATTGGGCTGTGTGGCCAAGCAATTTTCACTTGTATCTGCCATATTCCTGAAAATTAAAAATTCCTCAAGAAACTTTGTTTTTACATAGAAGCTAGGCTCCCTATATAGTCAGATCCACTTCTTTAAAAAAGATTTTAGCAAACGAAGCCAATGCTATGCCGTTTACTAAAAAGCAGACCTGTCTTTTAGATGGGATTTCTTCGATAAGTTTTCTTCTATTTTGGCTGAAACCATGCATATTAAGCATAATGTTTATGAGCAAATGAAATATGCATTTTTGTAAACATTTAATGGAACTTAAAAATCCATATATTATGCAACTTACACTTAAGCTGCATTTTGTTGCCCCTAGCAAGTCTGCAGAGTATGCCATGTGCACACCAGAGATATTTTTGTACAAAACTTGTTGCACGACGGGTATTTTTTGGTGTGGCAACTAAAACGGGCGTGGCTGGGTGTGGTCCCGTAAAAAATGTCAGCTGATAAAAACAAATCAAGTAATACTTGACAAATATACAAATAAAAACTTGCGCTATCTTCAACAGTGTACTTCACACACATTTTTACGGTGAAATGCAAATTTACAAATTTTAACCACAACAGGGGAAAATAGTCGGTGCACACCAGCACACCAGAAATTTTTGGTGGTGCACACTGGCATGCCAGGCTCTTTGCTTGTGCACACCGGAGATCTCGTTGAAAAGTGCCATTTTCTGCAGACTGGGCCCCTAGTTTATTTCTTGAAAACTTTGCCATATTTACCTGGACATTCCAATAACCTGATTTTTGGCAATGTCATAACATTCAAACATTTACTAGCAAAAGAATACTCATTGGTGAATGATGTTTCTAACAAATAAATTTCAACAAAGTATCATTTTCTTCAAGCCAAAGCAAGAAGAATAATTCTTCTCACAGTAAATACATATAAGTTAATACTTTTCACTTCTTCAACTCATGTTTTTTACCATAGCTGGTGGTCACATGTTGAGCTTGGCCCACCAGATGCAATTCTTGGCTTGACCGAAGCATTTAAGAAGGACCCAAATCCCAACAAAGTGAATTTAGGTGCAGGTGCCTATAGAGATGATAATGGCAAACCATTTGTGCTTCCATCCGTTAGGAGGGTAAGCCCTTTTTTGTCTGATAATGAACCTATTCTAAAAAGCTAGATAGAAGATGTAATCTTGGTCCTCATTCTTACATGTCCTGTACCCCTTTTTGAGTTTGAGTATATGTTGTCTTTGATATTGAAAACATGAGAAGCTCTTTTGTTTTGGATCTGAGACATTTAACAATCTGAAGCATAGAGCCAGTTCAATTCAGTTCAGTTTCAAAATTCTACTACATACAACTGCAATTAAAACTGTGTATACATATACAAAGAAGGATTAAAAAAAGGAAATTAAATATCAAATTCAGGTTACAAGAAAAACTAAATGTGACATAATCGAGGAGAGATCAACCTCTTTTAGCAATACTGTATAAGGGCTGTTTGGATTCATCGTTTCATGGCTATTTATTGCTACAATCAATTATTGTAACTTTTGTCAAATAAATGTGATTTCAGGTTTTTACAAAAACTAATGACTGACCTAATTCCATATTGCATGATGTTTTTATAAGTTAAGAAAATATTATTCCTGTTAACTGGCTAAGTACCGTATTGATGAAAAGATCAAATTAAATAAAGGAGTGAAAATAAGTAGGAGAACACCTTCATACAGAAAAGTGAGCTATTAATAGGTATCAATAGACATCAATAGGTAAGAAATGTCTCACTTTTCTGTGCCACAAGTTCTGTTCCAGTAGTTTATTGTGCTTAATAAAAAATTTTTAATCTTTTAGGCAGAGGATATAATCAGATCTAAAAACCTGGATAAAGAATATTTGCCTATCTCTGGTTTAGCAGAATTCACTAAAGCTTCTGCAAAGTTGGCTTTTGGAGATGACAGTGAGCATATCAAGAATTCCTTGGTAAAATTGTTTTTGTAGATTTTTACAATATGAGTGGTCTTTTGTTTGAATATTTTCCTTAAAATTTTCAGTTATTTTATTGTTATATACATTCTTATGATTTGATAAAGGTGAGGCACCTGCCATAATCCATCAAAAGTATGTAAATATTTGCTTTGAAAGAATTCCAGAGAGGAGGGTTCCTTTTTATTATCTTGCTAGCACAAAGATTTATAGCTTGACTTAGTTCTCAAAGGGTGCTAGTAAGCACTACAAGGGTGCTAGTAAGCACTAAGTGGTTGGACCTGATATTAGTTTCATTTTATTTTCTCTTATTTGTTATTTTGATTGTTTAGTTTATTTGGTAAATCTTCTTAAAATTTGAGGTTTTATATTATGAATTAATCCTGTATTGGCATATACTTATCTCTCGAATAATTTTTACAGTCTCACCTTTACATTGTTCATTTTCTGTTAACCTATACATTACGGTTTCACCTATACATTCCTAATATATATATGTTTTTTATTTTGAAGAATATCACAGTTCAAGGCATATCTGGAACTGGCTCTCTTCGAATTGGTGCAAATTTTCTTGTAAGTTGACATGCAACATCACACAACATCTTGCCATGCAATTTATTGCCATGCAACATCACTAACTACCATATCAAAGCTAAGGTAGCAGATATCATAGCAGATATTTGTGACAAAATGTCTTACCAATTTGATTGGGCTTCTTTTCACAATAATCTGAATTTTCAAACAATCAAATAGAGAGATTATGGACAGAGAAATCATAGAAAATGTCAAAATGAACACATGTATATTTCATACCTTGTGTCACTAGAAGGAGGCTGACAATTAGTTGATGAAAATTAATTTTAGAGGGTGTCGATGAGAGAGGCGTACCATCTTTTTAATGCCTTTGCTTGAGACACATTATGTAGAAAAATTCTTTTTTGAATACAAAAACTCTAACGCCTTTCCATTTCAGTTTTACCTACAATTGTTAGTTTTCATAGTTGCAAAGTCTAACCACTAGTCATTTACTTCCTCAGAAAAAGTTTTGGAAAGGAGATCCTACAGTTTTTTTGCCAACTCCATCTTGGGGTAACCACACACCAATTTTCAAGTAAGATTCTGGAATACCAATTATTCTGTTTTTTCTGTAGTTTGTGGTTTAGTATTTTCTCAAATAAAACTGACTCAGTTATAGTAGACTGTGCTTAACCTAACTTTGTTTAAAGCTTTAAGATATTGTTGCTGGAAATTTGCTTTATTGCCAGAGCATTTATGCTGTAAGCTTATTATGTATTTAAGGGTGGCATCCATTTGAAAACTGAAATGTTGCAGAATGTTTGAGAGTTGAAGAATGTTTCCCACGGTAAAAGTGTAACTCTCTGAAAATACTCAAATAATTTGTCTGGAATACTCAATGATTGTGTTCCCAGTAAGTCATGATGTATTTGTAAGTACAATTGAAACTTTGTGACACCTTCAATTACTACAAAGTTTTTAGTGATCATTGACCAGAATTTGAATGTGAAGGTGTCCAATATCATGAACAGTTGCCACTAAATGTCAAAGCAGTTGTCAGAACATTTGCCTGATGATCTTATTAAGCTTCAAATTTGAATTGAAACTGAAAATTATCTCGTTCTACAAACCAAAGGTTGTAAAACTATGCCTAAAGAACATAAACATTGAATACAATGGCTGTCAAAAGAGTCTGAACACTCATCATTCTTCCTACTCGACGCTACCTGCCTCCCCACCCCTATGCTATTCAATGTTGGAGTCTTACTAGAAAATGATGGCAAATAAAGGAGGGAATAGAAACAGTGTATCAGATGTTTAGGGAATTGTTCCATTTCCTTTCCAATATTGCTTAAGGGAGAAGGTGGGTTAGTCCATTGGAAATAAGAGAGTAAAGATAAAAATGTGTATTTATTCAACCATAGTATTGGTGATCAAACTACTTTTTCTTCTAGTGAACAGTATGCTTATATTTTTTAATGAAAAAGCATATTTTTATGTTCATAGGCATGCTGGTATGGATGTGAAACATTACAGATATTACGATTCAAAAACCTGTGGTTTAGATATCAATGGTATGCTTGAAGATTTAAAAGTAAGTGTCTGGGTTCTGGTAGTGTAGGCAGTGGGAAACATATGGTATAGTTTTAGAAAATGGGAAACAAATGGTATAGAAAAAAGAAAGTTGAACTTTCTGTGAATTTTTCAGTGGGTAGTATTTGCTCCAACCATTTATTGTATCCAACTCATATTGCTTTACTCTGCAGTTTTAATTCCATATCATTAAAAGCAGTCAGAATTTAGCAGAAAATGTGTGACAGGCCTCTCTCCTGTTCCCCCTCATGCATGCCCATTATCCAAGGAACACTTCAAAAGAATTTTTTGATTTGATACCCTCAGTGTTTCAAGGCTTTATCAGTTCTGCTAAAATTAGGCCCAATGACACAGTTTGTTAGGACTTGGTCAAATTAGATTTTGCATTTTAATTTGATAAAAGTTTGAGTACTTTTTTTAATCTTTGTTTTTAGAACATCCCAAGAGGTTCAATAGTGGTTCTCCATGCTTGTGCCCATAATCCCACAGGAGTTGATCCTTCTGTAAGTTCCATACATTTGGATTGCTTTTATCTATAATTTATTCAAAGATACAGCTTCAATTTCATGGCTTGCAATATCCCTTGGGAAAATAAAAATGCTTCAACAGTTTTTCAAAGGGTGTATACTGGCACAGACTGTTGTTTTAGTGTTGATTGCTAGCTTTAAGTGTTAGCCTTCTCTGTAAAAACAGGAGAAACACTTTATTTTGTGTGGTTGGCAAATGTTATGTTGCTAGTTCATTGTGAACACTGTTTTGCAATGTAGAAATATAACAATATGTAAAAATAACAATTTTTATTTTTACATAATATATCAAGTTGTATAATATATAATCTTGCATTAATTTCCAGAGATGACTTTAAATATCTGTTGCCAGTTTCATCTGAATAAGCATGATATTCTGCCATGCATAGATTTTAATGTGTAAATAAAGAAAAGGTCACAATAGCAAACTGCTCAAAAAACTCTGATTGATGGAATTCTTGTGATGAAAAGTTTATAGAAATGTAGCAAATAAGGAACAATGCAACATGCTGACAACAAACAACAATAAACACACATAGATGTCATAATATTATATATTACATTCCATTTGTAGCCAGAACAGTGGAAGGAAATTTCAGATGTTATAAAGGTGTGATATTTTGCTTTTTGAAAAAGTTTAAAATATTGTTTTAAATGTTGCTTGAGGGTCATTCCACATCAAATCAAAACACTTTGAAGATATTTGAATGCGTTGATTTCATTTGGAATGACTATTGAGATCACTGCCACAAACTTCTTCTTTCTCACAAACTTTAAGAAAACTTTTTTTTTTGCATTTAGAAATGCTAAATTTTTTGACCATGATAACCTCTTTTAAACAAAGCCATGATTCAACGTAAGATGAATAGTATTGCTTGCAACTCCCTAAGTTTTATAACTGAAGCCATTTGACACAAAAGTAGAGGATGTCAACCAATCTTTTGGTTTGTGCAGAATTTATCTTGTGAGTTTACATCCATATACAAGCACTGTAATTCACTTGCAATTGTCATAATATATTAAGAACCTGTATCTACAATTCTGTTGTGCCCTGTTGCTAGGTTTCCCTGCTGAGGAGAGCCTTTTTCAGTTGCCAAAAGAGATTTAAACACGTAAAAAATAACCAATTGCCAGTATAAACTGTATTTCTGCAATTGTTGATTTTTTGTGTGATAATAACTGATTGATTGCCGACCTCTCTTCAGAAAAGCGGGCACTTTGCTTATTTCGACATGGCCTACCAAGGATTTGCCAGTGGTGATATTGACAAAGATGCAATGGGGGTTCGCCATTTTCTCGCAGATGGGCATAACATCATTTTGTCACAGTCTTATGCCAAGAATATGGGTCTTTATGGTTAGTGTATGTTTTATCTTTTATATATTAATTACTTTAAAATCATGAGCACGAAGCACGTTGAAGGAAGAAGGAAGCTGTTACCGGAACCACTAATCAGCTTGGCCTGATTTCGAGCCCAATCTCTTGTATTTATATTTTTAAGTTGTGTCTAGCCTTGTTTCATGAGTATTAAGTAACTGTTTATACATCTTCCTTTTCTTTGCCATTTACTTCATGCATAATCATATCATAATTAGCTTTCCACCTACATTCCTCATTGTCCTTTCTTTGTATGCCCCTATATGTGTCCCATTATGGTTTTGTTCATAAAAGGCACTCGAGAATTTATTTCATCAGTGCATTCATTTTTTAGGAGAGAGAGTGGGCGCCTTCACAGTTGTCTGCAGTTCGATCGAGGAAGCCAAGGCAGTTGAATCTCAGGTGAAGATAATCATTCGTCCGATGTACTCGAACCCCCCGGTTAATGGTGCACGGATTGCGTCGACGATTTTGACTACCCCCGACTTGAGGGCTGAATGGCTGGTCGATGTCAAGGGAATGGCAAATAGGATAATCGGCATGAGGCAGTCACTAAAGGATAATCTGGAAAAAGAAGGTGAGCAGTAACGATCAATTAGGCCTAAAGCCAAGTTAGGGATATATTGTGTGCGCAGAAAGCACCCCCTTTAAAGTTATTGAGAACGTTCAATCTGATATAGAAAACTTGATAACTATAAATAATTGCGAATCGAACGATTTTCGATTTATGGTTTGTCTCTTAATGCGATATTAGATAGTTTTAGATATAGCTGCTGCTAAAGGAAAGGAAAATCAAGAATTTGCCTGCTTTCAAACAATTAAAATTTAAGTTTTCCAACAGAGTAAACAATGACGTGATCGTCGAAGTAAACGTCTATGTTAATACACCAATTTAACTAACGGTCTTATTTTGTAATTTACTCCAAGCTTCATTGTAAAACATTTTTGGTCTCAGATTTGGATTTATCGACATATTTTTTGCCGAACACAATTTTCTATATTGTTTGTGCTTTTATTTTAGATTTTATGAAAAAATATAGTTTGAAAACTTTTAAAGGAATTGACCACAAAAATCATTCCGATTGGAACTTTCCCCTTTGGTCGCTAATCACGGAGAAGTAGACTCGAATTGCAGATCCAATCGCAGAAGCAATTTTCCCAAACTAGATGCTGAAATTTTTGCAGTAAATAACTGTGTTTTGCAGAAAACATTTTTCGTTTTCTGGCCTATGCTGAGTCAAACGCATTGACAAGGTTGTTATAACAAAGAAAAATGTACTTCGTATCTTCTGTTTCCTGTATTTTGTTTTCCCTTTCTTGTACTTGTTTAGTGTCATGACCGTCGAGTAGATATTTACCATTTTACTCCAGGTGGCGTCGTTGTTGTAATTATTGAGTTGTTTTGTAAATTGCATATGATAATAAAAGGTTGTGCTTTAGTTTATTTGCAATCGAGTGTTTTTGTTCTACAGGGTCATCTCTTGATTGGTCGCACATCACAAATCAAATTGGAATGTTTTGCTTCACTGGGATGAACCAAGATCAGGTACGACTAATTTCTTGATAATGTTTGCTTTGATTTCTACAGATTTTAGTTGATGGCTGCCAGTGTAAAATTTGTTTAGATTGAGCAACTGCTCGAAATGTTATTAGCATCACTATAAGATCTGTCATCATAGTTGAGTGTAATTATGTTTTGAGTTTACAGATAAGTTATATCTTTGTCAAGTATTCAGAATTCTCCTTCTCAACTGAACAGAAAAGATTTGGAAAAGAAGCCCGCATGAGTTTTAGAGAAGGAAAAAGCTTCTGTAGACAGTCTAATAGATAGATTGGTCTTATCTTCGAAAACAGGGAAGGTGCATGAAAATGGGCAGGACAGGGGCAGGGAAAGGAGCAGGGGCAGGGAAAGGGGCAGGGAAAGGGGCAGGGAAAGGGGCAGGGAAAGGGGTAGAAGTGCTGTAGTAGGGTTCGAATTGAAATCTTCAGTAATAGCACTCAACAGCTTTATCAAATCTTAAAAGTATTTTCCTTGTGAGCAAAATTAATGAAATACCAAAACCAAATAAATTCATTCCCCGCGTGTAACTTGTATATGGTGAATTGATTGGGCGGCACACATTGTTGGCCTTCGATTAGCGTTTTAGTAGGTTCTGCATGCTCCTCTTATGTCATATTGCATTTTCTCATCGATTAAAGTAGTAGCCAGCAATTCATTTATTAAGGTCACCATATTTTCTTTTTAAAATAGCAGAGTATTGAAGATGCTGCTTGTTGGAATTTTCCGCTAAGTTTGCAGCTTGTGATATTTACAATTTTTACTTTCATGAAGAAATCATTGTCTTTAGCCCTTTGTTTACTGAAATTTTAATGACAAAGTAGAAATTCCCCCACACTCACTACTACACAGAGTTCATTTCAAAATGTCGATATACCTATCCAATCTTGACACAAATGTTTATTTTGCAGGTCAACCGTCTCATTAATGAATACTCGATATACCTCACGAAAGATGGGAGAATTTCTATTGCCGGGGTTACTTCTGGAAATGTTGAGTACTTGGCCAAATCCATGCATGAGGTTACGAAGTAATGACATTTATGTGGGCAATAATGAAACTGTGCTTCCATTTTTATACATTTGTAAGTAACACAGTAATTTTTCACACGTAAACCAAGTTAATTATACTAATGTATAGTTAAAGCGGTTGGTACAGTGTATTATTCTGCTTTGATTGACGCTGTAAAACGCCGAATTATAACGCTGAGTTATTAAAGATAAAATTTTCAATGATTCCCAAGACTTTTTTTACTGTGCAGTGCTGAGGAGAGGGGGGGTCAGGGGGGTCACTGACTAGGCGGCCCTTGGCCTTAGGGGCCCACAAATAATAACTCAATTAAAAACATTCCAGCCTCTCCATTATCACAAACTGTCTTTTAAAGAAACAATAACGACAAAAGTCTATGAAAAAAGTAAGGTAGAAGCAGTTTGAGTCTTTGACTTCTGTTATGAATTTCTCAACTTTGTGGGCTTGGTCTAAAGAAGTTGAAAAGCTTCTGAATGTTACCAAATAATGTGTACCCCCTAGAAGCGTCTGTCTAAACATCCTCTCTGCGGCCCTGTTACTCTGAGACGAATTGAAGACTAATATAGCTTTGATTAATTACTGCAAGAAGAGAGAATATTGTTGGCTGAAAGCAGACAATCAATTTGATGTGATATCCGAAGTTTAGTTTAGAAATTATTGCTATGGATAAATATTGCAGTAAATGCTTAAAATTGAGAAAGGTTATAGCAAACTTATGATATGATTAAGGGACCGCGAAACATGGAGGTGACTCAATATCATGAGAAAACATGGAATAGCTCCGATTTTGCGAAATCAGCTAAATGTGTCAGAATTTTGCTTAGAAATGGGCTCTTAATCAAAGGGTCTTTCGCCGTCAATTCACTATAATTTGGTCTCTGTTCAAAACTTTGTGAACCAAGCCAAAACAGCAGTCATCCGTTAGCAAACCTCCAATCTATCACTGGCCATGTCTCACTCAATCGGTAATATATTTCCACAGTTAAAGTTATTTCAGATTGCAATTTTTATTAAAGGGTTCTGTTCATTTTTGCTTTGGGTATGAAAAATTTGTATTAATTTAACTTAAAGTCCATGGGCAGTTAATTCCACAGACAAGCAGTCATGTTTCAGAGCATTTTGTCACCCCATCTTTGGACTGAAGCTTTTGATGACCATCACCGAAGGATTTCGATAGTTTGAAACCCTGAAAAATCGAACTGTCATTAACTTACACTGTTTTTTGTATATGTCTGTTACCTGATGATCGCATTAAGCGCAAAACTTCTGATTGCTTTGCTACTTAGAATCGTGTTTTTGTATACACCAAAGCGATCAGAAATTTAATAAAAGATGATACACAATCGCTGTTACTCAGGGTTTCATGCTTGCGCACTGATCAGAAAGACTGCATATACTGGTGAGAACAGTGGTCAAATTCGAAGGGACACAGCAGATTAAAATAACAACTGTAAGGATCAAGCTCTAAATAAACTGCAACATCATCAATATTTTGTTGAAGTCTGACCTTTCGTGGTTTCGAACTTTTATCAAATTCCTGTGACAGCACCCAGTTTTGGCGATAGCAACTCATAAGCGTTCTTTTCCTTGAAATCAAATCTGATTACCATCTTGTTTTACAAACAACATGCTTTTTAAAGTTTATAACAATTAATGTTTTAAGAGTTGGGGTTGCAAGATTTTCATCGATTTCTCGTACTTGTGCCACGCACCCAGTTGGTCCAAATACGTCACAAGCAAATTATTCATTGTAATGTGTTGGAACCATAGAAATAGTAGCGCTAGAATGCGTGGTCTATCACGTGACGCGTGCGAACTATGGGGAACCAAAATGGTAACAACAAGTTGGCAAAAAAATACGCGGGAAATCACAGCGGACAGTATAGCCTACCCCTATCACCGTATACGCGCTTGAATTTCTAATTAATCTAATACACTGTAATTAATCTTTGATGAAAATTTATTTGTTCAAATCTAATACACTGTTGCTAACATTGAATGAAAATTGAACTTTGATAAAAGAAATGGTAGTGTCGTGTGCTGCTTTCGGTTGCCAGAATCGATGGATTCCTAAAAAAGACTTGCTTCCCGGTCAAACAAACACAAGTAAGTAGGCCCGTTGTGTGTACTGTGTTTCTCGTTATTCTTGATAGGAATTTGAATAGAAAAAAATTACTTCCAAAAATTCTATGATACCTTTATTAAGTATTCGAAATGATTTTCATTAATGATATTTCTACTATGTTCACAAACAGACAGTAGGTAAATAAAATCGGGAGGGCAGTGAACCAAATTAAAAGTCATCTTATGGTTCGTGGCATTAATTCTTCAAAGAGGGTGCAATAGGTGAATTTACTCGGATGCCGAAGATAAATTTTCCTACAATTTCTTACATTGTCGCAAAATTTCCTAACAAACTTTGGTGGAAGGGGGGGCATATAACGTATTCTTATGTATTTCAGTTCTTATACTGGATTATAATAAGCAGAATGGTGCTCTTAAGAATGTTAGCATGGCTGAGAAACTTGGATGTGATATAAAAACCTTTGCACATAATTTCCACATCCATCAAACCCCAATGAAAAGATCTTTGTAATTCTTGGTATCTGCCACATGCTGAAGCTTGCAAGAAATGCCTTTTCCACCATCAAGATCTTTTGTACCCCAGGTGGACAAAGAATATCTTGGGAGTGTGTTCTTGCACTCTATAGAACACAAAAAAATGACATACTAAATCTTGCAAATAAACTTAAGACAAAGCATATTCAGTGGCAGAATCACAAAATGAAGGTCAGTGTTGCAGCACAGAAGCCATTCTGTGGCATCTGCAATAACTTTTTTGAGAAATCTGGGGTTGCAAGAATTTAAGGACAGCAAAGCAACCAGCGACTTCATCCTTCTGATGAACAATATCTTTGATATGCTTAACTCAAAAAGTGAATTTGGAAAGCATACAAAGAGACCTGAAAACAACAACGCTGTTTACATATATTAATTTGAACTGGAAAAAGTTGATTCAAAACTTCGAAATTTTATCAGAGACCTAACGGCTGGGATTTGATTTCAAGGTAATTTAAGCAAATTTTGTTCCAAGTCTTGAATGCATCAAGTTTCAACAAGACTTTCTATACACTGAATCACGCTGTTGTTGACACTTTTGTTTACCAGTAACTTCCGCGTTTCTGCTAGGCCAAAAACTTGAGGAATTTATTAAGTACTTCTCAAAAATAATATCGCATACCCATCTATAATGGTTAAAGGTTGTCTAATAATAATGAACTTGAACTGAATAAAGCCATAATTAATTACTAAGCTGCCCTAGGAAAGAAAATTTGGTAAAGAAAGGAGTCCAAACAAAATACGAAGAAAAACCGTAAAACGACTCGCTGTAGCGTAAGGAAAAAGTAAAAACGTCCCTTACCTTCTTCTATTTTGGCGCTGGAAAGGTTTCATGAAATTTTTCTCCTCATATCACCACGCAGAATCGGTAAGTCCATAACTTCTTATTTGTGTACAACGTACGCCACAAAAGCTTTTTGCCAACATGTTGCTACCATCTTTGCTGCCCATTGGTATTACGCAGAAAACAATAGGCGAACAATAGAGCGCGCATTCTAGCCATAGAGATAAGAATCTAGCTCTACTATTTCTATGGTTGGAACGCTTGGAACGCATAAATGTGAAAGGAAATTTCCGAGAAAACGTCCTTTCACAGGGATGCAAGGAACTAAGACTATTAAAAATGGCCGCCGTCAACAAGACGATGCAGAGGTTTCGGCGAGTCTTTTCAGGGAAACACCCAGCAGTTATTGCGATGGTTCACGTTAAAGCATTGCCAGGTCAGTTTGAATATCAAGTTGAGTTTCATCGAAGACGATAACATTCATAATCGCATTTGTTGCATTGCAAGGATCATTTTATAACAAAGTCAGTCTCGGGTGTTCAGCAGTGTCAAGAAATCTTATAAATTTATGTGTTTTAAAGAGGAAAAAATGCATTTTTCTTTCCTGCAATGCACTATTCTAAACTACACACATTCACTGTTGACTGTTTTTTGTTATGTTATGCTGTCAGTGGAATCATTACACAACCGCCTGTCAGGTTTTCAGAGAGGTTGGTAACGTTTCCCCCAGCAGTATAGGGCACAGTTTTCATCAAATTCTTGTTATCCTGCTTGCTAGCCTAGCCTGTCTGATATAATTGTCACATTGTGCATTTGAAAAGAGCTGCTGCAATGAAAAGTGCTGGGAGAAATGGTTTTTGGATATGTCAGTTGGCTGAGAGTTCAAATTAGGGTAGCAAATTAGGGCAGAGACTTTTGATCATCTCATTATAAGTCAAAGAATAGAAACTGTGATTTTAGATATAGAATAAAGGTTCTTTATAGGTACTCCAGGGCATCAAAATGAAAGCATGAAAGGCATTATTCAGCAGGCTTGTGAAGAGGCCAAGATCTACAAAGAAAATTGTGTTGTGAGTTCTTTTTTATACATACCCTGTATTTACTACACTTAATGCTTTTGTTTTCATGGATTAATTTAACTTCATTTCCTGTTTTTTCTGCTTGTTTTTACTAATTTTTTGGTTTTGGAATTTAAGCATATACCTTGCCTTGATATCTAAAGTGGACTTTTTGTTTCTTGTGAGTTGTTTATAGATACAGTAGACTCAGGTGATAGTCACACCTTGTGTTGCTTGAAAATTTTTCATTATAAACAGAGTGTGACTGTCAGCAGAGCCAAATTTAATAATTTTGTAAATTTAGGTCTAAAAATTATATCACTGTAACTGGTAGTGTGACTTTAAGTAAAAAATGACTTTGAGTAAAGTTACTATAAACAGAGTCGGCTGTACCTTCAACTCAGAGGCATGACTTTTCAAAGGGCCTAGAAGCCATACTCCACTTGAAGATGCTCAAGGTGTTTGAAACTTTTTGCAGGTTTTACATAATATTGTTAGACCTGGTTAAGAATTTAGAATTCAAGTGCATTTCCAGCTGTTCTTTCATAACAACTTTGATAGCAAAAGTTATGATTGAAACTCTCTGCTAAAAGGGCATGTCTAGAATGTTACATTGGATTATGACTGGCAGTATCTTTTTTCTGAGTAAAGATATAGTTTTGCTAGATTTAAGAATTATACACATCCAACTATTTTGAATTTATTTCAATAAAATTTTTGTTTATGTTAGGATGGTATTCTGATTGAAAATATGCATGATATCCCTTATGTCAACAAAAGTGTTGGGCCAGAGATTGTAGCAGGGATGGCTGCAGTGTGTTCTGCAGTGAAAAGTGAAGTTGGTAGCATACCCTGCGGCACACAGATATTAGCTGGTTGTAATGCTCAGGCTATTGGTGTTGCAAAAGCATGCGATTTGGATTTTATTAGAGCAGAGGGTTTTGTTTTTAGTCATGTTGCAGATGAAGGCATAATGAATGCAGATGCTGGTGACCTTTTGAGATATAGAAAGCTTGTAAATGCAGAAAATGTTCTTGTGTTTACTGACATTAAGAAAAAACATAGGTAAGTGATATTTACATCTACTTAGATAATTGGATGATAAGGGTGAATCTCTTTCATTTGATGACTAGAGTTAATATTACCACTTAAAAACGTGTTACATTGATTTTTATGAAGACGTCAGTATCAACAAAGCTTAACACAAACTATAGAAGAAGTTTAGTTATTTTCACTTTGTTGATACTCTTAAGCAGTCTTTGTTAGCTCTTAATAAAGGAACATTTGTCATCAATACCAAGTTCTTGTTTAGTATGAGGTTTTAAAACCAAAGTGAGGCCTTAAATTGTTGGTTGTAGACAAGTTTTGTCCAACATTAGAAGCATGTTAGGCTCATAGGTAGTGTTGGTAGCATAGTGAGGGGGAGCCAATGGCAAAAAATCTTTTTGAAAAGGGGGTTTGCTGGCCTTCCAAACAATGTAGACCCCAATTTTCCCTAGCTCAACTCGGGTACCGAATAGAGTACTGAAGTGTGACGTCATCCAAAATGTATTTTTAGAATTTCTTGAATTTGGCCACATAATCTGAAAGAACGGCATAAAATACCTCTCAATGTGCAAAATTAGCTAGATGTGTTCCAAATTTGGGGAGATATGGCAAATGAAAGATTTCAAGTTTGCTAACGGAATATTCTGGCCTGGTTCATAAAGTTATGAACCAAGACCAGATTACAGAGGTTTGATGGGGCAAGAACCTGTGCTAATGTGCAGGGACGAAAACAAGTTGCTAACTTTGGAGGGGCGTGGAAGGATGAAAATTCCAACTTTAAGTGAGAAATTCTTCATTCGACCAGTAAATCTACTGCACCTACCAAATTGATATTTGTAAATACCCCGAACACCATAGTTCTATTTTCTTTATAATTACCAAAACTTTACTCAATAATTAGCTTAAAGCATAAAAGCCTAAACCTCTAAATTTTGATTAAAATGAAACAAACATTTAAACTTTCTGTAAGAAGTAAAGCAACATTTAAGCAAAACCAGTGTTAGATATACTTAATGATTAGTAGTATTCTTTCAGATCAATTGATCAATTTTATCTAAATTGATCAATTGATCAATTGATGCAGATCAATTTTATCTAAAATACATTTTTTAACGATATAGAAGCACCAAGAATTTGAGCCTTTTATTTTTGTTTGATCGAAGAAAACTACTAACAATTTTCAGAGGGCCAAAAGTCTTTTCGTTCTTTACAATTGAAATGATGATTTGAGAACAAACTTGTGCATATGCCTGATTCGAAAGATGAAACACTCTTCTTTGATCAAATACTACTACTGCAGTTTTTGCAATGTGTTATTGCTTCACAGCAGTTTTGTCATAGGAATTTATTATAAGGAGTCAAAGACGTTAACAAATGACAGGGGGAGTTTAGCACAAACTCGTTTTTTATAAGAAGCATTGAGAATTTTTAGTACTGAAAGATTCTTAATCTTTTATTTAATTAACTACTCGTAGTTTCTTAAAAAACTCCCACTCTAATATTTTCTGATCAATACGGGTATTATTATTCCAAACTATAATTTATCAAGTTTCTTATCCGGCAATTCACCTTGCCTGTTCGTAATTTGATTCAACTCCCGTCAGAAAGAAAGCAAATGGGGCAATTGTGCAATTTGGATCCAGTGGAGACGGGATTCACAATAGAAAACGATTAGTGGATGGGTCAGCTTCAGCCTGTGAATTTTAATGTTTAGAATTTTTACATTTAAAATCAAAAAACTTCTTAAAATATAAAATTCACAAGTTTGGTCCTAAGAAAAAAATTCAAAGTCAACCGTTAAGTTTCCAACTGTAACTGGATTTTCCAAACTTTGGGGGGGCGTTACGCCCCCCACGCCCCCCTATTATTTACGTGCCTGCTAATGTGCCAATTCGGAACACCTTTAACTGATTTTGCATATTTAGAGGTATTTTGTGACCCTCTTTTAGGTTCTGGGATCAAAATTCAGAAATTAAAAAATAGGTTGTTATGACGTCATCACTTCGGTACTCTATTTGGAGTGCTAATGTTAGTGGTAAGTTTGTTAAAAGGAATGGAGAATGCGTGAGTCTTAAAGATTTTGAGCAAAGCAGTGTTATTGATATGGGGAGCTGTTAATCTTAACAAGGCACAGATATTACAAAAAAACTTAATACAAAAGAGGGAGGATTTTACATAGCTTGTACGACATACTATAAATTCTCTCTTAAGCACCTTGGGGAGGGAGGCTTACTAAGTTTTTCCTTCTCAAAAAGGGGGAGCTAATAAGAGAGGGGAACTTAAAAGAGAATTTAAGGTAGTCTCCAGAGCCCAAAAATGACTACAGGAATGGCCAATGCACCCCTTTTCCAAACAAGTGTCCTTTTCCAAACAAGTGAAGACAGAAATACTTCCTTTTGAAGTCATTGAGTCATGATAAATAGACTGGGTATACCCAAAGTGCCAAAATCCGCTGAGTCATGATTTCCATGACTGCGATGCTATTGGTTGACCTTGAACTGGTCACATGAACTCACCTCGTACTGATTAAGATAACAGTCTCCATTCAACAACGGATGCCAATATCACATGAAACAGCAGCGATCACGCCGAAACCAAATGACCCCCTGTAGAGAAAGCCTATTTACCATGACTCAATGCCTTTAATATGAAGATGCCAATAGACATCATATGAGTATTGCATTGAACTTAGTAAGAGCTTTGATTAAGTAAGAAAAGGTTGCTCTACACAACACAAAGTAAGGAAAGTTTGTTTTCCCTTCTTCATCATTGTTCTTAGTTAGAAAAAGTTTTAGCAGAAATGGTTTTTGAAGAAAAGGCCAATAGGGGCAGCATATTTAACTAAAGAAGTCCCTTTTGGCCAAATAGGGTGAGCCTTCTTGTAGTTTTATTCTAGGGAATGGACAGTATGCAAGATTTCCTGACTCGAAGTTTCAACTTTACCATTAAAATATTATAGCATTAGGAGCAAATGAAAATTTTACAAAAATATAACCACAAATTGGGTCATCACCTGTCGTACCCCTAGCCATGACCTCACTGAATGTATTGCTTTTCTGAAAGGCGTGTTTTTTAGATCTATTTTATTTTTAAATCTATTTGAGATATATTCGCACCCTTGTTCTTTCATTTAAACCGTTTGCCAAATCGTTTTGGCGATTTAAAGAAAAACGTTTTTAGGGATTGTTTTTCTGTTTTTATCAAACGATATATTTGAACAATGTACAATGAGAATTTATTTTTTTCAATGAGTTTTCGTTCACCCCTTTCCAATTTGCCATTTCCCTTATACAGCTTGCTATCTTTCCTCTGTTGCCCAGCAGCATATGAAATGCGGCCAAGTTTATAAAACTCTCATTAATTTTTTAAACAACCACTTGTGAGTCAATCACCAGACTCTAGTAGGAATAAGTGAATGTCACGTGAGTTTTTTCAGTCACTGGTATTTTATCAATGGACTCGACAATGCTTGTACTGAACCTCAAATTCATGTATAGGTGACATGGTGTCAAGGGAGCAGATTGACGCTTCAACACGTTTTCTTATCGTTTGATTGTCTTTAGTTATCAATGAAAACCAATGCTAGTCCTGTACAGCCATATCTGTTTGTGAACAGCACAGTGGGTAAAACCATAGAGATAGGATAATAAAACAGGTGTCGCATTGTTCAAAACCGTAACCATTAATAACCTCTGTGAAGGTGACTTATTCTCCCATTGCAAATATAATTCATTGTCTATGTCGGTTTTGAAATGCAGCTTTCCTTTTCTTCTGATCCTTTTCAACAAATAGAAGGGTTTTAACTTAGTCGACAAAGTTTTTATTTAATTCATAAGCATTTCGAGCAAACATTTTCAAATTCAGTTCTGGTATTGCTGATGTTTGCGAAGACCATTTTTGAATGCCAACAAACTTTCTTCAACAGCATTGGGTTGTCATGATAAACAGCACGAAATGCTAACATCTTTAAATTATGGAACCAGATCAATCATTTTTCAAGGGTCGAAAAACTCACTTCTAGATGAAAACAAAACTGCTCGAAATTCAAAAGAATTAAAAAATCTGATTAGAATTTGGTTCCATGAAAATAAATGCACATGCTCATTTTGCAGTAAATGAACTTCATGTTAGCTGGATTTTTTTCCCACTATTGTAACAACTAATATTAAGTTAATCTTATACATACATATACAATATTCAAACGAAAATTTTTAATCGACGGAGATTCATGATAGAAATTTCTTGTTTAGTCACTGATGCCCGGCTCGCCATGCTAAAGACTGTGCAGACGATTTTTTTGTTTTATAGCGAAGAAATTTCTCAATTTTTATCGGAAATGAAAGTTTTCAATAGAATCATAACTAGTTTACTACCGTTGGCTGTTGGCCCTTTGTGTTTGTTAGAATGCAACAGATGTTTCAAAACCACATTGTATAGCAGTTTGGACATAGGCATCGCGGAGGCTAATAGTTTATGGGGGCTTAGTATGGGTCTTGCCCGCATATTGTTGCTTCATTGTGACTAAATTTCCCGCAAGGGCCTGAAGTTTGATAAGTTTTGCCTGCTGGGGGGAGGGCTGCAGCCCTCTAGTCCCTATGTCTTCTACGCCTATGTGCTTGGAAGAAAGAGTTATGGATGTCCTTTCTATCATTTTTAGCTGAGAGCAAAATCAATACTTACAAAGGTTCCTAAATCACTTTTTGTTGCTTTACCTTCATATTTACAAAGAGATACTTGCGTTATTTTGCTTTCTTGTCAGAGAGTTTTTAAAAAGACTATTTAAAAAGAGTGACTTGCCCATTAGAATCGTCCAGTTACATTGCTATGAAATGTTTGATAAGTCCGATACCTGCTCGTACTCATAGCTAAATGGGATACCATTACATGAAACAAAGTCCCCTTGGACACAAACACCAAGTGCTTACAAGCGTGTATCGACACGTCTATAAAAACCTGTATCAATTTCCTGAGAATATGATGTAGCATTTAAGGAAATTCGGCTACAGGCTACCCGCCTTCTCGCATTTTCCACTGAAAAATGATTTCTAACTAGCTTTATAAGAGATCATTGTAATAACATTTATAAAATCTATCAAAATTTATAAAGCTCTCTGTCTGAAATGATTAGCTGTTTGTATGAAATTTTCGGTCTTTGCCAACCACTCTAAAAATTTACTGTATTTTCCCCTTGTGATGTTTCTTTGATCTTCTTCCTTTAGTTCGCATGCCATAACAAAGGATCTGAGCGTAGCTGAAGTGGCACAAGCAGCAGAGTTCTTCCTTAGCGACGGTGCAATTCTAACTGGTTCACATACAGGTGATCCTGCCAATTCACAAGACATAACGGTTTTAAAAAACAACAAAGTTGGAATTCCCATTTTAATCGGATCGGGGGTAGATGAGGAGAATCTTTCAAATTTTATGTCAGCCGATGGACTTATTATTGGATCTCACTTTAAGATAGATGGTCACTGGAAAAATACTGTTGATCCTAGACGTGTATTCTCATTCATGAATAAGTTTTCAGCTCTAAAGAGATCATCAATATAGAAATATTTTAGCCTTTGGTTCTGCCTCACTCCGGCATATTTCCTCTTTTACTTCCTTTGCTGTTTCTGGCTACATTTTTATCACTTCATTTGGAGTTGCGTTCTACCTTTTCTGTTTTGGTTTATGTAAAGAGTTAAGAGATGTTTAATTTCAGGTACCTGACAATACACATTCGAACGTAATTGCAGAAGGTTCCTTTTCTCCAATTCATTTCATTACATATATGGATCTATGAGGACCGTGTAACAAATAAAATCTAAAGTCTTAAGCAAAATAAATCACCACCCTGTTAATAGGAGGCTTGCATATGCATGTGTATTCTCTTCCATTCTGGGAATGGGTCACTGCATTAGGTTAAATTGGACGAATCAGAACCAGAATTGCAAATAACTCTTAATGCAAGCAAGAGCTGTCTTCCCTGATAAACAAATATGTTTCGTGTTGAACAGTGGTGCCGTGGAGGGAGGGCTGGTTGGACAAATTCTGTGTTGGCAACTCTTTATTATACTATAGATTTCCTATGAATGGGCAATTTCTTATATGGCCTTCGTACTTAGTGACATTTACCTATTTGCTTTAGGTATCATACCATGCAGCTGAAGTCCTATAAAGAGATATATGGTGAGGGAAAGCGTTTCCTGTGGGTTGTTTAAGTAGAAATTTTCAAGTACCATGCTAACCTTTTGTTTACTTTTTTGTTGAGTGCCAACCATGTCTTGTCATTCGCGTGGTGATTTATAATGAAAACCAGTACGTAGGACTCTAAGGCCCTCTATTCTCTATCACTAGCTGGCAGACCAGCCGTGTCCTTATCTTGAATAAAAGTTTGTTTAAGCGCTATTCAGTTGAAAATATATCCCTTGTTTGTGCTAAGCCCCTTTGGGATTCCAAGAACAACATCGAACAGCTGTCTCAAAACAACAACGATCAGCAGTTGAAAATGTTTTCCCAGCAGCCAACTTCTTTGACGAGAAAAGATAAACACTAGGAATTTGAATATTTCGTAGCTGCTCTTGTCCGAACTTGCCCAGTTCAAACTCCTCGTCTTTGTGCGAAAGATTGCGCTAACATTTTCCTAGCGAGATAAGCGGTAAATTCCTACAGCGTATGCGCGAACAGTTCTGTTTAGATTAAAATTCCTTCGCAAACACCGCACAGTTTTTTGAGTCCTCAGTTTGGAAACTCTTTTGAAAAGGTGAAAAGGCTGTGGCGAGGGATTACAATATAATAATATGGTCTTTATACCGCTTTCGTCAGACTTTTTCCTACCGGCAAATTACACAGTGTGTAAAAGAAAGAACATAAGCTCCGACAAATGTTGCAAAAGTGGGGGGGGGGGCATGCCCCGGCCCCTTCGCTGGAGGCCCTGATAACTTTCAAGAAAACCTGAAACAGATTTTATCAGAGGAAAACACTTGATTGTTGAAAATTCAATTAAAACAATTTTTATGGTTTTCAAAATTTTTACATTTTTACATTTATTTTCCGGTAAAAACTTCATACCATAAATAAATGATAAATACAGTTTACATATGGTACAACAATTCACAGCTTAAAATGCATATAAAATGAACAAACAGCATTCAAAACCACCATCGATTGCTATGTTAAAAACCTAGCATTTCAAATAAAAACAACAAGTATACCACATGATTATTCTATCAATAACACTATTGGTGACGATGCAAACTTCTATTTTTAATGTAAATAATTTTTTTTTAATTTGTTTATATGTTCACGTTTCCAGACGCTTGTCACTAAAACAGATCGGCCTACCCATGCAACCAAAGAAACTATTAATATTTCATGAAACTTCATTCATATTAACGACCACTTTAAAAAACATAAGCACGAGTTTGAATCCCATTTAATATGATTACATGATTAATTTTCTTCATCATGCCGCACGCTTCCCAACCATTCCTACATGTTTTCCGTCTTTACGATTCAACTTTTTATAATGGCGACCGTGAAGAGCGCGTTGATGCGTGTGATTTGATCTTTTACTACCTTTTCTCGACTTGGTATATGCCAGAGAATTCCCATAATTGCATCCTAAGCTCTTCAGCGGACCTCTATCCTTTTGCGATTGGCAAAGAAAGACTTTGCCCTGCGCAACATGACGGGCCGCCCCATTTTGCTTTGCAACTACGCTGGAGCCATCAGCTGGCTGCTCGGGGGAAGGCCCTTTATCGGCAGAGCGCGGTCCGTAAACAGACATACTTGGATGTTCTATGAGCAAATTTTCGAGAGAATCTGAAGAATCCTTTCCTTGCTTCTTAGATTTGCCACTGAAGCACGATGGAGGTGTAACTAGCCAGCTTTCTTCCATATTAGTCGCCATTTTAACGGTTTTGTTTTTGTCGTCATTGTTAAGGTCATTGGTTTCCCCTGAGAGAAAAATTTTTTCATTTGTTGTGGTACTCTAACTGAGCAAAAAGATATTGCCTTAAAAATGAAATAAAGCTTCACCTGCTTGGTAGAAATGAATACATTTTAAAATTAACAACTATAAACATCCAAGGAGTTGTACTAACTTGAGCATATGTAGCGTATTAATTTCGCAATCTATAAATGATCAACAAAAACAACGACTTTGTTTTCTAGATTTGGTTTTGTCCATCAAACCTTTTTCTCAAGAAAACTGCTGCAAACCAAATAAAAGCATAAATGCTAAATGAGAGCTGCTACAATAATTTAAAAGTTCTTGTGTAATATAGGCTAAACATATAAATCTAAATACCAAAAACTTTCTGCGTGTGGGCCTATTCAAAGATGGCGAAGGCATTGTTGCATCATCGCAAATAGACGCCGTTGGCAACTCGAAAAGAAAGAGGGCGTTGATCTCGGTCCCAAGAAGCAGCACAGTAAACAAAATTGCAAAAAACTGACCTTGTCGGGTTATTCGGTCTACAAAGATCCATTCCTTATCTTCGTCCTCAATTTCATTAAGCCCCTCGAAATTGGGCTGCAGGTTGTCTTCCCCGAAAAAATATGCTGAAATTGCAGAAAACATCTTCTCAGACACCACGTACCGATTTTTTCTCACCTAAAAGAAAGAACAATTAGGCAAACTTTAATTCTGTGTAATTAGAATGGGAAAGAATTGAATCGAGATGTACAGTTTGTTCCTACTAGAATAACATTGAAATCGACAGTCTACTATTCGACAGTTCGATAAAAGTCTACTAAAAATAATGGCAAATCGATAAAAGTCCACTTCAAAATTGCAAGGAGACAAACAATATTGAATTCCTTCTCTGCAGCTCAAAAACTCATCCAATTTTCAAGTGCCGGTAGATTTAAAGAAAAACATTGAACATTACAACTATTCAAATTATGTGTACGGAAAACTTGAGGAACATGCCAAAGTTTGCAAACTTACCTTTCCTTCACTAAAACCATTTGATAAACAAGTTTAAAATGAAATCGCGTAAAACACTAAGGTATAACACTCAATCTTCTCTTCGCGTATTTAACAGGTCTTCAGTTTCTTTGACAGCTTAAGTCTTCTAAAAATTCGTACAACAAACGCACCCAAAAAAAATTCTGTTTACATGAGATGCAAATGAGATACGGTCAGCTGACGATTCTGCATAGCCAATCACAACCACCTACATTGTTTCTAATGCCCAAATATGTATTGCACAAACTGATCACATGATTAGGCACCTGGAAACGACCTTTGGCAAGTTCAGCAGAATGATGCTGATTTGATCGTGATTGCATGACGCAAATCACAAATCGTGTTGATTGGCATGATTTCGACGAATCTAGGCGGCAACGTCAACTGATTCCAGAATACCTGTACATGCCCATAGTGACGACCGCTTTTTGCTTCAACACTGAGTAACCCTGAAGAATTTTCGTGAATTGCAATATACTTGAATAATGATTTTCTTTTAATCTTACAACTTTAAGGTAAAGAAGATAAGAAGATAAATAAAGTAAAATCTTGGCATCACTTTACGACTGACTACCAAAAAATGATTTTTACCGAATGGAACAAAATTTAATGAAGGACACAGAAATATTGGGGGTGTCGCACCCCCTACACTCCGCGCTTAATCCGTCCCTGTGTGCCGCAGGCTCCGCGGAGCATTGAGAAAAGTGGGGGTGCCATGGCCCCACTTTTCAACTTGTGTCGGAGCCCATGTACTGTTTGTCCAATCATTAGATTTTTCTTCGCGGTGCAATCACTGATATCAATGGCGGCCAAAATATACCATGAAGTAATTTGCTTTGAATTGTATGTCGTGGTGCAATATCTTGTAATCTCGTGGTCCACTGACGTAATGTTAGCTGAACAACATTGTACATCTTACATCTATTGATATGTTCGTGTGTTGCTACGAAAATCTCACGATAAAACTATTTTCAACATTTTTACTGCTTATAAGACATATCAAACGTATTGTCAAGATGACTGCGATGAGCTAATTATTCATTGTATGTATTTAGGGACAAATTTACCGTTGTATGTATTTAGGGACAGATTTATCGATGTGGAAAGCACATTTTGGTAGTGGTTAGTGATAAAATAATGCAAATAATTTACTCTTTTTATCGTATTTTTTTCCTTATCCTAAAGCTAAAATCTGAATGTTAAAAATGAGTGTCTTCATCATTTTCCAGTCAATTGAAGAGTGTGGCACGGCACCAAAATCCAATCATTATCTACCACTCCCCCACCCTCAATCCTTACTGTTTATATCTGTTCAGTATATATTTAAAATCATGGTGTGATTTAGTTTTTCTTAGGTCATTGTTGCATCGATAACTTGATCTTCTTTTGCTGGAGACCATTAAAAAATGTTCCAATTTTTGCAAAATGATGGAAATGGCTCTCCCTCCGTCCTGCTTCTCCTTGAGCAAATCTTGCATGACGTCTCTCTTACGTGACAAATCGGCTCGTCTCATTACTTTAAAAATGTTCTCGCATATAGAAGTTTCTTAGTGAGGCAGTGAGGCAGTGGTGGCTCCAGGGGAGGGCTAGGGGGGGCTACAGCCCCTCCGTCGGAAGCATCTAGCCCCCCCATCGGAGGAAATTTTAGGTAATTGTCAGAGAAAATTTGAGAAAATAACGTACGAAAACTGCTTATTTTAGTCATTTTAGTCCCCCTGTCGGAAGCTCCAGCCCCTCTGTCGTGAGATTTCTGGCGCCACCTCTGTAGTGAGGTGCTCTGCTCTAATGCAAAAAACATGGGAACGAAGTTGCAGGATTAGAAGCACAGAATAGAGATCTCTATTCTGTGTTAGAAGGCTGCTTTTTATTTCAAAATAGTAGGGAGCGCATTCGAGAAAGGAGGGACGAGCTTAATCGAATTATTGCAGTAGTTTTAATAATTTCGTTCATCCCTCTTCATCATTTGTTCGTCAGTTTGTCAGCAGATATTTGCTTCGCAGCGCTTCTTCTCTCTTCCCTGCGGATATGTCAAACACAAACTGGGGTTGTTGTGGTACGGCCTAGAAATGCTTCTGTTTCGTTTTTAGATATAGCCTCAAGAAACCATGATATGCAAAATGGATGAACAAACATGGAATGTTTTTTCGACACAAAATGCATATGCACAAGAGGATGCCGACGAAGCAGATGAATTTGAAGGAACAGATATGCTTCTAGACGATAGGTACGAATCTGAGATCGTCTCAAAACGGTTCCAAGAAGGCGGACGACTCACGTTTGCCAGTCCGCGGTCGCCAAATTCACCACAAGGTAAATTATCAAAACAGTAAATTTAAGTAAGAAGTTTTGAATATGCTGTATTTAGGTTAGTTAAGGGTTTTTAGAGACTAACAACTCCCATTGTTTATTGACAAATGTTAAATTTTTGTACCACCATGGTATACTAGTATACTATATGCTTCGAGCATAGTATACTATGCTTCGTGGTGTCAATAAATAAAGGCTGCCTAGCATAAATAAGCTGCCTCTGCCTGCATTGCTCTGAAAGAAATAAATATTTCCCGCGCCAAATGTAATGATTTGTTACATAAATAGAAGTTGTGATATGATATAAAAATAGAATAAAAGTGTACCAAATATTGGGCATATCTATAAACTACCAGAACAGAAGTATTGCAATTGCAACACCCAAATCAAAATGGCATCCAAAACATTTGAAGTTTTGCCAACTTATAACTTAATGTTGTAATATTCCCCTCAAAAATAAACATAATCATGCTAAACCAGGAATCAAATTCTTTTGAAATTTATCGAGGATTTCAAAATACTTAGAATTACTATTAACGTTAGAAATTATACAGTTATATCAGAAAAAATATCTGCAGCAGTAAAATCAAAATATTAACAGGATTGGGAGTGGGTAGTTGTGAAAAAGCTATGTGTAAATGGTTTTTCTAATACATTTCAAAACATTTTATAGAAAATGATAGAAAAATAATGAAAGCTAGGAAACAGCAAATGAAGCCATTACTCACAACTTTTTTAGCCTCAAAATTTTCCAACTCAACTTGGGTAATTTTTTGTGGACAGTTAGGCCCATATATACTTAGGGTACGAAAGTATGGAAACGGTCGTTAAAAATGGTGGCTCGCAGTGGCCAAGGGCCTAATGCGATAAATTTCCGAAACATAATTACTATCGTCTGTGTTTGTCTTGTTTCATTATCAATAATCTGCAGGCTAACATTTCACCAAAAAGAATCTTCCAAGTAATAATTTTATTGTCAGTTTAAACATAAACGTATACAGATTTCAGTGTGAACAAAGTATGTTGCGCTTCCTCAAAATTGGCAACATTTTATCTTATTTGTTTATCAATGCTTGACAATTTTTTCAGAATTTTTCTGAATGTTGGTTCAACGTTTCCCCATATTTTTGTTCTCAAAACAGTTGAATAATCCTTCAAATTTGTTTTTATTCCAAAGCCATTGAAATGACACATTGTTTTCCTGCCGAAGTCACTAGCAATGAAGACCCCTTCACCTAGTAATTTTGTTTTGAAGATTTATCACCTTGGGCCCTTGGCCACTGTGAGCCGCCATTATTGACTATTGTTTCCATGCTTTTGTCATGCTTTGGTAGATTGTCAACTAGCAATGTGCAAGTTAATGTCACACTGCACAGTGAAAAATGTGAAAAAAAGCAAAACAGTCTCTTTGGTGGAATCAAATCAATGCTAGGGAAATGAAGGAGGCAGCCTTTTTCATAAAAAAGCAATACATCCCCCTTACAAGGCCATTTTTATTCAAATTTACTTGAAAATCTGTAAGCTCTATGTCCTTTCTCTGCCATCACAAGACCTGGTAGTATAATAACTGTATGATTCATGTTTTTTGTTTTGAATCAATGTTTTCATCGTCTTGTTCATGCACTGTTTTGAGCAAAATTGGGATGGCTAAATTACTGTAAGATTTGTTATTTCACACCATAGACCATTGGATTCCAAAATCTTTAAGAGTTTTCATCATAAACTTCCAACTATGGATAATTTATGATAATTTCTGTTGTTTAACCACTCAAAATTTGATTTTTACATTTAAAGCTTTCCTTAAAAGTTGTTCACACCCCTGTGTACAGTAAAAGGAAATCTTACATATATACTTTGTTTAACAGAGTTACTCTCTGTGTAAACATTTTTTAATGTTGAAAATTTCAAACTCTAGGTGAATTTGAGTATAACAGTGGGTATGATGATGATGCCAGAAACCACAGTATGAGTGAAGTAGACAGTGTCATGTCAATACCACCAAATGATTTGCTTGTAAAGTTTGATATCCTCCATCATCGTGTTGCACAACAAGGAAAGAAGAAGTTTGTGGTAGGTATTCTGATATTATTATTAAGATATGATATTAACACTGCAGTTTTTATCTCATTTTTATTTAAGTCAATTTCATGCAAATTTGAAGTGGAAATATTCCAGGGTGTCTGTCGAGGTTCCTTTTTGACTTTTTATGATTTCCTCTTAAGTTTGATGCTTTCTCTGCCATGTCTTTGAAAAAAATGATATTTTGAATAAAGATGTTAATGGGTTAATATGGAAGATGTTTTTTAATAGATACTTTCTTCTGAATTTGATTCTTTATTATAGAAGTAATAAATTTAAAAAACAAGACCAAATATTAATATGCATGCCTATTCCCACTGTTCATGCCATTTGGTATAAGTTGCTTAAATTTTCCCCTTCAAATAAGCCTTTTTTTAGAAACCTTGCACGTCAAAGGCCCTCAAAATCTTCTCTTTTTTTTCTCTGAGTTTTCTCAAAGATCATTTCTAATGCTCACACTTCTAATTTTTCTCTTAGCACCACTTCTCTGTTCTTCCTTGGCCTCTGCATCTCTTTTGATTCTATGGTGTTTTCATTATTTTCCTAGTCTCAGTATTTGACATATACAGTAAGATTAGTCAACTACAGCTTATACATCTGATCTTTGCATTCTCTTGTCATTCATGTCATTCAGCTCTCTCTACTTAGCCCATGCTGCACTCTAATCTTTTTCATGCTGCTGCTTCAAAAGCACTTGTTTAACTAAGAATGGCCCCAAATTTTTGAAGGCAGAATTAGAATAATGCAATTTGACCAGATCCCAGGTTAGCAGAAAAGTATTTAGGATAGGTCCTTGTGTAATCACGTGTGCATTTCCGTTTTTTGCCACATGGTGATATGCCACAAACCATTCCCTTCTTTATGAAAGTATTTTTAGGATTTATTCCCATTCTTAGATGTCTTGAAAGGTTGCAACTCTTTCCTTGTTTATAAGAAATCCCAAAGATGTATGTCTTGGAACTTGTTATAACATTCCATATTCGTGACATAATCTTCTTGGTCGCCAAAACTATGAAGGAAGTTTTTCTTCTTCCCCTTTGCCACCTGTCAGATAATTCCATCAACTTTTTAGTGGCCGCACCAAGGAGTGATGTGGGGCTAATAACCCTCCTCCTACAACTTTTGCCAAAAATGACAATTCATACTCTTTCGAAAATGGATGTCTATGGTCAAGTATGAGAAGGTCATATATTTTTGTGTTTTCTAATTGACATGTGTGCTTTGAGAAGGTCATGGAACTGAAATATGGCATTTCTTAAATACAAATGGGGCTTCTTCTGTTATCCCATAACCCCCCTCTCCTCCTCCCACTTAGTGCTGGCTGGCTGACATTGTCACTGTATTGGCTTTGGAAGAGGTTTGAGTTTTTGACATCTCATACTGCCGACTAGTGGCTTCATGAACGTGAGAGCTCGTTGTGTATGTTGCCATTTTACGATATATGTTATTTGTTTCAGCTCTATACAATTGTGATAATGGAAGTTCCCAAACTGGACACAGACCAAGCAATCATTGAAAGACGTTATAGTGACTTCAACAATTTACACAAAGGTGTCCGCAAAGAATGTCCTAACGCATTGAAGGACGTAGCCTTTCCAAAAAAGGAATTGTTTGGCAATTATGATAATACGCTTTTAGAAACAAGAGGAAGAAAGTTTGAGAAATACTTACGATACATATTTCACCAGCAAGGTGTAAGAGCAAGCAACGCTTTTAAGGAATTCTTTTATCTACGTCATCTGAAGCTTGGCACGGCGTATTTACGATCTGAAGACTACCCTGAAAGTTTTGAAGAATTTAAAACAGGATTACATTTACAGAAGAAACTGCAAGATGCAGAAATAGAAATTGTTGCGACGCTTTGTGCCCTCACTGAGATTTGTAAGCGCCAGCATAAGTTTGTTGAGGCAGAGCAATATGCATCTCAGGGCTTAGAATTGCTGCAATATGATATAAATAGTATTTATTTACTGCCATTGATGAAAATTGCCATTGACTTGAGAATAAAGCTGAGAATGGACCTCACTGGACTGCGTGAAAAACTTCGAAATGTCGAATCAAAGACGTCGTTTGATTTTGATTCGCAAATAACATTGAGAGAATTAGCTGTCAAAAGATTTTGATCAGAGCTCCTTGAAGTGGATGCGGTCTTGCAGTGAATTCGGCTCAGTTTTCGAGAGAATTCAGGAGCTTTTCGATAGAGAGAAATGCAGACTAAGAAAGATGGGTCTTGTACTAAAAAAGGAGTTGACCAAGTGATAAAATTGTCCACTGGAAGCTCTGGAGTTATCAAAACACAACCAGTGGGTTAAATCGTATGGTTATTTGTAAATAGGAGGAAAGACACTCCAGTCTGTGCTTATGGGGACTCAAAAGTTTGTTTGCCTTGTTATTTAAAGTAGAATAAAAGTAAGACTTAAAATTTAATTAGAAGCAACACGGACCTATATGTTAGTTATTATCGAGTTACTGTGTCGAGAAAATTGTAATGTAGCCTACTTTCCCCTCCCATGAATAGTGCTTCTTTTTAAAACTGTTCAGAATTTCATACCCCATGCCTCCTTCGTTACCAAGAGAATTTTCATTACTGTTATATTATTCAAAGAACTACTGTTTTAAATTAGTAAAATTTGGTGCAAAGATACAAGATCTTGCTTGGCAACAACTATTTTCTTATCAGCGGGTAAAAATTCACTAGATTTCACTTGTTGCCCCAATTGAGCACGCACGATTATTATTTTGAAATCATCAATTTGTGGGAACTTATGCCTAGTCAGACAAAACTCTTCTGCCTTAAGAACCCTCAACTTTGGAATTCTTATGAAGACCATAGTCATAGTCAGTCGATCTGGCCAAGCTATTTTGCTTTTATTCTTCTGTATAATTTGCTGGTATCCCATCAATAATTGCAGCATAAAGGCACTACCAAAAGAACTTGGAACACCAACGTTAGATTCAAGGAAGAATTCAGCAAGCCCTCTCGCCCCCTTCAGACAATGAAGATTAACTATAAAATGGCGCAGGAAATTAGAAAAAGCGGTTCTTCGTGTGACTCTCTGGTATTGCCTAAGCTGTAAGCATTTTTTCGGGGAGGGGGGGGGGAGGTAGTAGTATTTGGGAAAAAGAGAAATCTCGACTCAAGGTGTTTGATGTTCCAAGTAATCTTGACACGCTTGTTTTTTTTCTGTTGTCCTTTTGTCCTTGAAAGACTCTTGTCATTAATACCTGTTCATTATTTTGGCCTTGTCATCAAAAACCAGATTATTTCTCCAAGCAGATCGAAATTTCAGGAATAAGTATTTTCATTCTGCTTAACATGATATTTCAAAATAAGATTTGAGCTTTTATTTCAAAATTTCATACTGTAAAAGATAGATTATGCCGGGGAATGCTATTCATTTACTGGCGCTGATGTAAAGATCTCTGTTCTTTGCTACATTATTCAAAGCTCAATGCTTGAAGATTTGTGGGGTGGGCTTTCTTTTCTGATTCAATTCAAGCGTTTACTGGCGAGTTTATAGAAAGGTGGCTTTCTGGTGGTATTTCCTATAAGATTTATGTCGGTTGTTGCCTGACGATGGTATGAAGCTACGTCTTCGCTAGTTTGCAGTTACCTTATTGGGGGTAGTTGGAACCTGTGCAAGTATAAAATAATCTGATAGCAGTACCGAAGACATATAAGCAATAACACCAAAAGAAGAAAGAATTATGTGCTATTTCATCTACCGATAGACGAATTTACCGCCAAATTATCGATTTTTTTGAAAAGCTGAAGGTTTAGTTTTCAATGTTCAGTTTTCATCATTCATCAATCAATCCTAAATACAATTCTACATAATACACTGCACCTAAATTCATACAAAAATTCCGCAATAAATTAAAATTAAAGATTACAGAAAAATATTTTTATATGATTGTATTTAAGATTGATTGATTTAGGAGGAGCTCTCTAAATAGGTTAACGAATCGAGAGAGACCCCCCCCCCTAAAGTAGAAATAATAAAACTACAACGTATTTTATTAGAATCAAAACAAATTGTTTGCCAGGTTTTTCTGAAGAGACCAAATGAATAGCAACAATTTAGAGAGTTTTTTAATCAAGAAACAAGGTTAAGTTCACGAAGTGAGTTTTCAGTATGAGTCAAGGAAATGAATTTTCAATTTGGACCGAAAAAATGCAACGGAGCTAAAAACACGAATGAAAAGTGGAAAGGTGTTCCAAAGTTTGGAGCCAAAATATTGAATTGAATTGAATTGTTTGAAGACCATAAAGGGTAGTGTTCTTAAGAGATTTGAAGAGATCACCTCTGGTTGCCTGGCGAGTTCAAATCTTATGGATAGTTGAGTTTGGCTGAAAATAATTGTGGAAAAGCAGAAAAAAGATAACCTATTTATTGCCTTGTAAACAAAAGTAAGAATATTCAAGTTCAAAGTATCCTCAAGTTTAAGAATTAACGAATAAGTTTCGAACGAATAAGTAACAAACAAGTTTAAGATTTAAGAATTAAGAATTAACGACCGAAAACCAACCAGCTCGTAACGAATGGGGGGAGAGGAGGGTGTTACATGTAGCAAGAAAACATAATTTTTAGCACACCTTTGGATTCAGTATGTCATGAAAAAAGGTGCTAGAAGCAATTATAAGAATATGTCAATTGCAAGCAATTTTTTCGTGGTACAAATATTGAAATAATTCGAAAAAAAGCAAAAATTTTGAAACATACTCCAGACTGGAAAATTTGTCACGCGCCCGCAATATATTGTCCGCGCAGTCAAATTTTTCATCCGCGCGCATACCAATAAAGAGAAAATAGAGCTTCGACGAGGAAGGTTTTGGTATACTATCAGGAATTTACAGTTGTGTTTCCAACGAAGGTTGTCCATTCAATCAAAATTGCCAATAAAGGTTATATGTTTGGAAAAGTCGATGCGATTCAGGAATGATATTTTGAAAAAGTTTCGCAACAGAAATTGAAATCTATCTTTAGGGTTAAAAAAGCACCTGAAAAATGAAACCTTTTCTCGACTTGATTCACTCTAGAATACCAAATAATGTATGAATCTTTTTCCTCAGTTAATACAAAGGTACCGATCTCGAAATAACCCTCCTACAGCCACCCCTAGCAACTAATGGTGGTAAACCACTAGTCTTTTTTCTCTCAATATTCTTCGAACGCATTTAAAAAAATTTTCTTCAATTTTTCATGCGGTTAACAAAAGTCTTCATTCTGAAGAGCGGTGCTAAGCAAATATCAAATGCTTCAGACGCAAAATTCAATGGAATAATTTCTTGCATTGTGCTGTCAAGACAACATCATAGGGATAAAAGGAGTCAATATGTATGATGATGGCGTTCACCTAACCGGGCTTTGCAGGTTCTTCGGCATAATTGTGCAAACAAAAGCTTACTGCTTAGTTTAATCACATCAAGACTGAATCAAATGTCTACTGCACTCGTGATAAACATATTTTCGAGCCCAGATATCAAGAAGGAGTACGAAAATGTTGATGAGCTTCTAATGTTTCTCAAAGAATCATGCTGGTTGCAAGAGGGCATCAAAAACACAGCTGGCGATCCGGAGGATCTCGAAAGCGCCTTTTTTGCCAAAGCAACTGCAGACATTCCAGATGCATCTAACATTCCAAATGACTTACTGCAGAGTAAAAGTCATTTGAAACAACTTGTTTTCTACCTTTTCGAAAGGCGGTTTGGATGGTCTGAACACGATACACTTGACGAGGGTAGCAAGAAATTGCAAGAGCCATCGTTCAGACCAAGCGCTTCTAACAGTTCTCCTCACCATCGATTCAGATCAGGAACTTTACACATATCAGAGGAATCTAGAATCAAGAAAATGCTCAACACTAAGTTGGATGAACTGATAGCATTGTTAGTCAGATATATTAATTTTCGACACTCTGATAAATTTCTAATAAACGTAACTAGTTTGTATTTTGAAAGTTTACTAAAAACAATGAATCACAATCCGTTCTTAGGTAACTGCAACAGATGCAATAATCGAAACACAATAAATGACATAAGTCCCATTTCCAAGGCATTCCCATTCAAAAGATTCCAGCATTAAATACATTTTTAAGGTTACAGTTCGGTTGAGTAATTATTTTACAATTGAACTTTTTTCATGCATGCTAATATATTTTGAATTGTATAATAGAAGTACTAAGATAAGTATTCTGATGGGAGTCAAAGTGAATTCAGTCTTTAAAACATGAGCCTGTAGATATTTTCATGCTTATCTCCATTCTAGTGGCTAAGGGTAATGCATTGCACACTGTTGTCTCTGTGACTTTATGTTTCAAGAGTATGGGATTATAAGTTTTTTACAAACTAACATTTATTCCTGTAACCAATTGGAAGTATTTTTTTCCCACTCACTGTTCAATAGATCATTTGTCATATTTATCACATTGTTTTTTCTAGGTTTGAAACAGAAGAAACAATAAGCTGTCAAATTTTAGATGCATATGCGTATGCACTGATTGAAGGTAACTCAATAATAGAATAGATCAATTTTTTTGTTAATGTTTCCTGAATGAATTTAGTTAGGAGTACTTAGTTAGCTTTTCTCTGCTAGGAAAGTGTTAGTTGATTTGAGTTGTTAATATATGGTATGTTAACTTCACATCACCCTATACTCACTTGAAGTTTTTTGCTTGAATTTCAGCTCGAAGTTTGCCTGTTGTAAGAAGTCAATTATTCTGTCACATATTCAACTGGCTAACCACCATAACAACAGATGAGATGACCATAGTCGATAATGTTTTCCAGTCAGTAAAGGTGAATATCTCTCTCTTTTGGGATACTTTTTGCAAATTTGAGGCATACAAAGTAAGTTGCACTAAGTGAAACCCATCCAAAATAAAATCCTAGGCTTGACCGTAGTCTTTGCAGCACATTCAGCATGCTCACCAAAAGAGAGTATGAGCTAGCCATAGCATGATTGGGCGGGACATATCAGGGCTGTCTATGTCTTTGAATTCCAGTTGATAATTGGAGAGTTTTGTTAAAGAATGCAAAAATAATTAGTGAGTTGAGGTCCATACAATCGTATACAAATCTTCAGGACATGCTGCCAAACTGCTGAAAAGAAGGAAATTACTGTTGTACCAATGGCTAAGATTATTCAAATAGTTTCCCTCTTTTCAAGAAAGCTATTCTCATGTATACTACTTCAATTAAGGAACCTTCTTATAAAAAACTAGTCAAAATTTCATCCTGTTACTCATATAAATTTCTTAGCCAGAACAGTCAGAGACTCTTTCAAGTTAGATCTCACAAAATTAATAATCTGGTGTAATTAGGTGTAATTAGGTGACTTTTAAGTTTTTTATTTCTTTCATACTATTGATCCCTTTGTAATGATATCAATTGGCCTTATGAAGTATTTATATGGATGCTGATAAAGAATTTGATCTGAAGTATTTATAAGATGCAGAATTCCTTTTGGTTGTGACATATGACTGGGGGTGTAGATTTACATACTACATGATTTAGCAGTCAAATCCCTTATAAATTATCAAACTTTGTATCATTAAAAACACATATCACAAACACTAGCAGTTTGAAACTTGTAGTAGCTGAACTAAAGTTTAGTTGCTCAATCCTAATCTGTTTGTAAATATCTCCTGTGAAGAAATTTTAGGAAATACCTTGAACAAAGTAGCCAGTTGAACAGGACAGTTCTTTGGTGTGTAGAACAGGACAGTTCTAAGCAGTGGTGGTGCCAGGGAAGGGCTAGGGGGGGCTACAGCCCCTCCGTTGGAAGCATCTAGCCCCCCTATTGGAGGAAATTTTAGGTTATTGTCAGAGCAAATTTGACAAAATAACATATGAAAACTGCATATTTTAGTCATTTAAGCCCCCTGTCTGAAGCTCAAACCCCTCTGTTGGAAGATTTCTGGCGCCACCTCTGGTTCTTAGTAACTTTTGAGTTTCATTCTTAATGTGATCATCAGGCAACTCCAACAGTTCTGTAAATTGACATTTTCAATTGCTGTCCCTTCTTGGATGATCTCTTGTCTATTTACAAAGATCCCATAAATAATCTGTATAAATTCCTGTGATAATATAGCCTTATGTATGAGATGTTCTGGGCTATTGAAAGGAGGCAGGGGATGGGCAGGAGATATTTTTGCACAATTTCCCTACCTAGCACTGTAGCCTTTCCTCCATTTTTCCAGTAAGGTTGTTGACATTTTTGAGATATGTATCCCTGGATTGTCTGTGCTCCATGATTTAATGTTTAGTGTAAACATGCCAGTGAACCAAGGTACAATGTTGGTTCTTTATCAGAATACGGTTCACTTTAAGATTTTAGTCTTGGTTACTTGTTTTTGCTTTCTCTGCTGTTCATCATTATGGTCCTCTGATATTATGCCCCTCTGTGTATGTCTGCTTTAGAAATCTAAATGTGGAACTTAAAAAACCTTATTGGTATTAAAAACTGGTAAAGCTTATGTTTTTTATACTAATGTTATGCACCAGACTGCAAAGTTTGTGTATGTGTGGGGAATGCTTTCCCCCCGCAATAATTTTTTGCTCAAATCCGGTCCGCGCATTTTTGCAAATTTAAATCAAATCGCGCAGTTAGAACATGGGCTTTTGTGTGAATTCCGCGCATAGCCTAATCTCGAGCCTTAAAAATGCTATTTAAAAATGAAAACCTGCAGCTTTTAACCTGTTATTTTGCAACATGATTTGTTCCCGCCCAAGCGTAAGGGACAGAAAATGACTCCCCGCGCACAAAAAATGTTTTGCACTCTGGGTTATGCATAAGAATATATTGCTCTTCTGTATTTAGCAATTCAATACAGCTTTAGATAAAATTTAAACAGGTTTCAAATCCTTTTTAAAAAAAACAAATTAAAGTCCATAGCTAAAGCAAACCTAGGCTAAAGGACTGCTTTTAAATATCTCCTGCTGAATCTGTTATCCTGTAAAAAAGTATTGAAATTTTCATATTGTTTCAAGTCTCAAGTATATGTGCAAATATTGTCATTTTGTCTTCAAGTCAATAATCATTGCTGGTGTGACAGATGTCTGGTCAGCAATACGAAATAACACTGTAACAAGAATGATGGCATTGCTTGAGTCGCTGTCTGTCGACCACCTTCAAGACACTTTCTTTGCCTTCACAGAGGTAGGTCGGTTTACAGTAATTTAGTACAAGTCTTCAATTCGTCCTCCAAATGGTGTTATAGGCCAGTCATATTTTTCACAAAGAAATGTGAAATCAGAAAATATCAAGAGCATATATCCAGCCTTTAAAAACGAAGTTGGCATTTGACAGTGCCAACCTAACTGACTACCGTCTGTCCACTCAGCAGGCACGTAAATAACGGGGGTGTGGGGATGTCACTCTCTCTTTTAATTAGTTTACAATTTGAGAGTAATCGGAAAATCTAAGTCGTACTTCCAATGCTTATTTACACCAGAGAATGACATTACATAACGCTAATTCTGAGAGTTTTCCCAATTCATTTTTATTTTCAAATAGTTAAAGGAGATAAGCCCTACAGCGAATGTTGTTTATTTACATTATATAAATTCAAAGCAAAGCCACTCCTAGAAATATTATTTGCAATATATTGCAAGAAAGAAGTTTTATTTTATTTTTGTTTTGAAAATCTGCATGGAAGATGCTTACTGTATAATTAAATTTATGCTTTAATGTCAGTTGAACAAAACAGTCAATCGAAATTAAACTGGAAACGGTCTTTAGCATCTCATTGAAATAATTTGCATTTGAATATGATTTAAATAACATATCAAGTGACTAGAACAACATTGCAATTTTAAATGTTTTATTTATTAGGTTTATCACCGGGTTTATTATTTAACTTTTAATCATTATAATTTGATATTTTTATTCTTCTATATTCAATGAATTTTCTCTCACACTCAGAACCAGACAATCTCCAGACTTTTTACGAAGAAATCACTGTGTCAGCCGGTTTAATCCTTTCATAATCATACATTGTATCAAGTCAACAAGCTCGATTATTCAGAGCTTATTTTTACTATGATGTTTTGTTTGCTTTTGCAACGACCTTGCTGTTTTAATTTGCACGATTCTTGGTCCATTTGCAAGTCAAAAAAATCAAACACGTTTAATAAATGTATTATCATGAATGCAAACTTTTTTGGTAGTATGAAAAAATCAAATCTCTCATTTATCGATTAAAATGTGAGTTTAAATTTAATGGCAAAGATTTAAGGTGATTTCTTTTTTAAACTGTAGTTTGTTATTGATAGATATGTGACGATACCAACTCAACATGGCAAGCCAAAGAAGGCGCCATTATGGGTGAGTTGTTTTATAACTTTGATATTCACTGTAATCATTCGTAATGAAGTTACTGTTTGCCGTTCTGTCATAAAGTGCTCAATTTCATATAGACAGAGCACTTTATGTACTGCACCCGCTATTACCCGCTATTTGCTATTTGGGTGGAGCTGTACAGTGTACACAGCGTATCGGCAGGGTTGTACACGCTGTTATATGTACCAAAAGGCGTATTCAGTAAACATTCGACTTGGGTAACTAAGCCTAGTTTTGAATGGAGACGTGCCATTTTGGTTCAAAATTTAGAACTATAATTCCATAATTCTGAAATAATGTTACCCATTATTTTGCAAGCATGATGAAAAATAAACATATAATTCCGCAAGGCAAATAACATTTTTAAAACACAACAAAATCTTCAAACAAATTTTGAATGTAACCACAATATGCCCCAAAATCTCAATATTACACATATTTCATACTTTCATTTTGTTAATGCTGAATTTTGCGATTATTTCCCCAAAACGGTACCCATAATTCTTCATGTTTCTGCAAATGGTACCCATAATCCGGCATATATTTCAAAAATTTATACCGATAATTCTGCACTTTTCAGAAAAAGCTACTACTTAATAATGGCACGTTACCGTACGTCAAAACAAACTAAGGTACCCCCCTCGAGACATTCGATGAAAATTTTCTTAAAAATCCGATTGATCAATGACACATAACCCTTTTTCTTCACATAGCCATTGCCAATGTAATACAGTGCTTCAAGTTGACAATTGCAGACAAGTCCGCGCTTTTGAAGGAAGGCCCCGGTGATGCACCAGGGGGTACAGTAATCTGCAGAAAAGTAAGCCAATGTTTACAATTGACTATGTTGCATTTGTATTTAATAAACGTTTTTGTTTCCCTGCCATAAATTCTTTTATTAGATTTTCTAAAACGTAGAAGATATCAAGCTCAAGGTGAAAATAATTGGCCCATTGACAAATTGTGATATCCAAGATTGAAAGCTTGTGTAGGCCTGAAACAACTTTGTCATGCTAGTAGGTGTAATATGTGTTACATTTAAATATATAAATACATTATTTTTATAAAAAACATTTTATAGGAAATTCAATACTTGTGCTGCTTGTAACTAAGAAACTTTCACCGACCAGTTTTTTTGCAGAAATCAAAACTTTTTTCTGACCACTTTGTATATCCAAGTGTGTGATGGGATGTCATTTTATTGATTTAAATTTCAGATGTACAGGATTCTAATGTTTTTCTGCGATTCCAATAAATGTCTTCGAGTACTCAGTTTTATGAAAAATTAAACAACTTTGAGTACTGAAAATATTCCAAGTTTTTTTTATAAAATACTAATTGACTCATGTAACTGTAACTTATGTAAGAAAATGAAATGCTTTTGCCCATACATATCACGATGAATAGTTGTTTTAATTAGCAGAGATAACTCATCAATACTTTAATTATGTTTCTTTTTTTCTAGTTTGGAAAACACTTCTTTCTGTCTCTACCTTCCTTCATATCCGAACCATTGCAGAAAATCTTGTATAAACTGCTTTCGAATTCCCAGCTCAGTATCAAAGAACACGCAAACAGAGCTTTTTACTCTTTCCTTTTACGTTCCGACTTTTCGGTGAGTACCAATATCTTGTGGCTTCAATTCGCATCATTATTGTCTGGTGTAAGATGGGACAGTTATAGTCATGTCAGTTACTGTCATGACTATAATTAACCCACCATATAATGTCAGTTACTCATGATTGAGGGTATCATTGTGGGCTGAAATATGAAAGTCGTGGTATGAATGTCTGGTTCTAAGAAAATCAGATTCAACAAAAATCAGGTGGAATGAAAGTAAAATGGTATAAAAATTAGGTGGTATGAAAGTCAGGTGGCATGAAAATTAGATCGTAGGAAATTCAGATGGTACGAAGCTCTAACAAAAAATCAGGTGGAATGAAAGTAAAATGGTATAAAAATTAGGTGGTATGAAAGTCAGATGGCATGAAAATTAGATCGTAGGAAATTCAGATGGTACGAAGTTCTAACGATTTTCTTGTCTAACTAGCACAAACAGTAGTATATTTATCGACAGATGAAATGGTTTTTGAGGACTTTTGAAATTTGATACTTCTTTCCTAAACTCCACCTGACTTATGCATCTCAGACGTTGCCGCGTGAGACATTTAAGACTACTGGTACTGTCTTCCAATTTGTAAGCTACTTCTTTAAAATTAACTCTGTTCAATGCTAGATTAAGAATTCATTTATATTACTTTTGCCGTTGGCCTAAAGATTTATTTGAATGAAACTGAACAAAAATCTAGTAACTTACTAGTTTGCTATGGTCAGGTCCATTTTATTAACTGTATTGGAACAGTTGATTTTGTCGCAACACGTGCCATCCCAATCACGTAATAATTTTCCTATGAACTTTCTCTTCGTTTGCCAACCTCTCGAGAGGTTTCGTTTTTAATGTTCTCTGTTTAAAAAGGTTTTCGAAAATCGCAGTAATTTGTCAAATCGATTTGAATTCATATTGTATTTCTGAATGCTTTTGCATCCTTTTCGCAGCAAATCCTAAAGTCTTTCAAGGAAGTCCTACTTTACCTGGCACGAGGAGCTGTATATGGAAAAGAAAAGGTTGGTAGAAATTAAAAATATATTTGGATGATTCTCATGCTGCTTACGTGCATATATCTTAAGTATTTTTGTCTATGTCGTTTTTTTCGTTTAAAGGTCTGCTGGAATTCAAAAATGATTTGTTAATCATTGCCAGTTGATTAAAATTAAATTCAGTTAGTAACCTATTTTGCATAGCTTTAAAAAAGCAAACATTTCAAGAAAAACTACAGCTTTTACAAGTACATTCTTCGGAGTATAAAACTTCAGAAAGCTAGGATATATATATATATCCAGTTGTTGATCAAATAGGCCAACAGAAAATGCGAGCACACGGCTGTTCTGTGCCACTTGCCTATAGTAAATTTTACTAATGAAGTCCATAGGTGAGAAATAACTCCTATCTCCACAACAACAGTTTTCTCATTTTTGCACACCTCAATAAATATTTTGAGGTTTTATACTCTTAACATTGTCAGACGAAAAGCTTGAGTATTTTTTAAATGTTTGCTCTTTCATAGACTTAATTATGTTTTGTACTACCAAAAAATTATTTGCATTTCAGGGAAAAGGTGACTGGAAATTCACTGATGCTAACAAAGCCGATGGATATATCAAAGCGGCAGAGTTCCTTATCAAGGTAAACTTTGTTGATATTAGGCGAATGGATAAGCTTCTTACATGTAGAAAAATCCGTTCATGGAGCATGTAAATTGAATTTAAGAATGCTCCGCTTAATTAACCTTTCATTGATCATCACAGTCAGGTTTTTGATTTTGCCAGAATAAGTTTTCTTGTGTTAATATTTCTTCTACACTCTTTTCTTGTAAAAGTTGTTTGAATTTTGCTGAGCCCCAATATTTTTAAAAATGTTTGAAGCTGACCCTAAAATGATTTTGAAACCATTCTTCAGAAGAAGTTGAAAATTCTTTGCTACTGTTTTTCATAACAGTGCTTTCTGAGTTTTGTAGTAAATTGGAATTTGGTATCTTAAGTCATCTTTGCTTTGCTTGCATAATCCATCTTTAGATTCTTTGATAAGTTGCTGGGTCTGTGCAATCATCCGTTCTCTAGTGAAAACTGTACCTTATACAAATGTCCAAAGTTAATACTAAAATCAATCCAACAATGTTATCAGATATTGTCGAGTTGCCCCCCCCCCCACCTCATTATTTGACAGGTATCGGTCCCTGGTCTATCAGATCCATCAACTCAGAATTCAATTCATAACCTGGTATTTATTACAGTATTTTGCTTTTCATGCTTTACCTGTCTCTCGATTTCCAGCAAGTTCCTACTGATTACATTCTGCACAACTGGCATTTGTGCTTTGCTACCATTTCCCATTACCTGATGCACCCAGCATCAACTGTAAGGCAAGCCGCAAGCTCTGTCATCAAATACCTAGGTATGAGTTTTTCTTTCATTTTTTGATGTAATTATAAGCAGATAGCACTTCACAGGGCCGCCGAGAGGTTTTGGAGGCCCTGGGGCAGAAAGCGAAAGAGAGCCCCGTGAGCAAAACGAACAGAAAAGTTTTGCAGCCACGCCCTTTAGATTGGCTGAAAATCATTCATTCCTTTAAATCATTTTTCTTTTTATTATTACCTAACTATTAATTAATTCAATTTAAGAACGGAATTCATTACTTTGTAAGGCCCCCTAGACCTTGAGGCCCTGGGGCAATTTATCCCCTTGCCCCCTCTCGACGGCCCTGGCAGTTCAAATAAATAGTCTTAAAAACTGTAGCCTTTCTAAGTAAGCTCTTCTGCTCAAATACTTATCCTATGAAAATTTATTTAATCAAATCTGAATAAGGCAAGCCATAGACGTTGCAGGGGGTACGTGTTTCCCTCCCCCCACTTTAAAGATACAGAGGTAAGAAGCCTACTTAAAGCTTGCGGAGGTGCCCCTATTATTACTACATATGTACCCCTCCTCCCAGTTTTAAAATGCTTCCTACGACTTTGAGGCCACAACTTTTTGGGGCATAATATTTTTGTGTACTATTCGTTTAATTTTGTTCATCGTTTTCACAGTTTTATTTCTATACCTCTCTCTCTCTCTCTCTTCATAAAAGACAGCTGATTTCGAACAAACTGTAAATTTTAACTCCGTTAAAGTCTGGAAATAAAATTTACCACATATGAAATGTCGAACTTTGTTCGATACAAAGAGACTTTTGTTCTTTTGTTCTATTGATTCATTCTTATCAAAATCCATTGTTTCTTGTTTTGTTCCATGGAGACTGTTTTTTTAATTATGGAAATTTTATGTGATTTCTTGCAACTTTTTCGGATAGTTTTTTCGGCAGTATATTTTGTTTTTATTTTTATGCAGTTTTGAGTTTTGTTGCACAAAGGCTGATTTAGTGAAATATTAACACGATTTTGCTGTTGTTTATTGTTCTTGTTAATTTCTTCTTTTGATCCATCTTCGTACATCACCAGTACATTTTTCACAAAATATTTTTTTTGAATTATTTTTATTTCCTATATATATATATATATATATATTCATCAGAATGCCTTATGCTTGTTATTTCAGTTGCCAAACAAACCCCAAAACTGGTAATGCCAAATTTAGTTGCACAGAATCTTGTAGCTGGTTGGAAGACAGACATAGCCTCCTTGAAGGAGCCTTTCAGCTCACGTGATACTTCCCCGAATGCCCAAAAAAACAGCGTCAGATGCATTGAAAAGAAAAACAACTGTGAGGAACTTCAATTTTTGGGCCTTAGATAAAACCGAAATAAAATCGTCTATATTCTTGATACTCAACGTCCAACTGTTTTTTTTTCATTTTTCTTCTTGAGCAATTTATGTTGTGTTAATCTTCTTTATAGAGTTTTTTTAGTTAATATAAAGGGCTTGCATTCTTTTTGGGGAATTTTCACATCGTTGGCTTGATCATAAAAGTTGCAAAAACACTATCAGTTGATTTATATCTCTCATTTGCTGGTGGCATATTACGTATCTCATTTGCTGGTGGCTACAAATCTTTTGTCTGAAACGAAAGGAAGCCTTTTTATACTGTGCAGGAACATAGAAGGTTTCGGGTGTTTAAATATAAAGGAATAGAAACGAAATGATAACAGTACTGAAAATTAAAATGAATCTGCCTTTCTTTATAAGATAGCAGAAATAGCTCAAAAATAATCTAAGTTTTGCTGAGCGGGACCTTTATTGTAATTATTTATAGAATTCACTGTTAATTATAAAATTGCAAAATATACTGATACGAATACTGCTGTTGAATTTATTGCTAATATAGTTAATCAAGTTTTAATATTTATGATGAGTAAGTAATAAGTGTTTGATATTACGTTAATGAAACCTCTGGCCTTTTTACATGATTTAAAAGAAGATGAAACTGAATTTTTTTCTCACATTGCATTGATTTGAAAAAACATCAACAGATTCACTTTTCAGCTATTGGCTTTATTTCTGATGTACGAATTTTTTCGTTCTCTATTTGTTCTTGATAGTCCTTTTCTATGTTTTCAGGGGATGTTGACGTCACAGAGCTGTGGGAATGGAGAGAAGGAAGACTTTTAGCATATGAACTAATTTTGAAATACTTGATCACAAATCACATCCATTATACTTTTCCAGCCTACACCCTTACCCGCGCCGTTGTTTCGAGGAATTCCTTTTCCGAAAGGTATTTTATTTTTGCTGAAAATTTTGGCCTAACCTCCATTGCAATTATAAGCTAAAGTCCTAAGCACATATGTCGAAAGGTTTAACACTAATGTCAAGAACTGACTTGTAGCCTGAATATTTAGGACAACTTGGCATCCCTGAATGTTTAGGACATCTTGTCAACGTCTCAAGGGCGTCGCCAAAATGGTGGTGTGGATGGAGTGGTGCAGCTCTCCCCCATGAAAACCTTTTTCGGTCGGCATATTAAGGACTTTTGCCGGGCAAAAGAAGCAATTTTGTACTCTTCCAGTCACCTTTTTCACAATTGTAGCGTATTAACATTTCTGTAATAGTTGAACCTTCAAAGTATGGCACTTAAGTTTGAACTTTGAAACAGAAACGCATAAAAGTAGCATATAAGAGTGTTTTTCTTTTGACCACACCCTTGAAGGTGAGACACACCCTTTTTGTCGGCAAAAACCACTTCTTCGCCCCTCCATAAAGATTTTTAGTGTCGCCCCAGATCCCTCTCTCCGTTCAATGTTGGGGCGTATGGATTTTAATAGAGTATGTATAAGTGTTAAATTGAAGGGTAGGGGGTCTGTCAAATCTTAGCACTGTCTGTACAGAATGATGTATATATGTTCATTTTTGTGACGCTTATTTTGAAAGGAAGTAGTCAACAGTCTTGTGACCAAAGGGCTTTGCCAACCCCTACGTTTTACGTATTGAAAGAGAATGTACTGATAATTCAAGTTCCTTCTCACATTCTATTTGACCATGTTAATTGTAATGACTTTTTCATAAAGATTGAAGTGAATTTAGTGCTTGTTGTTGCAGTTGTATTATTGTATCATAGGGGTTCCAAGTCCCTTCCTTTAAAGGACTATCTATTGTTTGGGAGTTTTGCCGTCTGGTTTGTAGTCTAGCTGTACTAATGAAAGCTGTTTTGTTTTGTAGAAAAAATATTAGCAGTGAACACAAATTTTCAGTGAGTCATAATTTTGGATCGAGACGAGGCAGAGGGTTTTCAAGGCACGAGGCTCTCTCGAGGTCATTGACAATGGTACGCAGGAGATATATTTTGAGTGGCTAAAGATCTTCTTACATATGGTTGATAGGAAACTAAGAAATCGTGCAAGTGTTGAACGTATCCTAAAATAACAAGATTTTGTCTTCTTAGATTTTTTATAAAGTTTCCAAAGCATCATGTTGGCTTCCTTCGCCCTCTTTGATATTTAAAACGAATAGTACTTTGCAGGTTTTCCATTATTTAGATATTACCCAAGTAATATTTTTAATTCATTTTTTTAACAACCAAAAAAAGTTTTGCTGTTTCCCTCTATGATATATATTTTATACTGCCAAGTGTTTACTGTTCGAATGTTAAGCCCATATTTCCTGCAGAAGTTGGCTAAGACTGGCTGGCTGGTCCGATTGAGGTATTTTAGTCGAGCAATTGAGCGTTTGAAGGCCGGATGCTCTGCCAGACAGTTACCATTAGAACAGGTGGAGAAAGGGATCGGACCCCGAACCACCTGGTTCCGTGTAAAGCTCTTTACCAAGTGACCTACGGCTGTTCTCATTCAGTTTTTACAGTCTATTTACATTTTATATAAAATAATGTCTTGTACAATAATATTTGTCAACGCTTTGCTTTGAGGTGTCCTTGAAAGGTCTAATAATGTAGTCACTTCTTTCACTGCTCTACCTTCCCGTTACCTTTTGCTTACTACTGGGTCCAGAACAAGCTAAATATAAAGCTTGTTGTGTTGAATTGCTCCTTTGAATTAATGATCGCTCAATTATTCAATTTAATTGATATTCTCTTTCTTCAGGAAAGCGACCCGACTACACAGAGGTACATTTCGTCTCTAATCGAAAAAGAGAAAACAAAGAATCAGGTATATATACTTCTCTCTCCTTTTGATAAAGTAAATTTGATTTTTAGAGAGGGCTGGGGGGGGAGGGGGCGGGCTAGGGATGTGTAATTTCCAACTAATCACTCTTCTCTAGTAACAATAGATCAGTAGCATTGTTGTTGGATTATTGAAAGAACGGTTGGTAGCTTTAGCTCGTTATTTGGTTAGAAGGCTCGCTCCTTTCTTGAAGGAAAAGCAATGACTACCAACAATTTGCAACTTGTGGACTCCTAAACCCCTTGTTATGAAAAAGATTGTTGGCTTAAAGTTTGCGATACCTACGGCATACTTTTTTATGTCGAAGGCCTATTTTGGTGTAAGTTGTTGGGTATCGAAATTTATGACTTGAACATCCCCTAGGCCACACGATATCCTTTGCAAAGTATCTTTTTATTCTTTGCTAACGCTAAATTTGTAATATTTCTATTTTTTATCTACAGACGCAATCCTTGCTTGAAATCATGAAAAGATCAGAAGGAGAATCCTCCCACATGGTAGGCAATGTTATCATTAGCTTTTTATATACTACCTCCAGTTTCTCACTGCCTGTGATCCGGTGACCTGTATATAAAATACACCCATGTTACCTAGAATAGCTTTATAAGAAAGAGGACTGATTTCGAACAGTGAAGGCTCTTGTGCAACCGGCATGCTTAGCGGCAACTGCCTTGAGAAATGGACTGTGTTTTGTATTTTCATGCAGTACGATATTAGGCCGGTTTTGGAATTACAATCGCAAAGCATGCCGGTTGCGCAAAAGCCTTTAATCACCCGCTATCCTTTTTTATCATGCATTATCATCATCACTTCATAAAGTACTTGAAGAGCTAATCGAAATGGCGGTGACCTTAGGCACATTTTAAGAAGATTTTCTATAAGAAGATTTTTTACCCATTTAACATTCTATTTCTTACATACAGTTATTACCCTCGATTTCGAAGATGAAACTGCATATTAAGAACTTCATGGCTGCTTTTTAGATTGACAATCAAGCACCTTTAATGTCAAAACCACTTTGTAAGATTGAGGGAGCTGTTCTGCCTGTTATAGAAATCACAAGTTGTTTATGCGAGTTTTTACAGTATAGTTCTTTAGGAGCACTATGACAATGCAGGGTTGTTCTGTTTTAAGCATTGTTTCCTTTGGTAGAATGAGCTTTTTCATTTAGTATTATACGAATCAACATTTAGTTGTTTACATCAAGATCAACATTTACTGCTCTACGTAGAAACACTTTTCAATTTTTCTATTAAAGATCTTTGATGAGTTGGAAAGTAGACTTCGAGAAAGTGAGTTTTTTAGGTTATCAAGTTTTTTGAACTAATTCAGTTATACAACTTGACGTATAAGCAGAACATGCTGTTGCATTAAGCCTCGCGAGAATTTGTCTTATGCAAGGGATTTTTATTGCCTTCTCGTGGCATCCTTGAACTTGCAGCAATTGAAAATAGGACGCATGTTGATTGGACGGATCTTGAAACAAGACGAGAATCGATCAACCTTCTGCTAGGCTTTTTGTGATAATAAAGTAAAGATTGATATGTTGATTGATTGTTTAAGAGTTCAACCAAATGAGATGAATTACTCGGCCTGTTATGTTAGGCTAACTTGCAAATGATCTCGTCAGATACAGGCAATTCAATTTATATCAATGTTTGTAATTCTGCTATTCTTTAAATTAGAGTAAATTACTGATTCTTGGTAAGCAATGACTGTCCTTTTATGACATCAGTCGGTTTCCTTTAGTTTCACAGTAATCAAGCTACTTTGCAAAAAGCTCTATTAAATATTATCGCGTTTCCAGTTGACTTTTGACTTGTTTTTTTCTAATTTAGGCCTTGATTTTTAAGTTTGTGTCTCCTTTTTTCCCTTCTTGTCCAAACATTATAATGAAAGCTTTTCTTTTCAGACGTTTGTCTCTATAGTTCGGTTACTACTGCATCCATAAAAAAGTTGGAAGATTTTAGGTAAATTTTTTTTATATTTAAGCTCTACTGTTGCGTAACTGTTAATAAATAATGTTGACAGGAGTACAAGAAAATCCACAAGGCATTTGTTGTGAAAGAGCTCGTGATGATACAGCTGATTTATTACATATGGTCAACAAGCAATTGTTGTTTGTGAGAGCCGAGTTTGCTTGAAGTTATGCCTTCCTGTGGGTCATCTTAAGCAAACAAAACGGTCGGCTTGAGATAAAAGTCCATGCTACTTTTTTGTAGCCCGCTACGAACCCCCTGAGAGCCACAAAAATTCACCCCACATCTTGTTTCCCCGGGTCTTTCTAACTTACATAGTTTGTCATAGCAATGCAACATGTCTGCATCAAAGACCTTCTGTCAAATTCCAAGTTTCATCAGTGATGGCGAAATGAGTTGAAGCAACTTTGTTCCCTCACTGATATTCAATCATTGCTTTCTTATCAAAACTGTAATTACATTTTCTGCAGGTATGTTTTTTATCAAAACTTTAAATTGACGTTAACTTGGATATACGTGCATTTTCCTCTTACTGCACTAAAAAAGCCAAGGTCATGTATTTTTCCAAATTGTCGGGTAATCGCTGGACCAAACCAAAAGACAAAGGAGAATTACTATCAGAGTATGTCCGCTCTATCGTAGAATAATCCGGATATTTTCCGATTTTTTCCGTTCTTTTTTGCTCGGACAGATTGGATGATTTTATGTATCTCATGTTTTTTGGTGGAGATGAAATTATGAAGGCCCGGCACTTTTAATTTTTAATAATGAGATTGGATTTCAAATTTTACTTTTAATTCTTAGCGAAGAATGTGCATCGTTGTCCAAACCTCCAGTTATTGGTCCCGACCCGGTTCCATTCGGAAGAATACTCACTCAGGTAACAACATACGTATGATTTTGTCAACCAGGTCGTTGGTTTCAACATCATTTATGTTGAATGCATGTTGCATGATTGTGCAAGAGCTTGCAACGATGATTATTTAAAAGGAACAAATGAATAAGGAAAACAGTGACAAATATTCCGGCCTATTTAGGACAAAACATATGATCCACGGATCCGGGATGACGTTCCATCATTATTTGAAGGCAAAAGACAGAAATTTAAGTGGCTATCTGCCAATCAACAATTGGCCAATCATTAAGCTTGATACCACCCTTAATGATTGGCCAAACGTCAGGCGCAATTGATTGGCCAGCAATTGATTGGCCAGCAATTGATTGGCCAGCAATTGATTGGCCAGCAATTGATTGGCCAGCAATTGATTGGCCAGCAATTGATTGGCCAGCAATTGATTGGCCAGCAATTGATTGGCCAGCAATTGATTGGCCAGCAATTGATTGGCCAGCAATTGATTGGCCAGCAATTGATTGGCCAGCAATTGATTGGCCAGCAATTGATTGGCCAGCAATTGATTGGCCAGCAATTGATTGTCCAGCAATTGATTGTCCAGCAATTGATTGTCAGCTGGCTTAAGCAAATTTACCATCTGTCGATTGCTTTACTTTTGCCTTATTTTTAATGCACGCAAAGAATTGCTGCAAATCCATCCAACGTGTACCCACGAGGTTCCTCGACCCATGTGCATTCAAAAACGAAGCTTTCTTGCTGCTGATGATATATTTTCAATTCAATTTCTATTTATATTTTACAGATATTCGCTCAAACTCTCGAATGCATGGCGGATACAAGATGGGAATTAAGACGCATGGCTCATCAGGTGAACACTTTCGAAGTACATTAAAGAACTAGAAATAATGCAAAATGTTCACAAAAGTTTTTTACACGATACATCTTCTTCATGTTCTGTTTCTACCTCCTTATCATCTCCATCTTAAACTCCGCCTCATTCTTTTTCCATTTTCAATTCAAATTCCTCTTTAACAGTTTGTTTTTTTGCTTTTTATTCTCCCCTGTTCTTCTCTGTTCTCCCCTGGTCTCCTTTGCTCTTCCCTGCTCTCCCCTGCTCTCCCCTGCTCTCCCCTGCTCTCCCCTGCTCTTTCCTGCTCTTTCCTGCTCTCCCCTGCTCTCCTCTGCTCTCCTCTGCTCTTCCCTGCTCTCCCCTGCTCTCCCCTGCTCTCCCCTTTGCTCTCCCCTGCTCTCCCCTTTGCTCTCCCCTGCTCTCCCCTTTGCTCTCCCCTGCTCTCCCCTTTGCTCTCCCCTGCTATCCCCTGCTCTCCTCTGCTCTCCTCTGCTCTCCCCTGCTCTCCCCTGCTCTCCCCTGCCCCTCCCTGGCAAGTTTTTCCTCTCAAGTAGGATGTTTATTGTTTCCACTTCCTCACTCTGAAATACAAAGACAAATATGTATTTGTAGCCTGCCCATTCGTATTTTCTTAAATATCCACATCATGTCCTTCTCTGGCTATTAAATAATCAATAAAGATTCTAAATCTGAGAATTCCTTGCGTGTTTCCTTTTGGTAGCGTCAATCTTGTTTAAATGAGTTTAATATCCTGTTGTTATCACTTCTGTCAACCTGCCTTAGGTTCATCATTTTTTTCTTAAGCATGTTTCTATGAAATATCACTACGAACGTTGAACCTTGCCAATATCTTCCTTTAAAAACTTCTGTTTCCCCTTTTGATTCAAACATATTCTCTATCGTAGGTCTTTCCTTTGATATCTGAAACAATTCGATTTTATGATGCAAAGATTTTAGAAAATTTATGGGAGAAGCATTTGTCTGCCGATGCAAGCAAACTTGGTTTTGGTGCTTGCGTCTCTCTGAAATACTCCTTGGAACACGTGGCAAAGCTCGTGAAATATTTTGAAAATCCACCAGGATTTTGGAAAGTAAGTTCAAAGTGATTAATTAACTACAATTGCATTCAATGTTGATTAATGGATCATTGCAATATTATATGTGTTGGTCAGAAACTCGAAGCTGCAATGAAAAGAACTGAATTTAAGCTCAACAAAGGGAAATTTTATAAAATTTGAGTCCATTTTTGCGAAGTTTCGATTTTTGAAGAATAATTATTTATCGAAAAATATGTTGTATTCATTTTTTTTGCAGTTTTCATGCTGTAAGTTTATAAGGGAATGTCTCCAATTGAAAGAATGCAGAGAAATATCTCTACAGCTCCCCTAATTAGCTCCTTGAGCCTTTTTAGACCTTGATGGGTCTTGCTCAGCCTTCATTGGTTTTTGATTGATCTTTATAGGCCTCCGAAGGTTTTTAGTTAAATGTTATGGGCCCTGTTTAATGGTAGATAATGTGCGTGGTCTAAATTGCCCCCAAGAACCAGTGAATTGTGCCAGATTTCACCACCATCGTAGCTACTATATCATACAGCCAATTGTTTCTCTGAATTCTGACGATTTTTGATCCTGGAGTTATTAACTGGTCTGACTTTAATTTCCTGAAGGTGCAAATGGCTTCAGTTCCTTCAAGGTTTCAAATTATATTCCAAAGCAGATAAGACCCACAAATATAGCTTGAATAAATCACTTAGCTGTGAATGTTTGGAGTTCTTTAAAGCTTGGAGATTGAGGTAGCTTTCAAAAAGTCCGTTGGAATAGGGTATCCATGTCCTAGGGGTTTTCCAATTTCTTTTCAGGCTCGTTCTCCAACTTGTAAATGTTATGGAAATCTCCAACGGTTGATATCTATGATTTTGAATGAATGGCGAGGAAGGGGGAAGGGGGGGGGGTGTTTACACTATATATTCTACTATCACTGTTTGGCTTTAAATCTGTGTCCAGGACTATTAGTTAAACTCAACTTTAATTATTTGATTGATCCTTGATTCTTCGTGTCTTAATACCTTTTACGATACTTTGATTTAGGACATTGACAGATGCAGGGTTGCGGCGAAGAGTATTGTTGACAGCATTAACGATCGGCTCCCCGGCCTACTTGAAAAGGTATACTGACGTCACCGGCTTAACGTTCATATTTTCATTCCTGAAACTTCGTATATATTAAAAAGCGACGCGCATACATTTTGCGGTTGCTGAACATTTTCGACCCAAAAGGATTTTTTCTTTTGACATTTGGTAAGCAGGTCATGTGCAGTTTGTTTGACATTAACTTGAAGTGATCTCTTCTGATATCTGCTATAAAGCCGACGAATCCCTCTATAGAGTCTAGAGTGCGACGTCATAGAAAATGAATTTTTAAGGATTTTTATATTTTGTTTATAACTTAAAAACGCAATAAAATGCCTCTTAATGTAATCCAAATGTTAAAAATTTATTTTTGTGACGTTGTCATTTTAGATTTCTGTTGACCCCAGTTTGCAAAATGCAGTTTACGTGCACTTTAAAAGGTTTTTTTAAAAATTTATTTTAGGGAATAAGTATTTTATTGTACAATTCCTTTCTTTTTCATTAGGTTAGTTTTATGGTATCTCGGCCTTGTATATCTAATGAGAATTATTTCATTAAAAGGCAAGCATGGTTGCATTGTTTTTTTCCAGCAAATGTCTTCAAACAACAGCATTTTATAAGGCATGCTTCTTTGTTTTCATTTAGACTGCTGAAATCGTCTTTCGACCCTGCTTCGATCGACTCACGATTATATCAATGGAAATTATACTGCTTTCTGTTATTCATTTTCCGCAGGTACAGTGTTTTTAGTTTATTCTATAAATTTGATTTCACTTCCATTTTCATGCTCAGCTTTGCCATGTTCTTCAGAGGTATCTTCCTTTTCTCAGGGCCTTTGTTTTTTCCTTCTTTTTCTATTTTCCTCCTTAATATCATCATCCGCTAATCTATCTAGTTTATATTCTTTCACAACTTCTTCCTCCTCTTTCTTCCATTGCTTTGTATTTATTCTTCCTTCTCAGGATCCCTTCTTCTTTTTTTACTCCTCTGCCTCTTCCTCTTCACCTTCCTCTCCCTCTTCTTTCTCCTCTCCGCCTTCCTCATCTTCTTCTTCATCTTCTTTTTCCTCTCCTTCTTTTTCTTCCTCTGCTTCTTCTTCTTAGTATTTTACTTTTGCTTGCTACGAAGCTCACTTTTCTTTCTCTTTTAGCACTCACAGCTCTCCTTCTTTCCTAATTTTTATCTCCTCGCTCATACTCTTCCTATCTGTTTTAAATCTCAATCAAAACCTGTTTATTCTAATCTCATGCCTTCAATTCTGCTCACGCTGCTCAAGTTGACTGGGCCTCCTTTATTTGTGATTATTAATCATCAGTATAAATTCAGTTGTGGTTTTCAATATTAAATTCATGAAAATATTTCTGGTAAACTTTCTGTTTGCTTACTAAAATTTCGTACCTAAATGAGGATCGTATTATGTAAAGATGTTTCATATTGTATATTTGTTTGACCAATCCTTTCTCGTTAGCACCATAAACTCTTTCTGTTCAAATTACGTTTTATAGAATGCACTTGAGTGACAGAAATGAGTTAAACTTACTGTTTTCCGGTTTCTCATAAAGTGCTTGATACCGTAAAGGCAGAGCTGTTTACGCTTTTTGTGCATAGAACAGGACAGTTCTTAGTTGCTACTCTGAGTTTCACTCTTAATGCGATCATCAAGCAACTGTGATAGAAAGTTTAAATTGTTCAATGTTTAAGAAAGCATTCGCTTGGTTGGTAGATTGTAGCATTAGCTTGAAGATTTTGAGGATGGTAGTTGTTACTTATTGCAGGTGATGGTTGCATTGACACATATTGGTTTCACATCCAAGCTTCTGAAATATGACAATCATATTTAAATTTGTTGGCAGTCAACGAATCTTTGCAGACGAAAGTTTCTGCTCCATTTTACGCAAATCCGTGTTATAATTCCAAATGATTTTTTCTAATAATTTGTGATTAATGAAGATTCCAAACTCTCTAATTATACATTCAAATTATTTTAGCAACTCAGTCAACAGTGCTTGATATCAAAATTCGTTAAAAAATCAGAAATGCTCTTTATGCAAGCATATCCACAAAATCCATACGGTGAGTCGATTCTCTTTGTTTTCGACTCTGTTTTATCACAGACGATGCAGTTCCCCTCCGTTCGTGTAACATTTATCGTGGTTTTTGTTTCACTTTTAGCAATATAAATCCTTATTGAAGATAAATTGTATATATTGTATTGTAATTAGGGTAAATTGTTTTTTATAAGAGTTTCAGTAAGTATTTTGAGTTGGGGGGCCCTTGAAAATCATCATTGCTGAAGGGCTATCCTCCTTAAACATTTGAAATGGAATGAACTGAAATGAAATCAAATGAAATTGAATGAAATGAAATTGAATGAATATCATTCAGTTTGATAAACGGGTATAACATTCAGCTAAAACAAACGTTTTTGATTAAATTTTTCGGCATCAGTTTCTTTGCTTGTATAACCTAAGCCTTGATGAAAGTCTCATAAATTTTTCAAAATTTGTTCAATTCCTTTACCTTTAATGCAGTTGTCATTCTGACGGACCCACTGTCCTCTTCTTCATCCAGAAACTTTGTCCCTGTGTAGGTTGAAGCTGCAAGCACAACAGATGATCCGCCCTGATACGGGACTGTAAACTTCACTTACATGTTTTTAATTTTTTGTTCCTATTGAGATCCTGCTTTTCTTAGAAATCATACAGAAATATTTTTGTAAATAGCTTGTGATTCAAACAACCAGTTGTTAATATTTCTTTTACAGCGCGATACTTGCGGTCAACTAGAAGCGAACCGGTTGAAGAATTTCAGTCTTCTTGCGATGTACTTCTTAGGTATTTTATATATTACTATTTATCATCCTTTTACTATTTACCCAGCTCTTGTTTAGCTTGTTTTTTTAAAGAATTTTTGTTATGTCATTTTAGCAAAGGCAAATACATGTAGTTTTTCTTAACATACACTACGTATGTTTTTTTCTACGCTAGAAAACGTAGCTGTGTAGATTGAATACTCGGTCTTGTGTTCTTGACACTTCAAATGAACAACTGACTAAGGAGATGATATTTTTTATGTCAATAGTTCACCTCTTTATTCGCTCGGAGCACAATGCATTGTGGTACATGTAGTTAACATCACGCTGTACGGCTTACTGTGATAGAACAGGTGGACAACCTTGCAATCCAAGAAAGTAATGCTGATATTTCATCATGAACCGCCCTTGTTGTTTTTATGTACTTTATCCCGGGGCATCTGGCTCTGTTTTCAGTGAGAACATGGACCAGAACCTCAGAAGATGCAAGCTCGATTGTTGATTAGACTGAGACATGCAAACCTCTTCGTTGATCTCAGAGGAATCTCGATCGTTGGTTTGCAATGCATGCCAACATTACAAAAAAACATTTAAACTCGAAACTTGTTGATAATGCACTGACATGACTGACGAGTAAGCACCGTAGGCCTACACAGCAAACTCAGGACTGTATGTTGTGGAAAGAGGGGAGAATTTGGCACAGTGAGCATGACGCCGAATGTTGACGATTTTGGTTAATGTAGCATCAGATACATGGTCCATGCCCATTTAGACCAATGAACATGAGCGATATTGAATGCAAAATGCAGTTGTAAAGCAGTGGGGGGGGGGGGCCAAGTAGCACTAACATCCTGCAAAGTTTGGTAACAGTAACATTGTCTGTCTGCTGGGCAACATTTATTTCTTCGTTCCTACCTAGGATACTGATTTTTGCCTCCTTTTGAATGAAACACGAAACAACGGTTTAGTAGATACAGTAGGAGGAACGGCAGCAATGAAAGTAATAGAGGATCCCACCCCATCTGACCCAATTATTTTGTTGGCTTAGTTAAAGTTACGCTAAGATAAATTCCACTACGACAGAATGTATAAGGCTAGTATGTCTCGAGCTATTTCAAAACACTCTGTTACTTTATTTCATTTTTAAATTCTTTTTTAGCTGTGCTCCCAAGAATGCATCAACAGAAACACGAGCCCAGAAGGTCAGTTTTTCATTTTACATTGTATTATATCGACCATTGAATTCTTCATATTGAACAAAAAAATAATTTCTGACTTAGCACGAGTGTTATGTCAGGTGTATGTATAACAAACCCGTGGAGTCTTGACTGAAATCGTTTAGGCATAGAACAGTTCAAAGGTAGATCATTCAGTCACTTTTGATGAACACATGTGTAGATAACGATATTTCCAAAATATTAATCAAGTCATTGATTTCATCAGCCTTTTTGAGAACAAAACCAACTGCATTGCTTCGATTGAAAGATTGATAATTAATTATATACCCAAAATTCCTTAATTAGCCCCCGGAGGCTCAATAATTTGGGGCAGTTATTCCGAATAACGGCGTAAAAATTTTCCGACGAGAGAGGACTTCAAAGAGATGGTTGCAAGAAATTGATCCATTTAGGACTACTTGCTAGCGTCGCGCGTTGCATGTACACATGATGTTCGGAAAATGAACAGAATTATAGCCCTAGATAATGGAATCTCAAATCGTCTCCCCAATTATCACGGGCTACCGTTTGCATGCCCATGAAGAAATACAATGTAAAAAAACAATGCATCGTTGAATACCCCAATGCACTTGCTCTGCCTGCCATCGAATTTCGCCCACAGGTAGCAAGAGATTGGTAAGCAAGACATGAAGTGAAATTCACCAATTAGTCACAGTGCTGCGTATGAAAAGAATAATTGCAGCGGTCATTTCCAGAAAGCTTTTATCCTTGACGCAATACTGGGCTGCATCGTGATAGTTGAACTGGGCACATCAATGCCTCAACAACTTCTTGCTGAAACCACGCAATAGGAAATCGTTACTGTCGTAGCAGCATTAAAGAATTAATTTCCAGTCTGAAATAAAAGTTTATTGTTCGTAATTTGGACAAATGGATTCCGACATGACTGAAAATAGACCCCAGAGCTCCACACTTGGAAAACCCAGCGAAAGACTTGAGCGCGAAATGGAAGCAAATGCATCGCCTTTATTGACTGACCGTAGTTTTGGAAATGAAAGAACTGCCGAGGAAAAAGAAGACAGTGGTGTTTTTGATTTTGGTTGTCAGTATTCAAATGATTCCGGAAAAACGGCTGTATCCTTTGCATCCTGGAGCTATGAAATTGTTCAACACTTGAGCCATTGCTCGTATTCAGCTTTTGAGAGTATTTCCATGCAGGACTTGCCTTCCCTTGATCGTCGCTCATCAGCCTGGCTTGCTGGCATCAACGTCCAAAGTATGATTTTAGGCACAAGTGTCCTTGGTTTCCCTTTTGCATTCATGAATGCAGGCATATGGGCCATTCCACTTGTTGTCATTATCGGCACCGCAGCAAGTGTTTCAGCTGGCCTACTACGAGATTGTTTGTATCAAAATTCTCGGAAGCACGGTCGTCCAAAGCGTGTCAGAAGGACCTATGTTGATGTTTGCAATGGGGCTTGGCCCATGTATGGGCGAACAATATCAGAGTTGATCGTGTTTATAGGCCTTTTGAGAAATGTGATCGTTTTGATATTGCTAACAAACCTTAGCGTCCAAGTACTCGGTGACGTGCTTCGAATAGACAAAGGAATCATCACAGTCTCTTGGGCCTTTGCAGTATTACCGTTTTTATTCATAAAGCGAGTTTCTTCTCTGGCATGGATCAGTTTCATTGGACTATCACTGTATCTCGTAGCACTTGCAGCCATTTTGGTCCAGTGTCTTTTGCATTACCCTTCGTGGTCTTTTGCCAACCTTCACTTTGATTTTCACATCGAAAAAATTGGGTTGGCTGCAGGGATTATCATCAACTCCTTCGCGCAGCATTTATCTTTCCCCCCCGTCGAAGGAAGCATGAGAAAACCCAAGACTTATCGCCCGACGTTTTATGTAACATTTGCCATTAATGTTATTGTCAAAGTTTTCTTTGGTGTGTCAGCGGTGTTGACATATGGATCTTGTACTAAACAGTCAATTACTGGCAACCTTTCAGATCGCAAAATATCCGTTCCCTCCAATGCTGCTATCGCGTTTTTCGCATACTTCACTTTACCAATGCAGAGTTTTGTAGTTTTTGATTTGATTGATTCGAAGTTTTTGCCACACTTTCCAATTTTCAAGAGTTCCGCTAGCTGGAGCTGGATGTTCCTATCACGGTCCGTTGTCTTGGTTACTTGCCTCCTTGTAGCTGTGTTAGTGCCTGAGTTTGGCCTCCTTGTCAGTTTTGTTGGCAGCATTAGAGGAAGCTTCGTCAGTCTCGTGTTCCCACCACTATTCTACTTGAAGCTCTTTAAGCATAAAGTAGGATACGTGAGAAAAATCCAGTGTGTTGCTGTTGCTCTCATTGGTCTATCACTGGGTAGTGTAGGGATATACTCTTCGTCAAAAGCAGTTATCTTGCTATGGGTCTAACGAACTCCGTATGGCTGTATAATTCAGCAGCGTATCGCAGATCACTCATGGAACCAACAAACAATTGACTCGCACATTTTGTATAATCCAGTCAGAGCTAGAGTAACTAAATTTACTCGTCATTTTATTATTTTGTTTAATTGTTTGTACAGTTCTTAGCACTTGCTAACAATTTTTCCACGGTTGGTTTCAAATCTTCCAACTCCTAAAAATGTAGCAAAGTCCTCTTTCTTATCTGGCAAATGGGCCAAGAAGTCTGTAGCTAAAACCATTTTTTCAACAACCGTCTCTACCTTCACCATTTCAAATGTTCTCCCCGGGCGTTTTTGATCGAAGTATGTTTTATATTTTGGAGCAATATTACTCACAACTTTTGTCAAACTCTTTCGAAATGCTCAAAAATGTTTTTTACACCTCCCCCCATCCTACTAACACAACTTCTAATCACTTACCTTCGTTTACCTCAATTTCATATATTCTCGGTTATCGTCATTGTTTCAGATAACGATAGTCGCATATAAAACCTTTTTCTCTTTCTGATATCTCTGGTTGCAAACTAAGCTAGCCAAATCTTCTATTTTCTTCAAAATTTCTAAACAGGTCAATTTTATTCCTTTCAAAAATCAATTTGTTTCAATCTTTCAAGTTATGTCGACTTTTTTTCTCCACAACTCTATTCCCCAGACCTCTTTTTCCCAGTCATTTACTTCCCAGACCTCTTCTCCCCGGCCTCCTCTCCCCAGACCTCTTCTCCCCGGCCTCCTCTCCCCAGACCTCTTCTCCCCGGCCTCCTCTCCCCAGACCTCTTCTACCTCGGCCTCCTCCAATGTGGACTATTTTCATCCTTCCCTCTCCCTTAAAACATAAATAAATTTCCTATCGTTTCCATTAGCGTCACTAATTTGCCAAACTTAAAATGAGTTTATATGTAACCGTTTATTTTTCTTGAAATAATCTTGAATTGAAATCTTCAAATTGTTTTTGACAAATGAAATATTTTTAATAGAGGGCCTCCTCGTTTGAATTAAAAATCTGTCATTTGTTTAAATAGAAGGTGCATCTTGTATTTTTCTTCAGTGTGATTTGCTGCAATGCTATTTCTCGATGTAAGTGGCACAAATGGTTCTTAGCACAGGCACGAGGTAGCACGAGAACTTGCTAATCAGGCCCGCAAATTAGAGCGATAGTTGTTCGACTTCTGGGCGTTTATTAGTATTCCGGGATGCTATGATTGTATTGTTTTTACTCCTCATTGGGTCTTTTACATATCATCTAAAAATCAAAGATAATATTTAGCATCATGTACATGTCCATGAGTCCGTATAGTTGAAAGACGGAGGGTCATCTGAGCACCCTTCTGTACAGACAATCAAACTTTTAGCCAAATTAACTAATGAAAAATCACAAACATTAAGGCTCAAAAATGGCAGTTGCTTTCATTTCTAAAGGATACGAATCGTCATGTATTTGTAATGAGATGAACAAGAGCTTGAGAGATGAACAAATTTGCTCTGGAATCTTGTTAACTCGTGTATATCCAGAAGTATCAGAGCGTTGACCAAAGGGCTTGATACGTATTTCGTCATGCAATGCAGGGGGTAATGCTCAGTTGTTGTAGTTTAAGGGGCTCTTAAAACTTCAGAATTTATACAAATTTATGAAAACTAATAAAGGTTTGGGGGGTTTTTTGCCGACAATGTGTTTTCCTGTTCACGCCTGCCCTGCCTTCTGCCCCCTCCTCCCAAATCGATATTGGAGGAAATTTCATCTTTCTTCACTCACGAAAACATTTTTTTATAATTTATCTTGCAAAACTTTTACAAGTTCAGCTTGAAGAGGTAATGTGTTTTTTCTACAGAAGAAATCAATAATAGACCACTTCAATTTGTAAAAAAGCTTCGTTTTTAGGCCAGGGGTCATATTGCTCTCACTGTCATGTAATGCAAGAACCCTTTTGTAAAAATATAGTAGCCCACGGTCAATTGAAAATAGAAAACGTGATCAATTTTTTCGTCTATGAATAAATTTTTGATACTGTGGCATTGACTTGAAATATTTAGCTAGATATATGATTTCAGGGTAATGTTTTAGCTGTTCAGCACAGTCTCGAGACACACCATAAAAATTCCCAAGCTCTCGTTTAATAAGAAATTCGATCAAAACGCTTTATGGCTAGATTTTGGCTATTCTATTACAGGTTTTGCATGCATTTTTTGTCGATGTCCAGAGGCTACTGCCAGCATTTTTGCGATGCTCGAATTTCGAAGATATTGTGAGTACTCACGTTTTGTTGAATTTGCTTGTTTATACATCTTTTGAGTTGTTTTTTTCTTTAAAGATCGGAGAAATACTTTGTTTAAGCAAATGTCGAATTATCAAGAATCTGTTCGCTGTTATTTTGAAAAGTCAGTTGTACTGCAAAATCTCAGGATATTTAAGGACAGCATACTTTCAAGCTTTTTGTGGATAGAAAAGACTCTTCATAGTTATTTCGCTATACTGTGTTTCCGCTTGTCAATGTTATCTTCAAATTTAACAGTACCAAAGGTCTGTAAGTGTCCTTCCATGATATTCAGAGGCTTTAATGCTTTAGAGCCGAATATCGTATCTGTGACTCCACTTTGGCACAACTTCACCAGATGGACAAGTGAATCTGTCATTTAAAGTTTGATAGGTCTGAGGTATGTTATCTAAGGCCTGGAAGGACTTGGGGTATTTTTTAAGACACAATATGGGTCTGGGATATGTTATTTATTGCATGGTGGATCTCAAAGTAGTATTAGATATCTAGTAGATCCTGTTTTTTTCATGGAAGATTACAGATATGTTGTTTAAGGTCTGCTAACTCTCAGGAATGTTAGTGGGTCTAAGGAATATAATCATAAATTCAAAACTTTTAAACTCAATTGATGCTTTGTTTATTTTAGGTTCATTTGCTACCGATAATGTTAATAGAGATCAGTTCGCTGATTGAATTATCCACGGATGTTCAGCCATTGATGCAAGCGTAAGTATCATCCTCTCTTTGGCCATGTCTACACAGTTATGTTTTGCTTTCATTTAAATGATAACCAATGAAAAGTTTTGCGCCTACATGGCAACGATGTTACGAAACATAGCGTTTTTAGAGGGATGTCCTCGTGAAGGCTTTTTCAATTAATATCACAAATTATCTCATTTTCATTTCATTCATTCATTCATTTTATCTTTTTTACCCATGGTAGCCACTCAGTCGAGGACTGATTTACAGGAGGCCATGCTAACATATACAAAAAAATTTAATCAAAATTAACTTTACAAAATCAAACTAATCCATAATGTTATTACAATCGTTAAAAGAAATTTACTTATACATACATTAAAAATAAAGGAAAGGAAGTTATGATTGGTTCTTCGTGAACAGTTTATTGAATTTTTATCGCTTTCGTAAAATTCTTTAAAGTTGACGTATTTTTGGACTTTTAAAAAAAAACCATTCCAAAGTTTCGCACCCTGGTAAGAGAAGCATCTCTGTCCTGTGGCCGTTCTTAGAAAAGGGACTCTTAGGACGTAATCCGAATTTCTGAGAGATCGTGTTGTAGAGACGTTGACTTTAGTAAACATGTCACTTATATAGGAAGGGGCATCACCATTCAGGAATTTGTAAACAATCCTAGCAAATTTAAGATCAATTATCTCCCTTACGGTGGACCATCCAAGTGCACGAATGACTGGGAGTGGCGAAGTATCGAATGGGTTGTTAGTGATCAATTTTGCCGCTCGATTTTGCAGTTTTTGCAATTTTCCGATAATTGATACACCAGCATTTCCCCAAACCGAGCAGCAGTATCTGAATTAGGGCTCTATTGAGCTTCTATACATTGTTTCAATTGTAGCAGGCAGGAGATATTGTTATGCAAACGAAGAATGACAATATACCTGGAGATCTTTTTTGTGACAGTCGTTAAATGATTTTCTATCTAGTCATGGAACCAAACCTTCTTATTTCTAAATTGGCGATGTTTTTAATCTTTTTCAATTACCTTCTGGTTTGCTAGAGTAAAAAGCAGGAATCCTTGAAAAGAAGAACGTAAGAATTTAAGAATCTAAAATCTGCCCTCCTTTGTTTAAGCATTTGATATATAAAAACCTTTTTAGGCTGATAGATATATACGGTTCCTAATTCACAAGTTTCTTATGAAATTTTGCATGTTGATCAATGAACACCTAGTCTAAGGTTTTTTGGGGGTACAAACCTCTCAAATCTTATACCTGAAGCTAAAACAATAGTTTAAATACCTATTTTACTACCTTTTCTCATAATGTTTGTTTTGAAGGAAATATCTTCTTTTTCAGTTGCCATGTTCTACTGCGGGAAGACAGCCTAAAATCAGAGGGCAGGTTCGTTATTTGTTTGTTATTGTCACAAGTGTATTTTAGATATTAAAAATTGTGTTTGCTGCTTATTCCTTTTCAGTTCACTTTCTGTATGTTTCTACTTACTTTGAACATTTCAAGAAATTAAAACAGTTTCCCCCTATTCAGACCTCTAAGTAATTGCCCATTCGAAATCCCCAATAGGGTACCAATGTGGCCCCAATGTCTATCCCATTCAGACTCCCATTGTCTTTCCCTTTCACCCTGTAAATATTTCGCCCATTCAGAGCATAATATCAGCTCCATTCAGACGATTAGCTTCGTCCATGCGGGCCAAAATCAGACCCCTTTTTTTACCGTTGTCTACATTGTCAAGAATTTGGTTTGAAGCGATAAAGTACAAGATGTGTACAGGATATTGCATTTTCTAAGGTAGTGGTCATAAATCATTGCAGGAGCCAATTTTGAAGCAAATTATGAGAAGTCTGAAAACAAGTTTTAGGCTACATTTTGTGTTTCATGAAACTGGGTCTAATTTTTTCCACAAATTTTCAAAATGCTTCAACCCCTACCCTGTTTTCGATAGTTACAGCTCTGTTATTCTTTTAAATGATATTTGCATTGAAGAGCAGCAAAATTATTACTCATATAATTGTCCATTTTCTCGATCGCTTGGATAGAAAAATGACAGAATTGGCTCACCTTGGCCTTGCTATGCAAATTGTCCTTGTATGCTAATTTTTGTCGAAATTTTTGTTTCTATCAGCCAAAAGAGAACTGATTTCACCCGAAGTTTGATAACATAAACTAAACTATGTGGCTAGACTGACAGTTTTTATTTAAACGAGAAAATCAAATATTACAAAACTAGCTTTTTTACAAAGCATTTGAACAAGCCCAAGCCTGACATGCCGCTTGTTTCTTGGTACTCCACCTAAGTTGTCGAAAGGGTTGGTTGTTTTGTTCGTGTTTGAGACCAAGTATGTCCTCTGTTTTGCAACAAATATGATACATAACACACAATACGTATAGTGTTGCTTGCCACAATGTATCTGTCAACAAAATTTGTAGCCAAGCCTAATTTGATGCATGTTCTTCAGCAGTAGATCGCTGTTATCGACGTCATCATCCAAAATGGTTTTGAACTTCGCCTGTGAAGAAATCTGTCACATACTTCAAACTAAGGTGATTTTGCTACATTGTTTCCCTAAGTTGTTTGTTGGATGGTTGATCTAGAATATGTTATATAATGAGGTCGGTTGTGGTTATTTTCTTTTCACCTATAAAGAATTTGTATGCATTTCTGTGAACATTTCGCACAACAACATTGAATCCTATACGGTTTTGGGAGTTTCCAATTAGAAGTTTTGTAACCAGCCTGCTCTTCATAACGACTGATGAAGGTGCTGACTTGATTTTTTTCTTTTTTTAAGGATACAGAGATACAGCTGGTGCGTCAGTTCTTGGATATTTTGCTCCTAATTCTGCGAATGCAAGAAAAAGATGCCAATTTTCGAACAGTGTTTGCTGCAATCACCTCCAAGATGGCTTCGGTAAGTACCTACTTACTTGAAAGGTCATGCGCCTTCAGTGTCTAAGGGGGCATTACAAATGCGCACGCTGGATCCCCATCCCCCTTCACAAATGCGCACGCCGGATCCCTCTCCCCCTTTGCAAATGCGCACGCCGCATCCCCTCCCCCTTCACAAATGCGCACGCCGGATCCCTATCCCCCTTCACAAATGCACACACCGGACCCCCATCCCCCTGTACAACTGCACGCATCAGACCCCTCTCCCCCTGTACAACTGCACGCGTCAGACCCCCTTCCCCCTGTACAACTGCACGCGTCCGACCCCCTTCCCCCTGTCAAGACTCACATTCTTTGCTCTTTGCAAACCTTCCCTGTAAGAGCGTAAGTTTTCTGTACGGGTGAATAAATGACATGAAATGCTTCTTCATATAGTGTGCTTGCTATCATTTTTTTATTATATGCATACATTTCTCCTTGAAACTTTCCGTCCTTCCCATTAACCTAACCATACCCTTTCGTGCAAAATATCTTTTTCCCCTTTTTTGATGCCCTTTTTGACAGTGTGAACAAACGCATGTTTTGAGTACAGATTTAAAAATGGCTGTGAAAAAAAGCAAATCAGAACGTGAGCCTAGAACCAGAAAGGGTACACAGACAGTGCAGATTGCCTATAGAAAATTTACCAATGGAGTCTTTTCAATTTTATGTACATTAATATTGTGTAATGTAAAATTCATTTGTTTAGGAGAATGATATACTCTCGGTCGTACATGGTAACGAGGATAGTGACGATCAGGATATAGCAGAACCAGTTGAAGACGAACTTCTTCGAATTCGCATGCTGTCGAACGACATTAGCCAAAGTCCAATCGAGGAACTGCGGATTGTCACCGAGGACGATCAAGAAGGTAGCTTGTCTATTATATTCTAAAATAAATTTTGTCAAAAGCCTTCGAAGCCAGTAACGTGTCGCAAAATATGCTCCTCCGCCACTTTATATGGCTTCTTGACTTCGAAGAGCGCAGTTATCAAGCGTTGTTTTACGTGTGCAAAACGGATTACAAGTAGAGATAGCAATGTGCCTGGAACGCCCAAGGGGGTCACTTGAACTTATGTGCTCAACAACATGATTTTGTATTTTGATATTTTTGGATTTTATCCACACTTTTTAGCTGATGATTTTTGGTCTGTTCAATTTATTTTTGATACTTGAGATGAATTTTGATAGCGGTGGGTGGACCTCCCTGTATACAAAAAGTTTGAGTGATTGCCCTGGGCTGCAAAGTGTAAACCTTGGATTTTTAGATTTCTTCCATCACCCTTAAAATGCATACTTCAATCACCATAACAGTCTATTCTAATTATATGTTAAGTTTTATGCATTAGAACAAAAAAAGGCTTTCAGTTTTTATTATAATTTCTGTTCCAGGTTTCAATATCTTCTTCAAGAATTTGCAGTGCCTCTTCTTAGCTCAACTCCTGCTAATTGAAAATACTCTAAATATTACTTCTTTTCTACCAAACTTTTTTCACGTAGATTCGCCAAGAGATCTCCCCGAATCGCAGGCGCTCAGTAAAACATTCGATTTAAACAGCAATTATGAGACATCAGACGAGCTGCGAAGTGTTTCTCCACTTGAGCGAGCCGATTCTCCTATGAAAGACGATTACGATTCGGATTGGGACAGTTGGGAAGAAGAAGATGAGGTTAGGTTTCCTGACAATCGTTAAGTTCCCCAACACCAACCCCAACTAAACCCCAAGATATATAACAAAGTCATGATTTTTCTAAATGTGAGAGGAGCAACGGCCAATCTGCGCAAGGTTCAGCTTCTGGCAGTGTTATTCATTTTAGATTTGAAAATTTCAAAGTTAGACGAATTGTTGTTGCTGATTCAGAGACCGTGCCAGAAGAAAATTGTTATTAGTTCATGGCTACATCTTTGATTGTAGCCTCGTATTTTGAAGTTCAAAACGGGTCCCTTGCAATTTGACGCCTATTTACCCTTTTTGCGGCAGGTTTAGTTCTGTTTCTCTAGAGTGCAGTTGATTTCATTGCGTTGATAGTGTTTTTCGTGTTTTAAGGACGCTTCTCAGATGCGGGCCGTTTTTGGGACGTTCCTTCGAAACATGCAGCATTGTGGCGGTAACGGACCCCCGAAAGGTGAGAACAAGTTTTCAACAGCGCTAGAGCAAATCTTCGATCTTTATTTTATACAGTGCAAAATATTAAAATATTATATAGAGGAGGTTTTTGTTATAATCGTAAAAATGTCAAAATAGTACAGAATATCAAAAAAGAGGAGGTTTCTGTAAATATTATTGATTTTTTGTTTTTTCTCTGACTGTATTTTTAAAAACAAAAGGCAAAACGATTTCATCAACTGCCTCAAGGTACAAAATTTTTGGTCACCTTCCTCAAATTCTTTTTGTGTCTACGACCTTCCCCCGACTTTCGTTGTAAATCCTGCATCTGCAATAAAGTTTAGGGATCTAGCTAGTTATATGTTTTCAGAAAATATTTTTGGTAAAAAATTAATAGTATGAACTTAAATATTGCAAATATCCAAGACCTGCTACTGGAGCTTCAATCTCATCTTGTAGATTCAATTTTCAATCAGAGGCTACAAGCCTTAGACTTCAAAGATCGCAAGTTAATTGAAAGGTAAGCTCCGTTTTATTTTTTGGTTGTGAAAATTGCGACTTGGGGCACCAGCACTCCCATTGAACCCAAATACATATCAACCCACTCTACGTCATCTTTCCACCACGTCCACCCCATTTAACATCCACGTCCACTCTAGTCAAAGTCAACCCTCCTCCGCGTCAACCCTCCTCCGCGTCAATCATACTAAACTTCAACTCAACTTAATGTTGACTCTGCTTAACGTCAACCCAACTTCACATCACCCCCATTCCGCTTCTATAATTCGATTGTTGTTTCAGTTAGAATGTCAGGTTTGAGGTGAACTCAGAGCAGACCTACATTGGTGACGTTCAAGTCCTACTGAACTTTTCGCTTAGTTTTGTATAATTGAGCATCGTTATATTGAGTTTAGTTGAGTACGTATTAGGACAACAATATCTATAAGGCACTGCTTGAGAGTCATTTGAGATACAGCGATGAACTATGGGGTAAATTATCAAACACAAAGCTCGATCATCTTCAGCGTTTACAAAACAGAGCGCGCACGCTAATAGAAGACTCAGGATTAAAGGACGGTTGGAGCTGCGATTGGCTTTCGGTCTCAAATTTGATTCAAATTGACTGGGCAGTTATGATCTACAAAATAATAAATAGTCTCTGCCCCGACAATTTGAAAGGGAGACTTGTCATTAGATCCCAAATATCTAACTATTCAACAAGAAATTGGGAATTGTCTAGTTTCCATGTTGCTCGACCTGATAGCCATAAATAGGCATGATTAATAGTCATATATTAGTATGATAGTATAAGTACTTCAAGTAAAGGGTTAGGGTTAGGGTAAGGGTTAGGGTTAGGTTTAGGGTAAACTTATTACGTCATCAGGTCGAGCAGTATGGAAACTAGACAGCTCCAAGAAATTGCCTTCACATAGACATCCCAAGGCAAAACCTTGGATTCTCCAAAAGGATTTTTTTGTATTGTGGTGCACAGACGTGGAACGGGATTCCATTACAGATAAGAATGAGGTTCACGATTACCACGTTCAAAAATAAATTAAAGGAATTCCTGCAAAATTAGCATCCTTTCCCGAAGCACGATCCCTAGGAAGACCAGCATTATATGTAAATTAATCTTTACTTTTTTGGAGTTAGTAGCTGATAGGGTTTCTGTGTTTAAATATGACAAATAATGAATAATAAGCATGTACTGAAATTTTAGAATGCGCGTGTGCATGTTTTAGCACGGGAACCTGACGCCCAACGAAAGGGTTTTTGTCCTGCAATTAGAAGAATAGAACGGAATGTTCTCAATTTTAAGTCAATGATGCAGCATACTAATTCCCAGCTCTTCTTCCCAGCTTGATTGCCCAAGAAGCAAGCAGCAGCAATTAATGGTTCATCAAACTCGCAACTGGTCCAACCAATGTTTGGTTTTCCACCATTGTATTGTACAGTAACTGATAACTGGATGTGATTATCTATCTAAAAGGGACATTTTTCGATTCTTTGTGAATAAATATAATATCTATCGAATGCTGTCCATACTTCATCATAGATGCAGATCGAAAATATATTTATGAATTTGAGCTTCTCTTTTCGAGCAACGTGATTTGTTTTGTTTAGAACTTAGAAAGATTTTTAAGTGACGATGAGACAATTCGAAGTCCCCGCTCTGTGCCGTAGCGCCTCGTTCCTCTAGTTCGGACAGTCACTACATGTAAAGTTTGAAAATTTTCAAATTGAAATTGCAAATATCAAACACTCCTGGATAACTAGCCTGGCGAGGAATTTGTTCACAGGAGATAGCAGCTAAATATAACAGGGGACAGAAAAATTTGTCTTAAACTGAAAGGCGATGGGAAAAAGTTGCATTCAAAATTCACAGCTTGCGGGGACTACCCTGGGTTCCAGAGCTTCAAGCTTCGAGAGCCTTGGGGAACCTTTTTCCCAACTCACCACTTGACGCTCTGGAACCCAGGGTAGAAAGGGACGTGGGGAAATGACAAAATGCCCGTGTCTTTCGATTATTTGAAAGGAGACTCTCTTGTCAAAAAATTTATCGCCGGGGACAGTTCTCACGGGGTTTGTTACACAGGGGTGTTATCAAGGTGAAGATCGAAAATAACATGAAAGGAAGAACGGCGCGTTTGATTGGATCCTTTTTTCGACCAATCACTGACCGCAAATCCCAGAAATGGGTTAGTGAATTGGGTTGCTTCTCCACGAACCCTATCAACTAAAGGAAGAAATTAAGTTTTCAAGAGAAAAAGGAAAGTATGAAGAATGAATCACATTTTTTCAAAGCCCATTTCATCGATTGTTGAAGGATAAAGGTAAAACGATAAAGCGGAACAAACTGGAGCACGTTTTTATTTAGCAAAAAATTTTCAAAAATCCTCAATAAAATTAAATAATTAATGAGCTCTGGAAAATTGGGGCGTTCTACAAAGCCCCCCCCCCCCCCAATACCACCACATCACACCTGGTGCCACCACTGGGAGGGGAACACTTATTTTACACTGAAGAGAAATATTCTTAAATCTCAGCTCATTGTGTATGGTCAAAAAACTTTTCTTCAAACCTCTGCATGCAGAGTGCAATCTTGGGTGTTCAGATTAATCACAGCCTGGTCTAATCAAACAGGTCCGTCGCGAGGCAGCTCGGCCCCAGTACAAGACTTGAGATTGGTGCAAATGCGAATGATTTTATGCAAGTATGGAGTGCAAGTATTTCAACTAAACCATCCAGGCTCAAACCCAAGGAGCTGTTGGGTCTTTTTGTATTGGGTATAGCAATATGAAAACATTTACGTTTAAGGGGCTCTGTAAGCCAGAACTGAATTAGAAGGTAATTAAAGCTGCTTGTAGTATGATAAAACCTGAATTGCAAAATTCCAGCTATTCATTAAGTTATAGGGTTGACAAAATGCCTATCTTCCGAGAAAAATCTGAGGGTAAATGAGAAGTTGGTGGGACTGCTACTTCACAATATGAATGACCTTATTGGCGAAAATTGCTATCTTTTTAAGTATCTAAAAGTAACTTCTGGAAAAGCTCTGTGTTTTAACTGGCTCTCACTTCGGTCTAGCTAGGCGTACCTGCTTTTCTCTCGAGTATTTTGCCTTTGATTCATATCTGGTATTGGAAAATAAATTAAAGCTTCAAATTTACATTTTGAAAAGCTTAAACTTCTTCGAACACAACAGAACTTACATTCTGCCATCAAAATCACGTCATAGTGTCACCAAATCGAAGATTCTTTTCGTCGTGTTGAAAGGAACGTATATAACTGTAAAACTGTTCAAAATATTAAAAAACAAATAAAAAATTCGTGATCAACAGGTTTAATTTTACACAAAATTTTGTAACTGACGGGGATTAAAAGTTTAGGCTTGAAAGGCCCTTTAAACACTACAAGAAAAATGCAAAATACAATCCCTGTTTGCGATCGACAAAGTGTAAGTTACAGACACCCTATTGTCGAATTTTAAGCATGCATTGCTGGAAATTGTAAATACTTAAGAAATTGCAAGAAAACCCGTACAAAAGATCTAATGAGTGATCCCAAACCCCTTGTCCTCCATAGCGCATAACGAACTCTGAAACCCTTTAAAGTGATGTTATCGTCGTTAGAGGATCAAAGTACTCAAATATTTACAACGGATTGTAAAATCATACATTTACAAATATTTGCCCATTGCTCATTTGCTGGTCTTTTTCAAACCAATCGATAGTCCCGCTCCGCTCACAGCTATTTTAGGAATCTTCTCCAAAATCTTGGCTGTCTTGGCTCTTTGATTCGTGGTTCGTTTCAATTCGGTTATCGTCATTACACGAGTTGTCTTCAAGTGTATTGTCTCCAGTTCTGTTAATATCATCATCTGGATCAGGCTGGAATGTTTCGTTTTCATGGCTACCCTCCATTCCACCTATGATTTGAAATTAATTCGACGTATTTTGATCAAAATAAAAGGGTCTTTGAAAAAAAGTTGAGGGAAGGGATAAGTAAAGGTCTTTGCTGAACGGTATAGTGCTATAAAGAACCCAGGACACAGGTTAGTACTATAAGGACGTACTATAACAAATTAACGCCAATATTTTACTTTTTTTACCTCCTTAATATCAGTATTTATCTTCTTATCAGTAGCGTAGCGGGGGGAGGCAAGGGGAGCGGCCGCTCAAAGTCGGTGTCTGAGAAAAGTACGAATCTCCAATAGAAGGGGGACTTTATATTTCAGACAATAATAAAACGTTTTTAAAGACTGCAAACGATTGTAAGAAATATTCTGAAATCTATTTCAAGCCAATCTGAAGGGCGTCGTCGCAAAAATTTTCTGCTTTCTTCGCTCGCACAGGGACCCTCCTTTATAACTCTACAGAATGTTCAACAATTTATCCCACGTTATAGGATTTAAATAGAAAAATCTTTCACGTTCTTTAGACAATTCCAATAAAATAGAAACTAAAATGCTAAAGCGCTTCAATCCTTAAAAAAATTGGATTCTGAAGTGCTTGTCGGGGATGTTGCTCTAAGGAGAACGGAATTAGTTTAAAACAGTTGAATCCTGTTTGTTATTTTTAGATATTTGATTAAAACTGTGGATAATCAGTTTTTACACGTAGTGCTTCCTCGCCTTACACAATTCAGAATGTAAGCGTTAGATGAATTGTCAAGGAAATAGGCAGTTGTAGAATGGGGTTAGCCACAAAAAGCCAGATATGACGTATAAAGCGAAATTGCCACGTAAAAAAGCCATAGCTTTTCCAAACGCTTTTGCAAAATGGGGTGTTTTCCTAAATTCTTAAGGGTGTGGTCAGCAACATTTTTCTTTTCTTTGCCCCTCCAATCTTCCAAACCTGGCTACGCCACTGCTTCTTATCGTCTATACCTTAAAGTTAAAAAAGGAATTTTAAAAATGGGCGTTTCCATAATTTACCAGTGACCTGAATTGCCACATGATCAAAGCTTTCACCCAAGATTTAGCGTCAAACCGTGGTATATTTATATATTATCAAAAAATCACTTTGAGACAAAAGTGTCTGTTATTTGATATTTTGAACATAGATATTTCGCAGTGTCTCACCTGTGGATATCAGTTTCGGGTCAAGTTCAAGCTTTGGTCTCTCTCGTGTCCATGAAGTGCCATCATCATCTTCACAGTCCAAAATGGCTTCTTGCAAAATTGGATCGTCCTCCTTTGGATCTCCTGGCCTCTTTCCAAAAAACGCCTGGGCCTGTTTACTTTCGCGAATTCTTTTCAACTTTGTGAGTTTGTTTAGGTAGGTCTCTATTAAAGGTCTTCGTTCTCCAGCCAAGCGTATGTCATTTCTAAACCATTTTTTACCTGTAAAATGTACTGAAATGCACGCAAGTGAAATCTGGGGGGAGATCTGGGGGGGCAACGCTTCTGAGAGGGTTATTGCTATCTCAAGTGTATCGAATTTCTTTTGACATACAGATTAAATTTTAAAGTTAAAGGGCGAGGGAAATGATTTAACGAAAAGTCAACAATGAGTGCAGTTTGGATTAAGAAAAAGTAGAAGTAAAATGAATGCCATTTATATCATAATTCGGCTATTAGAGAAGGCCCTAGAAGGTAAACAGAAGTGTTGCATTGGTGCTTAAGGAAAAAAGGTGTGCTAAAATGAACGGTCGACTTGTTGAAAGTGTTGAAGTGAGTACAGCAAATGAGAACGGTCTGTGAAGACTTAGATGAATTCAGAATCGATGTAGGATTGAACCAAGGATCAGTACTAAGGCCATTCATATTTGCTGTATTGATGAATGTGCTTAATGAAAACCTAAGGGATTAAAAGATTGGAGCCGCGGATGACATGATAATCATGGCCGACTGGGTGGAAAACGATAGGAAAGAATGATAGAATGTAGGACAAGCTAAGACAATAATTGACTGAAAGTCAACGCTTCGAAAACTGTATTGATGATATGTAGTAAAGAAGATATATTACACTGGAGACCATTTGAGAAAGAAATAGAAATGCATTAAATGAAGTAAAAAGGTTTAAACATCTGGAGTCCATTGTCGAAGAAGATTGGGGCTGTAAATCTGGAGTAAAGGTTGAAGAGTGCGGGGCCGAATCATTGGAGTCATCTGCACAGTGGTAATATATGGAGGTGAACTCTAGGCCATGGAAAAGAAACAGAAAGGTAAGGAAACAGGAATAAGATGGTTAGCAGGAAAGTAGTTTTGAACATCTTGTGCAATAAAAGGAGAAAAGGACTGAGAACAAGACAGAACTCCCCATAGAGGATAAAATCAAGAGAGAGAGCTGCGTGTGAGAGTCCAAGGGAAACAGTGACAAGAGACCAGTGAAGAAATGAACCAGAGAAGGCGACCCCTGACGTTGAGGAGGCTGCTGATAGTGATTGTGATGTAGCGTACTGTTGAACAGCTGCTAAAGTTTGGAAAAATTCTAAAAAGGAAAGAGAGATCGCATTCATTTTCAAATGAATGAGCAGCTTTGATTCAGACCATTCGAAGGGTTAAAAGATTTTTAAATCGGAGAAAATTAATGCGGTTGGAGAGGGACAACTCCTGAAAGCAATAGTTCTGGATACCTTTCCAGATACCAAGTCTATCTATGGTAAAGTCCCAAGGAACGGGGAACTTTGGAAAAATAGAGAAAATCGAGAGAGATTTTATGACAATAAATTTTTAGGTGACTTTACATAGTAGAAAAAACGATCGCATATTAAGCGATTATAAGAAAAGTTGAAGAGAAACGAACGAGAAAACGACAAAAGATGACTTTTATGGGCAATATCATCATATGAATGGGGGTTTTTGGATAGCATGTGATATACTACAGGATCTAAAGATAAAAGGACATCGAATGACGTAATCGTTGACCTAGAAAGATAATAGACTAAAAATTATAGATTAAAAATCATTATTAGTTACGCATCTTACATTGAAGAATATTCGTTAAGTCCTTGATAGTGTTTTGGAGAATTCACACGATTAATGTTTCCAACTTAGGGGTCGTCCAAAAATTGGATCGGGGAGGGAAGTTAGGGTCCATTTGGCCGCTAAATTTCAGACCCCTTCCCTCCACCTTCGTTACCTGACTTAATTTATATTATTCCTCTTTTACACGATGTCCCCAAATATTGGCCTAAAAGAGATTAATCACACATTAACGATAGCTAACAGGGCACATTGAGGTACAATGGAATATCATCGCTCAAAAATCCATTCTAGCCAGTTTCAATAAAAATTTCTTACACACAATCAAATGTATTTTCTTAGGTTCTACCAATGATCTCTTGACGGATTTTGATGAAACCTCCTCTAACACCCCGTTCCCCTCTTAGCCTAAAGATACTGCTTACTGATCACAAATGGGTTTTGTACGAGCCTTTTTGTGGTAAATGCACGAGACAACCAATTGAAACTGTCAGGAGCACGAGCCCCCTGTGCCTCTTCCCTGCCCCCCCCTCTTTCTATGTAACAGGTATCCATTTTCAAGTGATTTACGCGATGCTTATAGAAATTATACGTCAAAAAAGAAGTGTGGTTTGACGGGTTAAACAAATTGACGCTCATGTCCTACCATTACACCTCTTCATTTAATTTCAGAATGAACTTTTCCCTCTCTATAGGGTTGAGCTTTGGTGCAAACCAAAATAAATTATGCTTAATATTTGAATGGGGATGTTTTTTTGTGTATAAGAAGCAACTCAGCTTTGGATGACGTTTTTTAGATACTAAAAGATATATCATGCGAATGGCACGGGGAGTTTTTAACGAGGTCATGACTGTGTTGGCGAGGGGACTGTGTGGATGGAACAAGACAAAGTCAATCTGCAACTATGATCATTCAAAGAAAAAAAAGCACCGCTTTATTTACATAGATTCTTTCTTGTTATGCACAGTTGTGTTGAATCAAGGACCAGTCTTGTCTGCTTCAGACAAAAACCTTTCCAAATATATATATCGTGCCTGCTATACAGCTGTTTATTTGATCTACCTTTGGTTTTAAATTCACGAGCGATGAAAAGAAAACACAAACCTGGTAACATCGGGATTGTGCGGGGATCGTCTCCGTGACCAGCTTCCCTCTTAAATGTATCGAGAACCCAGCAGTGATACCTGAAAAAGTCGTCATGATCTCGGTTTATGAAAGTGACTGTGCCATCATCCCAGTCGAGTTTAACTATGAACATGTACCGTGGAGCTGAGCCAGATGTTAACTGTACTTTTTTAATTCCGATTATTCTGGACTTTTTAACGTGCCTGGTACTCTCGTCGCTCTCAGTTAGAGATATCTCCTCCAGCTTCATAGGTTCATCTGCTTCCGGCATTGTCAAATCAAATTCGTGCAAATCATTGGTCATTATCCTTGTCGGCGAATCTAATTCTTCCTTCTTCCGCTCGTTGTCTGCTGAAACATTGTACATTGGTGTCATTTCAAGGCTTCCAAACTCTAGCTTTGGCATATTGAGGGAAATGTTCCTTCTTCTTTTTCCAAAAGGGCATGCAGCTTGGCTTGGTTGACAGTTATTTCTTTCCTGTGTGTTTACTTTGACGAAAGCTACCTCTGCTTCGTTCCTTCGTAAATCTCGTCTGCAAACGAGGGGATTCCAGCTGTATACGGGGATTCCACCCTATATACAATCATTGAACTTGTGTGGAAGGTAGATGCATTGCAATTTAAATCTGGGAGCGAATCTGTCCCCTATAACCATTTTTCTTCTTTCCCCACGGTTATTCAGTTCTCACTGCCCCCCGATGTTAACAAAAAAAGTTTGCTTTCTTTACGATTTTATACAAGAGCAAGATTGTTTTGACGAGGCAAAGTTGACCTTTTAAATCAACTTTCAGTAGTAAAAAGTTCTATTTTGTAAACTACTTTTATTCAAAAACAGTTTTTGGCGGTGTACGAGCACAAAGTTTTTTTGATATACCAGGCAATATTCTAGGTGCAGTTATGACCAATTTGTGCAGTGATGAAAGAGAAATGTGCAGAGATCAAATTTTCATTTTTTTTTAATTATTTATCAGTTATTAATTACTAATAAGTGATATAAAATGTATAAAACAACCACCAACTAAACCAAAGATACAATTTTTTTTAATTAAAAATAATGTAACATTTAATACTAGTTGATGTTGATATAACCTAAGAATTGGTTTATTGTCTTACGTAAGAAGGCTTCTTGAACTAGGTTTAGGTCTGTTGTGTTCTGAGACTAATTTTTGCAGTCTGCTGAATAAGGCTTTCATGTCAATATTTTTAATTTTACATTGATGACATCTTCATGATTTTTATCATCTTGATCTTAAGTCAAAAGCGGGAGCAATGGATGTATGAGCATTTCTCATATCATTCTCACAGGTTCAAAGCTTACAAATTCTCCTAATTCACTTAAGAGATTGCTTTCTCTCTAAAAGTTTACAAAAGGAGCATTTGGTTGAGTTACAAAAAGTTCCAATCGATTTTTCTTGGGGTATCTGTTTTCATATGTAATATGTATATCTTCTTTGGCTTGTGTCTTCTTTTGCTGGTATATTTCATTGACTGATGCAACAAATTTTTGACATCATATATTCAATAGACAATAACAAGTTGGCGCAATCATTTTTATCGTAATGAGCATAAGCCTGCCTTTTTATGTTCGGTTAAGTGAACTTCAGCTAAATTTAAGTGAAGACAAAAAGTTTAAGTGAACTTTAGCTACTCAGCTACGCTGTATTTTTCAGTACTGGAGTCAATTGTGTACCGCGACCTATCCCCCTCTCCTTAGGTGGTGCTTGTTGTGACTTGGGCGGAACATAGGTGTGTACCACAGAGAGACACATGCTTTCTAACAAGAAGATATATATATATGATTATAAGTGATTATTTATACTCAAGAGAGCGAACCTCTCTTCATGCCTCGTGCATCTAATTCTAATCAATACTGGCGACGGGAGGGCGTAATGCGAAGAGATGCCGGAAATGCCAAATATGGTAAGACCTTCTCACCATGTGTCCCGGAGCCCTGGACCAGAATGGAGGTTTTTGTCTCCTTCGCAATAGTGCTATGATGATCAGACCAAGTTAACTTTCTTACAGCTAATAAATCTTGAGAAAAAATTGGGGGGAGGTTGACATGTAAAGCCCTTCAAGAAGGGGGATAGGTACATAGATCGTCTTAGTGGTATGAAATCTACCCTTAAATTTGGGGTATTAGTTTGTTGCTGAAAAGCAAAACAACCTAATCTGCAAAACGCACTCACGGGACCCAGACTCATGCTATGCTGCCAATCGCAATACTGTTTTGAATTGCAAAATTTGTGTATTTGTGCAGTGATGAAAATCTCTTAGAATATTGCCTGTCATATAAACCAATATTTCGAAGAAGATTTGTCAATTTGGTAAGGCTATAGTTTTTATTTTTCAATTTCCAAATGACAACATTGGATTGCAACTTTTTTCTTGAATACGTCGATCATAATCAGGTGTTGCTTCCTATAAGCAAATCTTATTTACGAAGCGTTTGAATCTTAAATCGATAAAAAATATTTCCATGCAAATTTATCATAATGGCAATGATATAGGCTAGACTTTTGAACCCTAAATGATGATACAGGATTGCAACATAATTTTTTCCCTAAAATTTCATAAAAGGCATTAGACATAAATCAGTGTGTGCTTTCAACAGAAAAACATTCAATCAAAAATGGGTCATTTTATCAAGCCAATAGGCTTTGCTTTTTCCCAAAAATTGAAGATTTTGTTTGGGAAAAATTTTGCTTTCAGAATGCAATAAAAGGCGTTAGACACAAATAAGTATGTGTTTTGACGTCATTTGAATCGTTTTGGCTCACATACAACGGAAAAACATTCAATCAAAAACAGGTCATTTTATCAAGCGTATAGGCTTTGCTTTTTCCTAAAAATTGAAGATTATGTTTGGGAAAAATTTTGGTTCAGAATGCAATAAAAGGCGTTAGACACAAATAAGTATGTGTTTTGACGTCATTTGAATCGTTTTGGCTCACATACAACGGAAGAACATTCAATCAAAAATGGGTCATTTTATCAAGCCTATAGGCTTTGCTTTTTCCCAAAAATTGAAGATTTTGTTTGGGAAAAATTTTGCTTTCAGAATGCAATAAAAGGCGTTAGACACAAATAAGTATGTGTTTTGACGTCATTTGAATCGTTTGGCTCACATACAACGGAAAAACATTCAAAAACGGGTCATTTTATCAAGCCAATAGGCTTTGCTTTTCCCCAAAAATTGAAGATTATGTTTGGGAAAAATTTTGCTTTCAGAATGCAATAAAAGGCGTTAGACACAAATAAGTATGTGTTTTGACGTCATTTGAATCGTTTTGGCTCACATACAACGGAAAAACATTCAATCAAAAACGGGTCATTTTATCAAGCCAATAGGCTTTGCTTTTCCCCAAAAATTGAAGATTTTGTTTGGGAAAATTTTGCTTTCAGAATGCAATAAAAGGCGTTAGACACAAATAAGTATGTGTTTTGACGTCATTTGAATCGTTCTGGCTCACATACAACGGAAGAACATTCAATCAAAAACGGGTCATTTTATCAAGCCAATAGGCTTTGCTTTTCCCCAAAAATTGAAGATTTTGTTTGGGAAAAATTTTGCTTTCAGAATGCAATAAAAGGCGTTAGACACAAATAAGTATGTGTTTTGACGTCATTTGAATCGTTCTGGCTCACATACAACGGAAGAACATTCAATCAAAAACGGGTCATTTTATCAAGCCTATAGGCTTTGCTTTTCCCCAAAAATTGAAGATTATGTTTGGAGAAAATTTTGGTTTCAGAATGCAATAAAAGGCGTTAGACACAAATAAGTATGTGTTTTGTTGTTGGCTTTTGAAAAACAATTGATGATGTTGAATAGCAAGTTTATTTCTTTAACAAATCAATATTTTATCAATTAATTCTTTCTATAAAAAATATTGATAATTTACAAAGCAGTTGGTCCCTACTTATACGAAAAATATTTGGATAAAATTTGTAATTTTGGCAAGGCTATAATATTGGCCTTTGAAAACCAAAAGATGATGTTCGATAGTAACTTTATTTCTCAAAGAAATGAATTTTGATCAGTTAATTCTTTTCATAAGCAAATTCTGATAATTTACAAAGAGCTTGGTCCTCATTTAACCAAAAAAAATATTCGAGCTAAAGTTAGTCATACATATATACTATAAGGAGAGCTTGAGGAACACTAAAAGGTCTTCTCGAAATGTTTCTGATGATATCAAATAGTGAAAACATTTTTCTCCTAAAAATCAACTAGTTACAAAAACTCATGACGTATTCTTTTGCTTAAAAAACTTGCAGCCATGACCACAAACAGTTTAATCTTATTTTTCTGAAATTACCTTAATATAATTCAGAAAATATCAAATCACAAAGGAAGCTTTGCAATTCTATCGGTCATTGATTACACTTGTATGATGTAAAATAATTGACAAACAGAAAAGGGATTGCTATTCATGTTACAATAATATGTCGTCATCTGTTAGTTTGATGCGGTACCTGTTGCTGCGGATTTTTCTTCTATTTTCCAACTGATAATCCTTTGGACTGATGAACTTCTCCCACTCGAATACAGGCTCAAAAATGCCTACAATGACATCAGAATGTTACTATTTAGTAAGAAAATATAAAGTAAAGTCACGGAAGAAAGAAAATTTTGCAAATAAATAGCTTTAGTTGAATAAGATATAAATGATTAAAGAAAACAGGTCATGTGCTTGCGTTTTTCTGTTGGCCTATTTCGATCAACAACTGGGTATTTATTTTCCATCGTGTTCTTTCGGACCCTTATTCTGACGTTTTATACTCTAAGGAAATCTTTTAGTAATATGTTGTGAAATATTTGATTTTTTCAAAGCCATTTTCAAAAGTAAGTAATTTCGCAAAAAAATCTTTGCTTCTACAGTTTCTTAATATACAATAAACGTTAACTTAAAAGCAGTAATCAAATTACTATGTGCTTTACATTATTAAATTAACAAAATTAAAACTGCGAGTAAAAGTAACGAAATTATTTGCCAGACATGCCTAGTTTTGCAGCTGTCTCAGAAACAGATGCATCATATTCTGATTGGAACCAACCAAAACCAACAGGAGTTAATGTACTTTCGAATTTCTTCATGAAGTCTCTGGTCCTAAACTCAAATCTACAAAATAAAATTAGGAAATTGGGAAACTTTGGAAACAATAAAGAGCAAACGAAAAACTAAAATCAGTGGTAGAAAATAAGATAATCGAAATTGCTAACGCTTGATACCATGCGCTTCGGTATCAACAGCAAATTCTTATTTTTCAATCATGCATGTATTCAATTTATGTCTCTGTGTAAAGGACCCTGGGTCTGGAACTCGTGCCATTTCTTTCAAAATTGCCTTGTAATTATAAAGGCGGGTGTTTAAATTAGCATAGAAAATTGTATAGCCAGGCTTTTAAGAATAGGCCCTTCACCAGATAACCAGAATCTCAAAATGAAATTTAGCACAAAAACAAGTCGTCCTTAACACTTGCGATCTAAATCTTCATTCCCCTGAGAACTAAATGATTCTGGCTACGTAGGACGCACTACCCAAAGATTGGAGGATAGAATAAAACAACATGTTCTGCCTAGTATTAGAAACAACACTCGTCCCCAAAGAGAACAGCCATCCGGTCTTGCAAATCTAAAATTACAACTAAAACCTGCGATTCTGCTGTCGGGCAGCATTTACTGGAAAACCCAGATTGTGCAAAAAACTATAATGGCGACATGTTTCGGATTATTGGTAAAGCTCGATCGTCGTTCCACCTAGCAGTTTTGGAATCTATCTACACAAGAACAAAAAACCGCTACTGTGTAGACAAAAGGAATTTGTTTTCACGTTAGGACTCCACTGGTAACATTCTCAATAGGCAAGCGGCACTGATAGGTCAACCTCAACAGTCATGTGCTCGTGTTTCTGATTGGCCTATTTCGATCCACAACTGGGTATATATATTTCCTAGCGTAGAGTTTTCGATCTATGTTCTGACGTTTTAAACTTTGAAGAGTGTCAGACGAAAAGCTTTAGTTTACTAAATGTTTGCTTTTTTCAAAGCCATTTTTAAGTTTTGTACCACCAAAAGATTGTCTGAGAACTAAATGCTTCCTTGAAACAAAGGCTGCCTAAATAAACGCAGTTCTTGGCTCGAGAGGTCTATAAATACTAAAAAAGATACCAGACAAAACTGTTTTTCCTTCTTCCACTTAATTTAATCCAACAAATCTATCTTAAATTCGGTATTTAAGTATATTTTGGAAACAGGCCCCTTTGATTGAAAACTCTTCACATCCTAACCTCTACAAAGAGCACCCAAATTACTTCTGTAATAGTGCATTTTACTAGTACTCCATACTCCACTTTCCATTTAATACTTTGAAATTGTGTCGTGTGCTGTTCCTTCCGACCAGTATACAATGATGTAATTTTTCAGTTTTTTTTGCCAGTATAACGATATTAATTGTAATGCCCTCCCCACATAAAGCAATCCCGTTATAACGTACTCGGTTATTACGTACTTTTGGATACAACGTACTGGTGTGCTTGGTCCCGGCAAAAGGTGTGCTTGGTTTTAGTAAATTTTACTTACCCTGGTCACAACGTACTCCGGATATAACGTATTTAATACACTGATCCCTTAAAGTACGTTATCAACAATATTGCTTTGTTGGGAAGGGGCGGAAAATCAAGGCAGTCTGACAACTTCAGTGATTGTGGTCATCCTAGTTTTTTGCTGCCAAGGCTATTGCCTTGTATTATCCTTAAAGCGAGGGGCAACTCGTACACCATTGGTGGAAATCATATCGTTTAATATGAAAATCTTTAGAAATCCTTTTGTTTTGGTAGAAAACTCGTACGCTATTTGCAAAAGTGAATTGTCTCTCGCTCTAAAGAAGCTTGAAGGCTAAATTAGAATTCGCTTTGTTAAAGAATGTCTTGAATGTAGAAAAGAGGGTACGTAGGGGCATAGCTTTGCTTAGGCAAAAAAGGAAAGGGTCAGGTATTTACCTTTTTTCCTTAGATGTTTCCAGCTCTTTCTTATCGATGGCATCAGTTTGCGACAGTAAAACAAAGCAAAAACGATGGAATCCACTTCCTTTCCACGGTAAAGGAGGCAAGTATTCCAATTCATCTCCTTTTGCGATTTGATTTCCGGAAATATTGAGGCTGAAATTGAAAGAGATTGATAGAAAAGGGTATTATCAGAAAATATGTGATCTGGATACATTGACATGCTTAGGACTCTGCTTTGGGGGCAAACATGCGTGGTTTCAGCCGATTGAACACACTTTCATTAAAATAAAACAGAATAAAATAGAGAAAAAGAGCTTGGCTTCATAATCTTTCACTATTCAAAAGTATATTCATCTATTGATAACTTTTCATTAGATAATTAAATTTAATTATGATTAATATTTTAGCATATATTAACAAGAAATTTACTTTTGGTTGAAAGTAAGCACAGTCTAAATTTCTAAACATATAGCAAGCAGATACTTACATCATCCAATGCAGAACCTCTGCATTTGCACAGGGGTGACAGCCTTCAGGATTCACAAGCAAAAGGCTATGAAGATTTTCACCTGATGCCTCAAACGTCACTTGTGGCCTCTTTATACACTGTTGAATTAAACACACAACATCACCGAATTAGTTAAGCTTCAAAAAAGAACAATAGCGGGTTTTAATAAGGAAAACTTTGATCGTGTCTACTACAACAGAAGAAATGCTTTAGACCAACATGATTCTTAGTGGGAATTCGGATTTAAGGTGTTATAAATTAATGTCTAAGTAATGAAAGGAGGGGACGTGTCAGGATTGTTTTAAGGTGTCCCATGCAAATTTGAAACTTCTTAAATATGTATTTTATTTATTTCTCCAGAATTGCTACCTTGTATCATAAAGCATCTCAAAATGAAAATATAACACCAATGGCGCACAATCGCTTCTCTTTGCAGTAGATTGGTTACTGTGTGGTTTACGAAAATTCCTGCAAAAAAGGCCATTCTTATTCACTTAGGCTGAACACCTGCTCATTTGACTGATACAGTGAATATCTACTTCATATCTAAGGAGCAATTTGCACCTTAATTTCACACCTGGTCCTTAACTAGCCATACATGAAGGCAAAAAAGTCTCAGACCCTAGCAAATATTAAAGACAGCATTCTTTGTGACACAGTACATACCTCGGATGGAGCAATAATATTACCACGATATGCAAAAACATTTTGGTATTCTATATCTAGCCAGATATTGGGCTGATATTCCTTGCCATCGAACAAGTCTCTAAAAATTCCGTAATATTTTGCAAGAAAAGCTACTTCTTTCAAGCCTCTAGTTTTTGACCATTCTTCTTTAACTTTGTCCAGGGGAATTCTTACTAAAAAGAATGCAAATATTAATAATCAAAATGAAATTTAATGGAAAAATGTATGTGTTATTGATTTTGCTTGTGTTTTTCAAACATTCGAAAGTTTTAGAATTTACCAAAAGGAAATACAGTAGAGAGCAAATTTTCTTTTAAGTAAGAATTGACTGGCATTTGAATATTCAGCCATTGATTGAACAAGTTATCAGCTTAATTCTATAAAACTTCAAGATATTTGCTGACAACAAGATTACTTGTTACAGGACAGTTTAAGACAATTTTGTGACCCAAAAACATAGTATAAAAGCTTGATGTCTGACAATGTAGTAAAATTTCAAAGAGGTCATTGCATGGTCAAAGAGATCAAAAAGGTCATAAGAAAAAATCTTGCTATGCATTTCAGATATACCAAAAGAGTTTCACTAATACTAGAAAACTCTGTTGATAGCCTTGCGAATTGCCAGGCTTGGGAAATGAAGGAAAATCAACTACCCAAATGATTATTTTTTATCACTTGAACTAAGGTGCGACCAGGTCTCTCCGGGAAATAAACAATGTGGTCATTTTTGTTTATATTACTACTACCTAAAATCTTGTATTACCAATCCCTAAAACAAGACAAAAAAGAAACATTTGGAAATATGGCAAAGTTTTGTGTAGGAACACAGACGTACAGAGCAGGATCTAACGAGACTCATGGTCATTCAAAAAATTGCATTAGCAATACAATATCATTCAAAGGCTAACACTCTTTCTTCATAAGAACCAGCAAATTTAAGTTCAGGCTGACTGTTCTTAATGTTTTTGAAAATCTAAGGTTGTATTGTTCGTAATTTGTTCTTTAATTAAAAGGGAATGCAATTGCTAGTTTTTTACTCTTAGGAGGTCTTCAGGCCCCATTTGCCAACAAACTGAGTGAGTCAACCTTCATTTGCAGACAAGTTGAATATTTAGCAAAAAAGCACCCATACATGGCTAAAAATTCTTGTTTTGAGATAAAACGTCGTTCAAAATTGCATTTGTACAGTAGCTCAGCCTCCGCTTGTTCTTAATTTCTTCTTAACTTTTGACCAATTTTTATGTTCATGTTCTTATAAAATTGTTCTTATAAAAAAAAGTATATACTGAGTCACTGAGCTCTCTGATTCAGATTCTGAAACCTATTCAAATAGTGCTTCAACTTTTCCTCTCTTCACTTCAAGCTTTTCTTATGCTTTTCCCTATTCTCTATTTTGACATGTAAATTCCAAAGAGCTCTTTCAATAATATCTTCTTTTTCTTCGCATACCCAGTTTTCATTATTGCATTTTATAAGCATCAAATCCTCCATTGTTTCATGGTGGAGAGAACGCCTTCTGTCACTGAGCATCAATGTTAACACAGAGAAGGGAACCCAGGGCTGGAGCCAGATAGACAAGTCAGCAATGAAACCAGAAGGCAGACATTAGGATATTTATACTTGCAATGCCTGAGAATACTTTGCCATGTCTTCTCTGAGGAGCTAAAGGGTTTTCAAGGCAGCTTTTATGGGAAAAAAAACTAAGGAATGCCTGCAATAAACACCACTCTATTCCAACTTTGACAAAATTTAAGCCAGCACCATCCAAAGACTTTGTGACATGTAGATAGATCTTCTCTATTTGTCAACACCATCAATTTTCAAATGATTCCAATATTTTGGGAAAAGCCATTGCATTGCCATAGAAATAGGGAATTCTAAATCTTAAAATTGCTTTCAAAAGTACATTGTAGCTGTTTATGTAAAAGTTGTCTACATCTTTGAAGCATTTACTGTTCATTGTAATCTTTACAGCAGTCTTGATTCAATGATTCACACAGTGAATGGTTATGAGCTTTCCTATTATGACCTGAGATGATGGTTGTTCAAGTTCAAGCTGTGTGAGAACACCTCAATATGTTCCCATATTTACACTTGCCTTGTCTGCTGTTGCACTGATCAAGCATGTGCCATATTTTGAAACACCAAGAACATAAGCAAGATAGTTTGCATTGGGATTTACAATTTGCAGACAGGCAGCTGCTGCCCTCAAGCTATGTGCTCCTTAAAAAACAATTCAAGGCAGCAGTTAATACAAGCAACTAAAAGGAGTGTCTATTTCCATTGCTGGTAAAACAATGTAGTCCTCCTCCTGGGGATTCCTCTTTTCTGTGCTACATCTCCATTCTGTGCTTGAAGGTCTATCTTTTTGAAGAGACTGTGGTCTATGGCTTTTTGGTTGGTTATGCATTTGTGCCTCCAAAGTGAGCCATCTCAGCCAGGGATGTACAAAATAGCATGAAAGATCCTCTCTTTTAACATGCTTAAGAATATTTTTAATTTCCTGTTTTGTGTGCTTGTCAACCATCAGAAAGTACTGACATAAAATTACTGCTAGCAAGAATGCAACCATGATGATAGTGGCGCGCATAGGGTTAAATAGTGCTATTATGTCTGGCTTTTATTTTGCATTAGAAATTAAGGAAATTTATGTTTTCATGAAAGTCCGGATCAAAACTTAAGAAAATCAGGATAGATTAGTAGAACTTGGCAGGAAGGAATGTCTTAGCAGGCAAGTCAAAAGGATTGCAACACTTAGTGGATTGGCAGTAATAAAAGTACCCTAAAAAAATTCATTTTATTCGGTTTAGGGTAGGAAACACCACAAATTGGATGCCTAATATAAAAAACGTTGCCCACACCAGGTCAAATGAAAGGTTGAACCCAGTTGAACATTCTTGAGATGAAAAGTTTTCAAAATGTTACCCAGTAGACTTTCAGTGAGTTTCCCAACAGTGTGGTGAGATATTCAAAACTGAATGCTTCCAATATAGAGTGAAAACAAAGGAGAGGTTATCCTTTCAAACAAAGTGGCAAAAATATGTGCACATTTAGTTCTGAATGATAGTCTAAATCAGGGAGTGTTGGGTATAGGGTAAATATAGGTTGCTTAAGTCACGTGCCTAGGGCAATATTGCCCTACATCAATAGGGCCTTAGTTCCTCATACCTGCATTAGTCAGAGTGAGCCAGGGTATGATGCATGGTCCTCTAAGCCTATCAGCATACAGGTGTATTTGGGTTTGGCATTATTTTGCCATATAAGGATAATCTCATTAAGGTATATCTAAGGGTGTCTCCCAAGTCCCAATACACTCACTTGCAATTCTACATGAGCTAGAGGGTTAAAGCCAAGTTCAAAAGAGGGATCATCAATCTTACCTTTGGAAACCTATAACACCTTAATTAAGCAAATATCTTTCAAACACTGGGAGGTTTAAAACGCCTGATGGACAACAGTGATGTCTTTGCACATCCTATGAAACAAAACTTTCCCTTTTGATGAAATATTTTATCTAATTTAAGGACAGGCACTGTATCACCATATTGTCAGAGAGCTACCATTGCAGCCTTCTGGTGCCTGTCACCATCTTTTTAAATTTTTGCAAATAAATAGAATAAAATCATAAAGATAGTCTTAAAAATTGTCTGGTAAACAATCAGCCTTTAGCATCAAGAACAAAATAAAGAATTATTTATAGCAATTGCTTGTTTTAGTCGGTGAAAAAAACTACTGAAATAAACTGAAACTTACACTGCCGCTTTCTTGCAGCCTTTTCCATTAATGGATCAGCTCTGGAGATGTTGATTATGCTCTTCTTTTTGTCTAGAATGTCTTTTCTTTTCTTGAGTGTAGCTAAAAGCTTCAACTGGTTGTCTATTTCAAGTTTTGTTTCTAATGGCAGAAAAGCAGATAAGATCTTCATATCGTGAAAATTTTACTAACATGGAAAACACTGTTTGTTATCAAAACAATGCAACTTTAGTCAATAAAAAAGTTAAAAATTTATTTGGAGAATACATTACCTATCTAACATTTGTTTGTTGCAGAAGTACCCTTTATGCAACTTGGGGCTGTTGTGCATGAAACCTACCTACATGTCCTTACAAAAACTTCTTGCTAAAACACAATAACCACCAAAGTCCCCACCCCTTCCTCGTTGACTGACCCCCTAAATATTAGCAAGTATTTATTTATATACAACTTTTGGGCATGAACTACAATGTTCGAAGAGTGTTTACAAGAAAATATCTAAAACTGTTTGGGGGAAGAAGTGGGGGATTGCGAGCGTTGTTTCGGGAAATTTGAAAAGTGATGTTCATTTAATTTAAAAGCCATTGGAATTGCACAACTATTTTCCTTATAGTGATGAAATTTGAAAAGGGATGGCAAGGATTTGATCTGTACACACACATACCTTGTGACAAAATATCGTCGGAACATCTCGCAGACTGAAGCGAAAATCTTCTTGGCTTTCCAAGTTTTCCAATAAAGCTTTTGAAAACAGAGCAATAACGAGACATATTAACTTATTTTACGACGAATTTCCAACTTGTACGTTTATAAAAAATAAACTTAGGCCTGTGTTGACCGCGCTCAAGAACTGATTTGATGGCACTGTTGCTGTAGCCTCGTTTCCAAATACAGACTTTACTGACAACGATGGCTTTCTGATCACAAACTTGAAAAAGAAACAGCAACTGTAATATTTTTGGGGTAAAATAAAATCTGTAAAATGAATAAAATTGAATGAGAGAAGAAGTTCACTGCATGATTGTGCTTCCAATTATTGTCAAGAAGTTACAAAATTTGTTTATTAATTACAACACAACAAAATACGTATTCTGCATTGTCTGCTACCCCGTTTCTTATAGCCCCAAACAAGGCAACTGCCCTTAGTTGCCCCCCCCCAAAACCGCCACTGCACCTTGGCAAAACATGCACGCAAATAGTTGTATCAATAGCTTATCTGTGAATATATATGGCTTTAATCGATCAGGAAGATATTATGTGGTAGAGGGTCAAGTTGGACTGTTTTCAAATTTGAAAATGACGCGAAAAAATCCAATGTAAGTGAAGGATGGTTTTTAAACGGAATTCCACAACAAAATTAACAGATATTTGCCCTAGTACAAGGGGGTTCGGTTCACCCTTTTTACCTTTAAAGAAACCTTTCACTTTCAAGTTTCAGCATTCTTTTTGATGCGCACTTGTTGGAGAGTCTCTGTGACAAGCTATGCTGATACTTAGGCTTCAGTAGCGTTAGCCTTTGATTTTCCAATGTAGAATTAAGATCATCCCAAAGGTCAAGAACAGGCATTGATAGATCGAGTACTTATTGAAAAAATCATAAACTTTCATTTTTGCAGAAAGTTTGCTAGCTAGACTCGGGCGTCCGAATCAGTCAATCAGAGCAGACTAACCATGCCAGTATTATGAAGCACCTTTGTTTTCACATCTCACCCCATAATCAACTTCTTGCACCGGCCTTGGATTGAGAAATGGGTGAAAAATCTGCAAAATATTTTTGGGGGCTTAAGCTTCCCTAGCCCTACCGGAAATCTCAATCTTGTATGATGTTGTTTTGGAGTGAAAGATTCAAAATCTAGCTTTCGCGCTCAAAACAGTCATATTAGCAAGAGGCCTAGAAATATATAATAAACACTGGCTATTAATGATATACTCTGAAAAGTATAGAAACCATGATTAAAATGGCGCCTCACAGAAACCAAGGGCCTAAGCCGAAACAGGCCAAGGGGTCTTGAAAAACAAAGTTCAGGGCAAAGGGGTTTTCGTGACCAGGGGTTTTGGTAGGAAATATTTGTGCAATTCCAATGGCTTTCAAATTAAATGAACATAAATTTGAGAGATTATTTCATTGCTTCGAGGAAAAAAATTCGGTGAAACTTTTAACCGTGCTTCAGAAAAGTACTGGAGAACGTTATTGGAGGATTCACAAATCATGCAAAAAACTTGTGAATCTAAACTTAAATCTGAATATACATCTTTGTTCTAGCTGTGGTAGTGCCGGCTACTGCAAAGTGAGAGGTTCATGGGCGTGACCAAGGAGACCACGCCTTTTCCCCTTATTCTAGTGCTTTATGCTAAGGGGGCTTTTTTAGACAAAACTTAAAGAATTATGGCCTAACCCTGCCTAAAGCTATTTTATCAGTTTTAAAACAATTATGTAAACCATGCTTTGACAAAAGTGGGGGGGGGGGGACTAGGGGATAAATACCCTCCCGGATCTCCCTGGCGCCGCTATTGATTGAGTGGATACTTTCAGCCAAGATAACATACTCTATAGAATTGGCTTCTCGTCACAATTTCAACTTGGAAAAGTAGCGATTTTCAAGCAAAAACTGAACGTACTAATGAAAGTATTTACTTGATGCATGTATGCATGTATTTGCACAAACGAAATGCAGATCAAATTTACGGTCTAAAAGAAAGCCAGAACATCAATTATTCTGCAAGCAACATATCTTTCCATTTATGAAAAATCTGTAAACAAAGCAAGCGAAACCGGGAGGCCGGGGAGCCATGGCCCCCTACTTTTCTGCAGAGCTGAAGAAAAATTTTAGGCAAAAGTGGAATAAATGTAGTATGATTCTGTAAGTAACTTTGCCTTGTATTCTCTTTAATGTGTCCTTAGCTTTACTTTGGTGGCTATGTCTTTACCATAGAAGACATACATAAAAATGAATATGGGAATTAGATCAAAGAAATTGGTCATTTTCTAAGTTTTACAAAGAGTAACAGCTTGGCTTAGCAAATAGATCGAGGAACCTGGTCCAGAATAACTTGGTGTCAGCAAAAATTGACGGAGTTTCGTTTTTGCCATTGCCTAAACCTGGCACACAAGGTCTATTTGTTAACGAAAACTTTCTCAGAAACATTACAAAAAGAGAGAAATCAGCTGTTGAAGAAATTAAACAGTATCATCAAGAAACCTTCAAAGTTTGATCGTTTGGATAATCCATTCCTACTAAGAAAGAGAAAATATTTAAACTCATTTAGACAAGACCAGTTTCAAATTTTTGTCAAAGCACTTAGTTTCCGAAAAAGTTAAGATCAGATGTAACAAAGTTATATCTTCACTGTACAAAATTGCTTAACTCTTTATTTTTAGTTGATAGTTCTTCTGTTGATATTTCAATGTTAATGTTTTTTATTAATCCGTGTTTCATTTATTTTTCTCTCCAATCTTATTTCATGTACTTTTGAAATCTAAAAAAGGTTTCATCACGAGCTATATGATAGTGGTAATTCTAAAACTTTGCAAAACTTTTCTATTTCAAGTCAACATAACAATAGACGCGACTATGCGACACTATCAGTCAAAATTCATTCTAGATACAGTTTCTGGGCATCCCTAAGACATCAAAATTCTAAATTTTTCTTGCCACCAACTGGTGGCGGCCTTTCCTAAGCCCGTTCAAGACTTTGATATTTTGGCCCCTCCACTTTCAAATACGTTTCGCTGGCCATGAATAAAAACTAGCATTATACCAGAACTTTTATCTTAACACTACAAACTACCTAAACAAAAAACAATTTTATTGCAGTTCTACATAAAAACATTTTAATATGCACGTTAAAGAATAAAAATAGCTTACATTTTATCCAATTTTAGAAAACAGGGTGCTGAGCAACCATACACATATCAACCTACATAATCAAATTTAAAAATAAAATAAACACTCAAGTTAGCGATTAAATCAGAAGAGCTTTTGGAAAAACCATATTTTTTGACAGAAAAGTTCCCACAAAACAATCAGTCCTACGGAATTAACTTAGTAATTCAAACATTCAAAATTCAATATCTATCTACCTATTTGAAATTATCGCTAATAATCAAGTTCCTAAAAATTTGACAACAGAATCTAGAAATATCTTAGGCTGGTCTGAGTGCACCCAATGTCCTGCATCGTTGATATACTCTATTTCTGCCGTTGGGAAAAGTCTGTGAATGTCAGGAATTTCAGCATCACTGCGGGTAAAAGTAAATGGAGATTCAAACATTAAACTCGCAATATGGCGGGGACGGGGGAATAGTTATGGTGGTCGTAAAACTAAAACGATGCTACTTGGTACATACAATCTTTCTATAAGAACCAGGTAATTGCTGCTGTGGCTCCACGTTCTTGTTTATTGGATAACCCGAAGCTTGCGTGTTTTTTTAAATTGCTCTTAATAAAAAAATTGACTTTTCTAAAACTACTATCAATTGTTTCTAAGACCACGAAATAGTATTTTTGCAGGATATCCTTAATAAGAAGGTTTGGCCTATTTTTCAACACGAGAAAAAATGTTGAATTTTTCTTCTTGGTTTTGATCTGAGACTTGGCAAGTTCTTATGTTACTTTTATTTTTTGCAAATCGAAACACGGTGTTCAAAGCGTGTTTTTAAAAAAAATTCCGATTACCTGCCTTTCTTCTTAAAACTGTTTGGCATGAGAAACTATATCGTCTCAAATTCGGTCTGCCTTGCAACTTTTAAAATGTATGGTATAGTGAAATATATGGTACGAACGAGCGAAAATTGTTAAACGCCTGAGACATTCCTCCGTCCTGGAGTCAAAGTACATGCGCATGCTCTTTGACATCAAGACGGATGGTTGTCTCACCTCACTAATTACAAGACTTTCTCTTGTATGTCTCCCGACGAAAAGGAGGCTAGAACCACTGTTAAAGAATTGGCTTGGCGTCAGGGCTGGGAACAAATCAGCTTCTCTGCTCTCTTTACCTCCCGAGACTAAGCTAAAGTACTTGCTATAGCCGACGGAGCAAATGCCTGAACAATTTTGTATAAGCATAGATTGGCAAAGACCGACACCCCCCCCCCCCTTTCTAGTTTATGTACTCTAATAGCAAAGAGCCAAAGACATATATGATGATATGGGAAGGGGGCTACTGTCAAAATAACAACAACCTACGTCCAATATTAGAAGTACCCATTTACACCAGATAAAACTGAATGTGGACATTATTGCCAGCACAGGGCTCAAAGCCAGTAACTTTCTGTTCGTAAATACAATTTAATCTTTAACAAAACCAATTTATCTTTATATGGGTATCAGAAGCCACCCTTGATTATAAGCCGCATCCATAAAACTATGCAGAAATACTTAGTTTGAAATGACAGACACAAAAACGGACAAAAACATGATTAATGTACTTAAACAAACAAAAAAGAAATTAGAAGTTCAACCAACAACAATAATACTGTATTGTATTTCTTCCTCCTCTTCTACATTACCCTCTGCTTCAAGGTAGCAAGGCTTGGCATAATTTTGATAAAATAATGTAAGCCGCCCGCGTTTATAAGCCACCGCAGCAAAACGTGCCAAAAATAATTACGAGTCGCGCCTTGTAATCGAATACGGTAGACATTTTGAACTCACGTGATGTAGTCTGACTTTTGCCCTGCCAAAAAGAGCGTTTGTCCCAAATACTGTTGCTCACCAAAGGCGGGGAATTCAAGAAGATCTTTGATATTTTTGTGAAAAAATTGCAGGTTTATAATCCATTTCATGCCATACGACGAATCTTCAAGATTTGTCAAAATAAATCGCCTCACTTCATCATCCTTAAATAAAAAAATGTATCAATGTCTTGCATTTTCTTTTACCAGTGAGAAAAACACAAGAATACAAATAAAAATTAGTTATATACCAGTGCACAATGTTGCTAGAAATGTAACAGCTCTCAGAACCAAAACGATCACTCACTTTTATTTCAGGTTTCAGTGCCTGGTCTGCATCTGCTCTGGAATGAATCAAGTTCAGGTCTAATTTCATCATTGCCTTAAGGCAGGACACAGCAGATGTAGCTGCAATCGAAGTCCTTGGTGCCGAATCAACAACAATAAGTTTATCAACAATTTGTGGGTTTTGCAATGCTATGCTCATTACAGTCTTTCCTCCCATACTGTGTCCTATCAACACGCATTGCTTTAAATCAAGTTTCTCCAGCAACCCCAATGTGTCATGTGCCATTGCTTCATAAGACATTGAAATATGGTGCTCACTGTCTCCGTGGTTTCTTGCATCGAATGTTATTACCTGGGCAAGGGTAACAAAACAGTTGAACACAAGTTTCAGCAATGGTTCAATGTTTCAAATACCGTAAATCCTTGAACTGGCCACCCCCTTGTACATGCCCCCTTTAATGAGCCCCCATCTAAAAACTGTCTATTAGTAAGCATATACTATTAGTTTGTGATGTAACTATGTAACTATAATCGGAGACTGCTGTTTATGTTGAATCATTTAACAATTGATAACTTTACCATATCTGTTTAAATTTCGGTTCTCTTTTACTTTGTGATAAGTGATATAAAATGGAGCTAATAATATGATGTATAACGTTGGCTATCTGCCATCTTGGCCTAGATATCTTATGCATGAAAAAAGGAGACAAAAATTATTAACTGCTAATTGATACCTAAGTCTGTCGTTGAGGCAAAATTGCTGCTTAATTATGTATGGAACAGTAGTTAAAAAGGTACCGATCTTCCAGTTCTCTGGTTTAGAACTCTGGCCAAGGAATTCCAATTTCTCTTTGAGCCAAACATCCCATGTAAAATCACAACAGGCTGAGATTTTGAAAATGTTTCTTTAGCTGGTAGAATGTTGTAAGCAAGCCTAGGCCGCCTGTGAACACAAAGAGCATGTACAATAAAATGTAAAAATTAATGTCACAATGGCTTGCAACAGAAAGAAAAAAAGCAATTCAAAATAAATGATATGTTAAAAGAATTTTTGCTTAACTAAAATTGTGCTATCTTGTAGAATGCAAACTGAGCATGAATGCATACTTAAATTACTGATAGCATTCTTCTGTTTGCCTCATCTAACAACTGTTCATAACCATATCAGAGAACTTTGGACATGATAGATATGATAGATAAACCATTTGGTTATAGTATTGTATTTGAGAGGTCCAGAATACTGCACCAATTCAGACCATAGCAATGGTAGAGTAGCAGAAAAATCGTTCCTGTCCTCTATATCATCATTAAATGGACATAGAGATTTTGGAAATGTTCCTGAATTGAACTTCCTGAAGTTTGATTTGCTATTTTTTGCTAGGTAACTGCCTTAAAAGTGAAAAACCTTTAGAGTTAAAATGCTATAAAGAAACTTGCAAGGTTGATGAATGAATTGAAGCAACTTCTCTTGAATAAATTCACAGAAGAGGAGAGTTTTGCAGTTTTGTACTTCTGAGAAAAACTGCTTTCGTGCTTGGTAAATTAGGTATCTAAAAATATTCAACAACTATCAATCTTGAGGCATTAATATTCATAAAACGGAAACCCTTCCAGTCAGGCAGGCATTTTTACAAAAAGACATTTATAAACAATATTAGAAGTTTTTATCCACATGCATCCAGTTGGAATGGTCTTAAAAAGAAAAATCTAAACTGAATTTCTAAGCATTCCTGATAACCTTCCCCAATGTTTTAATGTATGTTTTAATTAGGGTGTCTCTTCTCATTGGTGCACATGTAATTAACTTGTTTCTTTGTGCATTTTCATCATTATAAAGGCCGATTTCCATTTGACATTTTATGTGTGCGCGGGCTTAGCATCCAAGTCTTAGCATGCGTAATTAAAATCAAGTGGTCTCGATTTTGCGTTCGCTGTGAGCGCCAGAAAGTTGATAGGGTCTCAACTTTTTTGTGCGCGCGGCCACTTGACAGGAGCACTTAGCTACGCATGCGCAAATTTGGGCGCTACGCCTGCGCGCACAACAAATGTCAAATTGAAATCGGCCTTAAAGCAAGTTCGCTATTTCTGCTAGCTTTGCAAAGATTGCAAATTGACTTGTTATTTTTTCATAGGCTTAGAAGCTTTGAACAATCACACCCACCAGCCAAAAGTATACCCAACTGAACTCACATCGTTCTTGGAAGCCTTTCTTGAACTTTGTGTGTTTCAGTCCTAATTACATAGTTCCATAATTTGAAAAGAGTTTTAAATTTTCATATCTCACAAAGCTAGTGTTGTCAAATTTCTAAAAAGATGTCAAAAAACTGGCAATATTTTAGCTTTGAAGTGCTTCTGGAGATATGGAGAAATTTTCAGTATGATAAGCACTGCAGTGTGACCACGATCTTTGTTTGTGAATTAAATATAAATATGACTTTGAAAAAGCAAACATTTTACAACATACTGAAAGCCTTTTGTCTGACACTCCTGTAAAACGTTAGAATAAGGATCCAAATGCACTAGATGGGAAATATGTACCCAGTTGTAGACTGAAATAGGCCAATCAGAAAAATGGGAGCACATAAATGGTATAGTTGTCCAAGAAGTACCTTACAAGTGTCTTTAGGAAAATCACTTGATGTTTTTTACATTTTATACTTTAAAGAGTGTCAGACAAAAAGCTTTAACCACACTCCTTTTTTCAAAGCCATTTACAATTAATTGTATAAAAAATGGAAAATGTGAATTTGAAACAGGGTTAATTGGATAAAGCCTGCCATATCAACAGTGTTCAAACACTTTTATTTTCAACCCAGGAGAGCAAAAAGATCATAAACAATCACAATTCATTCTTTGAGTAGAAGCAACATTAAAATAGACTTTGTCATGGCTTAAATTTTACTCAAGATTAATGGAAAATGTTAATTTGATGTTGCATCATAGATGTTTTTCTAACTTTGAAATAAGAATCAGTCTCTTGAAGGAAACCTCTCTAAGCACTTTGAACTCTGTGCATCTGTGCATTCCTGGTGAAAACCATTATAGACTGTGCACTAGTTCACACAGTGCTATATTGAGTTGATCCAACTGCTGATATACTTCAGCTTGCGTTGGATGCTTGTTTAAGCACTGAGCAAGGTAGATGCTCCCAACAAAGACCCCAAGCTGCAAAACGAGACTCAAACTTCCTTCATTTCACACGACAATCTTTGATGTCAGTTTGATGATTTTTTAGACATGATAAGGCTCTGTTGCACCTATCATTATGGTTTAGCTCCCTTTTACAGTTAATTTTTTAGATTTATTTGTTGAAATGTGCAATAGAAAACAAAACTTGTCTTTAGATACTTTCGTTTCTAATCGCCAGTGACAGAAGATAACAAAGACTTTGTCCGTCGGAACATAATTTTTTCTTGCCCTGTAGTATTATTATAATAATTTTCTAACAGTTGTGAGGTATTAAGATTCCTGTAGCAGCTCAACTTAAAAAGTCTGGCTCTATAAATGCTTTAAATTGAAATTTTAGAATTCTAAATATTAGAATAGAAAAATGTAAAAGCAGCAAATGAAATTACTATAAAATAAAACAATTGAATTACATAACTATAGTATTATATGAATTCATTGATATTTTAGTACACTAGAGGCCCAAGGTGCGAGCAAAAGAAGCCCAGCATTGCTGTGAGCATATGCATGTTTTCCAGCCTGTGCCTCTCTTTTTCCAGTCTGGATTTCATGGCAGTTTTCAATGAGATCTTGGGAGTGCACAAGCTATTACCCGGGAGTGCAAAAGTGCATTTGTGACAAGTGTACACATTTGAGTGTGCACATCAAATTTCTCATTGATTCCTGAGTGTGTGCATATTTTATATGGCACATTTCCTGTTTACATCAATTTTACATCTCAGGGAATTTCATGACTGAGAGTTGAACTATGCTTACCTACCACTACCATCAGTGGCTGTTCTCCAAATTTCTAAAGGTTCGGAAAGTAAAGAGATAACTTAAAGTGCCACTGAATTGAAAAAATCAAAAAAATTTTTATTGATGTTCTAAGTCAAGTCAGTGCTCCTGAATCCGATGGTGAAGTTCATTTTTCGGAATTGTGAAGTGTTTTGAAGCTACAACGCTTCAAAGTTGCGATTTTCAAGACTTTTTGTGCGAAAATTTGTGCGCGGTCTGTGAGGAATTTCAGGAATGTGTGACGCATTAACGTTTATAAGTCGCGGAAGTGATGCGGGCTTCAGTACTGAAAGCTGTATTTCGAGTGCGATAAAAAACCCAAAAAAACGTGAAGTGGATGAAAATAGTGCGATACTTGTGCTCTAAATATCACTAGCTATCTAACTACAAGACATGTGCAAGGTATTTTCTTGCGAAAATTTCGAGCCGATACGAAATAAGCAAACTTTTTGCGTGCAGTTTTTACCAAGACTTCATCCCGATCATTTACCTTTTGTGAATAATTGAGCGTGTCGAATAAGAATGCTCTTACAAACAGCTTTACAAATTATGAATAAAAGTGAGCAAATTGATCAAGGGAAAAAGTTGTTCTATTAAAGAACCAAACAAATTGCACATTTTTCGGCGCTTTTCCCACTTTCCAACTTGCGTTGCCACTGTCAAAGCATCAGTTATCGCCAGGGCCGTCAAGATGGGATAAATTGCCCCGTGGTCAGGGGGCCTCCAAAAGTAGAGAAGTTCATTTTAAATGGAATTGATTAAAAGTAACAAAATTATGCCTTTAAAAGTAAAACTTTTTTAAACGTTTGCATGAAAAAGAATCAATTTAGGCTAATCTAGAATTCGTGGTTGCAAATATCGCCTATCCGTTTTGGCTTCCAGAATGTCTTGGCGTCCCTGGTTATAGCAGTAGCATCATTGTTAGCATCATTGTCATGGTATCGTGATCCAAAATGAAAATTATGAAAAAAACTTGCTTTATCTGGAACCTTGTTCTCCAGCCTATAAGTAGCACGGTGGGATTTTTCAGGGTCAATTCATATCCTATCTTTTTCAGCGTATCAAACTGCTTATCTCTACAAAGTTCCATGCCGATATCGCGATCTAAAAGTTAAATTATGACAATGACTGCTTAGAGGTCTAGGACCTGGTATCCCAGTCTATAAATAGCATAAGGGGTATTTTTCAGCCTCTATTCAGACCCTATCTTTTTCGGCGTATCAAACTGCCTATTACTGCCAAGTTCCTTGCTGGTATCACGATCTAATGGCTAAATTCTGTCAATTACTGCTTAGAGGTCTAGGACCTGGTACCCCAGTCTATAAATAGCACAAAGGATATTTTTCAGCGTCTATTCAGACCCTATCTTTTTCGGTGTATCAAACTGCCTATTACTACCAAGTTCCATGCTGGTATCGCGATCTAATGGCTAAATTATGTCAATTACTGCTTAGAGGTTTGGAACCTAGTACCCCACTCTATAAATAGCACAAGGGGGATTTTTTCAGGGTAAATTCATATCCTATCTTTTTCAGCGTATCAAACTGCCTATTACTACCAAGTTCCATGCTGGTATCGCGATCTAATGGCTAAATTATGTCAATTACTGCTTAGAGGTTTGGAACCTAGTACCCCACTCTATAAATAGCACAAGGGGGATTTTTCAGGGTCAATTCATATCCTATCTTTTTCAGCGTATCAAACTGCCTATTACTACCACGTTCCATGTTGGTTTCGCGATATAATGGCTAAATTATGTCAATTACTGCTTAGAGGTTTGGAACCTAGTACCCCAGTCTATAAATAGCACAAGGGTATATTTGTCAGCGTCTATTCACACCCTATCTTTTTCGGCGTATTAAACTGCCTATCTCTATCAAGTTTCATGCTTGTGTCATGTTTTACACAATTTGTATCGTTTTATCTTCTTACAGCCCTCACTATGGCTGAAATGACTATATAAATCTGAATGCGTCACTCGCCCCAGCCTCTTTTCGCACGACCTACTCGCAAAAGAACCCCAGAAACCCCTATTTGTGGGCCCCAAATTAAAAAACTAAACTTTTTTCCGAAATCAGCGATGATAGGTCTACCAGAATCAACAATAAAAAAAATTTCATTTTTTTCAGTTCAGTGGCACTTTAAAGAAAAAGGCCAAAAACCTTTAGCATTCTAAGAGTATCATGTGGATGATATAAAGCAGGGCTAACAAGAGGGGGACAAAAGGGGGCACATTGCCTAAGGGCCTCAATGTCTAGGGAAAATTTATAGTTAAAAGATAGAAATTCATTCATAGAAGAGAAATAACAGTAAAATGTAACAATGAAACAATTGATACAAAGTAATATTTGAATAAATGCAAACAAGTGACTGCAAAGAATATTCTGAAGTGTATTTTAAGCTAATCTAAAGAGCGAGGTGGCAAAAATTTTCTGCTCACTTTGCTCGCAAGGAGCTTACTTTTATAGTTTGGTTCCAGGCCCACTGAAAACTGTTGGCAGCCCTGATATCAAGTGGATCACTCAATTTAGAAGGACATACTTTTTTCCATTCTCAGTTGCGAACAAATTTAGAAAGACATTTTACTGTGTTTAAAAAAACTTTTTAATTGGAGCCACATAAAAAAACACGCCCAAACGACGCCTATCTTTCGGGTGTGCAAAAGTGCACCCGCCCGTTATTTTACAAAAATTTCTCGGTTAAACTCCAGAAAAACCACTGATTATAGGAAGCCTTACCCAAATCGAATAATTTTGTTGAAATTCCCTATCTCCAGTCTTCTGGCAACATTCTCGCAAAATCTCCGCGTTAAAACCGGCGAACTGTTCGCCGTTTGCTTAAACAGGGTGGCAGCCATTTTCATTAGTAAGATCGGTGAGATGAGGTAATAAAACGGCCTCGATTGTGGGTGAATTTCTTGGAAAACAAAATTCGTACAGTCGTTATCAAACCGAAAGTTCGAGAAAAAAATCGGGTTTCGAAAAATAGAGTAAGTTTGTTACTTTGTTTACTACTTGCAAATAATATTTCCAATGCCAAATAAAAAATCTAAAGGAAGAGGCAGGGGTCGAGGGAGAGGTAGAGGAAATGCGTTAGCTGATAGTCAAGACGTTGGACGTCAACAACTGTCAGAAGACCAAGTGAAAAAAGATGGATCCTCTGTCCTCTCAGAGAATAACAATGTCCAACTTGATAGCACAGCCCTTGGAACTCCAAACCAATTCGCAGATGCTGCCTTGAATTGCAGACAGGAAAGTCCTCTATCATGTAAGAAAACCGGGGATCAAAAAGTTCTTTCGCAGCAACCCGAAGCTGAAGCTCAAGTCATTGCGCCATTGCCAAAAAATGTACCACAGAATGTTGTACAAGCAAAAAGAAAAGCTAAAAATGATAGCAATACACAGATTCAGGGAGTTGACATACCTACAGGAACAATCAGCCATCCTGTCCAAAGCACAACGAAAAAGATGGAAAATCTAAACTTACAGGATAATGTGAAAGGCCTACTGAAGAATGAACCCAATAAACTTAAAAATGCTCAGGTACAAGCTAAGACGGTTGCTGATTCGAAAGAAGAAAAAAGTAGCACTGGTGGTGCAAAGAAAAAGGCCACTGGAGACAGCACGTCGACAAGAACTGCCATTGCAAATTTAGGCTCGACATCGCAAGGGAACAGATCCTCCCTGGAAACTGGTATGTCTTTCAAAATCAGATTCCAAGGTATAACTCCCCTAAGCTAAAATAGATCAACAGATACACGATATAAAAAAGCAAACAAGCACAAAAAAACTCATAACTATCAAAATATGAATTATGATTATCTGTACAGATGCACGAATTCTTATGTAATTTGATGGAATGTTGTATTCTCCAGCCATAATGCTTTGCTTTCAGTTTTCCTTCCAGCTATAAAACTGAATTGACCTAAACGGGGTTATTTCCATGCTTGAAATGAAAAAGATAAAAAACGACCCCACCCAATTTATACCTAAGTATTATTGCATTTGTTTGATGGAAAATGAGCAGATCTGACTCTTTGTAAGTTTTGACCGAAAGAAAATTTGCCAAAGACGTAGTTTCAAAAATAATTTTAAATAAGTTTTGTATGATATTTTGAATACTTACTAACTTACTTACTTAAGTTTATGCATCAACATCTGATTGTTCTAATAAGTCTTATTAGTACGAAATCTATAATCTATAAGTACGAAAACATTATGAAATATTTCAAAGCAAGGAAGAATTTAATAATCCCGAGTTGTAGGAAGGATTTATTTAGAGTGGTAGACTTAGCCAAAAATGTACTGTGCTAGCTCACACACCGCGTCTGGTATTTGAGTCCAAATTGGGGTTGTATTTTCATTTCATTTTTCTCGCTGTATAACTCTTTTCCTAGAGTGAAAGTTCAGCATTAATACTTTTTTCGAAAAACGAAGTTTTATAATTTTCCCTACAAAAGCTACTTAAAAATACTAAAAGATAATGAAGTTCGCACCCGATGCCAAACTCCACCTTTCATTATATTTTGCTTTCGGTCACTGCAAACAAGAGCACATTTTGTTCTAGACCAATCAGCGGGTTTGTTTACAAAATGTCATTAGCCAATCACCGGCTTCCATTTCGAGCTTGATTTTTCAATATTTCAAATCAAAACACAGTTGCTGTGGAGCAAAACCTACCCTCATACTTTTGCCCGGGAAAAAAATTTACGTTTTTCTACGAAGAAGATATTTTAAACTTACATTCTAGAGTAATTTTTTGGTACATATCTAGGAGCCCTAAGCAGGAACATTAACGGTTGGTAAAATGTCTGCAGTGAAACATTACCTATTTTCCACCTCGGCCCTACCGCCAAAAATGCCTGGCCCCTAATTTACTCTATATGAAGCTTTTGTTAATTAAACAAGTAAACATTTTAAGATTTTAGTTACCTGATAGTTTGCGCAAACAAATCACCCAGCTATCACCTGGGAATAATGTATTTTCTTAAAAAAAACTAGGCTTTATAATTGCCTATTCCCTCCTCTACACTACCGCACGGGATGCCTAGGCCCTTTCCGAACCTCCCTCCTGGTCACCACAGTCCATGAAACTCAAACCACTTTTGTGAAGCCATCAGTCTATAGTTTGAAGCCAAAAAGACCAAAATATTGGCAATACTTTCAATTCAATTTTTGAAAGAAATCAGCCTTTGGTCGTTTCAAAGCTATTTTCAAGGCATTTTTGCCACGCTACTGCCAATAGCGAAAATTTTGGTAACTCACTCCCCTCATGAAAGTATCTGGAAAGTTTCGAATTTACAATTTACAGATTTGTAATTGCAAAATTGTTTTCTGAATTTTTCTGTAAGTTTCTTTGAACCTTTGAACTATTTATTTGTCTAAAAAAATTATTTTATCCATGTGTAAGTAAATGTTGTGAGGGTTTTTGTCAAGCTTGTAGCGAAGGAAACGAAAATCGACTCACAACAGCGGCAAGAAATAATAATTTTTTCACAATGATGGAAAAACAATAATTAAGTTGCTAAAATCACTGGATGAGCAAAAATTACTTCTTTCACCACATGCAAATAAGTTTAAAAAACAATAATAAAGAATTAAAATTTATCCTCGTACCGATTTACTTTAGCAAGACTTGCCTCTGTAAATGAATTTTGTGGCTTTATGACCATAGTTCTAAATGATATTTCTGCATTGTAAGAACATTTCAGAACTGCTGAATAAAATAAGCCTTTCTTTGCACAACCTAGTAAGATTTCTATAAAGTAAACTCGCAGATACTTACCTTTATGCTTGGGTGTCTAAGACTGCTCATTTCCCTCTGTGTATCAATAAACTGCTCATTTTCTTATTGTTATGAAGAAATTGGTCAAACATCTTGGTCCAAATTTTTTTTACTTCAACGGAGACCATTGTGAGATATGTTACAAGAGAATTCAATCCATATAGAATTTTTCGAAAGCCTCCAAGTCCATCTTTTCGAAAGCCCATCTTATTGAGTTTTTCGAAATTTCCAAGTCCATCTTTTCGAATTTTTCGAAAGCCTCCAAGTCCATCAATTCACTGCAGCAATGTTCAATCCACTGCACAGAAGACCAAGGCTGCAGTTTTGTCAAAACCACAATTTATCTCCTTGAATGCAAACACTCCCCTCACGAAAGTATCAGGACAGTTCAACGATCGATTTCCTTTTCGGACAAAAACAAATTCAGGCTGGTGATAACGACTCTTTAATTTAGGGATAATAATTTTTTGAGAAACCATTACAAAATCAACCAAGTCACTAAACTGTTGCAAAACATTTGCTCTTTTTATCTGTTATATATTTTTCTTTAAATAATAAACCTTTGCGCTACATGCCTTACGCAAATCAAACGACCAAAGGCTGAGAATATTCACTTGCCACAAAATTCAAGGCCAATATGATCATATTGGTTCTCAAACAACTAAATATGATTTAGCAAAGATATTTCTAAAGTTATCATGCATTGTGCTAAAAACCTTTTAGCAGGTATCAGTAAGGTTTCAAGACTTTGAGACTGTCCTGTAAAAGTGGGTTTTTGTTACTTTTTAAAAAGATGATTTCTTTCAAAAATTGAATTGAAAGTATTGCCAATATTTTGGTCTTTTTGGCTTCAAACTATAGACTGATGGCTTCACAAAAGTGTTTTGAGTTTCATGGACTGTGGTGACCAGGAGGAAGGTTCGGAAAGGGCCTAGGCATCCCGTGCGGTAGTGTAGAGGAGGGAATAGGCAATTATAAAGCCTAGTTTTTTTAAGAAAATACATTATTCCCAGGTGATAGCTGGGTAATTTGTTTGCGCAAACTATCAGGTAACTAAAATCTTAAAATGTTTCCTTGTTTAATTAACAAAAGCTTCATATAAAGTAAATTAGGGGCCAGGCATTTTTGGCGGTAGGGCCGAGGTGGAAAATAGGTAATGTTTCACTGCAGACATTTTACCAACCGTTTGTGTTCCTGCTTAGGGCTCCTAGATTTGTACCAAAAAATTACTCTAGAATGTAAGTTTAAAAAATCTTCTTCGTAGAAAAACGTAAATTTTTTTCCCGGGCAAAAGTATGAGGGTAGGTTTTGCTCCACAGCAACTGTGTTTTGATTTGAAATATTGAAAAATCAAGCTCGAAATGGAAGCCGGTGATTGGCTAATGACATTTTGTAAACAAACTCGCTGATTGGTCTAGAACAAAATGTGCTCTTGTTGTCACTGCAGGCACCGCGCAGCCATTGGGCTAGCAGGGGCTATAGCCTCCCCCCCACTTTTTTTGCAATAATAGGTTAGAACGTTTTTTAGAAAGTTTATTTTTACGAAACTTTGGAAAGTTTTTGGTAAGCAAACAGATCCTAAGTAGTAGCAGTTCGCCTTGACTGGGAACCGATTTTTGTTCATTTTCTAGGTGACTAATCTTGTTAAATCTATATTTTTAGGAATTGATATCTTCTCTGAAACAGACTGTTTATAAAAAGATAAGTGGAAAGAAGCAAGTGTTTTCTCTAAGTATTTAAGGGCGTTTTCTAGCGATCTTAAGGCGTGGCCACCATAAAATTCTCGGCCACGCTCTTTTCAGTCCACCCACTTACAGAATGGTGTGTGTGAGATCCCGTGTTTTTTTAAAATTATATTTAAGTTACTTCAAACGTTTATTGAGTTTAAATAGCCATATTTAAATAGACATCGTGGATGAAGTAACTTGTTCGTTGAATAATCACGAGAAAGTGAATGATGTTGGAATACGAGATAGAAAGTCAGCACTCAATATCAACGGAGTTCAAGACTATGTAATAACAGCAGGGCCTTCACCAGCTATTGTGCTCAAGGGGGGGGGGGGCAGGGTCCTCCGATCCCATTTGCCGACAGGTCTGAAAATTTGCCGACGAAGCACCCCTACGTGGCAAAAATCTCCTCGTTTTTACAATGGATTTTTTCCAAGGGGGTGTCACACTCCTCTACCGCAACACCCTAGCGACTTGCTGGTTGATGTTTAGATATGTTACAATAAGTAGAGTCAATCAGGTGAATTCCCCTCAGCGCACACGGCAGACGTTTGTCTTTGAAAGACGAAGATTTTTGTCTTTAGCATTCCAAAGACAGAAATATCAAAAACAAAAGTTTCGCGCTTGCGCTTGTCAAAGACAGAAATTTTTGTCTTTCAAAGACAGTCTTCGAAATTAAACATGTTTAGTTTTCGTAAACGGTCTTTGAAAGACAACGACAAAAGTCTGCCGTGTGTGGATCCAAAAGACAAAAATCTTTCGTTTATGACCCCGCACACTGCAGATTTTAATCGTGAAAGACAAAAATCTTCGTCTTTTGCGACAAAATTATGCTATGTGCGCCAGGCTTAAGTTTTGATCACATGAAGATATTCTCTTGAAACTGCCCGCCAAGCAATTTCCTGTCTGTGCTTCAAGGACGAAAATCTGTCTTGTGCACAATCTGTGAAGACAAAAATCCTCGTCTTTCAAAGACGAAAATCTACCGTGTGCGTGTGCGAATAACTCGAAGACAAAAATCCTCGTCTTTCAAAGACAAAAGTCTGCCGTGTGCGGTGGGCTTTAAGAACGTGTAAGTGTGTTTTTAGTATGGCTATTTATACTCAATAAAGGTATGAAGTTACCTAAATGTAATTTGATAATATCTTGAGACGATTGAATTTTTAAAATTTCAGATAATCGTAAACTCCTTGCAAGACCAGGATATGGTACTGTTGGCAGACCAATTAAACTCAGAGCAAATTTTCTTCCCATGAAAATTCCAACGTATGGAGATATTTATCACTATGATGTGTCAATAGTGCCAGAAGCTTCACGTGATATTAACAGGGCGGTGATCAAAAAGCTTGAAGACAATTATGGGAAAGTATTTAACGGCGAAAAGCCTGTTTTTGATGGAAAGAAGAATATATATACCAAGAAGCGTCTTCCTATAGAGAATAATGGGGTAAGGTTTTTTCTATTAGATTAAACCTCAACTTAAAATCATGTCAGACATCTTTTGGCACAACTTACTCTCGATCTTCACTTCAATTCGGGAAAAAATTATTCTAAAAAACAACGAGTAACGAAATTAAATAGGGAATGTGTAATACCACCTCCCGAAATTTTCTCAACAAAATATTTTCTTAAACCCAAAATTATTACCTCTTAATGCTTTGGAGATCAAACAAACTGGCTACCCTAATTTCATGATTGGGTCTTCTATGTCTTTCATTTAAAAGTAAAATAAAAGTAAGTTATCAAAACGACTGCAACCTAAATAACACACCTATGTTTAGAGTCGTTCCTGGTGAAAAAAGTTCACGACCCCTTTCGAAAGTTCCCTTTCGAAAAAAAAATTACCATGACATTTTTCATCCCCCCACGTTATATCACATCACTAGATACAGAAAAATATTGTAAAGGACAATATTTAACAAAAAGCACTTTGTTGACCGTCCTTGTTGACCAAAACATTTTCCTGTTTTTACTTTATTTTTTCTAAAAAGGTTTTAACTACGAGCCATGAGTGCTTGCCTTTTTAGATCTTAGTTTATATAACCCTTGTCTACCATACTGTTGATCCTCGAACTACCCCCTTCCTTCCCTCGTATAAGCCCGTCGTATCGAGGGGCAATTCACTCTTGCAAATAGAATACAAGATTTTTCCTAAAACAAAAAGATTTATGGGGATTTTCAGATAAAACAATAGGATTTTCACAAAAGGTGTATGAGATTGTCTTAGAGTGATTTTCCCCTTGCCTCGTATAAGCCAGGGATGTTTAACCCCCCCCCCCCTATCCACAAACTTTCTAAATAGCTAAGCTCATTGGGAAGGGGGGGCTTATTCGAATATTTACGGTATGAAGGGAAGTACCCTGGGTACCAGACTCACTATATTTATTTTATATATAGTGAGTCTGGTACCCAGGGTAGAAGGGAAGTTGCAAGCATTCCAATGTGTTGAGGGACACTATGTCTAAAAGAAGACACTTGTTAGAGCTTCTAACAAGGTTAAAAAAGGGACATTTTCTGAAAAGCTGGTGGAGTATGTGCCGCTGGCTGCCCGGTTTTGACGTCCCTAATCATGTTGGGTGGCGAGTGATTCAGTGATGATCAATAGGCACTGTAGCGTTTCTGACTGGCTTATTTCGATTTACTGACAAAAAGTGTCTGACGAATTTTTTAAAGCTACTTTTTGAATTTTGTTTGAAAGCCTGTATGGAAACCTAATTATGTAAAATAGTAGAGGTATGCTGCCCAGAGATAAATTTAATAATAAAATCTAGACGAAGAAACCGACTTATAACTTTAACAAGACACAAAGATTGCCTACAGAAACTGAGCGCATGCACAAATAGAAATCATTCTTGAAAAACGCTGAGGCTCTTATTATAAGTTATCTTTCTATTGGGGGTAATCAAGGGGGATATAAATCCGTCGTTCAGCGCAATTTTAAATTGAAATCCGCAGTTCCGGTCATTTCTAGCCAATGTCCCGCGTCCAAAAATGGTGGATAAATGCTGCTGATCAATTCGTACGGCATTATAAAAAGTTCCGTTATCATTTTCGAGAAAATCAGCGTCTTGCAAATATGGAGGATTGCCGTAATTTGCGAAAAAATTTCCGTTGTTCCGCAAGCTTTGATAACCCCCTTTCTACAATATTTTACAAAAAGCATACCCATTCATCGTTATCCGTCGTTAAGTCACTATGAAATGCATGCCAAGTCCACCAATTAGTACATAAAAGCAAGATCTAACAAACTCTTTTTTAACTGCACAAACTAACCCAGGCTCGTCCCAGGTCGAAACCCAACTCTTGAAATAGAGTGGCTCAATCGAGGGGAGGGGGGTGGCTAGGATAGTTTGGGTTTACTCAACGATAGCTTAGAATAATTTCAGCAAGGGGGGAATCCGGTTTATTCTGTGGTGGTAGATCAAAGCTGCAGGCTGCTTGCCATCGTTATTTTCCTATTTGGAATCTCTCTCGTATTAATTCAAGTATTAATATATACTTCGCTATCCATGGTCATGGTTCGCAGATATCGTATAGCTGGGTGGACTGCTTTGGTTATGGATCATTTTGTGACGGTTACGAGTTGTCGTGGGTTCAGTAACCACAGGCAAATAAAACGTATACTTATCGAGAAACATCAAATCAACAACTAACTGTATACATCATTACGAGGCTACAAACAAGTATTAAAAATAGACAATAACGTCACAATTTTACAAATGAAATGGAAAAAAACCTTTATGTTATCTCAACATTTTACAAAATCAGGAGCTCATCACTCATTCATTTAATTACTCTCCGAAATCTATACTTAAACAAATATATTCATTTATGCCTTTGAATGAATTTGAGTTTATAGACCGTTATAACTTGTAGAGCGAATTTACTGTGAAGCACCATTCAGAATCCTGGCGAACTGAAAAAGAATTCAAGGTAATACATTTTGCTATACATCTTTTTATTTTTATTGGTATATAGCTAAAAAATGCTACGCTTACCATAATTTTTAATCAAAGCTGACCAAAAAGAGTAACAATTTAGATTGTTCCATTATCAGTTTCGATTAAAGAGAAACCTAAGTGGAACCTTAAAGTAAATGACTCTGGCTTCCCAGCCACTGAGCTGTTGATATTGGCTTGGGTGCGGAAACTCGAGGAAGAGCCATACCTTGAGAGGGCAGGCATTTAAACAAGAAAACAGATACATAGCAGCGAATGAAAGTTTTAGAATAAATCAAGCTTACAAAGGAGCTACGAGTCAATATCAGAACATATTAACTACAACTGAAATTCCTGCCCCTGAACTGATGGACTTCAATTTCTCATTATATCAATTTTTAAACTGGCCTAACTGTTTGAATATCAAGTCGTTTTGAATATCAAGTCGTTTATGCTTTGAAAACTCGGGATTTGCTGCTTCGTAACTGTGAATTTTTTCAAGTTTGTAATTAACCTTCCTCTACCCATAGGTTACGGTGAAATTCGCCTCGAGTGTTAGCATTGAGCTACTAAACCAAGCATTGGCTGGCAAGTGTGAAATTCCAAGAGAAACTATCCAGGCACTTGAACTGGTGCTCCGCATGACCCCATCAGCAAGGTAGGTTTTCATCTGTCCATTTACATGTCTTTATTGATTCTCTGGCATTATTCATACGTCTCTAAGCATTATTGATTCTCTGGTGAAACATGATACAAACTTGAGTAGCCATCATTTAAAATAGTTTTAAAATGTCATTTGGTTTCAAGGAAATCATCTGTTGTACGCCACTTTATATCAATAAGTAAAAACTCTTTTAAGACAAAATAGTGTTATATGATGCAGTATTTCGTTAATTCCTTGTTGTGATAAAAGATTGTTGAAATTTTAATTTTGACTCACTCAATGCTGAGGAGAGGGAGGGTCAGGGGGGTCACTGAACAGGGGGCCCTTGGCCTTAGGGGCCCACAAATAATGACTCAATTAAAAACATTATAAGTAACAGTGTAACCTCTCCATTATCACAAAAGTCTATGAAAGAAGTAAGGTAGAAGCAGTTTCAGTCTTTGACTGCTGTTATGAATTTCTCAACTTTGTAGGCTTGGTCTAAAGAAGTTGAAAAGCTTCTGAATGTTACCAAATACTGTTTCCCCCCTAGAAGCGTCTGTCTTTATTATATATCTTTCGTCCTGACCAGGGGCCTAAACATCCTCCCTGCGGCCCTGAACTCACTGAATGTAGAATATAATGTGGCATTGATAATATGAATAATGATTCTGAAGGGCGATTGAGTGATTTCTGGTTTGGTGAGTGATAATATGAATAATGATTCTGAAGGTCGATTGAATGATTTCTGGTTTGGTGAGTGATAATATGAATAATGATTATGAAGGGCGATTGAGTGATTTCTGGTTTGGTGAGTGATAATATGAATAATGATTCTGAAGGTCGATTGAATGATTTCTGGTTTGGTGAGTGATAATATGAATAATGATTCTGAAGGTCGATTGAATGATTTCTGGTTTGGTGAGTGATAATATGAATAATGATTCTGAAGGTCGATTGAATGATTTCTGGTTTGGTGAGTGATAATATGAACAATGATTCTGAAGGTCGATTGAATGATTTCTGGTTTGGTGAGTGATAATATGAATAATGATTCTGAAGGTCGATTGAATGATTTCTGGTTTGGTGAGTGATAATATGAATAATGATTCTGAAGGGCGATTGAGTGATTTCTGGTTTGGTGAGTGATAATATGAATAATGATTCTGAAGGTCGATTGAATGATTTCATTTCTGGTTTGGTGAGTGATAATATGAATAATGATTCTGAAGGGCGATTGAGTGATTTCTGGTTTGGTGAGTGATAATATGAATAATGATTCTGAAGGTCGATTGAATGATTTCTGGTTTGGTGAGTCATTCTACTGATAGCTAATTTAATGTATAAAAGTTGTGATGGCTGATTTTGATACTTAATTGTACGATTGGCTCCCTGTTGTTTCTAATCATTTATCAGCTTGTTGTATCACAGTCATACATGTCTGTTTGGTTCTTGTTTCGTTTTCCTAGGTACACTGCGATTGGAAGATCGTTTTTTTCAATGCCGACCAATCCGTTCGATCTTGGAGAAGGATGTGAGTTGTGGTACGGTACCCAGGGGCGGATCCAGACATTCGCAACATTCGCACTGGCGAATGTCAGATTTCCACATGTCTTTTTGTAATTGTCTGTTAATACATTTTAGCATTGTGAATATTGTACTGGAAATGGCCAGATAATAAAAAAAGGTCCATAGAATACAAGAAAAAAAAGTTTTGTTTCCTGTCCTAGTTGCTATGATGTCACCTTGTTGTTTACTTTTTAGGTTTTATTCCCTCGTTTTCGTGATTTAGAGATGATATATTCGAAAGAGGGCTCCCCCTTTTACGCATAAATTCACAGAGCACCAATAAGGTTTGATGCGAATGTCGAATGGAATTATAATATATTAGGCATGCGTGCGCAAACGAAGTAGTACTGAAAAATGTATGCCAAAAATTTGTGCGAATGTCAGTCCACCTATGTTATCTAGCCATCTGAAAACCAATAGGAAATGTATATGGGAAATTTTTTTGCGAATGTGGCGAAGGTAGATGCGAACTATGTTCGGTAGCCAGTTGAGGGAGAGAACCTTGGAAAGTGAGTAGATAGAAACCTCGCTTCCAGATCAACGGCCATGATTGTTGTTGGAAAGCTGTGGAGACATTTGCTTGCAGAAGAGCAGCAATTGTACTTCAGAGTGAGTGAAAGGAGTCAAATATAAGATAATTTTTAATTTGAATCAGGGGATTTCTAATGTAAATGTTCATAGTTTGTCGAAGATTTTGGTTGATGGATGGAATTTGATAGATGGCAATATGCGAGGACAGTTCAGTTGGACCTAAAATTGTTGAACCAAAATTTTGCTTATGTTTTCATTTTCATGATGGAAGACGTTATTTAGACAGAGATTCAGACTCAAATAATATTTTGAAGAATACGTGTTGCATTTTAAGGTAAATAGCCATTTTTATGCAGGCTGTCAATCAGAACTTTTGGGGTTCAAGTCAGGTACATGATGTACCGTACATCTTGATAATGATGATGTAGCATTCTGACGAATGATTCTGTTCTATAAATATCTTGATGAATTTGAATATGCTGAATTTTAGAATTCTAGATATTTTTTATTGATAGATATTGTTATTATCACAAACCTGTAAATAGTTTGACTGTGCTGGGGATTTGTTTTTGAATAAGATATTGCATTTTCTACGGCCTATTCTTTCCTTGTTAATTTATGCTGTCAGTTTTGGAAAAATCTAGACTGCCATATTTGTAAATGAGAAATTGTAATAGTATTTTGATTTTATTTGCCTGGTCATGCCATAAATATGGTAACCCTTTTCATGAGTTTAACCTCTAAAACTAGTAAAATTATTTGTGGTTTCCACACTATAAGAGTATACCATTTGAAACTTTTGGTTCTGAAATACCCTTAAGATTCATTAATTTTTGTTTATGAATTTGCAAGTGACTGACAGTTTTCTTTTCTATGTAATTGTGTGTGTAAATAAATGTAAATATGGGTAGTAAGGAATGATCCTAAAGGGGGAATTACTACATTATTAATAAGAAATTCACAGCAAGTTGGTTCTGCCAAGTAAATATCTTATATAAATCCATATAGTAAAAGTTACCATGTTTGCCTTATTTCTTTGCCATTACTGACTTTGTTTGATGTACATTTTAAATTTGTATATAATATATCTATGATGTTCTTGTTATGGAAAGACAATGAATTGTTTTAAATTCTGTTACATTTGCTGTTTTACCAACACCTGAAAATACTAAAATTGTATGATGTGTATTGACCTAATTTGTATTTTTGGCCCTGTTTAAGGCACATCACACAGCAGTTTAGATAGAAAGGCGAATGCACAAAATAAATAACAGAAAAGCTCTGAGTCCCTAAAGTATTTGGTGTTGAAGTCAAACATTTGGGTGGATATTGCATTGAAAATTTCTACACTAAACACAGTATTTGATTGTTAAATAATATAATTGTATAAATAGAACTAAGATTCCTTTCTTAAAATGGCTGTTTTTTAAGTGAGTGACATAAACTATTTTTAATGAGTTTTTCTCTCTGAGAAGGGGTGATACACACGCCTAATATACCCTTATTTTAGCTCATCCTCTTTGTTCTTGACAATTTGTGATTCTGTGCCTAGACTTGCCATTAAATCATCATTAAGAGGACATTTCAAATCTTTGCTGTTGTTTTTCCATCACAAAAGCCATGTAGGAAACAAAACATGTCAAAACAACAAAAGCTTGATGAGTGTTTCTCAAAATTTTTCCAGAGATCTCTTTTCTTGTTCACTCAATAAGTAGAATGTCAAATTGTCAATGTAATCCAGACCTGGGTGTGATTCTTAATATTTATCCTTAAATTTCTCAACCTTTGAGCCTCAATATTTTTATTTAATCTATGCTGTTTAAAAAATGTGTTGTTAGTTTCCTAATCCGAAAACTTAATATGAGGAAAAATACATCTTTAAGTGGAAAACTTCGATTCTGAGACTATAGTAAAATTTGACTGATTTTTTGGGCGTGGTCACATAGGCGTGGTCGAAACTTTGCGAATGTCAGATTTTCTTCTGCATCCGCCCCTGACGGTACCTACAAAAGTATAAGGCCTACACAAGAAGGCATGATGATTAACATTGATCTAGCTGCGACTGCGTTTTACAAGACTCAGGACGTTCTAGATTTCCTCAAAGAGATATTACAAAAAAATGATATACCGCGTATTTTGAACGATGCTGAGAGAGTCAGGTTCAGTAAAAGCATCAAAGGTAAATTACTTTAAAAAGTAACTTTAATATGGGTAAATGAAAGCGAAACAGCTTATTTGCAGATTGGGAAAAAGTTTTGTGACTTTCTGGTCAAGAGAACCAGATGAATTAAAACTCATCTCAATTAAAGAGCAGTGTTAACTAAAAAGTTGTTATTACAACCGATTTCTTCTCTTCTGAAAAATTCCTTTAGCGCTCTTAATTCTCATATTTAGGGGTTATTCCCTTATTCTCTTTATTCTTTGGATACACCAGAGACGATCTTCATATTTTCATATTCCTGTAGCCAGTTTGGGGAGGGGCAAGATTAAATGGCACTGACAAAGAAAGTGTCCTATTAGATGCCCTCTGACGCAGTGACAAATCCTTGAGACTCTGGCACCCATGGTACCTATTTGGTTAAAATAGTTTTACGTTTTTAAGGCCTAAAGGTCCAACTGAATCACATTGTTGGGCATAAGCACCAGAAAAGAATTCTTGGCATTGCAAAGGAATCTTCAGAAGAAATCAAATTTGACTTGGAGCAGGAAGGAAAGAAAACGAGAAGGATCTCAGTTGCTGAATATTTCAAAACCACGTACAATATGGTCTTGAGGTAGAGTTAGTTTATCATCTGTCCAATTGAAATCATCATGAAAATCATCGCCAACCTTTTAAAAACATTAATTCTAGATCTAGAGTGATTCTAGTTTTATTTGACCGTTCACTTTAACATGTTACCGCTGCACGTTTATAAAAGACCTTACCTAAAAATATAGTATTTCTTTTTACCGTAACTCCTTGCGTGATCTTCCGGTGCTGGTGCGCTCTTTTAAAGGGGGGGGGGCGCTCATTGGAGGAATTTCGGCACGTGACAAAATTTGCGATGAATGAGAACAATCTAGTAGTGCACTCGATTTAATAATACTTAAATAACTTTTTGGCAATAATATTTGCTTTCCAAAATTGCAGGTTTCCAAAACTTCCGTGCTTAAAGGCAGGAAGCGATAAAAAAGTCGTCCATTTGCCAATGGAAGTATGTACCATTGTCCCGGGACAACGATGTGTGAAAAAACTTAGCGAGGGGCAAACAGCAAAGATGATTAGAGAGACTGCAAAAAACGCAAAAGAGAGACAAATGATAATAGAATGCAAGGTTTGTTTGGCCATTAAGAGTACCGAAGTGATGATGTCACAAAAGCTTTTTAGAATTTTTCAATTTTGATCCCATAACCTGGAAGAGCATACCTCCAAATATAAAAAATCGGTCGATTTTGTCACAAATTTGCTGAGATACGGTCACATGAACACAGGCTCTTTGCCCATCAAACCTCTGTAATTTGGTCTTTTGGTTCAAAACTTTTTGAACCAGCCAAGAATAACAGTAATCCGATAGCAAACTTGAAACCTTTAATTGGCCATATCCCGCCCGATTGTGAACATATAAAACTGATTTGCATATCGGGAGGTATTTTATGCCGTTCTTTCAGAAAATGTGTTCAAATTTAAGAAACTCTTAAAAAACTTTTGATGACGTCATACTTTGGTATTCTGAAAACCCACGATGCTTGAGGTTTCTAATAACAAAAGATCAATATTACTTTCATTGATGTGATGCTTAGATTGGTATTCTATTGAGAAGGTTTTCATACCTAAATGGCAGCTTGAGCAATGTGTCAATCGATTATTGGCCAATCATTAAACGTGCGAGTGGTATGAAGCTTATTGATTGGCCAATAATTGATTGCAAGATGGCTTAAGTCATCTTTGTATCTGTTGATTGCCTAAGGGTACCACATAAAAAGGGAAAATTTATGCACAATCAATGTCAAAATGAATCAAAAGAAAGCTAGAAATTTATGTTAACCAGCAGCTTTACATAAGATTGGATTGGCTAATTCTTACTTTAGGTGAGAGACGCGGAGCATGCAACGGACCCATACCTGAGGCATTATGAGATCGAAGTGGAAGATAAGCTAGTTCATGTCGACGGCAGGGTTTTGAACCCACCTGCAATCAAGCACGGTGCGTATTACCTACTGGAAATTATTATCTAACTCATTGTTAACAACTGCTTATTGTATTTGTGACAACTGTTCTATAATAAAGTGCTCGATGCCGTATAGGCAGCGCTGTATACGCTTTTTGTTGTATATAACAGGACGGTCATGTCATGTCATGTCATGTCATGTCATGTTATGTTATGTTATGTTATGTTATGTTATGTTATGTTATGTTATGTTATGTTATGTCATGTCATGTCATGTTATGTTATGTTGTTATGTTATATTAACTTCATTATATTATATCAATCAAATCAAAGCATATCACATCATATCATATCATGTATTGTATTATATTGAGTTGTATTGTATTGTATTATATTAGGTATCATATTATTTCAGGATATGCTCATACTCTTCAATAAACGACAATGCTGTCTCTAATATTTCTTTTTCTGTTTCTTAAGACGAGAGAAGTGCATTGGTTACACCGAGAGAAGGTATGTTTTTTTCAAGATTTTCATGTTTCTGGGTTAATGGCTTTCGTCCAAACTCAGGAATATAATGAGACATAAATTATAAGTCCCTCTTCGAAGGATATTCCAATGATAAAGTTTTCTTCCTTCTGGTGTATTCATTTGTCTTTTTTTCTTTTCGACAGCATATGTCATATGTAAGGGTTGGCATAACAATAAAAACTTACCATTTCTCTTTTTAGAAACTTCTTTCTTTTCTACAGGGAAATGGGACATGAGAGGTAAAGGATTTTTCAAAGGGGGCAATATTGACAATTGGGGACTACTTATCTGCTCGAGTACGAGGTTTCTCAACGAGAGTGAAGCAAGAAACTTTTGTAACAGCCTTTCTAGACAAGCAGAAAGCCTTGGTATGAAGATGAGTCCTGAACCTACTCAAATAGTATATTACTCTGAGAGGCGAAAAACTTTGCATCAAACATTGACAGATCTTCACGAGCCTTGCATGAAAATTCTACTGGTAATCCTCGACGGTGGTTTATACGGTATGAATCAATTTCTTATCATAGCTTTTTGGAAGGGAAATCTGTTAGGTGGGAGGGGGGGAGCAAGCTTTTGTTTGTATAAAGACGAGGACAATAGCGAATTGTTTTTAACAATGGATGGTAACTTGCTTGAAGGAATATTTGCCCCCCCCCCTCATAGTTAGCATGTAAAAATGGCCCTATTTCTTATTGTCCGCTTTTAATCATTTGCACCTAGATTATCATATCAAAATATTGTATTACAACTGGAGAAAGTTTAAAAGTTTCTTATTAAAGCAGTTTGGTTTATATTAATCAAAATCAAACATACTATTGGGAAAGCCAAAGAATCTAGGTGTTGCTGGAATGGGCTTTACCGTTTGCCTATTTATGTCGTTAAAAAAGAAATGGATCATCGCTGTATGTAGAATGCACAAAGCGATTGCCCATAAAGTTATAATTTTCTCAAAGATCGTTACTATAATCTCATGCTCTTCAATAATGGATCTATAGCGTGCAAGCAATGACTCCTATTTGTACACCTCCATTTCTTTTAAAAGCAAATTCTGTTTTAGCTGAAATCAAATATATATGCGATAACGACCTTGGCATACAGACCCAATGCATAAAGGGAAAGAACGCCAAAAGGCCGAACCCACAACTCCTGGCAAACCTGTGCATGAAAATAAATGCCAAAGTTGGAGGAACTAACAGTTATTTTGAAGACAATACAGGATACAAATTATACAGGCAAGGTTTTAATTCCGATCATGAATGCATTATTGTTACAAAAAATGAAACAAACGCGCCAGCTGGATACTGTCGAGAACAGGCACTGCGGAGCGTTGAGAAGAATTGAGGGGGGGGGGGGCTAAAACTAAAAAAAATGATGATAAATGGTGGCCGGTTTTGTAACTATTTACGTTTTGAAAAAAAGTGGGGGCTATAGCTTCCAGTCCCCCAGCTTTACTGTTCCTGGTCGAGAAATTTGTAAATCGAAGTTTCTAGCAAATTCTGTTGTTTTCTTGGCACTGTAAGCGAGTTTGAGCCAAAAGTGAGGATAAATTATGGAGCATACATGGTCACATGAAACGGTGTATTAAAAATTTTGCACAAAATGCTTTCTAGTTTTGCCACCACATCATACGACAAAATCGAAAAAGAAATTTTAGGCAGGGCATTCCTCTCAACCATCGACCGCATTGCCTAACCTTTGTTTTCTCGGCTGATCATGCAACTATATGGTATAACGAATAATTTAAGCCCTTACAACATTTTCAAAAATTCATCGAAGTCACGTTACCGATGACGTCAAAAAGGTTATGTTTCCTACACTAAAAATCATTGTAACTTCTTAAGTATACGTCTGACTTCAATATAACCGCTAGATTCAGGCTCGCCTGAAGGAAAGCTTTCCAATGATATATACACATCAGTATTTTAACGATGTCAGCATTTTCAATGATGACGTCATCACTTTCAAAATGGCCGTCGAACAGTACATTTTAAGACAAAAGCTCTGATCTAATCAAACGCATTTCTGGATCGTTTTGTGGCAATGTTTTGTCAGGTAATTATTCTGCATCACTCAATTTAACGTTTCAAGCTACATACCGTAAATCCTCGAATTGCCCCACCCGCCCCCCTCGAAAAAGCCTCCCTCCTCGAATAAGCCTACATCCTAGAACTACCAATTCTCAATAAGCCCCCCCCCCCTCGAATAAGCCCCCACTGCTACCAAAAATTCTTGAAAAGGACCTCTCAATTTGATGATTTTTGCCATCTGAGGTTGCCTACGGCATTTTATTGAATTTCCACAACAAATTCATACGTTTGGTAGTAATTAATTAAATGCTTATAAAGAAATTCCTATTAAAATAAACAACGTCTTTTACTAATGTCTTCTTAATGTCTACAATAATTTTATAACCCCCTCGTATAAGCCCCCCCCCCCTTCGAATAAGCCCCCATCCCAAAATATAAGAAATAAATAAGCCCCCAGGGGGCTAATTCGAGGATTTACGCTATATATTCGCCTCAAATCCATTTACCGCCAGAATCCTCCGACGAACTGAAGTCATAAACTTCCCGTTCACTCTCTAGTTCATCAGAAAGTTCAGTGCTACTTAGGTCAGAGTCTACTTGGCCTGTTGCTTCCTTGTATTCGTTACAAGCACCGATTTCGTCGACACTACGGGCCTATTTCGGTACCTCTATGCATCTCTAGCATTTCTTTGGAGCAGGGAGATTTTCACTGCCATTTTCGACATCTGCCCCAACGCTTTCTTAAAATGTCGGCTCTTATTTTTCCGTCTTGACTTCAAAGAAGGAGGCAGCAGGGGTACGTGAAGCAAAGATTTCAAGGAAGACTTTTCAGAAGACCCTTCCAGCCATAACTCTCGAAAGAAAGTCTTGACGGATGGTTCTACGCAACGCAACCAGCATTAAGCTATCTTCTAGGAATTTGAATCAGGAAGGAGTTTAATGTTATTTTCATATTGTTATACATTTTTAGTCTTGTTTCCACATAGCTTCTCTTGGCCTTGCCAGAATACATTACCATTTGAACAAACTTCTGAAAATCTTCTATATCGCTATCATTAACCACTTTTTCTTCTCCAAGGCTGTCAAGCAGTTCAAGGTATCGCGGGCTCCTGATGACTGTCTTCAGCAACCTTACCTTTCCTACGTTGGGGAAATAGGATTTAGAATTACACCCAGAAAAAAGCATGTAAAGCCTGTAGATTAAGGCAAACATCTCTTCCGAAATGGGAACCATTTGCGTTTTACATGGAGAAAAGCAAAAGCCCAATGTGTCTTCCTTCAGAAATCAGTCTTATAAAATCAATTTACTTCTAATTTCGATACAGGAGCTCGTGGCATTTATATCCTGACCTCTTGGCCCAGGTTCACCAACTTATGCCCAGCTTTAGAAGCAACAAATTTGATAAGGCTGTGCATCCGCGCTCGGTAAGTTGGCATCGGCTTGATGGAGCGAACTGCTGCCACTCCGTCTACTATCCAAACGGCAGACTTCGGAGGCATGTCTTTGATCCATTGCCACTCTTCGAGCAAGAGTCGTTGCAAAGTTATTTTGTCTGACTGACACAAAGTTAAACCAGCTGTAGCGATAGCAATTGAAAAAGGAACGGTTGTCATGGGATGAGTAAATGCCTCTTGCAGACTTTCTGCCTTCAAAATGAGTAGTTGAAGGCCTGTTTTTGTATTCCTTGACCACGGTAATTGCTGCAGGTGTCCCCTTAACTTTTTCCAGATCTGTCTTCAGCATTGTTTTCTTGATCGGCGTGAAGAATTCAACGCTGCAATTAATCAGGCGATCATTTGTGAAGCGATGCATATTCTCTTATTCTATGATCGACGCTGCAAGGAGGTCAGTAGAACTTTATTGATCTAATTATTCCAGTTACCCAGTTAAAGTCGATTTTGCAGGTGCAACAGAAAAACGATTGGTGCCAAAGCTTCGAAGAGTTCCATAAGGCTATCATTATGCTTCTGAAGGAGCTTTGTCCCACCTGGAATGCTGTACTTGAGTACTCCCACCTGGAGTGAATTCATGATGACTTTACGAAAAAGTATTGCTTCAGAGCCTCTCTAAACTTGCTTTGAATGTGGGACGTAGCAATTCAAGTGTTAACCGCATTAACGTTTGCTGAAGCCAGGCCTGTATGGACCTTCAGTCCCTTTAGCTTCTTGATTAAATAGCTCTGTGTGTAAATAGCAATGAATCTCGGAGAATTTGTTTTGAAATTTCTGCCAAATCCTTATTTGTTTCAATCTTGGAATGCTGTAGTTTGTTCACTCTCACCCTGTAATGATTGAAGTGCAATGGAGAAGCAGATGTTGGTATGTACAGTAGCGGGCATAGTTGATGTGATTCAGTGCAAATGTAAGCAGAATCATATTTCGCACTGCTCAACAAAGCAGACAAATCCTCCAGCTAAGCGATTTCAAGACATTTTTCAGTTTTTTGACGATTTTCAAGAATCAACAGTTTTTTGCATCAATCTGCCATTGCTTATGGGCATTGACTGTGTGTGTTTTTTGGAAAAGACGTTGGCGAACCCATGAGTTGATGAAAGCAACCCATCTGCACCTTGATCTGACTATACAAGTCAGCATTTGTTCACATAATTTGGTTTATCTTTGCCTTCCCCATTTCATCCACATGAACAAAAACATGAAATATGTCAAGATCATGTCTAAGAAAGAATCAAGGTATATTCCTTGCATACTGGATAGACAGGCACCTTATGAGTGATTGGCAAGCTATCTAGCTCTGTCAGGGGTATTGAACAAAGGCTCTAAGGTAATAAACCATATAATAACTGTTTCCTCCTGCCTCCTGGCAATGCCAATAATATAAGCCCTTGGCCTTTGTGCAAAGCTCGGTTTCGTACCGACGGCTTCAGGTCTGGTCTTCTGAAACAATTATTTTAGGTTTAGTTAATAAAATTAAAAGAATAATAATGAAAACTGTGAATGGCGAAGGAGCAGCTTCTTCTCCGTTATACGAAAGTGTCAAGCAAAATCATGCATGATGTCAAATTGCGATAATGCCAAATTGTGCCTAAGCAAAATCAGAGCCAGCTCGCTGGTCGACGGCCATTTTGAAAGTGATGACGTCATCATTGAAAATTGCTGACATCGTTAAAATACTGATGTGTATATATCATTGGAAAGCTTCCCTTCAGGCGAGCCCGAATCTAGCAATTATATTGAAGTCAGACGTATACTTAAGAAGTTACAATGATTTTCAATGTAGGAAACATAACTTTTTTGACGTCATCGGTAACGTGACTTCGATGAATTTTTGAAAATGTTGTAAGGGCTTAAATTATTCGTTATACCATATAGTTGCATAATCAGCCGAGAAAACAAAGGTTAGGCAATGCGGTCGATGGTTGAGAGGAATGTCCTGCCTATTTGTCACACCGATATTTGACGGTCGTCATATATTTCGTATGGCATTACCGCGTTTGCGCCAATGTTTTCTAGTTAATTAAGCACTTTATCTCAGGCAAATTTAATTCAATGCACTTAAAATCACATGGAGAGGTACACAGTTAGATAGGCGAGAATTACAAGAACATCAACAAAAATAATTTGGCATACAAACATTTTCCGATATTTGGCCATGCCAATGTCATTTCATAGAAACTGATCAAAAGATATTTTCCGTTAATATGAAAATTTTTCATAGTTTCGCTATAGCGTTAAGATGTTTTGACCTATAGACTGTACGAGCCTCAATAGTATCCAGATGAAAATAAGATCTAAAAACAGGATACCGATCTTTAGCATAAACAATCTTCGGAATAATGTCTAAAAAGTTTCTTTGTATTGTTTATAAGACTTTTGCATTTCTCAGTCAGACGAAAAGCTTTAGTTTACTAAATGTTTGCTTTTTTCAAAGCCATTTTCAAGTTTTGTACCACCAAAAGATTGTTCTTTTATTTCACATCCAAAATATCCAGCTTTTGAGAATAATTTTCCGTGTCAAATTGATTGAGGGAATGCAGTTGCCGCAAACCCCACTGTTTGATTTTCGCCATTATTTTCTATTTTACACTTTTTTGACTGACCATTCAAGGAGAGATGGAGGGGGGAGCTATTTCACAAGCATCTTTTTCTATACCCTGGGTGCCAGAGCAACAAAATTTCGAGCACGGAAATGAAAAACCATGCGGAGAAGCGGAGGAGCATTTAGCTGAGAGGAAGGCAACAACTTTTCCTTCCCCTCAGCTAAATGCTCCTCCGCTTCTCCGGACGGTTTTTCATTTCCGTGCTCGAAATTCTGTGGCTCTGGCTATTTTGTGGCTACTTTTTCCATTGGTCGCTAAACGTTGTTTTGCATCCATAGAAACCCAAAAGTATTTGGCAGACCGGTCATCTTTCTTGGAGCTGATGTGACGCATCCAGCACCTTCAGAGACGAGCAGGCCCTCAATAGCGGCTGTAAGATACCGTTAAATTTTCTTGAAAATTTTACACCGTTCCTGTAGCTGTCTGAATTGCAAATTGTCTATTCAAGTGAAAAATGAGACTTTTGATAATGGAAGAAGGAAAGAACACCTTTGGTAGCCTGTTTGCCCGGGCAAGGAAACAAGTGCTCCTTAGGTGAACAAGTGCAAGTGTTAAAGGACAGAATTTCGTTAAGGAAACTTTTGCTTGTTTGCTGTTTGAATTTCATTTGCGTGCTTTACTTTCGTTCACGCCTTGGCCAATTTCCATGTAACATCCTGTCTTGTGATCAGCTCCTTTGTATTTGTTGGCTTTCTTGAATAATTCAGTCGTTGAATTTAGTCGCCAGAGTTTAGACGTGATTTTAGATGTTCGTATAGCCGTTGTTATTTCGAGAAGTTTAAAGCATACCAGTTTTGCCGAAGTGACCCATTTAGTCGTTGTTGAAGTAGATGAAACTATAAGAACCGTCGAGCCAAGAAATCAGAACACGCTTATTGAATTTTGTACTTTCTTTTACTGCCGAATCTGCGAACACAAGCCTGTAAAACCCTCGTAAACTCAGTGGTTTTACACAAGGGATGGAGCTTGGAGGCCAGACGATTTTATCGCCAGGCCACACTTAATGCTACAGAAGGTGTATTTGGTTCCTTCTTCATGGAGTGTGTAATGTGGGAAACAAAATATCGCTTTAAATGAGGCATTAAATCAACAAACACGTTTTACGATAATACCTACCTCTTCATGTATCTAATCTATTTGGTGTAAATAGCAATTGATCGACTTAAAAGACTGCATGATAAAAGTTTTTGCAACGAAGAGAAAGCTCGTGAGATAAACATATCTTTTAATATTTTATAGGTTGTTGGAAGCCTTGATGAATTTGCTACAAAGTATGCGGCACGGGTCGATGTTCAAGGGCACAGAAAGGTATGTGATTTTCTGAAATAATATTAATAAGTTTACCATTATTTCCACAGGGCGTCGTCGCGCTTCATCACATCAAATCTTTATAGAACTCATAAGCCCATTTTTTTCTGATACAATGTAGCTAAAAAGAAATAGTGAAATTTCGGTGCACGTTTCATCAATGGTAGCAAATATCGTACGATTGTGAAATTTTGCAACACAATTGAATAACAGTATTTCACACGTTCTAAAAAACGTGACTGACATGCTATGAACGAAAATTTCCACTCAAATCATTTGCAGTCGATCGTAGTTTTGCGCATTTTATGAAAGGAAAGGATTAATCTTCAGAGTAAATTTTTCACCTGCTGACTTATTAAGTGTGCTTTAAAATTTTTTGAAGATTTATATTTTATGCCATGAATTAAATGTGAAAACATGCCAAAATTTAGAAAACTGGCAGACAATGACAGTTTTACCGTCAAAAAATTACGAGAAACGTAATTTTCCTTCTTTAGCAACGAAGAAAGGAGCTAGTAGAGTAGAGAAATGTGACGTCATCAAGTATCTATCTTTTGAATTTCTAAATTTTGACCACATATAGAGTTCTTAAGTGGTGACGTCACAAAAATCTATTTTTAGAATATTTTAGTTTGGATCCCATAACCTGAAAGAGCATCATGAAATACCTCTAACTGTGCAAAATCAGGCAAGTGTGTTACGAATTGGCAGAGATATGGCTACATGTTTATTGGTTCTCTCCCCATCAAACCTCTGTATTTTGGTCTCTGTTCATAACTTTATGAACAGAGCCAAAATAACAGTGATTCGTTAGCAAACTTCAAATCTTTCATTCGCCATATCTCAACTGATTTTAGACATATTTGGCCAATTTTGCGTATTTGAAAGTATTTCATGGTGATCTTTTACGCTATATGGTTAAAATTCAAGAATTCTAAAAATAGGTTTTTGATGACGTCACACTTTAGAACTCTATTCTGAAAGAACAGCATAAAAAACCTGCACATATTTAAAAGCAGCCAGATATGTTTAAAATTGGGCAATGACCAATGAAAGATTTCAAGTTTGCTTAAGGATTACTGTTATTCTGGCCTCGTTTTTCATAATGCTTTTTATTTTGGGGTCATAAAATAGCATACTGAAGCATTTTTCGTTGGACCCTCTTTAGGCGGAACATTTTATGAGTATACTCAATTACTCAAGGTGGTCTGAAATCGTATTAGAGCAAAACTTATGCTCATTTGTAACTTAAAAGAACAATAACTCACTCTATTTCAATTGTTATAATAATGTTTTTGTTGATTCTAGGAGATAATTGCAAATTTGCAAGGAATGACAAAGGAGCTTCTTATTGAGTTTAAAAGAGCGACGGGATATGAACCTGAGAGAATTATTATGTACAGGGACGGAGTTAGTGAAGGACAATTCTCTCAAGTGAGAAATTTAAAATTGTTTCCAATTTAAGCTAGGGCTACTTTTTGTCATTTACAAGGGGGCATAGCCACCCTGCGCTGAGCCTCTCAGCTCTACACCCCTGTTTCCCACCTCTCCTTTATAAAAAAATAATTATTTTTCATCCGAATTGTGGAGTAGTTTTCTTGGAGGAAGGTTAATTTTCTTCGAGGAGTTCAGAAGGGGATACTTATCAGGATAATGATCAATACATCATTGTTTGACAATTTTTGTTACGCCAAATGCAACCCTCAAGTAACTTTCGGTATTAATTTCTAAATACGCTGATTGAGATAAATAAACAAAGCATTGTAGGGTCTTAAAACTTTGCAGCAAATATATCGATTTTTACCAAAAATCAGAAGCTTAATTGCCGAAGTGTTTCAAAATTTTCTGCTGGATACGTAGAGCATTTTTTACATTTTGACGGGCTCCTAGCATCAGGACTCGAGGAGACTAAGGGCCCCCTTGTTCCTTCACAGTTGGCTGGGGCAAAGAAATTTACCTACCATCAGGGGCCATCAGGCCGTTTTACTGACCAACTCATAATGCTAAAAGTGTAAAATAATTCAAGGCACAAGACATTAGTAAGTTTACAAGCACAAGTATACAAAAGTAACACAAAGAATTTCAATTTTCAGGTTCTTCAGCATGAGGTATCAGCTGTACAGAAAGCCTGCCGTTCGCTTCATGCGGAATATAAGCCTTCGATAACATTTATGACTGTTCAAAAGAGGCACCATGTTAGGCTCTTCCCAGAGGACAGGAGAGATGAAGTTTGTACATTTTCGATATCAAAACTATATTTTTATTATTAGCATAGACTACTCGAATATCAATGAGCAAAAGCACCGGGACGTTTTCGTGCCATATCCAGAAGATTTTTATAGTATTACTTATCGAAATTTCACGCCTTTTAATCTACTTTTATAATGTGGACAAGTGTATCTAATCTTATTAGTATGCAAAATTCTACTGAATTCTGAAACTCAAATCGACCAAAGGAAGTTTATGTATAAAATGAAAGGGTTTCCCATTTTGCTACTTTTAGGCATTTTCAAGGAAGGCTTAGCTACCCTACCCCCCCCCCCCCCCTGAAGAAGAGATGAGCCTTTTTGACAATCAGGCAAACTTTAGTCCAATAATAAAGGCAGTATTCATTACAACTTATTGTGCAGTTATTTGTCATTTGAGTTTTATACTATTTCATGCAGACTTTCACTTTTTCATCTCAATTTAGTAACACGTTTGGATGCACTCGGAAAAAATATTAAATACCTTTTTGTTTTTTATTCAAGATTGGAAGGAGTAAAAACATCCCCGCCGGGACAGTGGTGGATAAAACTATTTGTCACCCGACAGAATTTGATTTTTACCTTTGTAGCCATAGTGGCATTCAGGTAAGCGATGTTTTAGAATGTGGCCAACCGGTAACTAACTGTGTCTTGACTGTTTATGAAGTTTATCTGGGCTTTTTAACTAACCACACTTCTTTATGTAACAAGCCAGATTTCGAAAAACGGCATCATCATTAGTTTTAAAAAGAACTCCATCGTAAATAATAAAATTGTTATTATGTGAAATTATGCTAAAAGGGGCAATTTTTTATGATAAAATGAATTTGCGCCAGTCTCAACTTTTTGTTACCTTTCATGTGTATATAAATTGCCTCTGGTGAAATCATATCTTAATGAAAACTCAAAACTGTCACCCACCAGGGAACAAGTCGCCCGGCACATTATCGAGTTCTCTGGGATGATTCTCGCTTTACTGCAGACGAGCTACAGACGCTCACATACAGCTTGTGCCATAATTACGCAAGATGCACGCGGTCAGTTTCCATTCCTCCGCCTGCGTATTACGCTCACCATGTTGCAATGAGAGCCAGGTATCATGTAGCAGCGAAGGAGGGAAGCAGGTGAGTCAACTTTTTGCAGTAGTGGGAGGGTTCAGGGGGGGGGGGAGGTTGTCCCAAACTTTTCACAACTTTGGTAGCCGAGATTTGTGCGAATTCGATGAGAAAATTTCGGTAAGGGAGGGATTATGTGGCTCCGATGATATTTTGAATTGGAAAAAAGATTGTTACTAAAAAGGGGCGTGACCCTTTAAGTCGGCAAAATGCGCAAGCAGTTATTAACTAACTGCCGGCAAAATGCGCAAGAATATTAATAATTCCAATTGCAAGTCTAACTGGATATCAACCAAGCTTAAAGTAGTGTCTATTTACTTCAACAATCACTAAATTTTGTATCGCATTCACTGCTCCCACTCCAAACAATGAATACTAACTTTTAAACCAACATTGTTTCAGGAGAGAGGGGGTGTTGCGTCGGACTTTCTACGGAAAACAGTTTGTTTTTTCAAAGCAACACTTAAGCAACTGGGTGTTTTAAGGACTAGGGACAGAGTTTCGAGTTTGTGTATACACTCAAACACTCAATTTACCTTAGATCTCGATCGTCTTACTTCTCTATTAAGCTTCACAAGGTTCATAACGTTCAAAGCAAGTATTTTGTTTTGATTTCAGCCAAGGAAGCAGCAACAGCGGATCTGGTTCGGTTGGTTCGGCCAGCACAAGCAAGAGTTTGCAAGAAGCTGTTACTGTTCACAAAAACCTGAAATCCTGCATGTACTTTATCTAGGGCATCTAGAGATCTTATTGTTGAGTCTCTTCCTAGTATCAAAGACAACAACTAATGTCTAATACCTTTAGTAAGTGTTGTTTTAAAAAGTTTCATCGCAATGTGAAAGTAATTGTAGGAACAATCACGTCAATAGAAAAACCATAAGCCCTAACTGAAAATTCTTTGGAAGACGTTTTCCACTAAAGGCCTAGCGCATGCGGAAGATTTTTGTCGTTTATAGACTGGGGTTTGTATTTCTTACATGAAAATCTTTGCTTCAAACTTGCAATAATTTTTTCCGCTACTCGGATAAAGCCGTCTTAAATGGCTCAACTGCTTTGTTTCTTGATGCATTTCGATAGTTCCTTTTTGGCACTGTGTTTCTTTTGACAGCGGATCATAAAATCTACAGAAAAGATTTTTTGTGATACACTTTGTTGCACCTGTAAAGCTGAATTATCAGAAGTAGAATGCTACTGGCATTTATGTTGGGGTTTCTTCTGAAGAATTTTGGGGCACTGATTTCTTGTGTTCGTTAAATATTAAACGTAATACTATGTTGTATTTGTGATTAGCAAGATTGCATCCATGATAAAACTAGCTTTGTCTTGACTTTGAAGAAATGGCTACCTTTTTTAGTTAAATCAAGTACATTCATTACTTGGTTATAGCTTTGTCTTGACTTTGAAGAAATGGCTACCTTTTTTAGTTAAATCAAGTACATTCATTACTTGGTTATAGCTTTGTCTTGACTTTGAAGAAATGGCTACCTTTTTTAGTTAAATCAAGTACATTCATACATTCATTACTTGGTTATAGCTTTGTCTTGACTTTGAAGAAATGGCTACCTTTTTTAGTTAAATCAAGTACATTCATTACTTGGTTATAGCTTTGTCTTGACTTTGAAGAAATGGCTACCTTTTTTAGTTAAATCAAGTACATTCATACATTCATTACTTGGTTATAGCTTTGTCTTGACTTTGAAGAAATGGCTACCTTTTTCAGTTAAATCAAGTACATTCATACATTCATTACTTGGTTATAGCTTTGTCTTGACTTTGAAGAAATGGCTACCTTTTTTAGTTAAATCAAGTACATTCATACATTCATTACTTGGTTATAGCTTTGTCTTGACTTTGAAGAAATGGCTACCTTTTTTAGTTAAATCAAGTACATTCATTACTTGGTTATAGCTTTGTTTTCATCACTCTGAGACTAGGCTTTGGATTTGATTGGATAAAGCTACTAGAAGTACCAGCTGGTTTGACTTCAGCACGCTTGAAAGAGACATGAAAACAGGGTCTTCATAAGAAGGGGTAGGGGCAAGTGCTTTCTAGCAACCTCCTTTTGAAAATATCTGCATTTTGTCATTATTATTAATATTATTATAATTATAAAATTATTATTTACAGTAGGCGAAGCAAAATTTTTTTAGCTAACATAACAGCTAGTTAAAGCCTACTATTTATACTACATTTACAAATCTTAAATTAATTACAATGAATGGATAAAATGATATAGGAAATGTACAAATTTAAAAGGATGACTCATTAGATAAAAACATACAATTATTCGATGACTATTTCAAGAATCCAATCTGTGAAACGTAAGGTTTGCATAGTCTGCAGTTGCATTTTGTATCTTTCCAAGTTTTAATCTTTTTCTTAAATATTGCGAGTCTAGAAGATGTTTTAATGTCATTTGTTAGCTCTTGCCAGAGCTTGGATCCCATAAAGGTTGTACTTTCTATACCATAACAATTTGATTTTGGTTTTGATAGCGATATTCGGGATATGTTTCTAAGATTATAGCATGTATTTCTTTCAGTAAAGATTTCTTTCATGAAACTTGGGTTAAGATTATGTAAAGTTCTATATATTTCTGTAAAAAGCAATTGCAGATTTTTATCATGGATAGATGTTGAGTCGTCTTTTTCAAGTAGAGTTTGAAAGCTTGATTCATAGTCATCATAGGCAAGACGCAAAGACTTTTCATGAATTCTGTTTATTCTGTTGTTCATCTGTCGATCACAAAACATCCAAATTAAAGGGCAGTAGCTAAATTGTGATAAAATGAAGACGTGCATGGTCTGTTTTACTTTTTTATGATCCATGTAGTTGGAGATTCGGGATAAAGCATGTAGCTTTTGGCTGGCCTTTTTGCATATCGATTGTACGTGTCCTTTGAACGACAAATTATTATCAATACTTATTCCAAGAAGTTTTTGTTCTTTACTTGGTTTAATTATCGTTTTATCTATTTTCAGAGATGTGTCATTGCTGCCTTTACCAAAATTTATAAGGTGGCATTTGTCCCCATTCATTTTCATATAATTATATTGAAACCATTCTCTCAAAATAACTACGTCTTGTTCTAGTATTTTAGTAGCCTGCTTAATGTCTTGGTGGATGACATATAGCGTTGTATCATCAGCATAATTGCATATTTGGCTATTTGATATAAACATAAACATGTCATTTATGTATATATTGAACAAAAGAGGTCCCAAAACTGATCCTTGTGGCACACCTAAACTCGTGGTTTTCCATTCACTGAAAGAGCCGTTTATTTTGACTCTTTGTTTTCTCTGGCTAAGGTACGAAAATGTGAAATTCAAGGCGCTTCTACTAAAACCATAAGTATTGAGTTTAGCAATCATTAGGTCATGATTCAGACAGTCAAATGCTTTTGACAGATCCATCAATAGTGCACTGGCTGTTTCTTTAGTATCTAGAGCTTTTTTGCAATTTTCTATGAGTCTGAGTAATGTATGTTGGGTGCTATAATTCCTTCTGAAACCACATAGCAGTGGTGATAGAAAACCCTGAGCGAAGGGAGTAATTTGTGATTCCATGATTCTCTTATATATTTTTGATGCTGACGGTAAGGTAGCAATTTATCTATAATTTTTCTTACTGAATTTATCATCTTTTTTATGTGTCAGTTGAACCACATGTAGAAAAGCCTTCAATAGATATTCTAGGCTTCTACAGAAACAAATATTGTTTCTTGCAACGTTAATGAGCCACACGCTCAGACACCGCGCATCAGTCTAAAAGTAGCGGGGCTGACAAGGGCGTTACCAAAATTTTTGAGGTTGGAAAACGCCGGAAAACGTCCCTTTTAGAAAATGCTTGCCTATTTCCACTGATTTTTTCATAAACAGTCTGATTAAGAGAAGATATTAATGTCTATAAGAGAAAATTAGCTTGATGATAATAAAACATCAAGCTAATCAAGTTAGAAAACCCATCATATCATTAAACAAGATAAAACACCTAGAAAATGAACAAAAAAGGTTTCCCAGTCAAGAAGTACGCTAGTACTTGAAACCCCTTAGAGTAAACTTTCCAAAGTTGCGTGAGAGTAAACTTTCTAATAAAAATTCAAACCTATTTTTGCAGAAATGCTAGGGGGCTATAGCCCCTGCTAGCACAATGGCTGTGCGGTGCCTGGACATGCTGTCCTTCTTCGGAAATTTAGATAAGGTTGTCCCCTCTGCGGAACTAAAGTCACGACTCCCTTGCATGTACCTTGGGCGGCGCCAGAGGGGGGCTGGAGGGCGTCAGCCCTCCCCTACGTTTTTGCAAAAAAAGTGTTTTTAAGAAAATAAAAAAGAATATTGGATATCATAAATTAGTGAATTCCATTTTAACACTGGAGTTTATCAAACGCAATAAAAGCATGAAGAGACTGGAAAAAAGTTTGTTGTTTTATAAAGAACTTGCATAGAGGACTGGCTACTTTTTTACATGGTTTCAATTACATTAAATATTTTGCCTCTTAAGTCCTATACCTAAACTAAATTCCTTCTTCAATGGCAAAATGAAGAAAGTGAAATGTGGCAAAGTGGCAAGTACACTCAGAAGGCCTCGTTTCGGAGCAAGTTAGATTACCTTTTTTCAGTGGCCTAATTTTTGCCAGTTGCTGGACTTGGAAGATTACGTTGAGATCTTAAAACCTTTAAGAATAGCTGAAGGAGTGCTCAAGCTCAACTGTATACAGAGCTTACAGGTGGCAGCACCAGCGATCTAATTTCGTGTTTCAAGATTGACAAGTTTTCTTTGTTTGGGCCTAGTAGGCCAATCAGACAGGTACGTGATGTGTAAGAAAAGGGGACAGCATTTAACACGCATTTTGGGTAAAAATGAAGTTTAAAAGCACCTCGGAATGTACGGATATTTTGCAAGAAGAAAAAGAGGAAGAAAATAAGACTCAGAAAGGTGAAGAAACGAGATCTAATAAAAAGAAAAAGAAAAAACAAACTGAGACCAAAGCAGGAAGAAATCCGACTGCCGAAGAGAAGAAAGACATGATGACGGTAATAACATCTGAGAAGGCAACATCAATGGATGTTAACGAAATGCTGAAGGTTTTGAATTCTGATATAAAGACTGGACTTTCAGACAGTGAAGCCAAAAGGCGTAAAAGATTGTACGGTGCAAATGAATTTGATGTTGGTGGAGATGAGCCTCTTTGGAAAAAATATATATGTCAGGTAATTGTGGCACGCAATGTTGCATCATTTAGTTTTTACTTTTAGTTTGTGTTAAAAATACTTATTGTTTACAACTAATTATTTTTTATACGTTTCATTCATTCTCCTCATTCTAACCCAAGATTGTGAGAAACTGGGAGTTTTTCAAAACTATTTTTCTTCTTATAGTTTTCTTAACATACTGGATGCCTTGAATATTTTACTCTTTACCTTTACTATATAATTAAGTAAGGCAGGAGAAGACTTTAGCACTTTATATCAGGGGACTTGCCAGATTTTGGAGTAACCAAAATTTAAACACACCACATTAACAGCCATTTGAGAATATTGTATTAATTAAGAACTAGAGCTAGTGTTTCAGGCCCTGAGCCATCAGCCAAAAGCTATTATGTTGTGTTATACTTATGTTGGTACTGAACCATGCTAGTGCAAATGCGAGTACAGTAAATCCTCGAATTGGCCCCCCCTCGAAAAAGCTCCCCCTCACGTAAGCCCCCACCCTAGAACTACAAATTGTCAATAACTTTCCAACTTTCATCTGAGCCTATGAACTATTTAAACAACTAATTTCAGTTTGTTCTTATCACCTATGCATTGACAGAAGATCAAGTACTACTATTAACTAATTTTTTACCTATTGCAGTTCAAAGAGCCAATGATAATATTGTTGTTAGCAAGTGGTCTTGTCAGCATCATAATGCACCAATATGATGATGCTATCAGCATAACTGTGGTATGTTTCTTGTCAACATTATTGATAATTAATGTAATGGGATGTACATTGTATATCAAAAGTTGAAACGGTATAGATGTACTTTCTAATTGATATTAGTAAGAACTATGGAACTATGAACTAAGTTCTGTATTTCTTATTGCTAAAAGCTAAAGATTTTTCAAGTGACAGCTTATCGTTTTACATCATGATTGAACATTATATAAGAAGTAGTTTTAGTTTGGAAGGCAAATTGCAGCATGTTTCTCCTAGACATTATTTAATTTGATGAAAATTATTTTCAAGCTCTCATGAGTTTTCCATATTCTCTGAAGTGGTATATATTGTTATCACTTTTCAAACACTATAAATATGACTCCTCCTTTTCAACCATCCATCTTTTAGTGATAATGTTAAAATACCCCCTATTTTCTATGATCCCTTCGAAACCTTCCACTTTCAATGGGCAGGTTCTTAATCTCTGTAGTAAAAGTAGCCTGACCACCTTTAAAGACACAATACATTTCACTGGCCATCTAAATTCCCATTGGTTGGACTATACAATAGACCTATTGTTACTAAGCCAATCGGCTAATTCCGAATGTTTTCTTATTTTTTAAACACGCTGCAAAGCCTATTGTTAACTCTGAACAGTTGACTGATGCGACATGGTGCCTTTAACCTCATTGCAGGAGATGATCTTGTTTCTGGCATTGAATGAATTTCATGATGCTATTTTTGTTGTTTTCTTTTTTGTATTAAGAAAATATAAACCAAAATAAATTTTGATATTTGGTAAAAACAGTATTAATGTAAATTTTGTTAATATCTTTGGTATTTTAACACTTGCCCACCCCTAAAAACATAAAATTAAAGAATATCCTGAGCTTTTTTAAGTATCCTGAGACTGTCGATATTAAGAAAGCATGTTGCAGTGTGTTTCTCCATGAAATCAATTTGTTTGTTGGTTCATATGTTTTCTGGTTCTCATTGATTCTTTTCATCTTTTCCAAGGCCATTATAATAGTGGTTACAGTTGCATTCGTCCAAGTGAGTATTCTTAATTAAACAATAGCAATTCTTATAGTATCCTTTACTCCTTATTGGCTAATTTTGTTGGAAAGTTTGTAAATCATTTGAAGCACATAGCTAATCATTACTTTTGACATTTATTGACACAATTTGAATATCCTAGAAGTAATATCCAATAATAATATCTCTAGTAATTTTCCAGATCTTATAATAAAATTAGAATGAAGTTTTGTTGCTCTGGTCTTTCATCTTAGAATTTTTAAAAGCAAAACAGCAGTTTTAATCATTATCTAGCTAGATCCTTCACTGAAAGTCCATCTCTTTACCTTGTCAACATTCATAGAGATTTTACTTACATTATGATTTTTTAAGTTCAAGAGCCATCTTTGTTTAATGAAAAAGGCGTATAAACATGTAGCATATTTTAAAAATTGCGTCCTAACTGCATGCTCAAACTTTGCAGAAGTTGAACCTTATCTTTTGCATAGAAGTTTCAATTTACCTATATATTTGAATTCCAATTCAAGAATCTCTTGTTAATAGAAAAATCCTCCCATTAGTATAACAAGCTAAACATCTTGCCCCCTGCCATACTTGATCTTTGTTCCAACAAACCCACAATTGAACAAACTCCTGTTATAGTGAACTAATTTTCTTGTTCCCTTCAGAGTTTTTCATTTTGATTCCACTGTATATGTATTTTCACTATGAATCCAATATTTTTATTCATAGATGATATTATTCTTTGTCAACAGGAATATAGATCTGATAAATCGGTACAGGCAATAACCAAACTAGTTCCACCAAGCTGTCACTGGTAAGTAGGCCAATATTGCCAAAGGATTTCCTGCATCTATATATCTTACACTAAGTGTTCTCCTTGATCTCATATTAATGTGCTGATTTTCACTAATCATTGGAAAATTCTTGCAAAACCCATTATAATTCCACAGTTTATCTCATATGGACAGGTAGAAAAAGATCCTAAATTTGTAAACAATACAGGATTTTTAGGTGTCAGAGGAAAAGCTTCAGTAAACATGTTTCAAAATATTTGCTTTATTCAAAACTTTTTCAAATTCTGTACCATGAAAAGATTGTTCATAATTGATTTGTTTTCTGTTCAGTTTGATTAGAATTTTTTTAGAATCCAGTAACTAATTTGCATTGGTTGTTTGCAGTTTGAGGGATGGTGAATGGAAAACATTTTTAGCTGCAGAACTTGTGCCAGGGGATATTGTCTTTTGTGATGTTGGTGACAGGGTGCCAGCAGATATAAGACTTTTTGAGGTAACAAGACCAAAGTTAATGCTGATTTCCTAGCTTTTTCAACCCAACAATATAACATAATATCAAGATAAAATAAGAGAACTAAGATAGTCTAACTAAAACCCCTCGATTTACCTCCCTTTTCGCATCCCCATTTTTGGTGGAAAGAGCTCTGTTGTCCGAAACAAAACCACCATTGACAAGAGCAAGCCTTGGTGAGGCAATGAGGCAAATGAGCCGTTGCTCTTACATTTCTAGCATGTTTTAGTATAGTTTCCAAGCACTTTTCCTTTGCCTGTTTTGTACGGTTTTGTATGCCCTTTTTGCGGAGGCAAAGTGGCGATTTGATCTATTCATGATCTATTTTTGGGCCGTGAGTTTGATTGTTCTCAGCTATGCATGTCAATAGAGCCCATTGTTTGAGGGCTTGAACAATAGTTCAACAATATAACAAAACGTCACTTTGCCTCCGCAAAGGGTATACAAAACCGTACAAGACAGGCAAAGGAAAAGTGCTTGGAAACTATACTGAAACATGCTAGAAATGTAAGAGCAACGGCTCATTCGCATCGCCAAGGCTTGCTCTTGTCAATGGTGGTTTCCTTTCGGACAACAGAGCTTGTTCCACCAAAAATTGGGATGCGAAAAGGGAGGTAAATGGAAGGGTTTTAGTTAGACTATCTTAGTGACAATATGTATATCATACATTGCTTCATTTATGTAAATTTAAACATTTTTCTATTTCTGGCAAATCATTAAAAAGCATATACTGCAGAGACCCTTTGTACCCAGGGGCATTGTGGCAATCAAATTCTAGGGAGGGCAAAAGATACAGTTTTATCTGAAAATGTTAAACAAAAGCATACAAATAAAGTAGAGTGTCATTGCTTTCCTATTTTTTTTAAACTTTTTACTCAAATGTTTTGACAAATAAAACAAATTTCAAAACAGTCTGGGGCAATGGCTCCTTTTGGCCAACAAGTCATCACTCTGCTGTTTGTATACTTCATTCATGTGCATTTTTGCTCATTTTTGTTTGAAATTTCTTTCAGTTTTGATACAAACCAAATTTTGAGAAGTTAAGAATGATACAGCAAACTAAAAAAATGTATTTCAATCATATTAAGGCAATTGATTTACAAGTTGATGAATCAAGTTTTACTGGGGAAACAGAACCAGCTACAAAGTTTACAAATGTGCAATGTGAGAAAGGAAGTGGTATATCAGCAAGAAGAAACCTCTCTTTTATGGGAACATTGGTGCGATGTGGCAGAGGAAAGGTATTTAGATGAATTTTTTTCCTGATGATATCTGTTATTTTGTCTTTGAAATATCTTTACGGGTATGGAAAATGGATATCACTTTAAAGGTCACTTTCTTTCCTTAAGGGGATAGTGTTTGGTACTGGATTAAATTCTGAGTTTGGACATGTGTTCAACATGATGAAATCTGAAGAGGTAAGCGTTCCTAGAATTTATGACTAGGTCATTAAACAATGGTAAAATGTTTTATCATGTCTATAAAACTTTTGAATTTGCATCATTTGTGAAACACATACTGCTAAACTCTTTAGAATTATGTTCATTTTCTAGGTAATTAGATACAATCATTTCCAATTTTATGTTTAATACCTGTTTTCGCATTTGTGTTGTTAAGTGTTTTGAATTTGTAGCTAAGATTGACTCTCTTGTGAAATAATTGCACCCGAAAACAAATAATTGAGAACAGCGTTCTATTTTAACTTGGTCATTTAAATTTGTAAAAATGTAGAAAGTAAATAATTGTAACGAATGAGAAGGCAATTCTTGGAAATTGTGGCATAACTTCGGTACAGGAAAAGGCACGAGAAAAAGTAAAAAAAGCTACTTCAAGCAAAAAGAAAAAGGAGAAGAAGGTTGAATAACATACCAAGGCTCATAAAGTGTTCTGGCTCTAGCCATTTGACCACTGAATAAGCAACCACATTAAAAAATGTAGGAGCAAACATTGATGAACTAATATAAAACAAGATGACTGAGCAAAAGAAAATGGTCAGGCTGAGAGGAGTTTATTACCATTTTGGGAATATTGATGTAAAAATTCAAAGAGAAGGGCACATTTGGAAATTTTCATTGTGTAAGAGTGAAAACAGGCTGATTCAAATAATGTTATCAACTGTTACCTAACCTGTTCCCAGGGACAAAAAAAGAGCTTGGGAGAGTGACAAAGCATCCAAAGCTAAGCTATAGCCAATCAAAATTGGGTTTTAAAAAGCGATTCAATAGCTCACCTGATGCAGATTTTGTACAGGATGTCTTCTTGCTGCTCTGGAAAATGAAAATCAGGAATCAGAAGTTGTAATAAGGAGAATTGTTTTGACCTACAAACACCAAAAAACTCTAATCAACAATGCCAATATGCATTTCAGAAAATGTGTTTTAAATACTAAATACTGGAGCAATTTTGAAATGCTAGAACTCATGGCGAGGGATGTTTAATTGAACCATCCTAATTCGTCAGGCAAGGTAGCTATTAGAACTAAGTGAGATTGATGGAAAATTGGGCTTGGAACAGATTGATTACAGACAAACTCTGCATGCTACGAAATCCAGTCAAAAACTTTTAAAGGAGGGTGCTGAAAAAGCTGTGACAGACAGGAAACAAAAACGTATAATCTAGCCCAGGAAAAGGGGAACATATCTGTGAATTCCTTTCAAGTTAACTGGAGAATATTAGTCACTCTGTCTTTTAACAGAAATTAGAAAAGTCTGCTTGAAAATAAAACTTTCATTTGTTAAACTGCATTAACTGTGTTTTTTTATTTTAGCCTCCAAAGACTCCTCTGCAAAAAAGTATGGATATCCTTGGGAAGCAGTTGTCATCGTACTCAATGTTGATAATCGGTGAGTAAGATAACGATGAAGTGGATTCTTTCTGGCTTTAGCTGAATTGTGAGATATCCTGTCCATGCATCAACAGATAATCAAATTACATGGAAAAGATAATGTCACATTTATAGGAACTGTCTTTTTCTCCCCTTGGAATGGCTTTTGAGTGTGGTATTGTAATGTGATTCGTAGCAGTGAATCGTCGTGACGGAAAAACTTTGTAAAACTGTCAAGTTTCAATTTCATTCCACAAGTTTCGTTGACCCAATGTCCAATAATAGGTTGCTAGTTGCTAGTTCAGAGGAGGGCTATTGCTGTCAATATGTGGATAGTAGAACAGGTTAAATTTAAAGTTTAGCGAATTCTGTATTTTTTGTTTACTTTCAGCGATAGATTGAAAGGAAATAAATTGAAACAAAGGGTAACCAAACACAATGTGATTTCTGCACGCGAGAGTGAGAGAATTCAGCTTTACGAAGAGAGAATTTACATCATGTTTTTCAATAAATACAAAAGATTATATCTGATGAAAAAGTATTTTGATACACTTATAGTGTCAAAAAACAATCTCCCTTTATGAAAAAAAAGTAAATTTTCAAGTAATGACCAACGTTTTTAACAGGCTTCATAGTTCTGCTTGGCTGGCTGCAGAATCGCAAAATTCTTGAAATGTTCACAATTGGTGTCAGGTATGCCTCATTTCTTCAACAACTGCTTATAAAAAATTTGAACCCAAAATGTTTTTCGTTTCATCAATTTAAGCTTTATCAACAGCACCTCTAGGGTACTTCAAGGGGGATTCCCGTCTAAGTTGCAATATGACCACTAATGCCCTGAAAATTCTATATTTGCCAAATATAGAAAAACTACATTGGTCCAAGCGCCGTAAAATCTCACATCTTGCTATTTCTTTTACCATCTACGTAAAATGAAGAGTGATTGTTTAAAATGTTCAATTACTTAGATAAAAAGTGCCCCTTGGTATAGCAGTAACATAATAGTAGTAACATTTTTTCCATTTTTTGGTTGTAATTATTATACTATTAAATATTAGAAATATTTTTAGATGTGTCACCTGATATCTTTGCTTGGCTGCAAGGGTTTTGTATTTAAATATTTATGAAATGACACGAAAAAATTATCGATAGTTTGGCAGTCGCTGCGATCCCGGAAGGACTACCAATCGTCGTAACAGTTACTTTAGCAATTGGAGTGATGCGAATGGCCAAAAGAAATGCGATAGTGAAAAAGTTGCCAGTTGTAGAGACCCTGGGTGAGTCTTCTAGTTAGTGTATATAAAGTATCTTTCATATGTTATTTCTAGGTCAAAACCAGGCTGTTTGGGCTTGGTAGGGGTCTTTGGGCTTTATTTATTTATAGAATCATCTATAATTGTGTTTGGGACTTTTCTTTGAATCAATAATTTATCAATAATTTAAACGTCAATGACCCGGTCATGTTGCCACTTTAATCGTAATTTGTTTTCACGAAGCATCCAAAGATAGATTGTAAGTTGGATTACCGGATATAACCTGGTTCTGGTTCTCTATGTAACCACAATCCGTGATATCAACGTCTGCAGTAACAGACAGTTGACGATTTACCTGTTTGAAGGCAGACAGTTTACTTGTGCGAAGGCAATTAACTTTTCTTTCCCTGCCGCTTTCAATTGCGTCTAGCCGTGGCATATTGATTCTAAAGTCTTGTGCGGTTGCTACTATGTTCAACTGGGAGATCGGGATCTTTTATAGGAAATTAACTGGCATTTTGTCAATTTCAACAACAAAGAAGTATTATTTCAGGTAGAGATGAACACACCTCACTAGAAATAACATTAAAAGAAACCCTGCCTCGTGTTGGTTCAGGTAGCCTACATCTTACGTCAGCAAACATGAATCCCCCCTCCCGTTTTTCCTATTTTTCAATATATTCTGTTTCAGCTTGTTAATCTTACAAGAAAACTGCAGAATATCCTATTCTATTGTTGACTGTTTTCCATCAATGTATGATAGCAATAAAGACATTTAAAATTTCTCTAGGTTGTGCAAGTGTCATTTGCTCAGACAAAACGGGCACGCTCACAAAAAACGAAATGAAAGTCACAGAGTTATATCTTGCTGATGGCCGACGACTAGAGGTAAGCACGAAATAGGTTTTACTCGTTTTCAAATTCATACAGTCATACAGAAAATGCAAATACTTGATCTTTATCAATTTTTCCTCTTGCCAGATCGCAATAATTTCAACAGAATTAGAACTGTAAACTAGAAACAGTAAGCAATTTCCTCTCATTCAACCAAACTTTCAACTATCAGAAAATTGCGGGTTGGTGGTTGATTCTTCTATTCAGGGGCGGACACTTGGTCAAATATGGGGGGGGCAAGCCTATTGTTTGATAAGATGACATCACATTCCCCACATTTTTTAAAACAAAAGGCCATTGTCCTCCAAAATATTGTGGGCGACCGCCCCCCTCGCCCCCCAGGAGTCTACCAATGCTTCTATTGCCTCATCAGTATTTATGTCTATTACATAGAAATACTTGCTAGATAATTAGGTTGGCAAAGAACTATATTTAACAGATACCATAACTGTAAAGATAGAACATGTTGAGAGGATTTTCTTATTTCTTTGTTCGGTTTTGTTACTATACAGGTATCTGGTGTTGGTTACAGCGGCCATGGCCAAATTTTCTTGGAAGACGAGGCAGCTAATGATTATACAGATACTGGGTTAACAAATCTCGTCAAGGTTCGATCATTATAAAGTTGTTGCTTTCGTTTAAAAGAATTCATGATAGAAAAAGTATGTTCATTGTTGTATCTGCACTGTGATAGATATCTGGGTTTTGTCTCAAAAGGTATACGCGCTTTGCCCAAGCCCTTTAAAACGCTCTCAACATTTCACTGAACATCGCTCAACATGTGTATAGCGATGTTTAGCGATGTTAAATGATGTTGAGGGGTGTTAAAACGCTCTCAACAATTCGACTCAACATTCGTTGAGCAATGAACCTCGGACTCTCAGAGATCCAGGGCAAACCGCCATTTATGTAGGGTATTTTGAAAGATGAGCTTCGGACATTCCTTCCATTCAACAGTAGCTGCCTGATGATTTCCAAGGTTTAGGATCAGGTCTAACGGAAGCCTACTCTCCGTCTCGCAGCTTGCCTTCAATTGCTACCTTATCCGATTCGCTTTCACTGCGAACTGTTTCCAAGTGTTCGTCGTGTTTTGCCGTTACGATTTATAAAATTCGACTTCTTTCAACCTCTTGGTCTGATGTGAGCTCTTGACGCATTGAAGCTTTTCTTTCTTTGGCGCGCAAAGTCCAAGTCTAGTGCGCTTGCACCGACTGAGAACTGTTTGATAGGATGCTAAAACGCTCTCAACATCTCTCAACAACACCTTGGACAATAGAAATGTTGAATCGACCGGCTGAATATTTTTGACATTGCTCAAACTCCTTATGACTGAGGTGTTGCCACAGCCCCGTTAAGAAATACACGATGTTCTCTAGACCTAAATTCAGGGCAGATTGACTAATGTTTGTTTTGCATAGAATAATGCTTTTTGTGTCCAAGACTTATAATACAGTTATATTTACAGTGCGTTGTAAGCAAAGAGGAAATAATATGTGGATGATTTTTTATATTTTTAAAAATAGGGTCTTGTAACGAAGATCGCTATCAAGCGGTCTTTTGTAGAGTACCTGATGCCATGTAGTCGTGCACGTGCTTGTGTATCGAACAGGACGATTCCTAGTTGCTTCTTTGCGTTTCAAGCTTTGCTGCTCACACTTTTGATCTTAAAGGCAAAATCTGGAGACATGCGTCTTGAGAGCAAATTCTCCTTTTTCTAACACACCGTCTACATCTCATCTAGGCTAGTTGTATTTGCAACAATGCTCAGATAAAAAATGGCACACTCATGGGACAACCAACGGAAGGAGCAATGTTAGCTGTCGGACTCAAGGTAAGTTTCTTTACCAGCAGTTTAATGAAGTGCTTGAACCGGATGCCTCTGTTTTTGACAGATTTTAGAAATTAGAAGTAAAATATATAGCAATGAATTGAGGTCCAAAAGCTTATTTTTCTTGATAACTTGGCATTCCAGGCTAGTTATCTTAACTTAAAGTTTGAAAGGTATAATAGAATTTATAACAGGCATGAATGAAGCTCATTGGTAGATGTTAATTTATTTTTGTTTGTTTATCATGCATTACGTCTGCCTTTCTCTGTTGTTTAAAGTTTTTGTTTTTTGTCTATTAGGCAGTCGGGTCATTTCATTTCAAAGTTGAACAAATTTTGTCATTTTGTAAACCAAAGTCTCAGAATTTGCTCATTTTTTGGTGGAGAAGTTGTATTATCATGAGATAAACACACATAGAAAATCTGACTTTAAAATCTTCTGTCGTTCTAAAAATGGAGCAATTTGAATTTTTGCTGATTCTCTCTATTTTTTCCAATGTCTGCTATTTTAAATTTTGTTCGTTTGTCTATTAAGAAGTCTTGAAATGAGCTGTTTTTTATTTATACCAGCTCGGTTTGGTTGGAATAAATGATTTGTACGAAAGGACAGAAGAAATACCGTTCAACTCTGATCGCAAGTGGATGGCTGTAAAGTGTAAAAAGCTATATTCGTCTCTTGAGGTGGGTTAAGATTATGTCAAAAACTGAATGAACTCTTTTATCCAAAAAGCCTAATTCACAAATTTAGGAAACTAGAGTTGCAGAAAACGATTAAAGATGAATCGTTTCTGTGAATCTGTATTTCCAGATACTGCTTTTTCAAGATAAATGTGTTCGAAAATCTAAATTATATGAATATGAAATCTTTTTGTAGTTTAAATTTACATTTAAACTCACATTTGTGCCTGTGCCTCGAAGATGTTACATGTTTCCATGTTTTTTTTTCAAAATGAGTAATTGCTACATGCTTTAATGTAGGAACCAGCTGAACTTTACTACTTGAAAGGCGCCCCTGAAAGGGTTCTTAGGCAGTGTAAGCACTGGGGCTCGACAATCAACCAGCAAAGTCTGGAAGAACCTGACTACAGCAGAATCATGGAAAGGTCAAAAGAGATGGGGATGCGAGGCCTCAGAGGTAATCCTGCATCGGTCACATGATCACATTCCAACTTTTTGTCAAGGTCAATTGCCAGAAAGTCAGTCATAATCTTGTCCTTTCTTTTACCGCTATCTTTTTCACAGTCCTATAGTTGAAGCCCTTTAAGGAGTTAAGTCAATTGCTATGCAGTATCACAAAGGCTACAGTTTTCATAATCTTAATACAAAATGATCATAAATATCAAAATTGGTCATAACTCTCAGAACCCCTCTTCCTCAGCCTGAATTTTGGAGAAGTATTGCTTTGCATGTTCGGAAAGGTAAATTTGCTTTCAGATATTGGGGCTGGAAGTACTTGGGTACCCGCGGGGAAGGAGAAAAGGGTTTTGCAGATTTAAGTTCTTCAGTAGACCTTATTAAGGCAGTATTAAGGCAGTTGACTCAATTATTTTTGGCTTTAATTTAGATGTTCATTCACAATACAGCTTCAGATTTCATTACAAATTACTGACGCAATTCGTTATAATTTTTAGTGATTGCTGTAGCATTTGGATCAGACTTGCAATCAATGACGTATCTTGGAATAATGGGCCTAATGGATCCACCCAGAAACGGAGTCCCAGAGGCCATCCAAGTTTTGAATCGGAGTGGCGTTTCCGTTAAGATGCTGACTGGTGACGCGCGAGAAACTGCCGTTGCGATAGGTGAAGCCGTCTAAAAATGGCTCTTCTTACTTCGATTTATCTCTTTCTTCTTTACGCTCCCAATTCAAATTTTATACACCGCAAACGGATTTTCAGGCACTGTTGACATCCCCCATCATATTCTTATCAGATCCTTAATATGAGGTTCTTTTCAGTGTAACATGGTCCTTCAGTTCAAATGTGCCGAGTAATATGAGGAGAATCTTGCCAGTATTTAGATCTTAGCCTAAAAACTAGAAACCATCACTTTCCCACAATCTTCTCAACTGACTTCTCTACCGATTAAATTCAATTCCTTTTACTTTCTCTTAAGAAATGGAACAATTCGCACATTCCCTAATTTCTCTTTCTCTAATTGACCGCAATTCTGTCGTTTTTGCTTACACATTCTGTGTATTAAATATATATTTTTCACTGGCGTCTCTCTCGTCGATAGTTCATCAAATAGCCTTGCATGCACTCTTTGCATATTTTGTTTTCAACCGAAGATATCATCAGGCCTGAAAATAAAATTCTGGTCCAAAAAATGTAATATGTGACTCCTTCCTTCTAAAATTTGAAAACTGTTTTAATTTCATTCAGCAAAATCTTACATAGTTTTCATAGAAGGTACATATTTACTAGAAAAAAACCAAATTAAGAATTGTATATTTCAGAATTTTGATATTGAATTTAAGTTTATAAATTCAGGCAAACACTGCTTTGTTCTCAGGAATTATAAATAAAATTTATTTTCCTTCTTAAGCCTCCATTCTTATCACTTGCTTTGCTTTCGTCATTGCAGCTCACTGGAAATTTCTTCTATAGGCCGTGCCTCCAGTTATCGTTATATTATTATTAAACCTTTAATCCTCTATGCAACTTTGAAAATCTTCATATCGTCTAATCGTCTTTACTTTTCCAGGTAAGATGCTTGGTTTGAAAAACGAGTCTTCGATCACTTTGTCTGGAGAACAAATTGAATCAATGGATTCTTTTGATTTAGAGAGTGTTATTGAAGAGGTTGGAGTTTTAAAATGTTACTTAATTGCTAGCTCGTTTCGCAGCTATTGTAAAACAAATTTTATTCAATTTGAATTAAGTGTTGATTCGCATAAGCACACATGCTCAATTTTTCGGTCTTTTATGTGGGCGTTTATTTGAGTTGGGCGTTTAAAATAAGCTTCTATTTGTTTCCTGACACGGTTTTCTTATTAGTTAGCATGCATATAACGTGAAAATTAGAGATTTTTGGGTGGTTCGAATGTCGTAAAAATTGGGGGTTATGCAAAAGAATTTTTTTTTAATTAAAACCTTTGTTTCAGTATTGCAAATATGTTAAAGGTGAATCATCAGATAATTCATGGGGGTGATCTTCCTTACAAATACTGCGATAAAGGGATTACCAAGATGGCAGTTAATCATACATGGGTGCATTAAAAAGCAAGCGCTTGTTGAAAGGCGTTGAGATTACTCTTAAAAGGTGGTGACACTAAGGGCCTGTTTATATGGAGAAAATCATCCCCTCTTCCAGCTTGTGAGCTGAGAGATAAGATCCCCTCCTCCTATAGAATCCTTTGTATTTGTATGAGCTAGCCCGGTAAGGTGAGTTCACACTGCGTGAGAGGTGGGATCTCATTTGGGTGGGATATGTTTTCCTCATATAAACGCTGGAGGGTGGGATGAAGCTGGAAGATTGGATGGATTTTTCATATACATGTCATCAAATTTCGTTCCGCTTGTCAGAACATAGGATGGAAGGTGGGATGACTTTTGACATATACAGCTGAAAGGTGAGATAGAACCTGGATGTAAACATTCAATGATTTCATCCCACCTGCCAAATTATGGGCTAAGAGGTGGGATAAATTTACTTATATAAACAGGCCCTTATTCGAATCATTATTTTAAGTCTTGAAATGTTGATGTCTCGATAAACACGTAACATTTTGTAGGTCAATTATCGTGACTACCCTTTTGTGCTGCTTTGTTCCGACATCGAGAGAAACCTGAACAATTGTTGTATACGAAGCTCTGTTTCTTAATCAAACTGATTTTTATTCATCTTTTAAAAAATGCCCCCTTTGATCTTTAAAAAGAAGGCCAACTGCTCGCCCCTCAAATGTCTACAAGTGTTGGATCCATTTCATATTTCCATCAATCCAAATAGTGTCCCCTTTATACTTGATAAGACAGAAAATTTACGGTGAACAGGTTATTCATTAAGATCTTTTTAGGCCTGACATAAACAATAGCATAAAATTGCATACGTATGACATGCCATATTTCTCAACTTACTTTTTCAAAACTTGTTCTCATCTCAACTGATATATTTACAATTTGATTTTTCCCAGGTTTCCATCTTTTACCGGGTTAGCCCTAAGAACAAAGTTACAATTGTCAGGGTGAGTTCTTCCGTTTAAATTCGACATTTTTTATTCTTTTCCCTAATTGTATGAATCAAGTTGTATTAGAGGCGTTAGTAAGAAGATTCGGTGGATTTTAGAGTTGTGCGACCAGCATAGTTTTCCTTTTTAAGCCTCAGTTCTGCAAATTGGTCGCAATTTAGCTGCATAAAAACCCTGTTATTGACTGTTTCTTTCAATATTTTTAAAGGAAATACCCATGCAACCTCCAATTAGCCCCCCCCCTCTGGGAGCCTATTAATTTGGGGTTCTTGTGGACGAGGGCTACTTCGGGGAATAGTGGTTTACTTCGGCTTGTAGCACTGATTTAGTGGAATAAAAGAAAGGATATGTGAATCGACTTTCCTTTTTTTTAAGGCTTTACAGCGGTGTGGCCATGTGGTTGCCATGACAGGAGACGGCGTTAACGATGCTGTTGCACTTAAAAGGGCAGATATTGGCATTGCCATGGGAAAAATTGGCACTGACGTCAGCAAAGAGGCTGCAGACATGGTTCTGGTAGATGACGATTTCAAAACCATAATGGCGGCGATAGAGGAAGGAAAAGGAATCTATTATAACATCAGAAATTTTGTGAGATTTCAGCTAAGCACGTAAGGATCTGTTAACGTTCTTCTGGCGTGTTGATAAATTTTGGACAAGCTGTGATGTTGGAAATACTTCAAGCTACTTTTTGTACATAGTGATCTTCTGATTTGACGCTTTCTTTGCTTTGTTTCAGGAGCATAGCCGCGCTGTCACTCATTACAATTTCAACACTCATGAAATTTCCAAATCCACTCAATGCAATGCAGATTCTGTGGATAAATATCATTATGGATGGACCGCCTGCACAAAGGTACCAAAAAAAACGTATTACTAAAGTAATCTTTAAATCTCTTCGCTTTACTTCTTAAAAGTACAGATGCCTGCATCTTGAAACCTGCTGTCGCAAAATATCATTAAGCTGGACCTTAGTTTGTTGTTGGCTTTGCTTGAATGCATTTTCATATCTATAACAATGTATATAATTCTTGTATTCACGTTGGCCTATAAGTTTTTTACAGATATGTGCTAATAATTTGACCAACAGGGAAATTGATGACGTTTAATTTGGTTTGGTACATGAAATTAATCTTAGCGGTCCACCTTTGGTCAATAGTCGTAACATGATCATCTGTTCATTGCAAAAAGTGTTTTCTCGTGAAAGTTTTATTTAACCATGTAGTCCAACCCAGTCAGTGGCGTACCCAGGGCTGCAGCAATGTGGGGGGGGGGTCTGGGGTGCAAGCCCCAGAAATTTTTTTTGGACTACGCCCTTCAAACACTCGCAAATGCGGGGAAATGCCCTTTTTGGAAAATTTTCCCCCATTGTTTGATTCATGTTAGCTACGGTAAAAAGCGAAGTATTTTACAATTGTTATTGACACAAGTATACTACCCATCCCCATGAGTTTTACATCGTTTTTGGACAAATCTCGAGGACCATGTTTTAGAAAAGTGGGGTACGCCACTGAACCCAATACACCTCTTCCAATTGATTATTATTTTTAAAACTAGTCTTGGCGTTGAACCAGTCGACAAAGATGTGATGAGCAGACCTCCAAGGAAAGCTTCTAACCCAATGATCACGAAGTTCCTTGTGTTTCAAGTCATCTCATCTGCCTGTCTAATTGTTCTTGGCACATTGTTCATATTTTGGCGCGAGGTAAGCCACGCTGCGTGATCGTATGCTAGCTAATGAAATATCGCTATTTGCATTAGAAAAGCACAATATTTTTCCTTGATACTATTTTAGCTTAGATTGGAGTAACACCTAGCAGCCTTAAAGTAATTGAAATGATCAGTTTTTTATTAGCGCCATTTGCTATTGTATTTAGGTCTATTTAACATTGGGCATTTAGCTGCCTGATGATCGCAATATGTGTGAAAGTTGGAGTTGCAACTTATAACCTTGCTCTTTTCCCACCAAAGCATGTATACCTAAGAAATCGATCCCTAAATGATAGACTGGTAAACAGTTATCTTTATAAAATTAAGGATTCACTGTTTTAAATTAAGGATTCACTGTTTTTGCAAAAGAAATGTATGATTCGTAATCTTCCCATTAGCGGTTTTCGTACCTCTTTTGGTTGCTATTGGAGATGCTTCTTCACAACTTACAAGATAATCATCATTAATCCCGGTCTGTTTTTCCTAGATGGCTGACAACATTGTAACACCACGTGACACAACCATGACTTTCACTTGCTTTGTCTTCTTCGATATGTTTAATGCCTTAAGTTGTCGCTCACAGGTAACTACTTTGATTTTTTATTCCCATCTTCCCGGTAACAATTATAGAATTGACAGATTTTGTTTCTTTACGTGAGCATAAAGTACTGTTGTATTGTGTTGTATGTATTGTGTTGGAGTGTTTTTTACTGTACTATGCTGAACTGTATCTTGTTTATGTACTCTGCTCTACTCTACTATACTCTACTTTGCTGTATTTTATTATACTTTGTGTTGTGTACTGATTTTACCCCATTCGAGTTAAAATTACAACAGTAAGAACTTATATTAACAACATCAAGAATAAGAATTTCATTCTGTGAATTACCACGTGACTGTGCAACTCCTTTATCCTTCTCAATTATTCAATCTTTTATTATAAAATGATCAACTCCTTTACCCTTCTCGATCCTTTATTATAAAATGATCACAATTGTTTTTAATTGTGTTCTAAAATGTTTCTTCACAGACGAAGTCGATTTGTGAAATTGGCTTCTTCAGCAACAAGATGTTCATCTATGCGGTCGGGGGGTCAATTATTGGACAAATGCTGGTTATTTACACACCCCCCTTGCAGTCCGTGTTTCAGACAGAAGCACTTAGTGCTCTGGACCTGTTGCTGTTGGCATCTATAGCTTCTTCTGTTTTTATTCTAGACGAAATACGAAAATTATTTTTGAAATTAAAGACAAATAGGAAAAAACGAGGCGATAAATTGGTTGGATTAGTGTAATTATCGTTATTATAACCAGACCATTTTAACATCGTTTCAACCCAACGCATTGATCGATTGATAGAAAGTGGGTTTGGAAATGTATTTATTGTTACGATTAACGTAACAAAATATCGCATCTGATTACGATTAATTAAGGCGACAGAACAATGAAAGAGAAAATGGATGAGATTAATATCGACAAGTTAACTTTAAAAGATTGGGATTATTAATTATCATGCTATCGATATTTCTCATTGCTTTTCGTCCATCCCATTGCTAAAAATATTATATTGGCCACGTTTCAATTCAAATCGAGTCAAAGTAGTTGCAAAGATTCGATAACGCAGAAAGTGCCTGGCCTAAGGTAGTTTTTAATGTTTTAAAAGAGCATGGATTAAATATTCAAATGTTGTGTTTTGCTTGTAGTTTTTTACTTTTATGTCAATAGTAACATCAAGCCCCCCTTCTCCCCCCCCTCACCCTCATAATCCAAATTTGTATATGGTCCTTGCAAAAATTATATTATTGTAAATAAGACCCCGCTCGAATGAGCTTACGTGGATAGTGTTGTTCTTTATTCACTACCTCTTTGCCAGGTATATCTATATTGCAAAGTTTGGTACCAAACAAAACTCCGTTTTGGTACGTTTTGTTCTTTGGAGGAGCAAAGACCCTAGGGCAGACAACGCGATATGATTGTGGGGTTATTTTTTGAACACTTGAAGTTTGTAGGTACTTAAAGTTTTTTTGTAAGGATTATAATTTCGAGACGGAGATTGTGGGATGAGAGGCAAGTTTTGACGCCAAAAACGACGACAATAACCTTATTAATTGAACTGTAAACAAAATTCACTTATTGTAGGGCTACATCTGTCTTGAAAATGGTGTTGATATTAAATTTTCGCCTAGCATTCCTTGGTTTTTTCGATTTTATGCTGTCAAACGTAACAGCAACATAAAGTTACTATATTTCATTTATTACAATCCCAGCTTCCAGTAGCACTTTGTGATGCATATATTCAGCAACTCCTTAAAGATTTAATAGGTGAACTTTAAAAAGGATCACACTTTGATGTATTTTTTGACAGTGATAGATTTTTTTTTTTTGCAAAAGAGCTTAAAATTAATTTTTGATTAACACCAATAAACGGTTTAAAATGCTCGAATCCTTAAGATTGTTACCTATGTTTATTTTCCAGAAAAAGTTCCATTTAATCGAAACCTATTAACGAACCTGTTATACAAATCTGTTAATATTTTATTTAATGATCTATGATTCACAATTCAGTCGTTATATTTATTATCTAATACGAATGAAAATAATTTGTTTATGTTTGTTTACATTTGAATTTTTAATGCCGTGTCTCTGACTTTTGGCGACTTGTCACACCTATTTAGGGCCGAGATAGCGGGTGCTGAGGGGGTTAAGCCCCACCCCCTACACACGCTACGCAATTTTTTATAGATACATTAATTTTCAAAAGGTAAATTTGAGAACCTCTTTGTTCCATATAATGGCGATAAAATCAAAGCCCCCTATATTTGGAAACCTATCTTGGTCCTCGAAATCTCATAATTACATGGTACAATAACAGGAATATTACATGGTATCGGGGTAGATCGATGGGGGGTTTTTTCAATAGGTAGAGGCCGGCAGTGTGTTACTTCGAAGTATGAAGTTATACCCTGAAATTCATAGACTTTCCATGAAACCAACCCCAAGAAGTATACACCGTATGAAATGCATACCTTTAAATTTTCTTCAAATTAGAGACTCGTATTCAATGTTGGACCAATAATAGAGTAGCAAAGTGACATCTCCAAAACATCTATTTCTAGAATTTTGACCCCATGACCAGAAAGCAAGGCCGTCGAAAGCAGGGCGAGGGAGGCTGGGCCCCGGCAAGAATTGTACTATTAGTCAATCTGTACTATATTTCCTACATAAATGTGTACTGAATAGGGAGCAATACAATAGCCAGCCCCTCAATATTAATTTCGTTCCGACGACACTGGAATGAACACTTTAAAATACCTCTAGATTTGCGAAATCAGTTGAAAATTGACTGTTCAAAGTTGACTGAGATATGGCCTGTGAAAGGAATGCATTTTGCTCATGGATTATATGTGTATATACTGTTGTTTTGCCTGGTCAGGGGCGAAGCCAAAAAATGTTTTTTGGAAGGGTTTAGAAATGACTCTTGTCGACAAAAATGGGCTTGTCTCATACTGCTCACACTTTAAAGGTATGGTCATAAGATAAATAATCTTATATACTTCTTTAATGCTTTAGTGCCATACTTTTTACTATTTCAAAATTCATACTTCCGTACCATGCTTTGAAAGTTCAACTGCTACAGAAATGTTAATAAATTACAATTATCACCAAAAGGTTACAATTGTACAAGAGGGTGAGAAAAATTTCTTTTTTTGCGTGGCAAAAATCCTTGATGTGCCGACGAAGAAAGTGTTGGGGGTACAGCGCCCCCGTACCCTCTCTCCTTGGTGACGCCCGTGTCTGATACGTATTCTCAGAACGATGGCCAATTTACAGTGGTGTAATGGGAATATAGCCCATGCTAATGCGGGAACAATAAATTTGAAGGTATTTGTGGTTATCTTTCAGGTCACAGGGGTCTGATTTCTAAAATTTTAGAAATAAAGTTTTTGATAGTTAATATAATCACATGACAAGTCAATCATTACAGTTAAGATTTGATTAATTTTTTGCGGTACAGAATTTGAAAATGGCTTTGAAAAAAGCAAACATTTTACGACATACTAAAAGCTTTTTCGTCTGACACTCCTCAGAGCAAAAACGTCAGAATAAGGTTCCGAAAGAACACGATGGAAAATATATACCCAGTTGTGGATCAAAATAGGCCAATCAGAAAAACGCAAGCACAAGACCGGTATAGTTGACCAATCAGTGCCGCGAGCCTAAAGAAAAATTACCAATGGAGTCCAAGAGAGAAAACGAACTCCTTTTGTCTACACAATGGCGCCTTTTTCGTTTTTATGTAGATTGACTCCAAAACTGCTAGATGAAACTCTATAATGACGACATGTTTCGGATAATTGGCAGAGCCCGGTCGTCCTTCCATCTAGCAGTCCGGTCTTTCATCCAACTATACCGGTCTTGTGCTTGCGTTTTTCTGATTGGCCTATTTAAATCCACAACTGGGTATATATTTTCCATCGTGTTCTTTCGGAACCTTATTTTGACGTTTTTGCTCTGAGGAGTGTCAGACGAAAAAGCTTTTAGTATGTCGTAAAATGTTTGCTTTTTTCAAAGCCATTTACAATTAAGATTATAGTAATTTGCATTAGAGGTTCTAGGTCCCGTCAACATGTTTTCCCTATTGGTGAAATGATTGACCTTGACACAGCTTGACACTAGAAACAATTTGTTTGGCATCGCTAATTAAAAACATTATGTTTTAGTACTTTCTTTGTTAATTTCATTTTATAAACCGGTAGCCTGTCGGTATATAAACAGAGCTGAAATTTATTGTAATTGATTACACTCAAGATTATATGGATCTATAGATTGTAGATAAGAAGCAGAAGGTTGATTTTGAACCTATCACAGGGAGATTCGGGAATATCAACATCTTCCCCCTCCCAGCCCCCTGACCCCCTGACCCCCTGACCAGAGGACTGACCCCTTGACCCCATTTCAGTATCATTGAACAAAAACACACTAATTGAATTCAATAAAATCAATTGATATAGAGAATACTGCTATTACTAAATCTAAAACTTTAAAGAAAGTCAAAAATTGTTACTTACATCGGATGATATATCGGCCACGCTTGACGAGGTCCCTTCGTTGATATCATGTGCTTGTTTACAAAGAAACCCCATCATTTATTTTCTATATGCATTTTCTTGACAAAAGTGAGACACAAAACATCCAGAGGTGATGTATAATTTCTAAAAGGGGTAAAATGACCTATTTCAATCCGCTTTTTCCACACGTGGCCTATGAACTTCCCCCAAGCCTCAATTACCACTAGCCTCGTCATGCTGAACTGTGACCTCGTTCCACTATTTCTCGGAAAAAAGTAAAAGGGCAGAATTGTTTTGCTAGTTGAACAAATTTTGCCAATTTTGTACAATTTTTATACAATTCACAGCATTATTATGGTTAACATATGCAGGAGATGACTTTGCAGTAAGCACTCCAAATAATCAAGTTTGGTCATGTTTCCGTTTCCATGACCATGCAATCGACAATTTGTTTCCAAGAAGTAGGCAACTTTCCACAGAAAGATCATAATGCAACACGTGCAATTACTAGTTCCGTGTTTGGTGGCCGTATTTTCTATATCATTAATGGTTATAACGTATATTTACAAAATGAGCATTGCTGGTAAGTCAGTTTTTGGGCGAACCTGATTCAATATTTTTTTCTCTACGTTGTCTACTTACTAGGAAATAGGAAACAGGTCTTAACTTCTTTGATTAAATCAAGAATATATTGCTTTGTACCTCTGAACATCGAGCACTGTTATATCAGAGTGGATTATGTATGTATAACTTATTTAACAGGCTTTGGAAAAGTTTATTTATATTCAATTCAATAAGCCAGCCAGCAATACTGTCTAAATACAATAGATACTAGATCATAGACATTTCATCTTAAAATCTACATGTCGAGTCATTAATAGATTTAAAAAAATAATTAGGCTTTTTTTCACTTCAAGAGGCATATTATGAATAATTAAAGTTTTCAATTTAGATCATATTGGAAATCAAGATGTTGCAGACCATATTTCAATTGGCATTTTGTCTGCAAGAGAGAATTTTGAGCAAAGGAATTCGATACGTAAAACCTGGGTTAGGTTTTTACAAAAAAATAATGAAAATCTGAAAAAAAGGTTTGCAGAAATTTCTTTTGGTATATTTGTTGCAATATCTAATTCTTGTGAATTTGTTAATTGACTATTGTTGCACAACTGAAATTCATTTGACATTCTTTGAAGAGAATGAATTTATTGCAGATACCAAATCAGCCACAAGTTTATTGTTGGGTCAAGAAGTTGTGAAATCCCATCTGAAGATAGAATTTCTGAGTTCTCTTGTAAATGGGATGCATATATTGGATCATATCAAGGTAGTTTCTCGTGAATGGGAGTTTCATTTATACAATGTTTTCACCCTGATTAACAAACAAACTAATGTAATCATGTTAAACATGTTTTCCCCTCTCAACTTTTGTCTTGGTAAAACTCTAACTAGCTTAGCTAATAGCTATTTCCAACACATAGTTATTGAACAAGGGAAATGAAAATCAACCATCATAGAAGCATTTTTTATTTATCCACCTTGAACTCAAAACCCTAAAACAGTTATGTCATTTTAATGTCACTTCATAAACCCCCATTTGCGTCAATCATAAAAACTCTATTCCATTTCAGATCAGGATATATTTGCCTATAAAATAGACAAAGATTCAAAATTTGTTTCAGACAATCTACCAATTGGGTTGGACTTTGAGGTAATAACTACAATTTCTGTAATGTAAAATTTCATGCATGCAGATGAAGTTTTTATAACAATGGTCACTTGTTTGCCAGCAATAATAAAACCTGTTTTTAATAATGCAAAATCAAGTTATTTCAGCTTATTTACAGAGAATACAATTTTTGATATCTAATAACCCCTCAATTTTATATTTAATTTTAGGTTCTTCATCCAATCATTGTTAGCAAACTTGGGGTCACTGCTTCATCCAGCAATAAGGGATTCTCTATAAAGGTTGCATTATTCGATAGAACCACAAAGGTTTAGTATTTTTTCATAATTTTTAAATGTTTAGTGAGACTCAATATGTACCTGTTATATAGAGTAGTTTGTAAGGTAAATAAACCCTGTTTTTATTTTTTCACAGTTTCTGAAATTCAAAGCTATTCTGCATTGTTCTGTGTAAAATGCCCAGTTCCTTTATTACAAAATACATTGTAACCACTATATGTTGCTTTTTTTTGGTAATCTACAATATGATCTATTTACAAAAAATGTACTCAAATACTCTAAAATATTTTGTCCCCCGCCTTTTATGTGTAATTTTTTAATAGCAGTGGACTAATATTCATCTGTTGATTTACAGGCAGAAGTTGTTTTTGCAAACTTCAACAAGTTGGATTCAGTAATAAATGGTTTCTGGATTAAGGATGTGGATAACTACCTTCTTCCAAAAGTGACCATTTTTTTCAAATTTGATTCTCTCTATTCTTTAACTACTCTTTAAAAGTTTAACATTGTTCATTTAGGCTCTTTATTTTGTGAAGATACCTTTCAAGAAAAAAGAATGAGAAGTAAGAGATATGAAACAATTTTGCAACAATTTTACCAGCACTGCTTTACAGAACTTTGTAAAAACATTAAATAATTGGCTCAAATAAAAAGAGTCTTTTGGTCTTTTAAGTAAACCTAGCAAGTTAAACATCTCTTTACCATTTTCCAAATGTAATTTTGACTTATACTATATTAATGAGAAATTTTATCATAGGAATTCAGAGGATCTTTAGTGGTTGATTCGTTTGGTCAAGATTTTCATTATGCTCAAGCTGATGGCCCTTGTAACATCAATGATGGTGGTGGCTTATTGAAGTTTTTTAAGGTATTAAAAGTACTAGAATTATTTTAGTTTTCTAAAGGATCTAAAGGAAACAATTATCAGAAGGTATATTATCTCAAATAACCTGTGTCGAAAACCTATCTTGAAAAAAAAACATTTCCATTGATTGTTTGTTTCCCAAGTATTAATACACTAGTTACATTGGTTGTATTAACAGTACCATGCACTAATAGTCTACAGTATTCCATTGAAAAATTGGCCTAAATATCAAGAAAGAAATTTACATGCAACTAGTAAAATAGAAACAAGAAGTTGTAATGGGTTACAAAAACATAAAATATGTTACAAAATGTTGTTTAGGAACATGTTCATTAAGCACAACCAAAACCAATAATCAGATTAATTTTTCTTGGGAATTGTTAACAAAGATTATATTTTTTCTTCAAGTCCTGGGGCATGACAATTCTCTATTTCGATTGCAGTTATATTAACTGATAAACTGATAACTGATACATCCTCTATGATTTAATATGCTTTTTCATCCAAACTCTCTCAGCTAACCAGACATGGACCAATATCTGGGTATTTTCCAGATAAAGTAGTTGAGCAGAAAACATATTGCAGTTTGGTTGCAGGAACATTTGTCTTCAAACGAAAAGGTACCAAGTGTTTTATACTTTGGCCTCCTGATATATAAAACCTTCAAACAATTTGTTAATGGCACTTTGCAATGAGGCATGAAAGTACCAGTGCAATGGCACTTTGCAGTATCTTCACTTAAAACTGGACAGCTGTAAGCCAGTCTTATTTACCTGCAGTATATTAATAATAATATATTGCATTTTCACTGGTCAGATACAAAGTATTTACTTTGTGTAGCAATTTAAGTTTTGATGGCTTCATTCTTTCCAGTTATTCAATTTTCAATGCTGTTTGAAAATTCTTGGTGCAACATTAAGTTCACTTTTTACATTTCATAATAAACTAGCTGATGATAACTTGAGGCCGAGAAATATCTCAACAAAAGCAGCTGAAAGGAAAAACAGGCTTAGACTGTGGGGGGAAAAGCTACAAAGAGACCAACAGCTTTTAGCTGAAGAGACAAAGAAACACAATGACATCCTAATTGTTGATGTTAAAGATTATTATAGAAATTTACCAAAAAAGCTGTTGATGTTCTATAAATGGTAAGTGAGAGAATTTTTATTCAATTTATTTTGCTCTAATGTGTAGAACAGGATGAATGAGATTTACTTTTCAAAGTTTCATGCTTAGTGCATCACAAGGCAACAAGTTCTGTCTATGTGGCATCCAGCCCGGTTAAAAGTAACCTTAATATTTTGGCATATTATGCCACTTCTGTCATCTATAAAATCATCTACCCATATATGAACTAGTGTAGCTATAGGAAAATGACAATGAAATCCAAACATCAAGAAAAAATAAATCCACTATCAGTTTTATCATAATGCAGCAAGGATGAGACAGTTCGATGAACTGCTAGAAGAACACTCTTACAAATTTATATTTATTTTTACGAAATTAAAATCATTTTAGTCTCTTAAAAAATTTACCAGCTTCAAGGTCAAATACTAGCTTCTAACATCCATTAGTCTGTCTTTTCAACAAGGATTTTCCTGTCTTTATTTACAGGGCATCATCTCAAAATGGACTTCAGTTTACAATAAAAACCGATGATGACTGTTACCTGAATATTCCTAAAATTCTCCAGGTACAATACCTTTTAATTCAAGAACCAATTTGGTGTAAACTTTCAAAAATTATAAGAATATGAACATTCATATTATATTTGATCTCAATTAAATGTGGTCCAGATTCTCTGCTACCTAGGATTCAGGGGTGGAGAATTCCGGTAAAAAGGTGGTCTCAGTGGGCCTATGGTCTCCCAAAATGAACTCTGGCCACAGGGGTAGACATTTTTAGTAAAAATTTGGTCACTGGGTGGTTACTATGTGTAACGATAAAGCAGTCTCTTGCAGAAAAAAACTGGTCAACCCAGGTGCCGGGTCAGACCAAATTGTCCACTTCTGGGATTATAATCACTGCTGAGAGTTAAAATATATTAAAAGAAAAGCTCAACTATCCTTAGTTACAATTTCCTCAGCACTAATTTTGTATTGGGAACCAACAAAACATTTGATTCCATAAACTATTACTTATTGACAATCTGTTTAAATTATATAAAAATTTAGTGTATTTTCAAGACATGAGAATCCACTTCTTTCAGATATCAACAAAGACCCTAATATCCTGTTTAAAAAAGCATATTATGGTATGGCATGCGCATTTAATAATATTTATTGTTCGACAGGAAATATCCTCAATGAATCTAAGTAGCAGAGATAGCTTGTGGTATGGAAGGTAATACAAAATACTTGATCATTTAATGTTTACAGCTCACAGAGGGAAACATAAATTTGGGTTTGAAGGAAAAACTGTATCAAATTTTTATACTATCATTTTATACTCAAACTTGATCTAGATTATCATCACCTTGATTTCCATCTGTAAACTTGAAATAATTTCTGCCACTACTGTTCTTTGTGCGTTTTCCCAAATACTTTCTATATTCTTTTTATAACTTGGTCTCAAGCACCACTGAGTGAATAATTATCAAATTTTCCTTTCGATTAAGCTTTAGGTTTGATTGGCCAGTGGATTTATTTGGAAAGTGGGCAGAGAATGAGTATCCATCTTCTATGTACCCAGCTTTTGCATGTGGCTCTGGTAATCTTGTATCAAAATATGTTGTTGACTGGATTGCTTTGAATTCCAACTTTTTACATAGCTATCAGGTAAATTCCGTTTGAACTCTGGAGCAACATGTTTTGTCATTAAATGCAATGTTCTTACATAAAAAAATAATGTTAAAAATTGTGAATAAACTACATCCTTGTTTGCATATTTTCAGGCTTTTAACAGCAAGAGTAAGCAAGAGCAAATCATTTATCTCTCATTCACATTATCTCTCAGTATTTTTCCCAAATCTTGTTCTCCTATCACTAAAGTAATTATTTATATAATAGAGAAATATGAAATATTATATATAAACACATTGATGTATTTGATCTTAAAGGGTGAAGATGTCTCTATGGCAATATGGCTATCAGCTATTCTCCCAAAGATAGTAAATGTAAGTTGGATGTTTAAATTCTTTGAACATTTTTCATTTTTCAAATTAAACATTATGAAGCATACTACATATAATGTTCTTTTAAAGAAGCATCGTGATTATTTAAGATAAGTTTATTCTCATGGATCAGAAACAAGTGTATATTTCTGTTACATCTTCTTTTTGTAGGATAACCGCTGGTCTTGTTTCAAGATTTGTGACAAGAATATGCTTAGCTTGCCAAACAATAGCCCAAAAGAAATTTCATCTCTTTATGAAAATCATTTGAACTGTAGCAATCCTTGTGGATGTACTTCCTAGCAATTAATATATTTTTTGTAACTTACTAAGTTATAAAAAGTCATAAATTTTATGGTCCCCTTCGTGCAAATAACACAATGTGTTTCTGATTGACAATTTGTAGAAAACACTTTGTGGTACTGTGTTCAATAAGTTCACTTGCACTTTTTATGATACATAGGGATGGTGGCAGATTGGCTGGTTGCAACCAACAAAATTATCTAATGAATAATGTCAGGCACCGCACAACCATTTGGCTAGCAAGGGCTATAGCCCCCCCAGCCTTTCTGCAATAATAGGTTTTAATTTTTTTTTAGAAAATTTACTCTCACAAAAATTTGGAAAATCTAATTTAAAGGATTTCAAGGAGTAGCGTACTTCTAGACTGGGAACCCTTTTCGCTGATTTTCAGGGTGTTTTATCTTGTTTAATGATATGATGGGTTTTCTATCTTGGTTAGCTTGATGTCTTATTATCATAAAGCTAATTTTGTCTTATTTTATAGTTATTAAAATCTTCTCTGAATCAGACTGTTTATGAAAAAATCAGTGGAAATAAGAACCTTTTTTGAAGGGCGTTTTCCAGCGGTCTAAAGTGCGTGTCTGAAATTTTTTGAGGTCACCGCCTCAAATTTTTCCAGCGGCTCCAGCCAGGGAGGGCGTGGTCCAAAAGGGCGTGGTCCCCTGACACACCTTTTGTCCCCCCCCCCCCACTTATCCCAGGCTGGAGCCACCACTGGAGACATAGATCCATTCGTTTCTGATTTGTAACCAAACCAAAAAGTTATAAAGAAAAACCTCTTTCAAATGGTCGTTCTTGACAAAAACAGCTAATTACAGTGGCCTGACTGGCTGAATTACATTTTTTCTTTAGCTAATGCGTTACATTGTAGAACAACGGCTCTCCTGCTCTTTCTTAGCGACAACTTCTGATCCATATTTTCGCAAATCGCCGCACCGGTCTTTCTGAGGGTGAGCTGGGATTCTTTTGTCTTTGCTCTGATCAAGATTGTATTTCTCACGGTATTTCTTCCTTATCTTCTCTCTTTCTTTGGCTCGTTTTTGTTGCAGTTTTTGCAGTCGCTTTTTCTCTTTTTCCCTTTCTTGCTCTCCAGTTGAATCACCATTTTCAGATAGAAAATTAGAAAGTCTGTTGTTTTCAGCATTGGCTTTGTTGGCCGCCTGTGCTTTAACTAGAGCGAAGGTTACTTTATCCATAATCGAAACGGTGTATATCTAAAGTTGATACATAACTTGTTTTTTGCAGCCCGGTATTACGTAAGGTTGATATTCTCTGTTACTGTGAATGAATACCGTCACTTTTAATCGAGTTTTCGATACATGTGTCAGGCATATGAGAATCCTACCACAAAAATTTCACTCCTCCTGCAAGCATGTGATTAATGAATGTAAATTCTTTAAACTTTACAAAAATTATGATCCTCATCTGTATCAAGAGATTGTTTTCTCCTGATTTCTTTGACGATGCTGTAGCGTAAACATACTCTAGGCCCCTTTCAAAGAAGTTTATGGAATCTTTGAAATTCCGTTGAAAAAGAGACAACCGCAAAACAACCAATTGAAATGTCATCTCTTGTTTTGGCTAGCTCTACAGGAAGTAGCTACGCAATCTTTTGTTTAAAATCAAAACAGAGGAAATACATGGAGTCAGGAATAGAAGAGAGTGTTCGAACAACCCCGTTTTGCGAGCTACCCGGGCGCCAATACGTATTCTACGACAGCCGCATCCCCGAGAAATATTGTTTTGAGGGTGGTTTTTGAAGATTTTCTAATTTTGTTTGCAATAAGAAGTTAAGTGTGTCGTTCTTAATTGAGTTAACACTGCAAAAATTAAATAATTCCTTCTTTTTTAAAACATTACAAACCATAACAATAACATTTTTTGAAGTAGTAGCTTAGTCCTTACGAGCATTGAGGAATTGAAATATACAAACAGAGTCATTCTTGTGAGACAATCGTTTAGGAAGATCATATTTTAGAGCTTTTTCAACATTTCAAAACTAAATGGTTTTCTTGCCAAACCCTTGTAATTTGAACTACAGCAACTGATTGTGATGTTCTAGAAGTTTTAAAATTCAGTGCTTGAAAACTTTTAGATTTTTCTTTAAATAGTATTTCAGCTTTCAATCATCGAATTTCGCTGAAAGTAAAATTGATACCAACAGGAAAAATGCCTTGAAAAACATACACACACTATACTCAAGAGTCACAATCTTCAAAATTAAGTGCCCACTCAAATGTGCATACAGTGCACTCATGCAATTCTGGGAAATTGTTTGGGTATCCCAAGGTCTCATCAAAAACTCCCATAAAATCGAAACCGACCTGGGGGCAAAGGTTCCAACCCTCCTGATTCAGGTGGGAGTCCCCCGATTATAGAGCATCTCCTGTTCTCTCGATTTCAATTCTAACCTCCCGTGTTCAAGAATTTTTTTATAAATCTGTCATAAAATTCAATTTTGAAAAACATGTGCAAATAAAGAAAATATACACAAGTATGTGAGATTTGTCGCCATATCTACCGTATCCATATCTTTTTTAAGTTTAAACTGTAGCTGGTGAAAAATATCTTGTTTGGGAGACAAACGAGCTAAAAATCAGCAGACTTTTTCGGTAAACAATGACACATTTTGTTTAGCCAATCGGAGGAATTTTTACATTTTGGCCACTCAGCCAATCAGAGGCAGCTAGCTATTCATAAGTTTTTTTGTTTCATTGGGATGCGGCCTGCTCTAGCTGTGGGGATTTTGATAGAAATAACACAACCACCTATTTTGCTAACAACAAACATATACTTTCTCGGAAAATCAAAGAATTTGCAAATATTTTTTGGTTGGAAAGTTTTGGGGCACTTAGATACCTGGGAGACATAGGATAGAGTCCATGAGAAATATTTGAATTTGGGGTATCAGTACTGAAAGGGTACCAATTTTTTTATTACAAGAAGAATTAAATACAATGGTCTTTTTGGGATTTTGATTAAGGCATTGCAATTGATGTCCACTTTGACTAATGATGTGTCAGCAAAATAATGTTGATTTGTAGCTGAATTTTCGTGAGAGGAACGAAAAAGGTACTTTTCAACAGAGAAAACATTGTGATGACCTGTTCATATTTTGAAAAACTGGTAAAATATGATGCCAAATAAAATTTTTAATGTTTCAAAAATTGGTATAAACTGGGACATGGAACTTTCAAATATAAGTATAAAATATAGGCATCTCTTCTGTGTCTTAGGAGGCAGCATATCTCTAACCAAACTTTAGTCATTCCCCCTAGTTTAAAATCTTGCCACCCATATCACTCACAAATGTCAAAATCTAATGCCAGAAATATTTCTTTCTGATTGTGGATTATTGCACCAACTGAATAAAGGACTAAAGAAAACTTGAAACTAGATCTCTACTGTACACCAAATACTTCCATACCCTGCTGTCCTTCTCTCCCATGTCTTCTGAAAAAGGATGAGCTTTTTTCTTGCATCTCTTCTGCTAGGCCCTTTTTTGTTTTCGGATTATTGAAATATGAACTGATACCAGTTTTTGAGATAATTTCAAGATAACATCTAGAAATCTGTAATTCTTGAATACTGGCATACTTTCAACAATAAAAATACTTCACTATGAACATTTTATAGGTAGGTTGTGGTCAGGGAGGTTGCTAGCTATTGTGCTTTAGTGGGGTATCCAGGACAATTTACTGACAAATTGGGAGAGAATTTCTTTGTTTGCTGAAAATTTGAACATTCCCTGACAAAGCACCCCTAGACCTATATGGCAGAAAGTCCCTTGCTTTGAACAAAGTTGTTTTCAAAGGGAGTATCACAGACAGGAATTTTCAGAGTATGCCTAACACTGCCAATTCTAACTGCCCAAGAAAATTCATACATAAGAAACAATTTTTCCTTTTGCACAAGAGTTATAGGAACTTCAAATATTTCTACATTCAAAAGTGCTTTATTCGACAAAATTAATACCATAACTGAACAATTACTTAACAAATATCATAACTTACATCTTATATACATGTTGTTCATCCTTTTGGTGTCAAACATTGATTGACAACATCAAGTAGGCTAGAGTTCTCTAGTGCTGCTGCAACCCTCTCTTTATCAGCAAGCTGCTTGTTAACTATTTAAAAGAATAAAACAGGATAAAACTTGATATGACAAAACAGATAAATAGGCATCAGCAAAATTATTTGTACATACTTTTTGTCATCAACACAACAGAACTAGCATAAAAAACAATTAAAGTTTTGATCTTAGTAATAATCATATATTCTTTTTCTTGTTATAACCAAAGTTTTTCACCAAGCAATGTGTCCCAGCAATGTTTTTTGCCATTTGTCACTATATTCCACAATTTTAAATACACTTCAACTTTTTGAGTATCAAAAGTATTACATATAATTTCAGTATCATCTTTACTTATAAATAATTTCTAGATTTCATGAAGACCAAGACTAGCTAGCCTTTTACCCCTGTGTAAAGTATCACCTCAATTGCCTCCATTTTTGTTACATTAAAGGCATCAAGTTGTGATAAAAGGACGTAAAACAGCCTACTGATTCTGCAACACCAACTGTAATACTTTTGAAAGAACCTTTTTAAAAATAATAAGATGAGCAGAGTCTGGGTTAAAAACTTTTAATTATTTGAGTGATCTGTAAACACATTGTCATTACAAACAATGTAACATTTATTTAAATAACATTATTATTTATTGTTGATGTTATTAAAAAAATATCAAGGATATTGAGTCATGATAAAAAAAAAGGTATACCCAGATAGACAAGACTGCTATTGGTGGGTCTGATACTGATCACTTGTACTCACCCTGTACTGATATACAAAACAGCTCCTGTCAATAGCAAGTTGTCAACAATGGATGCCAATATCATATTAAACTACCGTAATAACAACCAAAGAAAATGGCCTATTTATGAATACTGAATACCTTTAAAAATGGCCTAAAATTTTGCATTCTCATTTTTAATTAACTATCCATGGCTAGCTCAACAATCACCACCAGATAACAGAGCTTGTGTTTCAATGCTATAACAGAACCGACAGCTGAAAAGAACTGTGTTTTTCTTTTTGCTGCACTAATCAATGCCCAATTTGGCACATTGTTAAGTTTTGTTAGGTCAACCCATCTTTTAGTGTTTTGCATACAAGCCTAAAACATTTACATGAAACTGAACTGAAAAAAAGAAAAAAAATTACCTGCAGCCTCGGAGGCATGGGATCCTGGAGTAAGCTGGACATCAACCTATTTGGAAAAAATAGGCTTAGAAAAACATGAGTAAGAAAGAAAAACGCAGGGTAGGTTCTCTGCTGGATTCTGTTAGTCTTGCAGTGAGTAGTAATAGGAAAGAGAGCCAGGAAACAAATCAATAAGTCAACAAAAATTCAATGCAATAGGCTAGAATTTTAAAACAAATCAAATTTAACAGTACTTTTAAATTTGATTTATTTTGAAATTCTCTTTAGAAAAGCATGACTCTAAAAAACAAATTGCAAATTTTACAACAAAAATAGATCTACTTGCTGAAAGTATACATGTAAGCATAGTAAATGCCAACTTAGTTATTACTTTATATTTTCTCTAAGTCCTCTCAGAATTCTAGCCACCCTCACATCCTAACCTACAGCTTTCTGTAACTAATTCTAGGGAAGTATTATTACACCAATAAAAACAAATTTCAATATACATGTGCCTCCATAACAATCCTCTTAACAAATTTGGTTTAAAGAAAAAAGCTTTAGCTTTTATAATTATGTTCAGTTAGTACTTATTTACTATAATGCAGGTGTCATAGATTTTTCAAGCTTATCGATTGGTAGAAATTTCAAGTTATTATTGACAGCATTTGTCTTTTATTTTGTCCAATGCTACCTAGCATCCATAGGTAGTTTTAAAACACTAGAAGTTGTGCTTATCTAGCAGTTTCCTGATCCTTTCTCTAGATGTGGTCACACCTCGTGGCTCCTATACCTGGAATTGCAGAGAGCTTGCCACCCGCCTTATTTGAAGTAAACGTTTGGTCAAGAGTCCAGAAAAGTCCTCGACCTTCCTTTGATCAAAATTTTTCCTTATCAAAACCTTCCTCCAACTTTTCAGGCAATCACCAAGGATTTGAGCTTGGCTACAGAGTAGCTAGAGCACAAGGGGTGACATACACTATCAATCAAAACAAAATTATGTGCTTGGCTCGATGGTAATTATTGCATGCGATAAAACTTTGCTAGAATAACATTTAAAACATTAGAGCTAAAAATTAATATTTCTTACTATGTGTCGAATAATAAAATTGAAATAAACCTGCCAAAAGATAAATTGAAATCTCCAAAAACATGGAACAGGAACAGTATTCTCTTTTCAAATGTATTTTCTGGCGGTAAATGAGCATGGCCTAAAAGTTTGATTTTGACCCCATTCCCCCCAAGAACCTAGTGACTCTCGCCACCAATCAACTCAGCGGCAGAATCAACTTGTGTTTTGAAAGCCCACCAAAAAAATGCAAAATAAGATGTCTCAATTGTTTGTTAAAATTCTTTTTTACCAAAACCTTCCTCCAGTCAATGACCATGTGACTATAATGTTTTCTGTGTTTGGTCATGTCAGAGACTCGAACCAAAGACCCTTGGATTGCATATAACCCTTAAGTAACTTGATTTATCTTTTAAATTAAAAAAATAAGCTAACAATTTGGTAAATTGATTTCTTTCTAAATGCATAATGAAAACAAACATAAATTTTCTTGCTTTATAGCTTCATGGCAACAAACATTCATTTCATTGAAATTTCATGGAATGTTCATTTCATTAACAGCCTGTAACAAAGGCATCAGAAAAGCAAAAGACATCAAATGTTAATCAGCTTAAAACTACATGCTTCCCAAATTCTAGTGAGATGATTTTTCAATAATTAAAATGATAAGTAATATACATGACACCATATCATATTCTCTGCAAAACTTCAACCAACTTTGTATACAATGCAGACAAACCTTGAATCTATCTGGCAGTGATCTCAACAGCATAACTCTAATGGCAAGGCCAATTAATGTTGCCATGCTGCAGTGGGGTATAGTTGGGGTGAACATCACTTTGACATAGTTGTTATCATCATCAACTTCAATGTTTGATTCATCAACAACATTTAATTCTTCAAGAGTCAGTGGGTGTTCTGGATCATTTATTGACCTTATTATGTGTAATCAGTTGTCAAGGAAATACCTTGATATTCACATTTTGATTTGTTAACACAACAATTAACCTTATTTCATACAAATTAACTGTGAGAAAGTAAAACTCTATCAAAATTACTGTTACACATAGCATCAGGAGCATCTCTTTAATGTTTTCCAGAATTTTTATACAAACTTTCTCATCTTTTAAAAAATCTTTTATACAAAGTTTCTCATCTTTCTCATCTTCTTGTTATGAATTATGACTAAACTATTTGTTGGGTTGAACTACAACTTGCTAACTTGTTTTTAAGCTAGTAGCGCTGCCTGAATTGGCTGATGCTAGGTCAGTGTTTTGTTCGGTCAGAGGATTTCTTGCGTTAGGCTGCTATTTTGTCTTTTTAAGCACATGTTATAGCCTCTTATTGTTTAGTAAAGCCTATTTTTACAGCAACTATTTGTTAATATTTATTACACCTCTACGAGATGGTTGTGCAAGGGAGACAGGCCAGGCTGAAAATTTAGTTGGTAGGTTTGAAAAAGTAAGTAAATTGTGATTGGTGGGGTCAGCTATGTGCATCTAGCTTCTAGCCATTACTGTAAAGAAAGTGCCCATACACTTCAACTAGCTTTTTTATTGTGATATATTTTAACTGAGTGCATTAAATGCTAACAAATATCATTTAATTTATTGATTCTCGTCAGCACCATATTTTACTTTGAGGCTGCATCAATTTCATTTTGTAGTCTATATTTTTGTATTCTAAAATCCTGTCTGGCTTAGATTAGATTTTAATACAGTCCTGATGAAAATCAATTTATTAATTTCTTAATATTACTGTTTTTATTTTTTTAGTAGCCTCTTTAAAAACCTTAACATTATTTGAGGCAAAATACAACTTGAAGAGGATGGCTACACTAGATCAAAAAGTTAGGCATGCACACTTTTAAAAGTGACACATTTTCTATACAACTTGATAAAGGTCAATGGACTTTGGTTAAACACAACCATTACCAATAAAACTGGCTAGCAGTAGGAATACTCAGTAAATTCAGTGGCATTTGGATTATCTCGAAAACAGCAATAGTAGTAAAATAAATATGTGAAGTAAAATTTGAAGTTAAAAATCAAAGCCTAAGATATCATGATTGGCCCTTGGACCATGGATCACGGAAGATAGAAGACTATTCCATGGAGAGATTGGGATAAAACATGCATTAATGGCACAAAAATCTTCGTTATAAAGAAAAGTGTAATCAACATTTCGGTTATTTCCGCTGAGCAAGCATTTTAAGTGAGGCGGTTTTAATCACCACAACAACATAAATGTTGTCCGAACAACTCTAGAAAGGATATCAAATATTTCTCTTTCGTCAATCTTGTCTGTTACTTCGTCATTCCGCTCATCTGGTGTTATCTCTCTGTCCTTCTGACAATCATAAATGACAGGGTTCGCGTTTTGTAACGCCATTTTGAAACCCTATCGCTGACCTCGTTCCTCGTTCTGAGCATTGCTAAAAATGTTTTCGAGGTTTTCGTATGCAGGAAGAAATGGTATGTATCTGCCATTTTTGCTTATTACAATTTTCCCCCGTGCTGGTATAAAGGCGATGGCAAAATTGTTCAAAGTTTTATCCGTGATTTATTTGACAGTGAATCATACTATTTGTCACTTACCAATAAAAGGTGCCTTCAGAAGGGTACACCCTTTTCACAAGATACTATGAAAATTCTACACCAGTAAAAGGTCTTTAACTTTTCATTGAACTTGAGTACTCCTGATTAATTGGAAAATCAAAAGTTATAAGAACAGGCAATTGACTGTAATATGATCTTTCGGTGCAATTAGCATTTAGATCAATAATATTTCATCAAATAAGTTAACATAGCTGATATAACGAATGGTAAGAAAAAGACGTTGTTTTCCAACTTCACGAACTGAAAAAAAATTGCCATGAGATGGTGCATTGCAATGGCGGCGCCAGCCACTACGCTTTAAGGGGGGGGGGGCAAAACAAAAATTTTTAGGCTACGCCCCTTTTAGCACCAGAAAATGCACTTTCACTAACAAGGAACGCCAATTTTACCTAAAGGGAACGTCCATTACTAACTTTTGGCTATGTAAGGCAGTTTGAAATTCATAGGATTATGTCACAAAAAAGGCGTTGCCAAAATATTCCCCTTCCCCCAATATTTTCTCATCGGATTTAAACGAAATACAAAATTGATCGTGTCGAGAACTGGGGGGACGTGTCTCCCCGTGGCGCCTTTACCGGGTCGTTGGAACCGAGCGGGCCATGCACATGCCCCCAAATTTGAGACAAACGTTCTTTTTTAGGAAGTAGGCTTTCTGATTAACTGCCCCTTTTCTGTGCCATGGTGTCCATGAAACGCAGGGAGTTGCAAAAAGGGGGGTCTAAAATGTGCGGGAGCTAAAACCGAATAAAAAAGGCTTTACTAGTTGTTCACTTCTTAATACTTTGCATTTATGTAAAAAATGGGGGGCTAAAACGGGGCCTGTTTGAAATCTGTCCCCCAAAATCTGAAATTTTCCGACTTCGCTGGTCGTTATCTATTTTAAAAGTAAATTCCAGGGCATTATTTTTTCCCAGAAGACAGGTGTCCTATATCGTAACAGATGTGGCTCGATTGAAATGTTTCAATAGGCTTATTTTGGCAATGCTAAAAGGGAGGTGGTCTGGAAGGTACGGTAATATGATGGTCTGGTTCATTGGTTCACTGGGTCAGCTTATACCAGCTGCTATAAACCTGCAACCAACAACAAGAGTTAAAGGTATTTTTTGCCACAGAAAATTAATTGAAAATAAGAATCAAAGTTCTTTCAAATCGGTACACCTTAAAAATTGAGTCTTGTTTGTCGGAGAGTCTTGTTTTGTCCGAAAGCAGCACAACATGTGACTTGTTTTCGAGTGTTTTTTGTGATCCTGTCTTTGCATCTAATATTTTTTATGAAAGTCCAATTAGGCATTTGAATACACCCTTACCACAAAGAGGATGTTTTATGTGATTCAAGGATGGAAGTTCGATTGCACTCAGTGGCGGTGCCAAGGGGTGGTATGGGGGTTGGGGTAATTACCCCCCCCTCACCCCACTTTTGTTGAAACATGGTCTAAATAATTCGTCTAAAAACGGATTGAAAAGCACTAGGCAGGGGTAGATCATATTGCCTAAGGAAATTTGACCTGATACAAAGCACTGAAACGTGGCAAATAGAGCGTGGTCTCACGGGCAACACTCATTACCATCCCAATCTGCAGTAGCTGGCGCCGCCTCTGATTGCACTTATTGGTTCAATGATAAACCTCAACATAGTAAATTTATGCAAGATCCTTACTTTAAGTATACATTACATGATTGATAACATTGGCGTAATCAAAAGGCATTCGTATCAACCTGGTTCGTATCTATTTTTTAATTGGCTATGTTTGTCTGATAATGTCTGTTTTCCTTACCTTTTTATGATTTCCGATAAGAGAGAGAAAAATAAACTATACCGATGTTTATACCTAGGTATCGTCAAAAAGATCTATCTCTTCGGGTTTCATAAAAACTGAAACAACCCAATCCAAGAAATTATTGAAAATTACATGGTCTTATTCAGAATTATCTTCAGAAATCAACTACAGTAATTCAACTTTTGATACACATCTTCATTTTACGTTGAAACAGTGGTGAAAGCATTCACTACTATAGGAAAAGCATCTTTTTAGGATGTTTTTAAAAATTATGCCATAATTTGCAATTTTGCATTTATTAACAGCTTAATTTACAATTACCAGAAAAGTCCAGCTTTAACAAGGTAAGAGCAAAATACAGAAAATTTATAGAAACAATAATTTATCGACTGATAATACCCCTATAATAACACAAGACAGTTAAATGAAATGGGTCCTCTATATGTACATCTTTGCTAAAGTTATATCAAATGAATAGATAATTGCACCTTTTCTATATAATTAATGTATGCATTTGGCTAGCGAATTTAGACATAAATCCTCAAAACATAATTTAGACATAAACTTCAATTCGAAAACAGACACAATGAAACTAAGAAGTAATTTTACAGGTTATAAACTATTAACTATTCATACTCAAACTGCCAGATACCATTAAAGGAGGCAAATAAATATTTCTAAAATACATCATTATTTCGTGGTAAGATATCACCGAGAGTCAGATGACCGAGAGCTAGATCATCGAGAGCCAGGTGAGACTTATTCGGGATGCGATTGATTTATATTGCTGATCTCGTGCGATCACAAGATATTCTAATTAGTGGACCTTTTATACACTAGGCAATATCGAAAGGGAAAGTGCATAGTGATGAGTGACTGCATTCGTATTTGACATAGTAATGTTTTAATAGTAATGAACAGCCAAGTCTTCATTTCTGATCAAGTTTCAAACGTGTTAGAGACCTCGCCCCAGGTCCCTAGGAAAATGAACACGTGTCGTCGAAAGTTGTTGGTAAGAGGAGGAAGGAGGAGATGGCGTAGATTTTGAGTGCAGTAGCAACGTAATATGTAACCAGCTTGTATCTTATAAATAATAAAATCAAAAGCTGGATAATTTTCTGTCCAAAGTCTAACACGTCAAACAAAAGGTTCGCAACAAAACGAGTAACACAATTAACGTGGATGCTCTAGGAGCTCCTGAAGATCTCTGGTAATGACAATAAAGAAACTTCGTTTATCATGCATCCTCTTTCTCTTGAGAAAATACATTCCAAAAATACTTTCAATTTATTTATCTTGGATTCGGTGTTGGAGAATAAATTTTAAAATTATTTGGGATGGGGATGCGAGGCTAGAACCGTGCGAAACAGGTGCTGTAAACATTTTTAGGAACGGGTCAGCCATAGAAAGTAAATGGACTGTGATTGTTTTCGGCTTTACTTCTAAAACAATACAAAAAAATCGTGTAAACCAAAATTATTGATCAAAAAACTACAATTAGGTAGCCCTTGATGACAATGAATACTCACTTCATGCTCACGTATGTTTATGGAGTTCCTATAACTTGAAATTCGCTTAGAATTTTTTTGAAACTGTGCGCCAGCTACGTTCAGTCGGATCAAAATAAAACAAGAATTCTTTTTCGAAAGAAGCAGCAGCCACATTTTCCTTCAAGGTTATGGAGGGCTCTTCATAATGCCCGTGGAAGATCAACTCACAAGAAATTTTTGCAAGGTTTGTCGATTGTGGCATTGGCTTAACAGCCTTAATGATGGCGAATGGTTCCTTACCAACCTCTTTTGTCACACTATCTTCACCAGCCTCAATTTTGAAAACAACCTTTTTGAATATTGAGAAGGGTGTTTCTTTTTGGGGATGTAAGCCGGAGATCAATACTTTAATCTTCTTTTCATCACGTGGTCTTTCGCTGACTGTTACAGTAAATTTTGCGCGCCTAACCAGCTCCCACTTCGGAATCGGTAATTCAAGACGCTGCATCAGCCCAATCATGACGTCATCGCAAAATGCATGGATTAGGAGGGTGGCTTTGGAGTCTAAGGGTGTTTTTTGCAGGTTGCAAATAACTAGTTTTCCATGTCGTGCGACGTTGCGAGGTATTTCATTTGCAGGAGAGACACGCAAACTAGTGCCTAAGACGATACACAAATCAGCTTTTTCTGCGTGCAAGTATGCCTTTGACAACTCCTTTTCCGGTAAATCCTCCCCAAAATTTATTATTGAATCCTTCAGTCTGCCGCGGCAGCCTGGTTCATCACAAAACCTACCAGTGAAGTGATCGTGAACTTTCTGCGCAGTTCTCACGCGAAAATCCCGCAGATACAGCGCACCACATTTGCAGCATGTCTCGAGATTTGTGTTTCCATGGAGCTCTGCTATTTCACTAGGATTCATGCCACTCCTTAGGTGCAAACCGTCGGTATTTTGACTCACCAGCATTTTCATCATTCCACTTTGATGCAGCTGCACAATCGCCATGTGACTAGAAGATGGCATGGCTTTTAGCACCGATTTTGTTTTCTCTTTTCTAGTCCCTCTTTTCACTCCTTTATCCCTGAGCTCCCAAACACCAGGACCAGTGGGTAGCACTGTATTCATACCTACAGATAAGCATAAACCCGTTAATAATATCAGCAAGCTTATAAGTAATGCAGCGTAAAAGGGTTTTAGAATATTGTCATAGCTCAGTGCAATTTGCACTTTAACATGACTTTTGGGTTGCGAACATTCCGGTCTACAAGATCTTGATAGAAAAGGTCTAATCTCAGATTATTTACAACCAAAGTTTTCGATGAGAATTTCACTCTAAAACAAGTTTCGAGTTTCAACCATTGCCAATCCAGAATAACTGGAATCGCTTCAATGTTCTCAACATTTATTCTTACAATGTCTTTTTGCTGCTTCTTTCCAGTGAAATTCGTCTAATAATTCTACAGAGAATTGATTTTAAGTAAGGTAACAGCAAAACACATCTATTTATAAAGTAAAGCTAGAGAACGGAGGATTGCTATCTTCAAACCATGCCGAGGATGGAAAGTGTTTAAGTATGCCACACATAGAAGTATGTTGGATTGACGAAAACACTTACTTTGGCCAATTTACACCTAAAAAGTCTTACATCTTTAGCCAGAGGGTGGAAAAGGATGGGAAGGAGTAAGAAGTATAATAAATTGTTTTTAATTTACAAAATACTCCTTCTTTTCTATGGTTCCTTCATATTCAGGTTCAAGGCTGGGCCCCTGTTGAGTATCGATTTAAAATTAGCTAGAATTACATAACAAGGAACTTCTTTTTAAGAATAATGAAATTCTGTGGAATCCAAGTATTATGAACTCCGTAGGAACAAACAAAAAATTCGTACAAGCAGGGGATCGTTGTCAAAAGAACATTTTGTGAAGATTTCTGAAAAACTGGGTCAGTGCGCCATTTAGAACCTTCCTCTGTTACTTGGGGGTTATATCAACATATTGTATCTTTCAGAGAACTTTCAATAAAATGACAATCTAAAAGTGAGTCAACAGAAAGTATAATTCATGAAAGTTATCGTTGATAACTGTTTTGTAATGAAAAAACACAGAATTATTCAAATTAAAGATAGGCGGATAGCGAAGAACTGCCAAAAATATCTGTTTGTCGCTCCTTGCCAATGGCTTTGACGTATAAACTAGACAGACAGTTTGTTTTCTAAGATTATTATTGAAGAATGTGTTATCGTATCTTTATATGCTATTGAAGACACAAAATATTGTATTGAGTTGTCGCTTTAAACAGTAATATAAAAAGGGGGTTTATTTGTTATCGCATTTCACCCCCCCCCCCACATCCCCACTAAAGGACATCAGATTGCATATTTGAAGTACATCTATAACTTTCACAACTTTCATATCTTCGAAGCTGGTCGTACGACGACTTCTTCATGTATTGTTTTACTATCTTTGTTTCTCTCTCTTTTTTGTATTGCGGCGATGACCCCTACGTGAACAGTTTCTCCATACTCGTCTGCTTAAAGTTCTGGAGATATCTAATCCTCATTTCGCCATCTTCGCGCCCCTATTTCACTGGCTAATGATTGAAAAGGAACATCAGCACTATCATTTTTTCTTCAAAATTCGTTATGGAGTTCATTATCATAAGCAGAGTTCCTAGTAGCTGGATTCCATTGGATATTCAATTGTTTTTATTGTAAATTTATGAACAGAAACTTACCGCTGCGAAAATCCGGTATACCAGTGCTTGTGCTGAGGCCTGCACCAGTAAAGACAATGGCATGGCTGCTGTCTTTTAGCAATTCTGCTAGATGATCAAGCTTTTTGGACAATGATTCAGGACTTTCGAAATATTCTTTCTTTTCTGCTTCTTCAGAAATGCCATAATTGTCTTTGTCTGCCATCTGCTTCGAACAAGAGACAGCAGAACCCCGAGCAGAACCAAAATATAGAGCCTGGATCAAGACAGGTATTTATCTAAAAGTGAAGAGTTTTCTAGCTCAAAAAAAAGATTATCATACTTTTAGTATTCAGAAAACCCTTTCATGGCACTAAACTTACGGTATTTCACTGAGCAGCAATAATGGGTGTTATTGCGTAAAAACAAAAAAGACCTTGGAACAACAGGGCACCAGTTACCTTCGTGGACAGTTCCAGCTAGGCAAAGTCGTTGACTGAGACTTAAGCTCATCTGGCTTGCGGATAATTAGATTTATTTCAACTATCAGAATATGATGAAACTACAGCAAACAAATAAAACAATCTGTCTACACAACGAGAGGAGACATGATATTTTGACGAGAGAAATATGGGTCATTGTCAAGGTTTTATTCAGATACTTCTCACCATTTTTGTATTGCTATCTTTAGTAATTTGAATCTTCAAATTTGATTTTAAAATAGAAAAAAAATTGAAATACTTTTCAAAACAAAACAAACTGGGATTCAAAACAAATTTTTTCAAGAATCCTAGGCATGAATCAATCAATTATTCTAATACATGATCTTAGCTAATACATAATACATGATTCAACTTGATAAAGTTTTCTATTCAAGAAGTAGAAGAGATACTTTCATACGGCTTAACAAATAGTTCAATCTCTAACTGCAGAGGTCTATTGAGTGCATATCTGTTATACAGACTCCAGCTCCTGCATTGCTTTCCATTTCAGAAGGCAGTGGATTATGCAGTTATCAAGCCTGTTACCAAGCCCGTCATTTCAAGGTATATTCAAACTAGGTCCAGTAACAGACAAGCTGTTATCCTGGTAGCAAGTCAAACCTAACGAAGTAACAATATTTCCAAAAGTCTGCTTTATTCAAACACAGAAGTTGACAACAACAGAGAGTAAACAACAATGAATTAAACAATGTATACTTCTTTGTAGCTTGTAGGAAAATTTGTTTTCATTTTTCCAAAAATCTAACTACATACAAAATCATTTAGCTTATTGACATGCTCTTTTCACACTTTAAAGCACACAGCACAATCATTCAACTTGAGGCCTTTTTGGTAGGCCTTACTTGATGAAGCATAAAGTCTCTGGTCTAACAAAATCAAAAAACGAGTTTAAAACAAATAAGTGCCGCTAGGATGGAGGGGCCATTTAACTGGAAAGCTGAAAGGTTGTGCATGAACTTTTTATGGCACGCTCCAAAAGCAAGCAAAAGGATCCCTTCTCTCTTGTTGTATCAAGGGAGAAAGGGATGCCTGGTGCAGAGAAAGCCATGGTGACATGTGATTTCTATCCCATACTATGAAGTCCAGCAACTTCATCTTAGCAATCTTGCTGTTTATTATCTTACTCATTTGCATTGTGACAAATATTTTAATTGCAGCAACAAATTTGACATTAAATAAGACAACTTTATTTAGAGGTGACTAGAAAAAAAATTACCACAAAAACTGTCAACTAGAAAATTATGATTGTGTGTCTTTTGCTTCTCTCTGCTCTGCCATAGGATAGATTCCCATTCTGTTTACATTTTCTGTCACCATTTGTGTGCTGCCTTCATTCCAGTGGGCAATCCATTGCGGGATATCATCTGTGTTAATTAGTTCTCTAGTCAGTGTTGTATCAATATCAAATTCTTGCCCATGTGACCCTGACAACAAGACTTTGATTCCATTTGACCTTTGGAAGTAAAGACTCTTCAATTGTGACTTGTCTGTAATCTCAATCCAAACATTATTGGATTCGTCAATTTGGAATATTGGTACCTAAAATAATCATGAAAAGTAAAAAACATCAAAGAAATTGAAGAGATTAAAAAAAGGAAATTGCCTTGCCATTATTTGATTTTGAATTATTTTACATTATATGGAGGTCCGAATTTCAAGACAGTGAAATGTCATCATTTACATCAATTATGTCAAAATATTCCTCTCAGGGGAGTACCCCCGCTGGCTTGAGATCTAAACACAAAGAAAGATTTAATTCTATTCAAGAGCACTGCATTAATTGGATATTTCAAGATGTATTTTTACCTCACAGGAATCCAAAAGCTTTATGAAAACATCATGACTTCTGAGGAGTTCCATTGTTCCGCTAACCAATGGCTTATCCAATGAAACAGTCAAATTTGCACAATTTTCACACATTACTTTGGCAGCTTTTCCTTCAATGTTCAATTCATAATTTTCACAGCCTTTTATAAAGATGAATGTGGCATTGCTTTCCGATTTGATGTTCTCTTTGGCATCTTTCTTGTCTACCAGAATTTTTTCAGGTCTTGGTCTCATGCCAGGTAACATCATCTGGTGCTGACTGAAGCCTACCATTTTGTCCAGCAACTGTAATTTGTAAATGTGTAAAAAATGGCTGAATCTCCAACAGAAAAGAAAGCTGCAGGAAAGATTTGTGATACACCATACACTCAGACCACTGAATTATCATTTCAGGGTTGTGCTTAAAAATCTTTACCAAAACCATAACAATTTTGACAATAGACCTACACAACACTGCTGTACTATGGCTGCACTATAGGAATGATTGTTTCACTCAGAGTGAATTCTTTAAAAAGTCCAAAAATATAACCAAACTTAACCTAAGATGATTTGGACAAAATTGACATTAAAAATCTTTTCTGTCAAGGTTTTTGAAAAGATGAGCACATGGGCTAATATTACTTTTGGTAAGACTGTGAATCTTGATGACTCTTGGGTTTGATTAAGGTGTTTCATCAAAGATGTTAAGGCAGCAATGTTTGTTTAATTATGCTAACAGATTTTTAAGTACAAAGGTTTGTTTTTTAACCATACTATATACTGATTTGTATCATTTTCTTAGCATGGGTGCATTTCAATAAATGAAAATCTACTTTTTGCAGCTGAAGTTTCATCACAAACAGTCCTTGATATTGATTTAACAAAGCAAAATCACCAAGACTCTCTCATTATTGGTTGAGTTGTGGGAATAAACTTCATCTACCTCCAGTTTAAAGTGTTCCATGTTTCCATTGTTAAAAAACTGTTAACAAGCAAAGCATGCCATAGTTCGATTGACACCTTGTGTTTTTTAAGATGAGTGATTACTGCATATGAGTAAGATTGTTTGCATGGCTAGCAATGTTGGCATTTTTTTCTTAATTAAATGTTTCCTCTCATCTAATGAAACTTAGATTAATTTCTTAGGATGTCATGATTTCATGTGTGTTAGTCCTTATTTAGTCTCCATCAGAAAAACTTCTAAAAGAGCCCTGTGTTGTTCATATTGAAATTCCCATATTGTGGGTAGATTACATTCTTTTGCTAAAAGCAAGAAGTTTGTTTCAAAAACTTGTTTCGGGTAGTGAAAAAGAAGATTGTCAACAGTTTTCATATAAAAAGTTTTCACAGTTTCCATGTACAATAATATTTCTGTCAAAATATTCTACCCTTGTTAGATGCATTACAAAAAGTTTCATGTTTCAAGACTTTAAAGTTAACCTGTCAGAGAAGACAGACAGTTTTTGCTTTTTATCCACCACAAAATTTTCATCAGATTAAAAAACATTGCTATGCCTTACTTGCACAAACATTGCAAGTTCTAAAACCTTAACTGACTATGCAGCACTAAGTGGAAACACCCATAGTAAATAGGCCTTGTCTATAGGGGGTCATTTGGTTTCGGTGTGATTGCTGCTGTTTCAGGTCATATTGGTATCTGTTGTTGACAACTTGCTATTGGTGAAATTGTTTTGTCAATCAGTACAAGGTGAGTTCATGTGACCAGTTCCACGTTAACCAATAGCATCGCAGTCATGAAGATCATGACTCAGCAGATTTTGGCACTTAGGGTATACTCAACCCATTTTATCATGACTCAATGCCTTTAACATAAGGTAACTCTGCTAAATCTAAAGGCAATCGACAGATATAAAAATGAGCCAATCCATAAGTGTGTGGGTGGAATCACACTTATTGACTGGTCCAATTTCCATTGAAAGATGGACTAGGACCCTTTAATATTGTTTGATTGCCTTTAAAGTAACAGCGTCCCTACATCAATTTATGCACTTTGTTCTTATGTCTATCAAATATATGAAATATTTGTTTGAAATGATTAATAAAAGAAACCATAATTATTTTAAAAATATTAATACTGATAGCGAAGTAACACTGTCAGCAGTCAATCTTTCTGTGGTACAGAATTTAAAGATGGCTTTGAAAAAAGCAAAAATTTTAGAACATAAAAAGCCTAAGTATGTTCTAAAATATTTGCTTTTTTCTTGCAGCGATCTAGAGGAAATTGCTTTTAAAAGTTAAGCTTGGATTTCCTCTCTTTGAACGTATAGTTTCGCCCTTGCATACTTCGGGAAACAGGTGTAGCAATACAGAAAGTGAGCCGGTTGCAAGCCTAGGCTAACAACTACTAGGCTAACAGCTTGAAAAAGAAGACGGGCAAAATACACTGCACATAAACATCTAATTGATTGATTAGTAACTTATAGCAAAACACTACATAAAAGCCTTTATAGGATATCAATGCGAACCTTACCAATTACGAGTAGATGTGATTTTGACCTAACCTGCAGCTTCGACCTGCTCCTTCCTCCCGTTTCGAAGTTTGTGGTTTTGGCAGTAAATTGTTGTGGTTGTTGCTCCTATCAAACTTGTCACCTTCAAGCGTCACATGATGGTGGTCAGATGTTTGTTTGGCAATAATAAACTTTGACACTTACGCAGTATCTGTCGCAGTGCAAAACGTTATTCCTGACAACCCAGAGGAACCATGGACATAAGATTTAATTCACTGGCTCTTTATTTCTTCTTGATCTTGGAAATAACTAGAGGTATAGGAGCCGGTTACGGCGTCAATGGGCATTCATTTGATTGGAAAGTGGACCAGAATTATGAAACATCAAACTACCAGTTGACCCCCTCCTCGAGTTCAAAGGATGCATTGGTTGCGAAGTTGAAATCTATGCACACTGAGATCAGCCCCGCTATCTACGGAGCAGTGCTAGATAGTATCAGAGAGTTTTTTTTATCTAGAGGCAGGAGGAATGATTTGTCACCAGAGGTAAATAAAACTGGGGATGACCTATCAAAGAAATGCTCTAACGCAATAGCTGGGTTGGCAGTTAGGCTGACAAAAAATGATACTTCAGAAATTTCAAACAGTGAGTAGATGTTTTTGAAATGCAATTTTAGACAACTGAATATATTTAGCAGTTTACTTGATACCAAATTTGTTATTGGCGTTTTAAGTATCTGGGACAGGTCTTTCGAACCCACTTGGCTAATTAATTGTAGCGTACGTATTAATTTCAAAGTTTTGCATCAATATTTTTAGATATACCTATTGCTGTGCAATTTATAGATTTCTAGAACACAAAAGACAAAAAGGCCAGTTCAAGTGTATCTGTGCTGTGTAGTGTATCAGAGTTTTGCCATGGATGTTTTGATATAAGAAAATCAATTGAGAGATTAATGGCTTTTTGTTATACTTTCAAAAGTACACAGATGACTTTGTCTATTGTTAAATTGCTCAGATTAATTTTGAGTAATGTGAATTTCTCAAAATATGAGTTGATTAAGGGTTGTGTTATTTTGAGTATGTAGAAAGTAAGGTTGTTGTATAATAGATTTTGTCGTGATAAAAAAAATTTGTTGTTATTCAAGAAGCTAGCGACTTTTTAACTGTGAAACAGATAACTGTGAACCCTATGCACTTTTTTTACACAAAATCAGAAAAAACTGTCTGTTAGATTTTAAAAATATTTCGTTATTTTTAAGTGCTTGATGCTGATGGTAAACCAGGGAGTGGATTATTCAGAGGAAATATTGCATGGCTTGGATCATTTCATGAGTGCAAAAACACAGGATATGCTCATTTATGCATGACGCAAGTGAATTTGCTCACACTTGTAAGTTCATATAAAATTTTGCCATAATTATGATAATTATCATGATGGTAGTCTTTTATAAGTTTCAATGGTGCTCACAAAAGAATCTTTTCCAATGATTCTCAATTAACAATAAATTTTACATTAACCAGATTGCAGTTTTCATAACCCCCTCCTTTTTCCTGAGTGTATGATACTCTGAGTAGAAATGTTACACAGCAGACTAGCTCTGTTTCAAGACTTCATCTGTCTCTTGCTAAAAAAGGACAAGTTGCATGAATTTCAAATTAATCTCGCATCTAGCCAGGTTCTCTTTAATGGGTTATCCATATTCCCATCACATATTTTATAGTTTTGATGTTGGCAAATGTGATCCCTGCTTTTTAATTTAACACCTTCAAGTCATAGCTTTTGTTGTGATAAAAAATATTTGTTGTTATTCGAATTAAAAATATTAGCTTTACTTCATTAAATTTTACATGCTACGTCATCTAATATTGCTTACCATTTCAGCCTTTAGTACTTGGCCTCTGTGTGCCTAAGGAATGCAACGAAGAAGATGTTTTTCAAATGCTTAATGATCTTTCAAGACTTACCAATAAAAGTAAACATTTTTAATTTCTATTTTTCAAAGGCTTGTTTCTAAGTTAGGTCTTGATGCAGTACCTGTAATAAACCAAATATTGAGACGTAAAATGACTTCAAAATATATTTATCTTCATCATAATCGCACATACAAAAAACTGACTTACAACACGTGCTAACTGGAATAGAGGCTAGATATGATTTATGCACATATTTTAATACTATTGTTCACAGGGGATAACACTATCCCCCTCCCCATCTCTCTTTCTATGTTAGTGAATGTGAACGAGTTCTGTTTGGTAGTATGTTTGCAATGTCTACTCTGCACCAATTTCTGTTGATCATGTTGTTATTATCTTCTGGTTGTTCTCCGTGGTTCAAGTCCCCTGTATTCCCTCCTCCTCTTGCACCCTCAACGTGTACTCTATCATCAATGAGATTTGTTGTCTTGTTATTGGTTAGGTCAGCAAAAATGTCACAGACTTTTTTCTTAGGAGGTCCCTTTGCAGGTAGGGGGTCAGTTGCTTTTTTGAGTAAGTGGATTGATCTTGGAGGTATATACTTCAGTTGATTGACATGAATAGTAGGACTGGCTTTGCCACTGGCGTCAACAAGCTTACAATTCAGATCTCCTATCAAGTGGGTGATTGTCCAAGGCCCCGACCACTTTGGTTGAAAACAACGTGAAATACCCCTTTTCTGAGGTGGGTTCCATAACATGACAGTATCATTGATCTTATAATGATGTTGGGTAGTTTTCTTATCGTACTGTTGTTTCATTCTTTCTCTGCTCTGGTTGAGGATACTGCGAACATTGGTAAAGGAGTTTTTAAGGCGCGTACCGATG